CCCCGCTCTGCTACCTCTACACCGTGAATATCCCGCGTACAGTCGATCTTTCCCGAGCTGCAAGGAGGAAGAAGCGGAAGCCCCCGCTTAATAGTCCCTGCGTCGATAGTTCCTGCAAAAACAAAAAGAGCTGCCACCAAGAGTGTGCAAGTATACATTTTGAGAGCTAGTTCAACTTAGTTTTTGTGATTTATTTAGAGTATTATACACATACCTTTAAATATATACGGTTCCAATTTTTGAAAATGTTGAGCAAAGAAGAGGTACAAGAGCAAAGAATAGGTACAAGTGTAAAGAATAGGTGCAAGTAGTTGTTGTTTAGTGCGAAGAGGACTGGTGTTGGGTTCGATACCCTTTACTCAGCTAACGGAAGCTTGATATATATATACTCTGCCAAGCTGTCATGTCACAATCACAAGGTATATTCCGCAGTTCTTCCAGTCGCTAGTTAGAGTTCCTGCTAATGTTCTCCTAAGCCCTTACGGCCCTAGCTGTCACACCATTAGCCCATCTCAAGTTCCTGCTAATGTTCTCTTAAGCCCTCGAACCCCTCGCCGTTGGACTGTTATCCCATCTCGAGCTCCTGCTAATGTTCTCCTATAGCTCGCCTCCTACTTCCACAGGTAACTGTCTCAAGCTGTAACCTGGAATTAACGATGGGAGTAAGGGATCTTGTTGTTGAGGCAAGTGGATAGTCCGGATGGACTTGTTGCTTGTTGGAAACCCACCTTTGTAACCTTCAGTTATATAGCTTAGTTGTCAGCGTTATAGATAGCCGAATGAACCCCTCTAAGCCCTTACACCCCCAGCTGTCACACCATTAACCCATCTCAAGTTCCTGCTAATGTTCTCCTAGGACGATCCTCCCTGAACATCGGCTCAGCCGACAAGAGGCAGGGGCGAGAGTCGGCAATGAGGGTTTTAGTATACCTGTAAGCTTTTCGGAACCGAGCCTCCAACTCGTGTGAGTATGTTGCTAGTTTACCTTGATGCCCAGACATGGTAGACAGTAAAACATCTCCGTCGGTTGGGTCTCGAAGATCTGGTAGCAAGGGAATTCACTAGACGCCTCTGAAGACGTTATCTGTCGTGACCAAGGGTTAATCAGACCAAACAATATCAACTATTACACACTAGCGTCAGCGTTCTGAGGCACTTAGCAAATGCCGATGTCATGAATAAATGGCCTATTTTCACCAATTACCTTGCTTTTGACGAATAAATCGTGTTTCGTCAATGGGTTGAGGTTTTATCAAATCCTATTCACCTACCAATAAAATAATTTTAAGGCTGTAGATCCTGTTTTAGGAGGCTAAGGAGACGTTTCATATCATATGGCTTTGTGTAATCCTCCCCTCCTGTCAGCTCGCCCCTTATTCCAAGCGATATTTTAGTGTCGGGAGCGCCACTTCCCGAAAACAAGCTTTGGCTCCAGGACGGGAGGCGTAACCATATAATTGCAGAGATATATATAATTGCAGAGATATATATAATTGTAAAGATATATATAATTGTAAAGATATATATAATTGCGGAGATATATATAATTGTAAAGATATATATAATTGTAAAAATATATATAATTGCAAAGGTATGATTACGCCCCCGTCTCGGCGCCGAAGCTTGTTTTTGTGTTGAACTACTGCTCGGTGCCAAAGCATGTCTCGGCGTCGAAAACCCGTCTTGTATGTCCAAAAAGTAGGGGCGACATTCACATGAGTGGTGGAACGCTTAAGGTATTCAAAACTTATTGTTGAGGCACTGCTTGGCGCTAAAGCTTGTCTCGACCTCGAAACCCCAGTTGGTTGTTCGACAGGTGTAAATCCTAAAGTTGAGGGGCGCCCACCTTGTGCTAATTTTGATCTCCGCCGTAAGCGACCCGTTGACGTTCCTCCATATACTGGCTTTGAACTTTAGTATAAATTCTCGCGCAAAGTTTTGTATTTTCCTCTGGTGGGCAAAGTTTGCTTCATTTTGCAAGTCTTGCCAGTCCGAAACTGTTGGGCGCATTGCTAATGGAACAGACCCTACTTAGTCACCGAGCGCATATAGGTGTGCTGATCAAAAAACACCATTATTAACCGGTAGCATATTTGAAATCCTAACCCAAGTTGACCGTTATAGATTGTACTAACAGAAGAATATAGTTAGGTGCGAAGTGGGAAACGTCTCCCAAGACTGTAGTTCGTTTCAGCGCCAAGAACGCCTTGTCTCAAAAAACCCCCCCGTTCTTATCCACTAACACGCGATGAATAAGGAGCACCTACCTCTAGATGAATATTCAACATTCTATAACAATGCGTCGTACGGAATGTATAGTCCATGAACTCTTTCCTGACTTACCTGAGGTGGACGCCGAGTCCTCGGATGCCTTGGTGCCCGCGCTGAGGTCACCATGGCCAAAAGAGAAACATAGTTCCCATAGCGAAACGGCCTATAGGGATCTGCTAAGTAAAGCCGTGGAGGCTTTGCGATGCCTAGTTGCAAATACAACTAAAAAGTTACATGCTGAACAAGGTCCAGATTCGTCCAGAGCCTTCCTCTCTTCAGTCACCGCCTTATCCATGTTGCCGACCGAGGATTTCGCCCGCCTCTGTACTGGCATTTATCGTGCTTCGGCCTCCTACTACCCCGATACCCCTCCTGCCAGCGACGCAGGGTCTCCGTCAGCAGACTCGAGCAAGGAACAGAGGACTACAAGCCCGGTAAAGGGGATACAGATTCGAGAGGAAAAGTTGAGAAATTCATCGCGAATACCAGAGAAGCTCTTATCCAGCTTGTTAACAATCATTGGGAACGACTCGCTAGTGGGGTGCAAGAGCTCCAAGGCGACCCTCGAAGTAGCGACAAGCAGGTGCAGCGAGTTTACTATTATCACGAGCTCCGAAGGCTCGGACTGGAAACAGAGCTGCATTGGTTGCGGCGGGCACTGTCATTGATCAGGAACCTCCGCAACTTCCAGGAATATTTGGAAGAGAACGGCCATGATCTTTTAGACAACTCAAATCATCGACTCCGTTATGCCTACTTGGTATATATATATATGCTGCGGGCTTTAGCTTATCCGCCGCTGCTCATCACTTTGAAGCGCGTCAAGAGATAACGTTGAAATAGGAACATGTTGTTCGCTAGTTGGGGTTAACTCAAGTGTAGCCATCGAATTTTGTAGTTCTCGTGGAAGGAGAGAGACGACAGGTATGAGAGGGGAAAAAACGAAGCGCGGCATGCTGACTAAACGTCTTTGGACAGTAGGAAAGGCCTTATTCAGTACCGATCATCTGTAAGGTTGATCCGGTGAAACTAACGTCTGCAGATGAGTTCAAGAACGATCCGTGTGAAATGAGCATTTGGGGACATATGCTCCCGTTTGCTCAACTCTTTATACAAACGAGTTGTCATTTCAGCCACTGCAGTAGAGAGCTTCGATTTGTTCAGAATCATGTCGGTGACAAGATGAGGCGGTCCACCTATCGCCCTTCTCTTTCTTGACTTTCTGAGGTGTATGAATATGCAGTCGATCGGCGAAATCGACAGAGGCCGTACTACTTTACATTTCTTTTCGTATCGCGCAAGTCAATATCACAGATTGTCCTTCGCAGAGTCTTTCCTCGTGCTTAGCAGTCTCTTTCCTCCAACAAGCTGATTTATATATGCTATCTAAAGCGTGTCACTTTCCACATCCTCTGAGTCCAACTATCCGTTTCTAATTTTCTGCCAATGGCGGGTCTTTCTCGGCTACAGTACTGTGTTTACTGGTCCACAAGCCTATATTTGGAAATCTAAAAAGGTCCGAGAGGTTATTAAGCAGTATAGATAATCGTTCAAACTATTAATCAAGGACTTCGGGTTTGATAAGGTCACCGGTATCGTGAAGACCCTCTTAGATTATCGCGTCTTTGTATCTGAATTAAAGGTAAAGATCGTATTCCTAGAGCTCTTCCAAACCTCACTGGCCCGCGATATTTAATATAACGAGTCGGAAAATAATACTACGTAGTCTATAGTAGAAGTTTTAAAAGAACTAACGTCTGCGAGTAAACGTAGAGGACTAGGTAATAATCATGAGGGTGAAAATATTCCAGAGAGTAAGCTACCCTCGTTACTAAATATTACTACTAGAGAAGTCTTTACTATATAAACTAGTATCAGAATATACTACTAAGATAGTACTGTCTTTGTACCCCTCCTTCCTCTTATATAAGATTCAATATCTTATTCTTATAGTAACTTAGCGTTAGCTTAAAGAGTATAATTTCGAGTTTATAGCTAAATAGTTACTATTGCTATTAAAAGAGTATAAATAGGATTGTACTTAGGCGGTCGAGTTAACAAAGTGGACAAGGACTTTAGCTAAGCGCTACGAGCTGCCTACTTCTACTATAGATAATAGCTCCGAGATATTCCTATAAGAACTCTTCTTTACTACGTATATATAGGTATATATCGACTTCAACAACTATATAAAGGATATATAAGATAATTTAGTCTATGTTATAGCTTATATAGACGCTAGGTGATTGCTCAAGAGCTGCAGAGCTAGAATACCTACACCTCGAGATTGGAAGTCGTATTAGAGATATAGAACTGAACAAAAACTTCTAAGAGAATAGGCTCGATAAACAGCTTTTGGCTATTTCCGAGTAGCGTGTAGAGCGTGATAGGAAAGTAACGGAGGCGATAGCAATAATGCTACAAGTGGAGTAGAGAACAAGCTGCTTGTAGGATTATTCCTAGAAGATGTGTGGTCAAGGCTACCTTTGGACAGCCTGATGAGATTGGACCCGTGGAATCGACAATCATAGTCAATAGTGTACACGAGAGCGACAAGAACGATGGAGTCGAACACAAGCACGTGGTGGAGCTTGGAACATAGGTATCACACTAGTATGGTATTAGTTATTTATCTTTCAATACTTGATCGCAGAGAGTAATACGAAGCGGAGGCAGATTGTCTTCGTAAAAGTAAATAAGAGGAATAATCGCTTATTATTAAAGGGGTTTATAAATAGGTGTATAAATTCCGATTTGAGACTGCTACATCTCTGTTAGTTATGTCCGTTCAGATCAATAAAACCAGGGGTGGTGACTTACGATTTTGCTCTTTAGACGGTGGCCAAGACTCGAGATCGAGAGAATTGCAAGTGAAATAAACAACCACTCTTACAGGTACGGATACTGAGTGCTACGTCTGCCTCGTAGAACTCTACTAGCTTGTGAGCCTTGTCAATTAGAGTCAACTTCCTTCCGCTCAACTTGAACCTTTCGCTTCTTCGTTTAGGAGGAGGGTCTTTTAGTACACGTCCCAACGGCTTGGTAATATATTGTAAAAACGTGGCTTTCAGCAATGTCGGACATCCACTCCCTAGGATATAATAGAATTTGCGGCTGTATCTGAGCTCTGAAAAGCGTATTTCTGAGTGATGATTTTGCCGTAGATGATGCATTCGTGCTCCTGCTAGGTGAGGTTTTTGGTCTGGTTGGTCTACGCTGAGTTGGATTGTAATACCTAGCCAAGTAGGGTTTCTAGTCCACGGGACAGTGGGTTAATAAATCAATCAATATAAGGCTTCTTTGTTAGGCACGGTCATCAACTACTCAGTCATCACTTCTCATCATCAAAATGCACCCATTCATATTTGGAATTCATTTCATTTTTCACTCCACTACTCCTTCCTACTTCGCTACGTCCCTAGAATTTCCACATCTCCATCTCCATCTCTTGTATCCAGTCAGCCCCCCCCTCCCCCCTCAATCAATCCTATCCACCATCATCCACTGATACTGTCTGTACACAAAATCAAAAGAAGGACCCAAACACCCCACCCCCCCCCCCCAAACTCTATATAGAAAGCCAGTCAAAAAGCCCAGCAGCAAAACATCAAAAAACACCCAAACCGAGTATACGCCGGTTCCATGCATGCCTGTGTGCGCCGATGCATGAATTAAGATAAGAAGACTCGTAGCATCCGAGTATTCGCTGATTATTAATTTTTGGTCCCAAAGGGGGGCAGTGGGAGTGCCGTGTGTTGGGGTGCGTGGTATTAAATAATTAAGGTGTGGCCGTCTTTTGTGGGTGCGGTGGACCATGAGGAGGATGAAGGCGAATGGAGTTTTCGTTTCTAGATCCTTGGGGTTTTGTGGTTGAAGTGGCTGTGGTTTTTGTATGATACCGATACGGCCGCGGCGGAAATAGTGAGGAAGAACATAGACCCTGCTGGAAAACCTCATATTTCTTGTAGAGGCATCATGAGCGGACTCTTCGCCCTAGTCGGCGAACCCGCGCGGCTTCTCCTCCCAGCACCTAGCATTTGTAGACTAGGAGCCAGTCTCTCCCTACTTTCCGTGCGGACAACCAATCCACTTCGATCCATAGCGTTATGCAGGGTCCCATTGGCATGTGTAAGACCTAGGCCAATGCCTTGGCCTCCAGCCGAGGAATCGAAGAAGTCACTCGATGTTCCGGAGTCATACTTCACAACGCTCATCCTCGGTGTTGCGAGTCCAGAAGCATGGCCGCGATAGGAACCCTCACTGCTATCCGAATGCTCAGTATCTTCCAGATCCGTATCTCCAAGTTCAAATTCATGCGCCGCTCCGCCATCCTCAAGGACCCGCTCATAGTTCCCTGAGCTGCGTCCCCCAAAGAGCTTGCCTGAGCTGAAGAAACCTCTTCCTTTTCGGGGGCTGCCAGGTCGACGGTTACGGCGTAATGTGTGGCTAACGCCACGGTAGAAGCGCATTCTCCTTTCCCTTTTGCGGAAAAAGTATCCGATGACGATGAGAATTACCATAACGAAGAAGAAACTTGACGTGAAGCTAGAATGGGCTTTCTCAGCTAGATCCTCGGCGGTATCTTTCCAGCTATCCTCATCGTCCATGGGGACCGGATTTGAATTCGACCCTGCTTGTTGGAAGTCGCTCGCTATTCCTGGAACATTGCTTCCAAATCCAACTGGCCCGGCTTTATCGCTCGAAGGTGGAATCTGTCCGGAGGCATATAAGACCATCTTCCCCAATGTCCAACTAACCTCCATCCCGTCAATCTTGTTAACTGCTTGGAAAGGATCTAAAAACGCTCGGTCATTCCCATGTGCTAACATTTCCTTGGTGCGGTTATATCCAGGTGTATTCGGGCTCTTCTCTATCCCGACACGGGGAATTCCAATCCCATCATGGAGAACGTTGATCAGCCATGATGCCTTGAAGCATACTTCTTGTGCGGTCTTCTCGCCGACCTTCTTCCCCCATTTCTGCTCCGCAACCTCACTCTTGATATCGTCCCATTCCTCAGCGCAGAAATCCTTGACTAGTTTCTGGTATGCCAGGAAATTGTACGCCTTATCCTTGTGCGCCATCTCGAACACCTCGTGTGTTGTATGCCAGTACTCGGAAACGCCGACAAAGTGATTGACGTCGAAATCAATCGCGGGTACATGCTGCCCATGAAGTAAACAAGGTTGATCGGCACATGGTGCATCTTTGTCGAGTAAAGGATATGTTTGTTTAACGCATTCATCGAAGCGGCCCGTGCCAACTAAAATAGGTCCTTTGATAGACGAGGCTGCCTGGACTGGGTCGCCTTTCAACGTAGTTTGTAACCCGGAGGGTAAACATGGATCGAGTAACTCGTGCGTATCTTTGGTGTATGTAGCATCAATGAGCGCTTCGATATATCGTTCTCTCGCTTGGTTAACTCCAAACCCGAGCCAGGTGGTGCTGAACACTTTATATTCCTTCGACTTCCCATCCAATGTCCGCATCCGGAGTAATTTGAGATCATTCGCATGTTTTTCCGCCTCAGTCGCGTTGGGCGCGAAAGCAATCTGCGCTGAAGCTCCGCCCATATCCAAGAATCCATATGTGTGATGTCCTTTCCCGTGCTTATGCTTCTCGGGCGAATCGAAGCCTCCCAGTAAATAGTTTGCGGCTATCCATCCATACAACCCTTCAGTCTCCCCCGGGATGACTTGAATATGGAGATCGCAATCGGGCAATGAGAATTCGGTATGGGCGCGGGCGTAGACACAAACAGAGCTTAGGAGAGCCTTCTGCTTCATGGGTTCCAGCAATCGCACGCCCGCCGTCGCCATCAAGAATATCGGGGTGTCCTTGACCTGATCCGCGGGGACAATTGATAATGCATGATCAAGGAGTTGCTGGAGATGGTCTGGGCCTACGTCGGCCGGGTGTTCACCGAACGTCGAGACGCCGGGTTTGATCTTCTTGGTATAATGCTTCTTTGTCTCCAGCGTGGGCAAGCTGGTTAAACCGCCGGGTTTGGCATCGGTTCGTGCTTTGGCGCTGTTGAGCCATCTGTAGACGTGGACTCGAGTCCCTGACGAGCCAGCGTCCAGGATCACGCCCCATCGCCCTGATGAAAGAATCCGGGTTAGCCACGATGCAACAACGCGACGCGATGGTCCGTAGGGGATAGAGTTTTCGAGGCAGCATACATTTACCCATTAGTATGGTAGTTGGACGTCACAGCGAGCGGTGGCCCTAACGAAGGTTCGAATGGAAGATGCGCAATCGATGGCAGGTTGTGGGTGCAGGTGGCACAAGAAGATTACGAAGGCATCGGCAGGGAAATTCTTCGAGGAGGAATTGACGTAGTACGTAGTATGGGAGTTGGGGGGGATGCAAAACGAGCGTGGTGGGCCCCTAGTGGCCTTAGGAGGGAACTGGTGGTCGAGGGATGATGATACTGTGGGCTGAGCTGATCTGAGGTGATTGATGATAACGAATGTGTTTGTGGTAAATGGTTGTAGTGGTGAGAGTGGTGGGTGGTGGGTGGTGGCGTGGAGATGAAGCTACTCTACCCGGCGTGTGTGTACTGTACGTACTACGAAGAGACGACGTTGTGCTGGGCTCGTCCAACCTGTCGTATCGCCTCCTCCCTATTACTTTTCCTTTTATTCTTATTACGCAGCCCTCTGTTTCAATCCGTGCGAGGCCTACATGTACATGTACGACGGCGGCCGGGGCAGACTTGGCGAGATAACACCACCGGCGCCCCGGCTGACGCAAACTCTAATGGTTCACTTGTTATTATTAGTCGATACGAGATATGTACTAGAATGCAATCAATGAACGGTTCAACTACTTGACATCATTGTAACCATCGAGTATCAATCAATTAATTAATTAACAGTAGGCACCTAGCTAAGGGACATGCACCTACTGGCAACCTAATCCTCCCCTACAAATAGCCATACAATATATCCATCCATCGGCGCCGTCCCTTATCTGCAGCCCCTGAAGCCCCTGAAGCTTCTTTTCCAGCCGGCTGGAAGAAGCTAGAAGCCTCGAACTCAGAACGTCTTATCTTATTATTATTATTATTACTTGGCTGCACCCAAACAGCACTACTGTGCCAAACCACACTAGAACAAAACCAACGAATTATTCTACTGCGCGCGGAGATCAATCCGAGACATTACATTCGTCAGCCCTAGCAGCCACCGAATCACGACAGCATCACGGTTAACATGTTGGCTGTTCGCGTTCGAATGGCGTTCTCTGCGACCAAGTACTCGTGGTCTCTCGTACGGCTGGCGCTGATCTGACCTCTGAGCTGAGGGGCTGGCAGCGGCCGGGCTGGTTTGATCCTCCCGCCGCCTTCCGTCGCCAGCAACGCAGCAACAGCAGCAATCCGATCCGCATAATGGTTGCGATCGTCGTCCGGGGCTGGATAGGGCTGGGAAAGGCAGGATTTCATGCCGTCGGTGGGCTGTACTCGGGAGGTGTTCTCGCTGGAATGTGTTATTTTTGGAGTGGCCAAATATCATCGACGAAGTACCGAGTAAGATCTACTGTAGAAACTATAACAGGGCGCGTTGCCGGGAACAGTTCTCCGTACGTATGTAGGTGTACGAAACCACCAATACGATCGGGGTTATCTGCTGGATACCACACGATACGATACGATGCGATACGACACGATACCATACGATACGATGACAGATCTTCTGACTCCTCGTGTTATGTGTGATACCCGTGCCAAGATATAACACGAGATATAGATACCAAGATATAGGGCATTGGAGATCTGGCGGGGTGTCGTAGTTACGGATGTACGAAGTACCGTACTTGTGCCTTGGGTCGGATTAGTGTGCTCTTTCCGAGTCTTCCCACCAGATACAGTACTTTCTGTGACTTCGGAGCTGGTATTTTCAAACTGGTACAGAGGTTGTATCGGTTGGCTCTCGCAAGCCACCTAACTACACAACCTGGCAACCGCCATATCATTCCAACGCTGGTCAAACGTCCTATCTCCACCTATTTGATCCTGCTTATTTTCAAGTCCATATTCCATGACCCGAACTGGTTTTCCTTCTTTATTCGCTCTGCTTAACATTATTAGGAGATTGGACTGAGGACTGAGACGGAAAAGTACCCACCTGAGTTCCACTATCTCCCCAGACTTAAAACATCCCCAATATCCCCTCTACCTCCCCCCCACCGCCACATTAACACAACCCATTAATTATACATAACTCAAAATCAATCCCCGTTCCCCCACACCTCTCAATCCTGACTATCCCTCTCCAAAAACCCCGGATCAGCCCTCACCTTCCCCTCAAACTTCCGCCACCAATCCTCAAACGCCTTCAGAGGCACTACCTCCACGCCATTCGCCACATTCCCACTGAAACTCGCCAGGAAATTAAACTCATTCTTGATTATCCTCTGCGCCAGCAGTAACGGATCCAAGTTCTGCTGCTGTTTCGCGGGCACCAACGATTGCGATTGCGAAGCATTGTTGGCTTGCAGGGCAGCCATCTGCGCGGCGACAGAAGCTGCGGGCTCGATGGAGATGCCGATTGTGAGGGAGCTTCCGAAGGAGGAGAGTGGTTCCGGGTAGCCGGAGTCCATGTCTACCTCCCTGTTTGGAGCGGCGGTGCTTGCTGGCGAGGCGGAGAGGCCGGTGATTTTGAAAATCGCGCTTTCTTTGCCGGGCCCTATGCCTCCCAGGAATTTGAAGTTTGGTTGTAGGGGCTCTGGGGAGGGGGATGTCGGGAGAGAGATGTAGACTGCTGCTGCGGTTTCGGGAGGGAGGTCGGTGCCTATACATTGTCTGCTGTTAGCATTCATTGCTTCTTGCGCCAATTCTTGGAAATCGACGGGTTTGAAAGTGAGAGAGTCGTTTGGCACTCACCTGGTAGCAGGAATGCCACTATATGCGAGAATAGATGGGCAGGATCCAGCGGTATCGTGTACAGAAACGATGTCTGGGAGGGCGCGCTGGTGGGGGCGAGGATTGCGGGATGGCCGGTGGGAATGAGGCCGAAGAGTTGGGGGATTTGCTGTGCCATTGAGGGTCTTGTATGAATAAAAGTTCTTTAACGTAGGGATATATATAGATGTAGAAGAAAAAGATAGGCGGACAGACGTATTTGGTTAATACAGAAGAGGTTGTTGCGCGAATAAGTAGGAGTTTGTGGTTCGATGAGTGCAATGCACGCATCGATTTTAGGTGGGGTCAAGTCTGACTGGCGGGGTTTGCTTGCGGTGCCAAAGACGTCAGGCCAAGAGATGGAGGCGGAAGACTTCTACTTGTCTACATACGTACTTGTGTAACAGCAAGCATTTTTATATTACTTTCCATACAAACTGCAAAGCTGCAGGTTAGAGGTACAAAGTCCTCTGCGGTACTTCAACATGAAGTCCAATCTAGAACTCGTTGCCGAGTGCGATTCGTAAGTCGATATCCCACTATTCGAAATCCCTATAAACTGTATACAACAAGACTTGGTAAGGTCTTTCTCAGTCTCTCTGCCAGTAACGTAGTTTTGCTACGCCCATTCCATACCTGCCTCCTTCCTTGACTACTTGACTCCTAACTAACCTCTCCTCAGAACCCCCTATCCCAACACCCCCGCCTTCACAGAGCTCTTCTCAGATATCTACACCCTCCTCCATGTGTACCCCACTTCCCCAGCACCAGCTATAATCCCCATCGGCTACATCCTCCCCAGCGTCTTCACAGCCCTCGCCAAAGTCCCCGCCTCCATAAAAGGCGAGCTGGAAGTCTCACGCAGCGATCGCACAATAACCGCATTCCAACAGCCCACCGAGGCAGAGCGCTCCGCGGCCGTAGCAGCAACATGCGGCTACTGGCGCGCTCAAAAGACCTTCGCGGTACTCTCCGGCTGGCGGGATGAGCTATACCCCGTGTATGGCCCTGACAACGAGTTGCTATTCAACGTGGAACGTAGCGCGAGTCCGCTATTTGGCGTCGTCTCATACGGTACACATATGAACTGTTATGTGCGGATAGGTGCCGAGGAGCAGGCCAAGGAGGGAAGTAAATATGACATGAAGATGTGGATTCCGCGGCGGAGCAGGCAGAAGCAGACGTTTGGCGGCATGTTGGATAATGGTGTTGCGGGCGGTATCGCTTCGGGAGAAAGCCCCCTCGAAAGCTTGATCAGGGAGGCGGATGAGGAGGCTTCCTTGCCGGAGAAGGTCGTGTCGGACAACGTGAAGGCTGTAGGTACTGTAACGTATAGTTATCTGAGGGAGGCGCGAGCTGGGGGCGAGACTGGGTTGGTGCAACCCGAGTGTCAGTACGTGTACGACCTTGAGCTACCTGTATCGGTGATACCGCAGCCGCAAGATGGCGAGGTGGAGGAATTCTATCTGTGGACCATCGAAGAGGTGCAGAAACATTTGGCGCTGGGGGAGTTCAAGCCGAACTGTGCGCTGGTGGTTGTGGATTTCTTTATGAGACATGGTGTTTTGACGAAGGAGAATGAGAAGGATTATGATGAGATATGGAGGAGGTGCCATAGGGAATTGGAGTTCCCTGGCCCGCATAGAAAGGTTGATAATTTGGAAACCAAGGCTTAGGTGGGGAATTTGGGAGATGTAGATTTAGAATGGAAGAAAGCAGATGAAAATAAGGGCATCTGGGCATAAAGAAAGGCCAATACTATATAACATTGCTGAACTATGTGCCGTAAACCTATGGTATTGATGATTTGGCGATAACCTGGTACGGCTTAAATGAAGCAGACACTCACATTCAAACACAGCAATAAGAACAAGCACAAACTTTGTTTTTGGTCCGCTGCTTTAATTGCTTCTACCATCCACAAAATAGTTAACAATCTCGACCAAGAGAACCAGCCGTGCTTCAAGGCACCTAGAACTCCACGAATCACAGAAGAAAAAGCAGAGCCGCCGGTAGATGTATCACACTGAATCGAGAGACAATTATCTCCATCCAGCAATGTCGTAATCCCCCACTTTCCGCTTTTGATAACCGTAACGCCAGTGTCCTGGTTAAATCCAACCAATGCTATGCTACGCATGTCTCAGGTGGCCAAATCATGATCGTACGCCCCCTTTTCTATCATTCATTCCGAGTTTTTCATATCCGCCTAATCTACTTTTTCAAAAGGAGATAGACGTAGTCAACCCTCAGCGGTGTGAGTTTCTTATATGGGCCCTCAAGCGCTAGCAATAGGCCGCCGAAGGAAATATATGCCTTACTGTTTTCCAGATAGTCAGCACAAACCCCCCTCCACAGCGCATATGATCCACAGAAAGTAACGAATGAGGTACATATCGTGGCAGGAAGGGAAAACTTACATGGACTGCCCATCCTCCGTATCCTCAAACTTATAGATCTTCCCATGGCACACATAGTCAAACATATCCGCCATCGTTGCTTCTTCGCTCCGTCCAACATCTCTCCACCCGCGATCCTCTTTTGTTCCATCTAGAGAGAGACTCGTTGCTATGACCATGCGGAAGTTCTCGCCGATTTGGCAAGGGTAGAGCAGTGAGTTGATGTCGAGAGTCATGACGGTGCTCGAGTCGGCATTCGTGCCGCCAATACGGCAGACACGGTCATATTTGGACGCATCGAGCGTGGTAATGGTGAAGTTCTCGTCGAAGAGTTGCGTATCGGTAGACATGGTGAGGGTGATATGGAGGTGGGGAATAGAGGGGGGAGATAGGAATTACGTGCTGCGTTCTTTGTCGCAGTTTGGAGATTGGAGGGTAGATCGAGGGAAGACGGCAAGTATCGTCGGTCTCTTGAAGTATATATTGAGTTGGAATTGGAGGACTTATAGTCAGGACGGGTCGTGTGTGTATGCGACAAGGATATCGAGAGCTTCAAACTGGATGTCGCGAGTCTCTGGCAACTAAATTTTTGAGGTTCGGTCGGCGCGAGGCTGAGATAGACGCTGGTTGGCTCTACGGCCTTGGTCCGTGCACCGGGCTCTCAAAAAATCGCAACGGCTTCGTTCCCTTCAATACAACACAATGACATACCTATTAAACATTTTTATGGTTACTAGGTATAGAATTCGCTGAGATGTCTTTCCGCAAACGGGGTGTTGTAGTGCCCCAATCTGGGTCTACCAATTCCAGCTCCCCTCCTCCAGGATCAGCCAACAAGCCGACTCAGACACAAGCCCCTCCAGGAACCCGGCCCTCCCCTCTCGACGGCCGTCTTACGACTTCTACCGGCACCCGCTCTCTTGATTCTCTTCTTGCAGGCCATTCGGGCCTTGCTCTTGGTAATTCTCTGCTAATAGAAGAGAGCGGAACAACGGATTTTGGCGGCACGCTGTTAAAGTATTATGTGGCAGAAGGCGTGGTCCAGAAACATGTTGTTCATGTGTTAGGCGTACCAGAGGGGTGGGGTAGGGAATTACCTGGGCTAGGGTTAGACGACGACGATGGCAGAAGGAAGAAGAAGGCAGCAGATGAGGATAAGATGAAGATTGCCTGGCGGTATGAGAGGTTAGGAGAGTTTGGGGCTGGTGTGGGAGGAGCGAGAGGTGCGTGGTCCTCCTTCGATATCTGTGTATATAATAACGTAGTTGATATGCAAATATATGATTATGTGCTGATACAACCCATTTCGACGAACAGATAGAAACGTCCCACAAGTGACGTCCGCTACAACCTCTGCGCCGGTCTTCTGCCATGATTTCGACCTCAGCAAACGATTAATACTGCCTTCCCCTTCGAATATGCACTTCGTCACCCTATCAGTACAGCCGAATCTAAGCTTCAAAGACCCGGATACCTCAGTCTCCCCCTTCACAAAGTTCATTCAACACCTTGCCGCACAATTATCCAACACTCCGCCCACGACCATCCATCGAGTCGCAATACCAAGTCTTCTCTCCCCGGCACTCTACCCCTCATATGCATCGAACCCCTCGCACATCCTCCAATTTCTCCACGGACTTAGAGCGCTCCTCCGCAAATACCCCACTCAACTAACAACGCTCATAACCATCCCTCTAAGCCTACACCCACGAACGACCGGCCTCACGCGGTGGATCGAGCTTCTTAGCGACGGTGTCCTGGAACTTGCACCGTTTCCAGCCTCGGCTGTTGTTATAAAACCCTCAGGCGCAGCAACGGAGCATGAAGAACCACCGCAGGGGATGCTGAAAATACACAGGTTGCCCATTTTCCATGAGAAGGGCGGCGGGGGCGGAGAAAACAGTGGTTCGGGGGATGATATGGCGTTTAACCTGAGTAGGAGGAAGGGTATGGTGATTAAGCCGTATAGTTTACCACCTGTGGAGGCGGATGGGGAGGCCCAGCAAGGAGGCTTGGAGGGTGATGATGGGAAGAAGGCAACGAAGGTTGATCTCGAATTCTGAGTTCCCAGCTCATTTTGGAAGTATTTTGGCCATAATGTTCTCCCTGTTACGAGAAACAGGGGGTTATGGTTGGTGAAGAAGTGAAAGACTGATAATAACTATGATTGCGGAACTGCATAGCAAGGCGTCATGGGCCACATTATCTGGTACGGGAATCCATAGAGCTCCGAGGGCTATCGCCGAGCATATCTTCCATCTCGATCTGATTCCAGGTGCCTTGGCCGTTTGATGTGACTGTCCTCATGTAGTTACGATCAAACAATGCCCGCCGGGGATTTATGCTTATGTTGGACAAATGTAGCCGGGCATTATCTCCTAGGCAGGATGAGAGGATGAGCCATGCTAGGAGTCTGTTAGCATAACAAACGAAACTGGGAATGAGAAAGCATAGTTCACATACCGATGAACAGGACCAACGGGACACATATTAGGAGTGCGAGGAGTATGAGAGAAGCCATAGGATTTAGAAATAGAACGCTTTCTCAAGCTCAACACATATATTTCCAAATTAACTGGCGAGTTTCAACTGATCGACTTGATCGAAGATGAGCCGCGCTAGAGATGGAAGGTTGTTAAGACGCTCTTTTAATCCCACCACAGGTGTTTGATTTTTTATTCAAAATGGACCTAGGGATACATTCATTTCAATCAAATATTTCCGTGGCCTCTGATGAGTTTATAGAAAGTCCAAAATTGCGAAGTGAAAGTTAGGGGAGGTTTGAGGAAACCAGAAACGGAAAGGCGTCAACGTGAGGTGGAAGCTCCGTAAGCTCCAGACGCTAGCGAAGCGAAGGTCCAGAAAAACAAAACGTTGAAAAATATTCCTTCCTTCCACTCCCTCCAACTAAAGACTCAATCTTTCCAACATTATTTTGTGCGCATTGGATCTGTAAGTTGCTATCCTCCTTTGATGTTTCCCTTCTTCGATATGATTACAAAACCGATCTGTCAATCCCCTGACAACCAGATTTTATCTGGGTATGATGTCCAAAATATGTTTTAATTCATGATCCATCGTCCTCCAACACCTCAGTTATTACTTGATCCTCAGCTTTAGCTCTGTACTAACGCTGTGGTCGCATTAGGACACATTCCGAGGACTCTTCCTTCCTAGATGCTACCATGGCACTGTTGTCTGACCCCGTATCGGAGCCTGTCCCAATATCACTGATCTCGGGTCGATATTTGCTATTCGACATTGACGTCGTTACTTACCTTCGCAGAACTCATCACATCTGCGGATCCTTCATTGGTGGTATTCCACAGGCTCCGCAGCAGAATGTATTTCTTGGGCTTCCCATTCAGCTCACGCCAGAGGAAGTAAAGGTTCTTATTGAGAACGAGGTTGCATATATCATTGATGACTCATCATGGCACAAGGAGCGGTTCAGCACTTTACAGGGCGCCGACAGAAAGAAGTACTTGGAGTCCTTGAGGGCTGAAGGTCTGAAGGCAAGCAGATTGGCAGATGCCACTGCCCGAAAAAGATCGGAGAATGCCCTAGCCAAGCAAGCAGTCCTGAAAGCAAGCAAAGAGGCCGCCGTTGCAGCTACCAAAGACCCGAGCGAAGTCGACTCAACTGTTGAACCAGACCCTGATGTCACTGCCACAATCTCCGATAATACTCTGAGGCTGCGGGATGATGGCGAAGAGGAAATAATTTTCTCCAGTGAAGAAATTCCTTCATCTCCAGAACCCTCCAAAGCCTCGGGGACTTCCAAGCCTTACGCCATCACGCCCACTACCTCTTACCCCCCCTCATCTCTACCACAAAACCCTTCCCAGCAGCCAGATCCCATAGTTCCAATCTCTTATCCTCTCTTCGCCCATCTCCACGCTCACAACTACTACATAATGCCTGGTCTAAGATTTGGCTGCGACTACAACGTCTACCCTGGTGATCCATTGCGTTTCCACAGTCATTTTCTTGCTACCGGCTATGAATGGAATCAGGATATCTCTATGCTTGACTTGATAGGCGGTGGAAGACTGGGAACAGCGGTCAAGAAGGGATTTATGATTGGTGCAGAGGATAAAGAATCAGAGGCCGAGGGGGATAATGTCCGGACTTTCACCATCGAGTGGGCTGGCATGTAGTTATTCCATAGGTGGTTAATTGATAAAATAAATCCAACAAAGTTAATAAAGTTTGCCGGAGCATCATAGATATTGCTTATAATCAAGTACTTGAAGTGATATCATAACAGTTGTAATACAAGCTGTTACCCTGATTCAACTCCAACAACGGACTTATTCCTTGAGGCGGTGGCAGATGACCTTATACCTCAATTACTCACTGTATTTAGCATAACTCCAGCGAGCATTTCCATTTATCAGGATACAGCGTTCTTCTACTATTTCACAACCATTTTGGAAGTGCTGAAGGGTTTCTGGTGAGGTGGGACCGGAACTCTTTAATTAGTCACGTCTCGATCTAAAACAAGTTCAGCCTCGCTACGTAAGGTGGCACCGAACGCCAGCCTCAGTGGCCGCGGCCCGCCCAAACCGGATGTGGGGAACAGGGACCACGGCGTATTACAGCATTCAAGACTTACTTCAAATTATATCAACGACCTTTCTTCTGCTTGACAGAAATGACCAACTTCTGTTTCTAAGGGATGGTGCCCTATGAAGGCCATTAGTCCTTCGTGCCTTTATCGATGAATCTCACGAAATCGGGCATTTTGACCTCATCCAATCTCGAGCGATTCCCGACCAACGCCGGCAACCATGGACGCATTCCATCAGACACCTAGGTTCGACCTTGGATCTTGGGCTGCCAACTGGACTGCCTTCAATGCTACGCAGTATGTCCCGTCCGCCCGAGATCTCGCGCTCGCGGGGCCGAGAATGGTCATGAAACTTGGGTCCTTCCTCGCGCTTCCCGAAGCTGTCGACAATATATTTGGAGCACAGATGGGGGAGAGAATTATACCGGAAGCCACCAGAGGAGGAGCTGGAGCTGGAATAGTGGAAGCGGTAACAACGGCGGCGGTTTCTGCCCGGGAGGTGGCCCAGTCGGCAACTGAGATACTGGTCGACGTCGATGATCAAACGGCAGGTCTTGCCTCGAGGTTCTCGCTGGAGGGCGCGCGAAGCCTAGGCAATATCTTCGGATATGTAACGAGCAAGTGGGCAATTCTATGCTTCGTCATGGCCATTGTCCTGAACCGGACTCAAATCTATGCTTCAACAAGACGGAACCTTGTACTTCCCTGGAAGGTACGGCTCGCTGTGCGTATGATGCCGATCGTCCTGCTTCTGGTACAATGCCAAACCCTACTCCAATCGATCCAATGTCAGACATCGCCAGATTTTGCTTTGCTTCGCTGGGGAAATGCTTCGAAGTCCTCGGAATTGATGTTCACGCAGGATGGAGGACTGTTACATACGATGAGCTCGACGCTACTATTTGGAGCAACGGACGAGGAATCATGCTTAGCTGTCAACATGATCCCCCCCCAATATGACGCGGAATCAAGCAATCTCAAGTCAGGACAGCCTCGTCTGGTGTTAACGGGATCCCTATCTCGTCTGTGGCCATTGTTCAAGATCTTCAGCTTCAGTCAGATTGTCGAGAGCATCTCTTGTGCAGTCCAAGGCCGCCAAACAGCCGCAGAAACAGGAATGACTATTTTCGAACATTCCCTGGCATTTGCCGAAGCTGAAGCAGCAGTCGGTAACCAGCTGGGATTTGGTTCGTTTGGAGGATCAAAAACCGTCACAGCTTGGACAAACTCCACAACTGAAGAAGCACAAAAAATTGCAATAACACGTACAATGATCATGGAGCGTGTCAACACGCCACCGGAAGTGCTCCTTGTTGCATTTTTCTCGAGTATGAACCACCTTACAAATCATATCTTTGCGATCTTCAATATCCAGGGACGGATGCGGCTCCTTAACACCGGTTTCTGGGGGTTGGCATTCATGTCTGCTATTTCATGGGGTATGTGGACGTTTTCTATGGATGATTATCCCAGCCAAAGATTGCTCAGGTTTCCAACCGTCTGCATCGTAGGCTTCATACCCCACGTCTTAGTGCTCTTTGGTATCACTGTCTGCCTGACGATATATGGTGCTGCTCTGATACTGTCCGCATTAGCCCCGCCTGCTAATGGCGATGGAATTGCTGCTGAGAATGGTATCGACGATGCACCACAGACTGGATCAACCTTTCTTCGCAGACTGAGAAATGCACACCAGAACATGCAGGCGAACGTTCCGTTCTCCAATATCCGCATTTCAATGCATATGGACTTTTACACTGCACTGCTGAGAGCTGGATTCAGCGTCATGACTATGGCTAGCGAGGCTGTTTATTTGAACGAGAGCCGGGGAGTTGCTATAAAGGAGCGAACTTGGTTGGAGGAAGAACGGTTACAAGAAATTGAGGCCCTTGGTGCTCAATGGCTGGGGCCTAGTTTCGCACTTCGCGATCACGAGTCGTTGGGTGACGGGTTGTCTCATGGTGTTGGACTCGTGGCAGCTACGGACCAGCCAATGAATTTGTTACGGAAGTCGTCCAGTGGTTATGCAAGAGAGATGACTACGAAGAAAAAGACTGGCACCAAGGGACACGATCGGGTGATTCGAGATGGAGTCGGAGCTACGGAGCGAAGTGGAAGATGGATAATGGCGTTGGAGTTTTTCTGGGGCATCAACAGATTAGTACTCAGCTGGTGGGCATCTGCTGCGCTAAAATTTCTTGCAAAGGCAGGATTCCAGACCAGGCCAACCATTCTGGTGTGGCTTGCACGGAGATCTAAACCGAATTCTTCTGAGAAGGCAAAACGAGATAGCAACGACCCCGACTCATTAAACTTCTGGCTACTCAGTATCGACGGGGAATTGACTTTGCCGAAGGATGAGAACGTTGATGTTGAAGAAGAAATGAGAAACCGGATTCGGAACAGCCAAGGCTCGTCGGCTTTGACAGGTGCTCAAGAGACCAAGCTGGAATCAACTCTATATACCTGGTGGCTCAGCGGCGGGTGGTGGGGCGGCGATGATAGCAGTGGTGATTTCGTTCCCAGTGAGAATGAGATCGATGACGATACTACTAGCGTTGTCTCCTTTTCAACAACAGGAGATGATCAGGAATGGGAGTCGGATAATGATGGCCAAAGAACACCCACTCAAAGATCTCCGCAAGTGTCTCGGGAGTCAACCCCTTTTAACGACACCCCTCTCAATACTGCCGACCTGGCGCAACTCTTGCACCCCAAGACGCCTGAACATCGAGCTGAGGCTCAAGCTCTAGCTGTCCACCTCTCAAGTCCCAATATCGTTACCCGCTCTCGTTACCGAGCCATCGCCCAACGCGAACGCGCCAAAGTCCTGACATCCACCCTCCACCGCCCAGCAGACTTTTCTGCCTCCTCCACATCGGGGAAGCTCACTCCTGAAGAAGAAACAGAACTCCTTGAACACCTCATCATCACGAGTCGCGGCCTCAAAGCCTCCACATCTTCACAATCGCACCCTGCAGCCTGGGCTAAAGGTGCTTCTGGCATGGGCGAAGGTGGGCCTCAATGTGTGGTCTGCCAGAGTAGCCCGAGAAGCATTATTGTCTGGCCTTGCAGGTGTTTGAGTTTGTGTGATGACTGCAGAGTTACGCTGGCGATGAATAACTTTGATAAGTGTGTTTGTTGCCGGAGAGATGTTGCCAGCTTCAGTCGTATCTTTGTGCCTTGATTTTGGCTGGGAGACCCCGAAGAGTGACGGAGAAAATGCCGGATAGCATGGCTGGCTAGTTCTATTCAAGTATATTTTTCTTTAAGGTTATGGGCAATATGGTAAATGACTAAAGAAGTCAAGTGGAAGATGAGCGAATTGTATGAGGCTTGTATAATACACCACCTATGTAAACAGACTAACAGTGAGCGGCATAGGTGATATGCATTGCATTACATGCAGGGGAATGTGATGCATCATTATTGCGGGTAGAATAGGTCAATACACAATAGAGAGCATATCCAATATTCATCCCTCCGTCTGTCAAGTTGGGCAATCCCGATCCTCAAGTCTAACCTCCACCTCCACCTCTGCCTCTGCCTCTGCCTCCGTCTCTGCCTCCGTCTCCGTCTCCGTCCCCATCTCCATAGTCGCCTCTCCCGTCCCCCTAATCTCGTACACTACTCATTCGGATTCGGTGGCGGCGACATCGGGACGCCCCAAGCACCAGGCGCAAATGGACGACCAAAAGCATTCAAGGAGGTCGATGGGTGTGCAAACCTATAGTTTGGTGATTGGTCCCCCATTCCTCGCAAACCAGGGATTGGGTGAATCAATCTTGTGACGTTCCCTGCGCTGGCTCCTGATTGCGTGGCATGGCCGTGATATGAAGTAGGTGATCCTGGGGTACCTCCACGTATAGGTAGTGTAGCATGGCCCCGATTTCCCCAAACACCTCCCTGAGGTACCTGTGTCCAAGACGGAACTAGTGGATACGGGCTTGCGTATGCTGAATTGTGCTTTAACGCAACTAGTTTAGAAAGCGGCATGTTGGATTCTGAGTCTGATTCTGAGGAGTTCGAGGCTTCTGCATCAGCTTCATCCGCTGTTTCTCGTTCGGTCTCTTTTCTCCTGGCGTCCTCCTTCTTCTTGGTATTGATGTCGTCTGCATCACAATCTTTGCGTTTGCGTTTCCGGATGGGCTTGGTTTCTGTCTCCTCAGCTGCTGGAGAATGGCCATGTGCTCCTGCCACTGTCCCGCTCTCGATTTGTCGGCGGAGACGGGTGTACCGCATCCGGGCTGCCGGTGCTTTGAGAGAAGTTGCGGCGCCGACTGCGTGGAAGTCTATCTATGGGTTGGAAAGTATATCAGTTTGGGATAAAGCCGGAGGAGAGCTTGTTGGAGTGGAAAATATACGTTATGTTCGTGGAAGATGTAAAGGGGTAAAGATGGAAGTGACCTACAAACTTCATATCTGATTTTTGGAGACAGGTATAGAGGAAATAGAGATTCTCATCCAGCTGGATTTTGGAAGGCATGGCTATGACTTCTGGTTTCCTGATGCTTACTGAATTTGTACGATTTGTTGTTTTGTTCTGTTAGTGCAAGTGTGGTGATACTGTTGCAGTTTGTGGTTTGGAGATGTGGTGATAGGTCTTGATTGCAGGAACTCTAGGGAATGAGGAGAAAATATGAAACATAAAATAAAACAACAGAAGATATAGAAGAGATGGAGTTTGTTCCCTTCTTGGAAGTAGGTCAAAGGAGAAAGAAGCATAGGTCTGAAGAGCAAACATGTTGGAGGAAAGTTGTGTTGATGCTTCTGAGTACTTTGTTAGGAGGATACTTGCTTACAGTAAATGGGTGGACAAATTTAGGTGGCCGTTGTCTACAACTTGATGAATGATTGATACTAATATATCGCTGTGCAGCTAATAGAGAAGCCGTCTTAGTGTACAAGAAATCATTTTGAAAGGAGGTGTAATTTTGAGGTCACCAACCACCATTCAGGGGCATTACATTGCGCTGAATTTCGTGAGGTGACACAACTTACTTCCACCAACCTCAAGCGAGGCAACGAGAGGAGAACCTATAGCATGGCGCAGTCTTAGATGGTGCATAAGTGAGGCGAACGGCGGAAATTTGACTTTGAGGGGAGTCAGCCTTACACAAAGCCTTCAAGGGAGAAGAAAGCGTTTCAGGGCCACGGCGGGATGCGACCTCTGCAATATATTATTCCATGATGAGCGACGTCCTCGAGTTAACTGCACACTGACTTTTAGCCGGCCAGGAGGGACAACACTCAAGTACGGAAAATGACCCGTCAAGAGTCCAGTGATAGCCTGCTAAATGCTATCAATATCAACTCTGAGCCAAAGGGAAAACCCCTCTCCGATCAAAGACTATTGCGAGTCAGCAATCCGCAAGCATGGAGAACAGCACTTGTAGATTTACATCAAACGAGGAGGGTTGGTCATTGCACGGGATGTTGTGTTCCCAGAAGATGAAGCGCTTGGCATCCTGCAACTTCGCAAGTACTCCGGGTAGTTCAAGAGGTACTTCTCACTGTACTCTGTAACTGGTGTGCGAGAAGTAAATGTAATCCAGAATCCTGCCCAGATTTATCACCAAGCTGATAGACCTCTAAGATTCGCTTTCTCAGCGTTAACAAAGCTGAGGAAGTAGAGATTCTGATCAACCCTTTCGATTATCGAAACCCGAAAGCAAAGTACGTCAAATTGCTCGAGAAGGAAGTAGAGAAGTTAACTAGCCCAATCGTATGTAGGTTGGGCATTATGGGAACTCGTCACGGTACTGCGGCGGTATGTGGCTGCTTGAGATATGACTATATGGATCAAGAAGAGAACTGTTTTATAGAAAAATTAGAACAGTTAGGCATGGCAGCAGAAGAGCGAACTTGGTTGCCAAGTATGCTTGAATTCTTCAGGCAAACAGAAATTGAGAGTAAGGGCAAGGAGTTCCTGGAGAAGACAAGCTTTGTGCACAGCTATAGGTATGTTTCGGTTGCTTGTTCATATTTGACCTTATGCTGGACTCGCAGTTGACCTGTATAGCAATTTGATGTATGATTCATACCATGACGTGATAGCGCCATACGGAAAGACTATCAACGCATTCCTTCTAGTTGAAGGCTGGCATTTGAAATTCCTTCTCTGGATTTTGGTATTCTGTCTGGACTGCAGTATTTTGTATTGTTGCTATAACTACTGCAGCTAGCCACAGTCTTGATGCTGGATTGGCTGCTGGGAGCTATGCTGTTGGCTTCGGGGGCGCCGCAATAGCCGTTTTGACTTTTCTAAGCGCGGTATTGTGACAGGACATCGTAGCTAGCTTCTTTGTTGGTAATTGAACACAACTTTTTTCTTCTTTGTCCCAATGTTGGTTAGTAAGATCGCCGCTTCTACTCAGGCGCTAATCACCCTTGGCTCACCTCGATTGAGCGTGTTCACCTGACTATCCTGAGCACCTGGGCAAAAGACTGATCACCAATTCACGTGTTTAACCTTTTCACCTCTCATCTAATCCCTCTTGATATGACCTAGCTTCCCCCTTATACTTGTTTTCGTCCAGTTTTGACAACATGCTTGGGGGCCGAAACAGGCTCCCAGGGATCCCAAGGTGGATGCTTTCCAAAAACAAACCTGGATATCGCAAACAAAAACGAACTACCATTACCATAATAATATATTGACTCTAAATTTCAGTTACAGTTGATGATAAACTCGAAAAACTTAATCAACGCACCAGGGATGGTCCTTGGTAAGTGCAGAGCATCCCATGAGATCTACTATTCCAGAATTAGACTGAAAAGTTGGTGAAGAAGACCAAAGCCCCATTCTTCGGATATGAGGCTCAATGCTATTCAACAAACTCCTTGCGCTATTTCTCCAAGACTGCGTCGCTTCATCTTCGTACTCGAGCTTGCGGACTGTGGCAGGGCATACAGAGCGTACAAGGACAGTCTCCTGATCGATACCATAAGCTAGGACTAAAATTGCATCATTACACACTTTAGAACCGTAATTCCCGGCTTCATCTAAGTCGAATTGCAAAATCAGATAAAGAGTTGATTGCCCTGGAGGCTCCAAGCTCCAGGGATCCAATGAGCCATCAGGTGGAAGGTATTCACGGGATGCGCCATTGATACACGAGATCATGTATAATGTCTCAGATGTGTCCATAATGCGGAATTGTGCCTGGACCTGGAGACCTTGCTGACAGCCGAGCATCCAACCAGGATAGCGGACCTTCAATCCCCTTGGGGTTAGCTTTGCAGTACCCGCCTCCGCGAAGTCGAAATGATGTAAGTCCCTTCCATTGAGAAAGGTTGAAGGCGCCCACCTAAAGCCTTTCTTCTGCAATTTGGGACCGATCCAGAATATCATGTTCGGTGGTATATTTGGCATTTCAGACCACAGAGTTTCCATTCGTTCAGCCTCCGGCACACTCAAAATACGCTTCATATCCAAATTCAGTAAACTCCCCAAACAAAGAGCCTCGTCTGACGCCCTCGTTGTTGCCCTGAAGGGAAGCATTCTTTGTATAGCCGCGATTGCTCCAGTGGAAGATGCATCAATGATGCTTAGAATAGCGTAATCTGCCCATACAGCCTTTGTAACTCCAGATGTGCCATGAGATAGTTGCTGGATTGCAGCGACACGATCCAAGTCTTCTGAGAGAACCATGTCTGGAGTCACTTCCCCTAAGATTATGTCGTCAAGACACAAGCTCACATCTTTAAATTGAAAACATAGCCTTTTACGGGCAAAAATTTGTTCTTGGAGGGTCCAAAGTCTTCTGTTCCATTTCGAACAATGAATCATCATCAGAATTTCCGTTGTCGAGAGCAATGATATTGACTGAGCTTGGAGGTAGGAATCGATTACTAGCACCTTGTCTGCGCCCTGATAGGTTTTTCTCATCAAACTTATAGCTTGGGCTCGCGCACTATATGGCTCCACCGGACAGCAGAGAGTATCAATCCAGAATGGAATAATTCCTTCTAATGGATGATAAAGATTGCTCACAAAACGAGCAATGCTCTCTACTTGACAATCTGGCAGAGTGTTGGCATTGGGGTTCCCAAGGCCGTCTGACCACACGTGGGAAATGGCAACATATCTGATTGTAGGCATGACTGATAAAACCTGAATGCTATCTTGCAGATGGATTGCAGGAATTTGGCCCTTCTCAAGAATTCTGACAAGCTCTGGAACACACACTGTTCTGTGCACACACGTACAAAACTTGGATGCGTGCTTGGTCTTGTATTCATTTTTGTCCCGCTCATATGCGGAGCAGGAAAACTCTGAACACTGCTGATGCATGTTGTTCGGACTTGTATTCAAGTGACAACCTTTGACAGTTTCATTCAAACCTGTACTGTTTGCATACGATTTACTGACACAATCTTGAGCGGTGCTTTCGTACCCAGGCGGTTCTAGCATGCTTGCAAAGAATAAACCGTAACTAAGCAATGTCGAGGTGAGTCGTTGAATATCACTTCGACACCATCCATCTGCAGCCATTCGTTCATTGATTGCCTTCCTGCCACTATTGGCCCATTGTCGATTGGCGCTGAGCCAAAAAGGCACCGTTGATAAGTCGGTTTCAGTTCCCAAAAAGGGAAGCCCACCTGCCTTCTGATACACAATTCTGTATCCCGATTGTATGTATTCCCCAAAAACAGCGAGATAGAGTGCCGTCCATTGATCGAAAGGGGCAGTTCTGTGCAAGGCCCACCAACTCAATATGTTGGAAAGACGCCAGAGATTTTTGTCTACTCTCATAGCATATTTCTCTTGGGCTTTGCGTGACAGATACCGCTCACGGTCATACCATTTGAGAATAAGTTGGGGAAGCCTGAAAGTTGTTATGACCTTCTGACCACATTTATTTTCCCTGACAAGATCCAATTCACGCACTGGCACCCGCAAAATATCTGTCAACAATCCCCAAAAAAACCAGGTCTGGAAGAAAGCGACAGTTTCTCTTGCTGTCTTCCCAGAGTTCTTTGGATCACAGATATCTTTCTCTGTCCAGCCTCTGCGAGAAGGAAATGTAATGAATGGCCCGCCATCGTACTCTTCCCCTTCTTTGATGTAGGGAATCTCTATTGGAGGGTGCGTTGGATTTCTTGGCAAAGGAAGATGATCAACCGGAGTACCACCTGAAGGAATGAAAACAGCGGGGAGTAACGGCATGTTGCTGAGATACCGGGGCAAATTTTGGGGTAGAATACTAAGGCTAGGTAGGTGAGAGTGATTATAACCGTTGGATTAATAGTCTTTGCGTCCTAATTGGTTGATTATAGAAGCTACCGTAGTGGGTAGTAGGAGCTTTGGCGACCCGGAAAGCTTTTTCGAGAAATAGGATCCGGCGTCTGCTGAATAAGCACGCGGCTAAACGCACCAGTGGTTGCTGTGACGAAATTGGTCTAAGAGCATATCACATAACGGATCCCGCCTTCGAATCTGCCCTTGAATCTGCCCATGTCAGATCACGTGCCTTGGTGGTTTTCTTTATATGTTTAAGAAGCTCTTCTATTGTCCTGCTATTCTTCCTCTCCTTACCTTAGAATCTTGTCAATAGAGTCGATCAATGGCAAACCATTCTACGAATTTGACTGCTCGTCACAGTTACAAAATTATCAAAATATTTAATTTATGATACCTGATAAGTCAGGCATCAGAAATCTTGGTCCAAGAACGACCTGGACTAAGATCACATGACAAATGTTTCACGTGACTCACCCGGTGTAAATATGGCTTTTGCCTCTCTTCCACTTTGATCTTTAGTTAGAAATCTTATATAGAATTTGAAGCTCTTTACAATTCAGTTTGCCACAATGGTAAGAAATACTATTTGAGTTAAGCCTGAAGCGTTTATTTTAAGGAAATAACTACTATTTGTATAGAACCTTAGTTTCCTTGGATCATGCCCTGGTCTATGATCGGGATTCCCAATTCTCCTGCCTTTCCGAGCCTCAGGCCATAAACTGCCATGTGTTCGTAACTGCTTAACACATAACATAAGACACAAAACCATCATTTGTGTAAAGAAATCGCAAATCATGAGACAACTACCACCATCGAGTTTCGTGCAACCTAAATTCCTCCTTTTGTTTTCTTTCTTGCCTCGAGTTCATGCCACTCCTTGATCTCGCTCTCGCGAAGTCCTCCAGGGAAGAACTCGCCCCGCATGCTTCTTCCCAGCATTGGGAACCTCCTTTCGACATCCAACAGGGTCCTCATGACCTTGGTATGACCGAAGACGGCGACAAATCGGAGAGGAATACCGAAGTTCTCCGGCCGTCGACTACAACCAGCAGCAAACACGTTTTGGAGAATTCCGATGCCACCAACAGCAAGTAGGAACCACGTATTTGTCCTCAGACCACTAGCTGTGATGAGGAGCAGAACCCAGATTATAAAAAGTCCGACAACAGAAATTTTCGTTAATCTATTCACGGACGCATTCATGTTAGTCTGACCCGCTCCTAGGTCCTCCAAGTTCAACCCATGCCCATTTCCCAATATAGCAATGGCATGCTGTGCACCATTTCCTCTAGTGATAATATAGCTGTCGTTTGACCGCCTTCGGCAAGCCCATTTCTCTTTTCTCCATTGTGGAAGACAGGCGGTGATAAAGGCAAGGCTTATGCCACAGGCTGTGACCATGAGCACACCCCAGTCGCCGAAAAAGCCAAAGGGGATAGCGGCAATGCCCAGCTGCAGGATAGAAGTACAGATGCCACTCCAATAGAGGTAATCGCGTTGAGGAACCCCGGCCGGATGTTCGGTGCTCGGTTCGTAAATAGTCACGAGAAGACTGGCCCGATCTGGACGCTTTGCATTGGGATCTTCTGCCTGTAGTTCTTTCCACCTTGCGTCTAGCACCTCTGTAGTTTTTTTCACTGTCAACATATGGTTCCAACTAGGGAAGTCTCGTACAAGCCTTCCCACGATCCAGCTCGAGTTTTCAATCGCGTGGCCCGTCTTGCCATTGATCAACTTGCATCTGCAGTCGGGAGTGCTCGGCAAAAGCTTGTTCTCCCCTACCGCTGACAGCAAAGCCGAGACAGAATAGCCAACCCATCCTATTATAGAGTATGAGATAGCTTCCATGGAAATAGTCCAAAAATAGTAGACTCAATATGTCCCCTTCAAAGCAACTTACCAAAGGAGAAGGCTACGGGTGGTAGCCCGTGGCCTGCGAGTTGAGCGAGTGCTTGGCCAACAATATTACCACCCAGGATAAGTAATACATTGAAAGCATCGCCCGGGTTAACCCACTGGCCTGTGAAATTAGTCTTCGTGGCAGTTGCTGAAGCGGCGAAGACTGATGGTAGCGGCGTCATGACACACTAAGAAACACTCTGTACGCTTAGCTAGGATAGACTATATGTACTAGAAAGTCCTGATGAAAAGAAAGATGAAAAAAAGAGGAGAAGAATATAAATAGGTGTGAAGCAAAACTTGTGTCGAATTCCCTCTCGTCCATCCCATGCTTTATAAAGCTGCCTTGAAGAATCATGTGACAAGTCGAGGCAAGCAAGCGAGGCAGACACAAAGGCACCAATTTCTAGCAAGGCAATGCCAGTCAATGCAGTAGTAAATCACGAATGCGGTACCATCGTCTAGCTGGGCGCACAGCAGTAACACTTTAATGGCAGGGCGTGCATCACATAGCGAACTTTCATCTTGACTGCTTGATTCACCGTGGAGGTTCTTGTGTAACAGTTTAGTAGGACCAAGATGTGTGCATTCGATTGGTGCTTAGAGACTGAGATATTAATGCGTTTTGTATCTCAGCTTGGTAGCCTAGCATGGACAGAGCAATTTCACAACTAGGCTGATTTTTCTCCCATACCTTCATCGCAATAAAACGGTTCCTAGTTGTAGCACACGATTACTTTACAATAAGCTGCGTTTAACCAATTGAATCCGGTCGCCAGCCTCGTTTTCGCCAGTGACAACGAATTGACCAGGAAAGCTACCGGCGAATGGAGAGCCCTACGATAAAACCAAGCCCTGAGGCTGTGCGGGGGACAAAGTCACCTGGTACAGTAAACACTAAATAACCCTAAACAACCCTATAGCTGTTTGAATTGTTCTCTTCACTTACGTGGAGCACCTGGGTATCTACCTTAGCTTAGTAGTTTAGAAACACTTGGTTGTAGCTTCTACAGTTTTAATAATCTAGAGGTTGGTCTAGTCCTGTTGTTAAATTGTGAGCTCTAAACTAAACTTGAATCGTAACTCTGTTATCTGTAGTAATATTAGAAGCTGCAAAGGGGTCTGTAATTGGTGTTGTGCTTGATGTTCTAGCTACTCAACCTTAACCTTCTGAAGTTCAATTGCAACCAGCCTCCGCCCATTTGAAGCTATTGGGAATTATATGGACTGGGAAGCTTTTGAGAACTATATGCTTAAGACGCAGGAGAAAAAAGGAGCTGAGGAGGAGAATCTATTTTCAGCGTTAAGTAAATCTAGCAGCTGACGTTCCTTGATACAGGTTTGATCATTTAAACTGACTATCTACGATTAGTAGTGCTAGCTTACAAAATAATATGGGCAAACATATTGTTGGACTGACATCGATTTTGACTTTTACTGTAACATGAAGAGCCTAGTTTAGGAGATTTCTAGAGCTAAAACTAGCCCTTTCCTGGTCGCACCTTTGTTGCACAACAACTCGTCGCACAAGTACCTGCCGTATAATAACTTGTTGTACAACCACTTGTCGTATAATAACTTGTTGCACAGCGAACTGGTGTATGAGAACTTGTTGCATGAGAGCTTGTTCTGGATGAGAATTGAAGCTGGTATTTTTCAGATCTGGGGCAGGTTACTCAGGAAGGCTGCTGGTTTTGCAAGCACAAGGTTCAAAGCTTGATGAATAGTTATCCAAATCCATTCTACGGGGGCGACATAATATCGCAGTGCGCCCCTGCTGCGACTACTGCACAAAACACGTGAGCCCTGAAATATTGTGCAAGTAGTTCCTGGGGAAGGAAATTATTCTCGTTCGTGATTAGCCGAATATCCGATTGTCTAGGACGGGAAAGCTTATGTTTCAATTGCTCTAAGGGTTGATACTGAGTAGTAATTAGAAAGCCCATGATACCAAAGCCGTCCTTCCATTTTCCCGGGCTTTTTAATTCTGTAGAATGAGGACTCAGTGTGCCTGCCGTGCATATTCTGCTACCCCAAACTGTTTTGAGCCTGCCACTTGCGGACTGATTAATTAACTTAGCTATCCGGCCCAGCAAATCATATATTCCTTTGTCAGTGAGCTGTGCCACTAATGCAATTCTACCTTGAAAACCTTGGACACGCATTTTTGCGGAATGATTACCGACCTTCTGTTTAACGGCCCCAGCTGATTTTGTAACCCCTTCGTGAAGCTTCCAGTAATACAATCCCTGCTTGCATGGATCATATGAATCTCTCGGTACAAACAAGCATTGGCATGAATTCAACCTGGTCTTCAGGTGTATAAATCTATTAAAAATCAACTCAGGGATAAGTCCTCTCATCCATCCACTAAAAATACCGCTTCTACAGGGCTCAAATCTGCTGTGGGGTGAAAGAAAAAGAAATATACAAGTATATTAAAATGACCCAAAGCAAAGACAAGGAACTTAAGTGTACTGAAATTTCATACCATATAACATTGCCCCTGTGGACATTAAGGAGACGTTTAGGAAGACTTAGGCTGAGCCGCTCATCACGTGTATGTAAGCGAATGTAGATCCAAAAATGGCCCCGGAGGACTCTCTTCTAAGGGGCCAAAAATGATCTGCGCCTGGAGGCAATATAAAGAAAGTACAGCTAGACCTCAAGAGAGCCAAAAAGAGCCCCATGGATACTAAAGTAGGCTTTCTAATATATGCTCAGGCTGACTTTGTTGTGTGCTCAGGCGGGTCAGGCCGTGCTCAGGAAGCTCACCCTTTACTCAGGTTAAAGTAGCCGTGCTCAGATCCAGGGACTAAAACAGAAACAGCGAAAGAAAAAGTCGAGTATAGCTATATCGGTAGTTTAACTCTAATCCTTCAAACGTCGTTCTATATTCGGTTAATAAGCCTGGCCGCTTCTACTCGGGCGCTAATCACCCTCGCCTCAACTTCAAGTCCTGTCGTAACTAAATAATTACGTTTACTTGATAAATAATATAGAAATAGAATAGAAGTGATACCTGACCACTCTGTCAAGGAAGAGGCATCGTAGCATTAGGTACCACTTCATATAGACGCAAAATCTTCGCCTCATGACCTATAACCTCAACCATGTAAGGCGTATCATACGGCCCTGTCGTCTCATGCTTCCAAACATCTCTCACCGTGTACTTATCCCACGCAACCGTTAAATCTCTCTGCGGACTAATACTCATATCCGCCGTCACACCTCCCCGATTCAACAACGCAACAGCATAACTCCCATCCTCCATCGCCTTAGCATACACTTGCAAAGTACCCCCATCTTGGTTCCCGACACCGACGGTGGCTGCCGCTTGCCCAAGGAGATCTTGCGAGATGGCTATGATTTCTGGGTTGGTGAGGGTTTCCATGGAATCGCTACTGAGGGCTCGTACGTCAGACCCGATGAGGAGGGGCGAACACACCATGGCCCACATGCTGAAATGCGTTCTGTACTCGACATTCGAGCAACCTGCTCCTACATGCTGCGACTTTCCATTAAGCCCAATAATCAGCATATCATAATCATTCCAGTGTCCCGGCCCAGAAAACTGCGCAAGGCTGTTGCCTCGATCAAGCAAGTCTAGAACATCGAAGAAGTATTTCATGCGGTTGCCAGGGTAGTCGAAGTCGTCAGAGATATCTTGACCTATTCGCCATTGGTTGGCACCGTATTGGGCCGCCCATTCCCAGGAGTCAGCCCAGCCGCAGTGACACGCATGATAGACGATGGGGCGACCGCTGGCGAGGAGAGCTTGGGACATTGAGAGAATAACTTGTTGGACTACGGACTTAGGTGCAAATTGGTAGGCGCAGCAGCTGTCGTATTTAAGGTGGTCGATTCCCCAGGATGCAAACAGCTTTGCGTCTTCGGCTTCGTGGCCTTGGCTGCCGGTATAACCTGCACAGGTAGTTTGACCTGGACCAGAATAGATGCCCAGTTTAAGGCCTTTTGAGTGTGCGTAGTCAGCAAGGGCCTTGATGCCGCTTGGGAATTTGACGGGGTCTGCTTCGAGTGGATGGTCTAGACGGTTTCCTAAGTAGTGCTGCCAGCCGTCGTCCAGATTTACATAAACAAAACCGGCTTCCATTAAACCATTTGATGCAATGGTATCGATAGTATCCCTCAATAGTGTCTCGTTGATATTCGGGCCGAAACCATTCCAACTACTCCATCCCATAGGAGGCGTCTGTGCAAGACCATTACTTAAATTCGGTCCTGTAGAAATAGTCGTTGAGATAGCTAAAGGCGATGTGAAGGTGGGGACAGCAGACAAAGGTGGAATGGTGTAGATATCCGTGTAGGTGCTGCTTTGGCTCTGTGCCACAGACTGCGTGGCGAGGAGGATCACGACACAAGCCGTGCGCAAAATAGTCCGATACTGCATTGGAGGGAGGGGGGACTTTTATGTTATACGGTAAGGCAAGAAGGAAATGATAAGCACTTCCAAAACTCCAAGGACGACTGCTAAGTCAAAGGACATTCAAAGCTATCAAGTGCCAACTTGAACTTTCAAGTGAACACAGGGAATGAGGGTAGGTAAGGGAAATGCGGCAAAAAGTCATGCGACTTCAGGGTATTCTCGCTGAAAGTCTACTGTAACTTAAATATTTTAGTGCATGTAGGCGTTGAATAGCCATATAAATAGGTTATGTTCCCCGCAAGACAATTGAGGGGTTGAAAGACGAGCTATTAAAAGAGCATGAAAATTATTTACCCGGCCCCCACTCCCCCTCCCGCCAGCTTGTCAAAGGCCGAGAAACGTTACAGCGTAAGCTGGAAATCCCGGCACTTCATAACCAGGCTCCAAAGCACCGTACCGGGTAAGGGTGGTTCATATGGTATCTACTACGTAGCATATTGGAGTACGGCGCTGAATTCCGTAAAATTGCTGTTATTGCAATGGATTGTGGAGTTATGAAATCTAGTAGTACCTTCTGTGCATAGCAACGCCCTTAACATGGCACAGGATTAATGCAAAATTTGAAGTAGGCTGGAAGTTATGGGAAATGATTAAATAATGGGGAAATTATACGATTTTATAAAGATGAGATTTAAAAACTTCGGATCAACTAAGATGCGGGCTGTAGTACCGAGTAGTTGTAAGTGGATAAGTCATGTAAGGGTAACCTACTGTAAGTAATAGATAAGGACGATTAACGAGGGGTATTTGCTTGTAAGCGGTTTATAGGGGGGTTGCTTACGCCAAGCTGACTCAGCAATATCCTGGCAGACACGCCGAGTCACAACCAACCCAACTCGTGGTGATTTCTTCTCATCATCCAGCAACCCCCCATGGAGAGAAAGCGACTGTCCCACCTCCTAACAAAACAATCCCATCCATTATTTCCTACCCCGCGATTCTTGTTTCGTCAAAACATCGCCTCCGCCGTTTCACGTATAGGATCAAGCAAGCGTCGCATAGCTAGCCTTCGCCCCCCCTTAGAACCGCATGTCTTCCCTAGCTCAGGGTGGGATAACATCCACCCTTCCTTGCTGGTTGAAGAGGAGTCAATTCCCACCTATACACCAGAAAATTTCTATCCGGCCCACATCGGTGAGGTATTCAACAGCCGATACCAAGTGGTCGGCAAGTTGGGCTATGGATTCAGCGCAACCGTGTGGTTATGCCGTGACTTGTTGTAGGAGCATCTAATTCCACACTTCATGACCCAATCTAATAAGTAAGGGACCACCGTTATATAGCATTAAAGATTTACGCAGCGTCAACAACAGTGACCCGAGAGATAGAAATTTATAACCATCTTAAAACTATCCACTCCAGCCATGCAGGTCAATCGTGCCTACGACCATTGATTGGGATCTTTCAGGCACAGAGGTCATATGAACATTGTGATCATACTTGTTCGGTGCATCCGCCTCTTGGGATCAGCCTCGACCATCTCACCCCGCTGCTTGCTGATGGTGTCATGAGCAGCGCCATGGTTAGAACTACTCTCCGGAATATCCTTGCCGCTCTAGATTTCCTCCATACAGAAGCACGAGTTATACATACCGGTTAGTACTTCTACTTCATTCAAAGAAGCCGCCACCACGTTAGGGTGAGCTAAAAGTTAGGAAGTAATAACCAGTACTACAGTAACATAGATATCCAGCCAAATAATATTCTCCTTGGCATCAAGGACGACTCAATTTTGTCCAAATTTGAGGAAGCGGAATTTGAAGCACCTGTGCCCCGGAAGTCCCTCGAGGATCGTACCATCTACGTCTCACGACCGCTCCCCATCTCCTATGGGGCACCCGTTCTCTGTGATTTAGGCGAGGCTCGACTAGGCACCGAGCAGCAACAGGGTGATATTATGCCAGATATCTATAGGGCACCGGAGGTCATCTTGAACATGACTTGGGACTACAAAGTTGACATCTGGAATGTTGGGATGGTGGTAAGATGATTGTCCATGTGATTTCACTAGTGCTTGAAGCTAACGAATGGGCAAGATCTAGGATTTGTTTGAGCATCGCCACCTTTTTAGGGCTCGGAACCCCGAAGGTAAATTGGATGATGGATATCATCTCGCCGAGATGCAGGCGGTCCTAGGAGACCCTCCTCTTCGGTTCCTCGCTCGGAGCGAAAGGAGCCTCCAGTTTTGGGATAAAAATGGTTTGTGTAGCCCTTCCCTCCCTGAATATAATTTGGCATCGTTAACAATATTGAACTTCTGTATTAGGCGAATGGAAAGGCACAGCTTCCACCCCAGATCTTGACGCTCGGGAAGAAAGACTCAAAGGCGATGAAAAGGTCGACTTTCTACGTTCTCTCCGACGAATGTTATGTTGGCTACCAGAAGAAAGAGCCACTGCAAAGGAGCTCTTATTTGATCCTTGGTTAATGCATGGTCTATTCAAATGAGTCCAAGGATGAATAGAGATAAATTAATGATTTATACTAGCTGCAAGGGTCGTGGACTCATCAGCCACTTATCGGCTAGCGTTTACGGAGTGTGCTTCAGGGCGCTTAACAATTACCTTTTTCCAGCTCCCAGGTGAATACCCAACACCCTCCAAGTGCTTGGATCACGTCTTCTCCTCCACCTCTCTTTCGTACTCTCTCTGCATTCTTCATTGTACTTCTCTGTTAGTCACCTTTGCTTACCTGCTTCTCGAGCGACATAATTCTTGAAATGAAACGAATTCTCTCCAACAAGTTCAAACATTTGGTGCGGCTTTCCAAATCGTCCACGCCTGATCCCCCACCGGATTCAACTTTATCAGCAACAGCAGCCAGCGCCGACCTCCCCCATACTATACCTATCCTCGAAAGACAAGTGGCCCCAGTATCAGTGTCGGTGCCGGTACCAGAAAACCTACTGGTCGAGCCAGCCGGCGACATTCCCCAGCTCAATGCCACGCTGGAAAACCTCCCTCCTGAAATCCGGCGTCAGCTCCTTTCGGTACTGGGCCTTGAAGAACTAAGTGCCTTAGTCCACGCGTCTTCCACCTTTCACCAGCAGTACCTGCTAGATCGCAAATCGCTGCTCTGTAAATGTTTAGCCACCACGTTACGCAGCGCTACTGTCGACGCCTGTGCCGTCTATCGGTCCAGCCTAGCCAGCTTTTTAGACGCGCGCACAGGTGAAACAGTCACTCAATTTCTTAAGTCCTATCAGAATCGACGCTCTTCGACCCAATATTCGATCCTTAACGAGGGGCTTACCGAGGATGAGGTCGTAGGCATGATCGCCTTCCACTCCTCTATTATAAAGGCCCTTGCACGGCACTATACCGACTGGGCGCTAATCAATCTCGCCACTGAGACCAAAGACTCGCAGAGTCACGGACTGCTTAGCAGGACGGAGGAGACGCGGCTGCTACGCGCCCTGTACCGCTTCCAGCTATGCTGCAACCTCTTTGGCACCGGCCGCCACGGAATTTTGCTTGAACCGGGGTTAACCTTGAGCTCCGTCGATATCATAAATATCTTTCTCTGTATATTCGAGCCTTGGGAAGTTGAGGAGATCGCCTGTATCTAAACCTTCAGCAAGGTAAAGTACAACCAAATCTTCGACGACATTCGCTGGGACGTCCACGAGGAGAACCCCAAGTTTGACGGCCAACGGCCGCCCACCCCTGATGGGGCGTTTGATCTAGACAATAGCTGTTAGTATTACATCCTACCGTTTGTATACGACTAGCCATATTAATATTAAAAAAAATAGGGGCTAGAAGCAGCCTCCTAAAAGGAACCATCTCTCGTGGCCTCGAGCTGCTGTACACAGTTTTCTTCACGGTCAGAGATCATGCCCACCTCGTCTCGACGATGCAGGAGCATATTACGTGGCCGGAAGGCTACTTTCTCGAGGGCGACGCCTTGGGCGAGACAGCACAGTTGCAGCGGCGCCAGGAGTGGCCGTCGAGCCGGGACCAGAAGGAGCAACGGCGTGACCCGCTACCCTTTGAGGGGGACAACGACCGGGATGCAAACGGACCGCCACTGGCTTGGACGCTAATTTGGCAGGGAACCTACAGCAACCTGTACGGACACTATGTGGAAGATAATATCCGCCGCTGGGGGTACGTTATGTGGGATGCGGTGCGGCTCGAGCGTACTGGAGCAAAGGAGGTGTTGGCGCGGCAGTGGGAGGCGGATTGGGGGGACGGCGGTCCAAGAGATACTCTGGTATAACGATACTATGATTTATTGCTGGCGTCTCGGTCTTCTGAACCAGGCGGTCTAATAGCTCCATCGCAGTGGATAAAATTTAGCTTTCGAGGGCTACAGCTTTTTACTGCTAAGTCTCTATCGGACCCGGGCTTAACTCTGTTAATTTGGCGTCCAGATGATGCCTCTGCCTATTTTATACCAATAGAGGGTTATTAATATTAAACAGATCCTCCTTTGTTCCTACCCAATTATCGCCGAGATATGCTCGTATTTCGAGTACAATCTTATCAGGTGCGATATCATCGAAATTGCTCATGGTTCGGGCTACCAAGATAGACAGCTAATTTGGTGTGCAGAATAGGAGGAGAAGGAGGATTAATAGCCTTAGTCGCGCGATTAATCTTAAGGCTTGCACTTGGCCTAGTAGATTGGGTAGAGATGGACGGGCTGCGCGAACTATGCAGAGACACAGCAAGTGTGTGAAAACTCCCCTGAAGTCCACATGGGCCAGACCGTCAGCCGGAGTTAATGCCCAGCACATAAAGACGAGGGATTTGAAGGGTATGGTCCTTATTAATAGCTGGCTGGGTCGTGGGGACATCGATATTTACGGTTCGTCAAGAGCCTCGAAGTAAGTGAGCACTTCAGCTGCGTTCACTTGCTTACTCCAGCAGCGTTGAATAATATCCCCACAAGCAAGATGCGCCAGACTTGGGAATGTGTGGGATTCGTATAGTTTCTCGACCTCGTCACTGGGGATTTCTTGGTAGGGATATGTGCCCGTCATAATAAAGTAGATCAATGAGCCAAGGCCAAATATATCTTCTTCAACACTAGGAGGCGCATCCCAGTCCGAAACGGGATATCGAAATCTTGTGCCGGCGACTGCGGAAGGCGGGGAGCCAGAAAGAGATGCCCCTCCGAAATCTGCAATCCTTAAATGGAGATCGCAATCTAGCAGGAAGTTCCGCGGTGAAATATCACAGTGAATAACACTAGCAGAATGTAGGACTTTTAACCCTTCAGTTGCTTGCTTCGCGCATCGCTGCCGGAGTTGGGGGGTCACGCTCTTAGGGTTTTCTTTGATATACTCCTTTAAACTGCCATTTTCAAGATATCCCATAGTAAGACAGCAGGTCTCTGGTTCCCAAGAGATGATTCTTGGTAGACGAGGATGAGGACCGATCGTCTCATAGATACGAGCTTCAAGTCGCATATTTCTACAGTGGTCATTATAGCAGCGACGATCCGGATCTGCTAATGGCGTCTTGACTACATCTCCAGATGGCAGTCGTTCCAGACGCGCAGTTCCTCCGAGGGCTATATGCTCCCCTTTTGTGGTATATAAAAATTTCCCCCGGCCGAGTTTCAGGAACTATAAAGGGACGCCTGCCTGGGTGGGCTCGTCGCTCCCAAGAACCCGGAACGGGGATGTATTTAACAAACTTCGTATTTGCGGACGTTTGCTGAACAGCATTATCGGGCCCAATTGTTAGGGCTGCAGATGCAGCAACCTAGGTACGACATTGTTAGAAACAGAAGGCGATTTATTTCGCCAAGTAAGATTTACTTGCTGTGATTTCTTCCCCGCGTTATTGTCCACATATTCGACATCACCCTTGGGCAATCGTTGTCTTCCGACCAGTGGAAAAAACGACCCGACCATCCTGGCTGAATAGCATAAGATATAACGACAGAACGTAGCCCAAACTGGCCAGATTTGGCGGCGGGGGAAGAACATGTGAGGATCTCTGAGGCGGCCTTCTTTTTCGCCGCCATAAAGGCGCGGGTGCAGTTGTGACCGGCATGAAATAAGGTATGAGCCAAGCAGTAAGATTATTACATAACCAACCCAATTGTGAACCGAACCAGTGAGTGAGCAAGCAGCATTGTCGTACAAAGAATGGACCTGATTAGCGATTAGCAAAAGGGGCAATGATAAGGAAAAAGGAAATAGTACCCAGGGGGATAGTGGAGGCCCCCACCCTTAAGTACTAGGCCGAATAGACATCTATAGTGGTCTATGCTATTGATCTGGTTAATTTAGATAAAGAGAGAGTATACTATCTGAGGTCAGGTGCTCAAGCAAGCAAGAGAATGTTTTGATTGTTTATCGGAGTGTTTTTGTATAGCTCTAATGTCTATAATTATATAAGATCGCTCAAAGTACCTAGCAAATAGGTTCTAAAACCAGAGGAGCCTATAGTACATGTAGTTTATCGAGTCGCTCTAACTCCACGGAAGCAAATATCACCGTCACTGGTCCGTCATTTGACTCATTTCCCTTTCTTCATTGCCGCGAGGGCTTCCCTGATTTCCTTCAATTCGCCAAGGCGTGCTTTCTCGCCCCCATGTAGAACCCGTAGGTGCTCATTTTTCAGCGATTCAAACTCGGCATCCAGCTTGTGGTGCCATGGGTATAAAACGAAAACTTGGAAACCAAGTGCGGAGGTGGCGATTATGAAGTTAGTCAACGAGAATGTGCGTGTGACCATCATCTTTGCGGATTAAGGAAATATGCGACTGTGAGGTGTTGAGGTTCTACGGACTTGCCGTACTGGTAGATCGATGGAGGATTTGGGTTCGGTGTGTGAGGTTTACTTGTGGTAGAGGAGAGATGTTTGTTCTCCCAAAGGTAGGTAAATGCGCTGGAACTGCTATTTGGTTCTAAAGGAGGGGACTGTGTTAGCGGAAGCTGGACAATGATCGATCCACACGAGCGAAGACTTACTGAGGCAGTTGTGGCTTTTTAAAATGTAAACAGGAGGGCTTTTATTTTGTTTGAAGAGAGTTGAGTATTATGCGGTATTAATGCCAGCAGCAGAACCTCGGCTTTATATATCAATTGAAACAACCGGCCAAGACTAGGGCCAAGCTAGAAAGTGGTGCCACTCCCCGCGTCGCCACTAAAAGCCGACCAATGCCCGGCCTGGGAGGGAAAATATTTCACCGTTCTTAGCGTACCCCCGTGATCTGGGCAGTAATGTGATGTCACCGGGCATCAATAATATGTACTAATCCGCACTATCAACGCGAAGTTGTAGCGGTAAAGGCCTGCGAAGTACCTCAAGGTACAGTACCTATTCAGATACCTGTGCGAAATAGGAACGATCATTCACTACTCCCTAGGTGCAATAGCGAGGGGCAGCTAATTATCATTACACAGCAAGAGTAACATCTTGCACAATCGTAGATACTTACTTCAAAAATAAAGTGGCGGATTCCATTCAAAATGAAACACAAAATGCAGTAACCGGTGGTCAATCACATGGTAGAAGTATTTTCCAGGGACCAAACCAAGGTTGCTCCTTATTGGTTCACAAATAACCTTAAGTCTTACTGACTCAGTCGCTTAAGTATTAAAACGATTGCCACCAATTTGTAGGACGCTGGAGTAGATATAATTATCTCTACTCTGGGTGGTAGTGCTTCTGGTGCTTGATTTGCAATTTAATTTGTAATTGCTAAATCACCAACAAAAGCTATGCAGCTTCCAGTACCTTGCTCTAAATTCCTGTCTGTCATAACCGTCCCATCTTAACCTCTGTGGTCTCTTTTAACGCGGCAATAAGAACCCGATGCGCTCCCAGAGCAGCCTGTACAGCGTTGTCTGCCAGCTCCTCATATGACGAACCCGGTACTGAGTTTCGAGTCAGGTTATCCTTCCCTATTTCTCCCTTGACCCAAAGATCTGTAATCTCATCTCGACCAGGGAGATAGCCCACTATACAAGCAGCTATTATGTCCTTGTGCTCAGAGGGAACAGGGTCAAGAACCACCATCGGCGCAGATGTATCTCCACCAGTTCCAGTTCCCTTGACAGCCGCTGCGACCCCACCTGCCACAACATCCACACAGTCAATACCAGCATCTGCAATTGCAGCAGAGGCAACCGTTATACACCCACTAAGCACACTCATCATTCCCCACTCTGCTGCGCTTGTAACTGCCCCTCCAATATCATCGCCCCACCATTGATCTTCCTCGCCCTCCAGGATTGTGATGATGACTTCCACTCCGCTCTTCGGCCATCGGTCACCAATAATTACTCCTCTTAACGCCGTCTCAAGGTGCACTCCAAGATCTCGCTCAGTCGAGTCCCGAAGGTAGCCTCGTCTCTTCCTCGTAGCAAACGGAGCATACTTCACATGTGTTGTAAGGATTATATGTGGGGAGAAAGGTGCAGATTTTGGTAAGGGTCGTGGGCCATGGACGGTGCAGGTGAGTTTCAGGCCAGAGGTAGAAAGGGATGCTAGGCCTGGTGCGGTGGAATTGGGATTTTTTGATGCTTCGAGTTCGAGGTACGCGGATCCTGACGCTGAAGGCGTAACTCCTGTTTTGAGAACTGGGACTATTAGCCTGTATTATCGACAAGTTTGCAGTTATTTATACTTACACATTTTCCTGAGAACATTAGGTTCTCTTGTTCTCGTGGGTCTCTCTGGTGACTTTTTCGCGTCTTTCGCAAGATATTTCGAGTATATTGGGGCACTGGTTCCACCAGATGGCCCATTGATCCTCCTTCTGTCCGACATGGCGTGTGTGTATGTGAGGCAGAAATTGGAATCTATGGCTTATCGTTCATTCGTAGTCTAGGTCGGGGTGCTTCGTAAGGCTGTGGTCGCAAAGATTTGGATAGATTCTTAGAGCTCAGAGACCAAAAATCCAAATCGGGGTAGTGGCATGCGGCCGCTTGGCCCGAGCTTTCCACGAAGACTTTACTCGAGAAATTTCTCGACTTCAATTTCTACTTCCGCTCTCACAACACAACACAAAATCTACAGCAGATCAGAAAAACTCAGCAGCAATGCCGTGCCCTAGCGGGAGTGTTTGCTTGCTTGAGACCTCTGGTGCTTCTGTTGATTGCTTCCCACTGTCAATACATCATTAACCTAGATCCCTTGGTGAGTTACCTTCGTTCTCCTTCTGTTAGCGCTCCTGATGATTTATTTTACCCAACGTTCACTCGGTGATCTCCTGAACCAATGAACAACATGCATCACCATCTGAAGCATCTTCAATCCCTGAAATATATTCTCATCTGCCACATGACAGTAGACTGACTGAAGTCTTCATAGGGAACAATTGTTTTAACTTGGGGGATGGGCACAATGTAAATCGCTTTGCGATATCATCGCTCCGAAGGAAGCGCTGCTCCTCAATTCAATACATGTCGGGGCTGATAACCCCGTCAATTTTGAAGCTCAGCACCGGGACCTGGACAAGTTGGACAACCTGGTGCGCTGCTTCTGCGACAACATGCAACAATATTTGCTGCTCATTCCTTGGTAAGCACACTTCTTTTTACATCCTCACACGGCACTTGCTTTCATGATGAAAAAACATTTCAACAGTTCTGCTTCTGAACTCCTTGATGAAATCTAATTACCAAAAATCGTTTTCTGAACCCCAACCAACCAATCTCGCTGCTTCCAATCCTAATTCAATTGCTGCAACGAGATGGCTAATTATCCCAACCTTAGATCCAACTCTTTGATTACAACTTACGATGCCATATTAATAGGTAAGGATATTCCTCTTACTTCACCATGATCTGCCATGATGACAACAGCTTATCCATTCAACGACTGCGTGTCAGCCGAGCATCCCTCCCATACCGGACTGGTCATTTCATGACCGGGATGATAGGTTGTGGAGTGTGTTGTTTCTGTGCCTCATTTCTCTACTTTGCGTCTTGTAATGTAGAGGACTGGGGCCGGCTGAGGTGCCTGACTAAACTGGCTTATCTGAGCACCCTCAACATTTCACACTTCCCTTGACATCAATGGTTTTCTGTCCTAACAGTGTTTAATAGAATATCACATCATATAAGTATAGTTATATTTCGTCTCGGTAAACTCGTTGCCTTGGGAAAGGGACAGGCCGGGTGGCCACTGTTCACTCCATCATTAATTCTCCCCTCGCATAATGGGGTATTGGTCTTGCTAGATGGGCAAGAAATCATAACAGGTAGGTCTCGCAAATAGATAATAAAATGACGTAGCAAAATACATTATATAAATCACTCCCGTCTGCAACCGGTCGTGAAGTTTGGGCTTTGTCTTGACAATGTTTCAGCTGTGAATGCGTAATTATCAGCTCTTACATAAGCTTAGGTCCTCTGCGAACTGGCGGCGCAGGCGTCTAAATGCGGCCCTGCAAAAGGGGTATTTCTAGAGAAGAGAAAGATAACTGTTGGCTCCACTCGCAATTATAGAAAAGCATCCACAATTGGTAGATAAGTGAACACAGGTGCCAGCTGAAAAGGCACGTGTTCCGGCAGTCTGTTTCAGCTTGGCGATCTTCATAGGGTGACATGACACCTTTGGTCTAAGACGCTGTACCTTGCGGGCTAAGCGACCGCCACCGATTCTGCTTCTGTCAGACAGTGACAATTTCTGGTGCTGGTGTTGATGCCCTCCTCGACCATTCCGTTGTCCCTTTCTCAATATTATTGTGCAAGGTGATGCTGCGTTATTCTTCAATTTGTCCAGTCTTTCCTCTCCCCCCATCCAGTCGCCCGGACCCTCCACTCGAGACCTGTCGCCATCCTGGTTAATTCATCAGCGTCGGGCAACCGCCCAGGGGCTGAACACGAGGGCCATCTTGGCTCGAAATATCTAGATTCGCATCGCCAGACGGAGTTATCGCGCCTTCAGCATCCATTTTTGAGCATCTCTATAGGGAGTCTTTCAGAATGCTACCGCGGCATCATGGCAATGGCTATCTAGGAGCTAGGGAGAAGGAGAAGACCTTGTACTCGATATCCCCCCATAAGTATGTCCTACACAACTTGCACCGTCAATCCCACCTCGACAGTAATTCAGGACACGTCTAACGCATCTGCTGTGCATAGATTCCAACCAAGATCAACCCCGTCGTCACTACGACGGAGGCGACAACTCTTCTTCCGACTGGGAATCGGTTTAGCAGGCATCTTGTTCCTGTGGTTCGTTTGGCCAGGTGCCTCATTATTTTCGATATTTTCGATAGGCTTCCTATCTTCCGGGGAAGATTTCCAGCTGGAGACAGTGCGGTATTATGATCTAAGTAATGTTCAGGGAAGCCCAAGGGGCTGGGAGAGGGAGGAACGAATCTTGCTTTGTGCGCCCCTTCGCGATGCCGAACCCCATTTGCCGATGTTCTTTTCCCACCTCCACAACTTTACCTATCCACATCACCTCATAGACCTGGCCTTCTTGGTCTCGGACTCGAAAGACCAAACATTAGAGCTTCTATCTAAGCTATCGGAGGAGCTTCAAGCACACGAAGATCCGAACATGCCCTTTGGAGAGATTTCGATCATCGAGAAAGATTTTGGCCAGAAGGTCAATCAAGATGTCGAGAGTCGCCACGGGTTCGCAGCTCAAGCTAGCAGAAGGAAGTTGATGGCTCAGGCAAGAAACTGGCTGCTGAGTGCTGCCCTCCGTCCATATCACAGCTGGGTATATTGGAGAGATGTGGATGTGGAGACTGCTCCGTTTACCATTCTGGAGGACCTCATGCGTCACAACAAGGACGTGATTGTACCAAGTAAGTTTCGATATCTAATCCGGATGGTTTCTCCTAACACGAATAGATGTCTGGCGTCCACTTCCCGATTGGCTTGGAGGCGAGCAGCCCTATGATCTGAACTCCTGGCAGGAATCGGAAACAGCCCTGGCATTGGCCGATACTCTCGACGAGGATGCTGTCATTGTGGAAGGATATGCAGAATACGCGACCTGGCGACCCCATCTTGCATACCTCCGAGATCCATATGGAGACCCCGATATGGAAATGGACATTGATGGTGTTGGAGGTGTCAGTATTCTGGCCAAAGCAAAGGTCTTCAGAGCCGGCGTCCATTTCCCAGCATTCAGCTTCCAAAAGCATGCTGAGACTGAAGGATTTGGCAAGGTATATACCACCATCAGCTCCCTCCCTTGCCAAGCTAACAACTGCTAGATGGCCAAACGCTTAGATTTCTCCGTGGTTGGTTTGCCGCATTATACAATTTGGCATTTGTACGAGCCAAGTGTTGACGATATCCGCCATATGGAGGTTTGTAATTTTCTCATTCATGATGAAACAGTCAACTAACTGTCTCAAGGAAATGGAGCAAGAACGCCAAGCCCGTGAGAAAGAGGAGCTGGAGCGCGTTGAACGCGCCAAAAAGATCAAGGATCAATTTGCGGACCCAAACCCTCAATGGGAGAAGGATAAGGCAGATATTCAGAACCAAGCTATGAAAGAGAAGAAAGGAAAGGAGCAAGGGCAGACTGCACTTGCTGAGGATGAGGAACCAGTTGCGAAACCAGTAGTGAAGGGCAGCTCTGAAGGAAAGACGGGTGCGAAGGTAGAGGCGAAAGCTGCCAAAGCCAAAGCCCAATAACCACCGGCGGTACGTAAGTCACATCGTAATACATGGTTTAGAGCGCTCGCTGACGAATAAGGCTTGATACGATTAATCATACCCTTCACCATAGTGTGAATTATTCTATTTGGAACGCACTTTGGAGGAGATCAACTCTTCCTTCCCTCCTCACAGCACGGGCCCTATGAGCCATAGAGCTCTCGCAAAGTTCTAAGCAGGTTATTCAAAGGGTAAGGCGTTCGGTTGGATTTGCATAGGCTGTGATATGGGGATCTCAGCATTTAGTCCACTTGAGAGGTCGTAGGAGGCTTTTATGGTGGGACCTGCCTCAATTTTCTGTACAATTATAGATGAGGCCACTTGAGGACATATTAGGTGGAACTTTGTACTAATTCAAAAGTATAACTACTTTAATGCTGCCTTTGCCAGGCCATATATATGATAACGTGAATGTTGTGATATAATCGAAGTGCTACGTAAGGTAGGTATGTACTCCGTCCTCCCCACGTACAATCTGGGGGACACGCTTGGCCAAATCACGTGTTCAACTGAACAGATTGAGCCTTGCAGCCGCGGAACTTTTAGACGACGTGGGACTTTATATTTGTATTTGTGCTGTCAGCTCTCTGGTTGTCAGTAATATTTATATTTCCCTTGCCTGACTGTATTAGCTGCCGATTGTTCTCGGCGACCTGCCATTTGCCAGAGAAGTGCAGATTCTCTACTATTCCCGCTCCACCTCGTTTCCATACCACCCCTGGATTCGGGCACGATATGAGCGATGGTTCCCAGGCCACAGATACCCTAGTATCCGAGCAGGCAACGCATTCTCTTACCTCCTTACCCGAGTCAAATTCGAATTTCTCTGCGTCTAAGGAAAGTGGCCACTCTCGGCCAGCTGTTCAGACCAACGGAAACATGATGGACTCCGGGAGAAGCACAGTCTCGGTGGCAGTGGACCCCGTCGCCTTGATTACAACAGAATGTATAACGGTGACATCTGCCATGCGAAAGCATGGGCGGTGGGCGCACTCGTCAGTATCTGCAATTCTGAGTGGAAGCTCAACTCATACAAGCTTGCAAAGCTCAAGACCCGGGACACCTCGAGACCAGCTTGGGAATGATAAAGGGGTCAGAACTAGGCCCTCAACCGGTGTCGCGGATGATAATGATGGGGGGCTTGCAAGTAGATGGGGTTTGAGGGGGAAGAAGGGCAAGAGCATGCAGGACAACCCATTAATGGCTGGGTTTGGAAGGTTGAGGCGTGAGCTTCAGGGCTGTAAAGGTAAACACTGAACTGCACCTTTTCTAGAAGCTATAAACTAATTTGGGAGCAGATATACACAAATTTGACGCGCCGTCATTATTCCATCCTTTCCTCCAAGTAATTCAAGCTTCTGCGACTTCGGCTCCTATTACGTCTATTGCGCTCATGGCCATAACGAAGTTCTTCTCTTATAACCTCATAAGCCCCGACTCTCCTCGACTCGCACTCGCCATGCAGTCCTTATCTGCTGCTATAACACACTGCCGTTTTGAAGCCAGTGACTCTGCTGCGGATGAGGTTGTGCTTCTACGGATATTGAAGCTTATGGAAGGAATGCTGTCAGGCCCTGGGGGGGACTTGCTCGGTGATGAAAGTGTCTGTGAAATGATGGAGACAGGTCTGAGCATGTGTTGCCAGTCAAGGTTAACGGAGCTTCTTCGCCGCTCGGCGGAAATGTCCATGGTCAAAATGTGTCAAATCATTTTTGAGCGGTTAAAACACCTGGAGATAGAGGCTGGGGACCTGGAGGCGTTGGATGAAGATACCAAGGAAGATATGGATACTGTGAAAATGGCTCCATCGGCAAACGCCAACGATGCTGTCAGATCCTCTTTGGCCGCCCCTCCAAGTGATTCCCGACAATCAGCGAGTTTGGATAAGTCACGCAACAGTCCTCTGCCTTCGCCAATGGAGAACGGGACTGAAATGGGAGTAGCAGCACCTGCATCAGAGGCGTCAGATGATCTCCCTATAAAACCGTACTCTCTCCCGTCAATCCGGGAACTTTTCCGGGTACTGGTCGATTTACTAGACCCCCATGATCGCCAGCACGCTGATACTATGAGAGTCATGGCATTGCGCATAATTGACGTGGCTTTAGAAGTTGCTGGTCCTTCCATTGCTAAGCATCCCAGCTTGGCAAACCTGGCCGAAGATCGCCTCTGCCGATATCTGTTCCAACTTGTCCGATCAGATAACATGGCAATATTACACGAGTCGCTTATAGTTGCTGGCACCTTACTAGCAACGTGTCGAGGCGTCTTGAAACTGCAGCAAGAGCTCTTTCTCTCCTACCTAGTTGCTTGTTTACATCCCCGCGTTGAAATTCCGCGAGAGCCAGGCATCGATCCCTCGCTATATGCCGGCGTACCGCAAGCTCCCAGTAGTGGAAGAGCGACTCCAGTCCCAGTCAACGATCGCCAAAAACTAGGAATGGAAGGGGGATCACGGAAACCAGATGCCCGAGAGGCTATGGTAGAGACCATTGGCGCTCTTGCTCGGATACCAACATTTATGGCTGAACTATACGTCAACTACGATTGCGAAGTTGACCGTAGCGACTTGTGTGAGGATATGGTAGGTCTCTTATCTAGAAATGCAATTCCGGACTCAGCCACGTGGAGCACCACAAGCGTTCCGCCGTTGTGTCTAGATGCGCTCTTAGGCTATATTCAATTTATAGCTGAAAGACTTGACGATGAGCCCCGCTATGAAGGATATCCCGGGGTCGCACAGTTGCGCGAGAAACGACGAAAGAAAAAGATCATTATCCACGGAGCTGCGAAGTTCAATGAGAATCCAAAGGCTGGCCTAGCATATTTGAGTGCTAAAGGACTTATCGAGGACCCCACGGACGCCAAGTCTGTTGCAAATTTCTTGAAAGGAACGACACGGATCTCTAAAAAGCCATTTGGAGAATTCATTTCAAAAAAGGGCAACGAACCTATTCTCGAGGCACTAATGGATTCCTACGAGTTCAGCGGGAAGCGATTGGACGAAGCACTGCGTGAGCTGTTGGAAGCATTCCGTTTACCTGGAGAGTCAGCGTTAATCGAGCGTATTATTACGGTGTTCTCCGAACACTATTACGAGACTGCTGATCCAGAAGCTATAGCCGACAAGGACGCGATTTATGTCCTGACCTACGCAGTAATCATGTTGAATACAGATCAACACAACCCAAATGTCAGACCTCAAGATCGTATGAAGTACGAAAACTTTGCGAGGAATCTGCGAGGTGTGAATGGAGGCAAAGATTTTGACACGGAATATCTCCAAGCAATCTTCGACTCTATCCAATCGAACGAGATTATCTTACCGGATGAGCACGATAACAAGCACGCTTTTGACTATGCCTGGAAGGAGCTCCTGCTCAAGACTGGATCTGCAGGCGACCTCGCTATATGCGATACCAACATTTTCGATGCAGATATGTTTGCTGCTACATGGAAACCGGTTGTCTCCACGTTGTCATATGTGTTTATGTCTGCGAGTGATGATGCAGTTTTCTCAAGAGTTATTACAGGATTCGATCAATGCGCACGCATCGCCGCGAAGTACGGCCTGACGGAAGCTGTAGATCAGGTAGTGTACTGCCTCAGCTATATCACTACACTTGCCACCGAGAGTCCATCAAACACGTCTCTCAATACCGAAGTGCAGGTTGGTGAGAACAGTGTTATGGTTAGCGAATTGGCCGTCAAATTTGGAAGAGATTTCAAGGCACAGCTAGCAACGGTTGTTCTATTCCGCGTTGTAACGGGCAGTGAGGCTGTCATCAGCGAGAGCTGGAAATACGTGAGTGTTTTGGTCCCCCCAAGATTTATGTTTATACTGACTGCTCTTAGATCGTACGCATTTGGTTGAATCTCTTTGTCAACTCCCTCATACCCCCTTTCTTCGGCCCAAATCGCATGGACATTCCTCCCATTCCCCTCCAAAACCCTTCTCTAGTAATAGATAGGGGGCAAAAGGCAAATGAAACCGGTGTCTTCTCAGCCTTCACATCTTATATCTCTAGCTACGTTGCGGATGATCCGCCAGAGCCATCGGATGAAGAATTGGAAAGCACTCTTTGCACAGTGGATTGTGTCAATGCCTGCTACATGGGAGACGTCTTCGCGAACGTGGTGTAAGTGCAAATCCCTGTTTCACCTTTCATATAGCTGACTTGAACAGTAACTTGCCCGTGGACTCTCTGAAACCTCTAGTCCTAGCTTTGCTTGCCCAGTTACCTGATGACCCTGCATCTATTGTTATCAGCGTCAAATCCGAGACCGAGCCACCAATGTCACCAGCCTCACAAAAAGGGGCTGCCACTGGTCCCACGTATGACCCTTCAATGGTATACATCTTGGAGTTATGTACCGTACTTGCGCTCCGCGACAGTGATACCGTAAATGCGTTTGGAGCAGATGTTGCGGAGGCTCTGCAAAATGTGATGCGAAATATCGCTAGCTACCACCATATCATGGTCTCGAGGACAATCTTCTACTTGCTTCATCTGCTACATGCCAGCTACGTAAGTGATGCTTGCCTTATCATATCGAAATCTCAAACTAATTCTCTAGGAACAAACTTTCCTCCGGGCCCCGATCGTTCTACACACAATATCCAGTTTTAAGAAAGACCTGTTGAGCAAGTCTGCTCCACTTGTGCTCCAGGGATTAACTCAATGTATCAAGGAACCTGGCCCTCTAAGGAATGAGATCATGACATCCCCTGATTTCTGGGTCATCCTTCGCAACCTCGCCAGCAATGCGCAGTCTGCCCCAACTGTGTTCGAAATCCTCGAAGGCATTGCTGTCGGCTCTCCACCTACCATAATGGCAGATAATTATGAGTCTGCGGTAAAGTTACTCACTGATTTCGCATCCGCTGGGAGTATCGGATCGACACTTGAACAACGAAAGCAAGGCAGTAGAACCAAACCAAAGCGGCCCCAGAAGCGGCCAAATCAAAAGGAACCACCGTAAGTTACTCGCCTGGTACCGAGGACTTAATCTAACTTGGCATAGGATTGATGAGGCTGCGGTTGAGGCTGCAGTATCTCGTGGTGTTAAAGCGATTACCATGATTTACTCTGTGACGACTCGAATTCCAGTTTTGATGAAGCAATCTCATCTTGAAAGTAAAGAGGCATGGGCAGCTTACTGGTCGCCGATTTTCAGGGCTCTCACAACCCAATGTACCAATCCTTGTCGCGAGATCCGGCATCAGGCGTTCTCGGCGCTCCAGCGCACGCTACTTTCTCCCGAACTGACATCCGGCGAGCATGAGGAATGGACCGCTATCTTTGGCGAAGTTCTATTCCCGCTTATTGTGCGACTCTTAAAACCAGAAGTTTTCTCATCTGATCCTGTTGGAATGAGCGAGACAAGAGTACAAGCTGCGACTTTACTCTGCAAAATCTTCCTCCATTACCTGGTGCTGCTTTCAAAGTGGGACGGGATGCTAGATCTTTGGATCAAAATCCTTGATATCATGGACAGGTTGATGAACAGTGGGCAGGGTGATAGTCTGGTATGTCATCTTCATTATGGATCGTTATTTGCAGCTTGCTAACTCAAATTCAGGAGGAGGCTGTTCCCGAAAGCTTGAAGAATATCCTGCTAGTCATGTCCAGCAGCGGCTATCTTGTTCCCCAAAGCCAAGACCCCGCCCAGGAAAAGCTATGGTCAGAGACGTGGAAGCGCATCGATCGATTCCTTCCGGATCTGAGGAAAGATCTTGCTCTAGATCCGCCAATGGAGGCTGAAAAGCCCACTGAAGTCCCAGTTGAAGAGAAGAAGGGGGATGAAAATGCTCCGGCGACAGTGTCGCCCGTTTCGTAGATAGATTTTGAAAGTAACTGTGTTGTACAGTAAAAGTGTTAGACGGTGGATCAGATGGTGTGAACTTAATATTATGGTGCGAATAGCGTATACCGTTGCGGATCTTCTCCTGCATAGCTAGCGGAGGGTTTATCATAATTTGTATAATAGAATTGTTGTTGACTACCTGTTGTCCTTCGTCCTTGTACAAACGGCCCTTCTCTGGTCTTCGATATTCAGCAACGGCGCTCACCAGAAGATACACATCATCTTCCAACAAAGTATGGCTGCCTCAATTCAAGATTAGAGTTTTGTGGGTATCGGACCAGAACCCGAAGGAAATGGACTGCTGGCTAACCTGTAGGCCAGAACATGATTGATTAGTAGCTTATAATTAGCTAATTGCCATAATAGATAAGCCCCCGCCTCTAATATATAAGAATTTTCTTTTTCTTCTATCATCCTCGTTACTTGAGGCCGACGATCCGCCCACCTACGCTACCGTCTCGCCAACTCTAGGCCCACCCCTAATCACCTATCGAATTACAAAAAAAGGGCAAGGACCAGATCAACAATAAGGTCAAGCTATCCTCTATTACCCTTGCTGTGGCAGAGGTGTAATTGTGCCGGCCAGCTTAAAGGAAGTTGCACCAACTGCCATTATGGCAGTGAAGGTTCGCGCTGCTCAGTCCGCCAGCTCAAATGTCAGGCTACGTGAGTACATTGCTGCAAGGCAAAGTGTTATGGCAGTAAAGGTACCATTGCTCTCTCAGTCTGTAAACAAGAATAATTATGATTTTCTCAGTGAGGTAGATAATAGATGACAATGTCACAATAAATGACAGTGAATATTCCAGTTGACAGCAACGTAGTGACATGGAGCTATTCAAATTTGAGAAGGCCACATAACTATCTACCCACACCTTTATACAAGATCCATTCCTAAGTAGGGTATGTTCTTGAGATGTGTGGGTTGGTAATGTGATCCTGATCCTGCGATGTGTGGATTGGCATGTAATCGTGATCCTGTGATGTGTGGTTTTGGAAGGAAACGGAAAAGCCCTGCTGGCCAAGTTCGAGTTTTGGCGAAGGCGACGGGTGGCGTACTAGTTGTGGGTGACCCTCCTCCGCTCGGATAATCCTGCAGTATATGTACGCTGATACTAAAAATGAGAAAAACTAGTAGAAGAAAAGGAAAGAAAAAGGAGACCAGAAAAAAGGGGTATAGAACGCCAAGCGAATCCGCTACATTAACTATCCTCTAATATATTTACTATATATATGCACCTTAGTCTCTAGTGTTTTCCCAACTATTATCAGTGTATTCTGTATCTATCTAACTATTATCAATATCCCCTCTATATTCCCTAATGTCGACATTGCATTCTAATTTAGTAGGTACCGTTGGTAAGACAAACGAAACACGGTTTACAAAAAAAGCTGGTACTGTCAAAGTAAATGTTGAAAAGTGATACTGTTTCATCCTGTCCACTTTTGGGAGGAAATAGTGCCTGTATTCCTAGCAAAACGACAAGTATTCAAAAGGAAAAAACCAGCTTCTACATACTTCTGTGCTGTTACTTCCTCTTACACCTACAAAATCATCTCAACTCTCGATAGCTCCATCACCCGATTACAAATGAGCATACTTTCGGCAATTTTTGCCCGCACCGCAGTGTCTGAACCTCCCGAGAGTCACCTAGAATCAAAAGAGTCGCTTCTTTGTATCAAAATCCTTAGTTTAAACCTCACTTCTTAGCAGGTGGTGTAATCCAGTATAGGGAATCCCCACACCACTTCTTCCCTATGGTGATATTGGGATCTCTCGGTGTCTCTTCCCACAAAGCCAAGAGCGCTGGATCCGTATTATGGGTAGTACTAGGTTCAATTAGCATAAATTCTGAAAATGCGATTACAAGGGCTGGAAATAACCATTCTTTTGTCGCGCAGATTTCAGAGGTCCCTTTGTTAGGGCAGTTCCTTCTATTAATTAGACCTATTCTCAAAAGTTTGAGTGAGTGGTGGGTACCATTTAAAGGTTGTCAGCGCGCCGCAAGGAACCCCTCAGCGAGATATATAGTTCCCACCATCACCATTATGTTCGTAAAGGTGAAGTGCGTGACACATCATAGAAAGTGAAGAGTAATATAGTATATGTAGGTGAAGCCGTGGAGGTGTGGTAGTATGTAAAAATGAAAGGGATTCAAGCCACCTTTTGACCTCATCCACAGTGCCCAACCCCAGGCACTCTGCCATTGGCTAGAAGAGCCTCGTAGTTGACTTGGCCAGGTTGCAAATACTTGATGCCACGGGTCACCATTACATGGGCCCAAGATTTGAGTCTAAATCCCGAAACGTTAAATCCCAATTGCCGTTTTTTTTCCTCTGTAGGCCAGAGGAAGTAAAAACGTAACCACAAAACGAGACGATCCTATTTATCAATCCACCTAAAGTCACTCTAGAATGGTTTACAGCTATCAAATAGTTGCCACGTATTCACAGCGGGCCACATACACTAATAAGGGACCTGAATACATCTTTACCCACAAAATACCGCCCGAAAATGCATGCCTCAAATCGAGGCATCCAAAGAACAAAGGTAAAAGTATGACTGATTGGAACACAAGAAATTGCACACCATTCGATCGAGTTTCTACTTGGTCTACTGCTTGAAAGAGCAACATATTTTCCGGGATCAAATGGGCCTTTAAATCCTTCTTCCGGGGTGGAATGTGGGGAAGGCCGGAAGGAGAGGCAAACTAAATTCACTCGAATGTAAATGAGAGACAGACTCGGACGGAAACAATGTTGTTCTTTACACAGTTGCGGGAATGATTAAGGCAGTAGATGAGACCACAGGTGAAAGAAATACTGTGGCATGCAGCCAGATTCATACAGTAGAATTCGAAATAGGCTTCATAGCTGAACTCTTGATGATTTTATTTTGGGTCCACATTTAGCGGGAACTAGCTATATAGCTAGATCCCCTCGGACTCGCTTAATCTCCTGCGTTCCAGATCCGCGTGATCTCTGCTTTCTGTCCTGAGGCCCTGCCATTGTCATTGTCGGCAGATAAGCTGCTAACTTACTATAAGGAAGGGATCCCCTTTGTGAGCCTTTGATGGCGCCACAGGTGCTGTGGCTGCACCCTGGCAGGGTTCCCCCTTGTAGGGTCACCTGACCTCACGTGCTGGCTAACAGCCAGCCGGATGGGTATTTTACCACCTCCGACCGCTAGGGGCTCTTGACGCTCTCCAGCGTCAAGTTCTGTTCTGTTAGTCATAGACTGAATACACTTAAGCACTTGGCTATTAGCCAGCGAACCTCCAGAGAACCTGTGATATTGATTGCCTAGGTGACATCGCAGTTAATTGCCGTGTGTTACCCTTACACTTACTTAAGATTCCAAATTAACTTCCTACTTATGAAACGAGGAATTGCTGACAATGTACAGCTCTTAAGATTGTGTCATCCATTTTGTGCTCTCTGCACCTCAGGATGTTTCTAGCTTGCTATTAAATCCATCACCAGAGGGTTGCGATAATGACGTCATATAATCAGTTCGACCTACAGTGTAATCGCTCTACAAGGGTTATTATAGCAAGGCGTTCCGTCGAAACCGACGAGGCTTTCAATCAAAAAAAAAGCCGTTCCAAGCAGGCAAACAAAGATAATGCACTCCTCAATGCGAAAAGTCGAGTTGTTAGAGAAGAGCTTGCTGAACGGCTCTGGGTACTGATGTATTTGCAATATCTTGCCAATCGTATCAATCAAACAGACAGAGTGAGAATACACCTCTCAGATCTACCACCTATTGCGAGTCTATCAGTACACGACCCCAAAAGCATTTCTTCGATCAGTCTTCCACAGCCACCGATGTATGAAGCATCAATTAAGCAACATATCGAGGTCTTGGAACAACGCAGAAGAGATACTCAGATTGGAAAGGAAGCTAGCTGGGCTGCTCTAAACACTTTAGCTCTTGGACTAACATCAGGTAATCTGGTTCTACTCTATTTGTATGATGATCTTATGATAATGTTCGATCACAGGTATTCAAGGCGACCCTGAAGACGTCGACGTCGCGTTCAGACTCTTTAACGATAATAGCCACGCACATTTCTTCGTGGATAGGGAAGATATCCGGTGCAGTAACTGGCAACAATTTGACATTAGCCAACCCCAAGAGAGGGAAGGAGCTAAGAGACATATTACCTCTTCTCCCACCCCAACAAATTACATCTCCATTAGTACATCGCCTCGACGAATATGGAATTTAGCCACCAGGAATCCAGGTAGGGTTGATCAGAAGATTGCAGTGATCGACTTGCGGGTATTAAAACGTCTCGGAATTGCATATAGCAGTAGCACAGAGGATCTAGGATTTCGTCACCTTAACGAAACAAATGGGACTGGGACAATATTTGCTACTAAGCATCATATTCTCGTCTTGGGGTGGCTTCCTCCTCACTGTATTCTCGGTCTCTTATCGATCAAGCAGTTTGAGGCATCACTCAAGCAGTCTCAAATTGATAACTCAAGTTCGGGTTCCTCGTTTTCTTCTTCATATCTGAACCATGACTGACTTCTATAACTTAGGAAACATTTCACCTTCTGAGTATGAGAAGAAGATTAGCTTCCCGTCAATTCTACAGTACCTTCCCGGAGCAGGAGCTTCCTCTCAATCAGCAGGCCGAAAGGAAATCTTTGTGTAAAGTAGTTACTAAAATATTGATCGTTATATTGTTGATAGGGAAGCTGGCTTTGCACAGTCTTTGGTGCCTTTGACCACCTTAAAAACAGTTACAATAGTATAATATATTTGGTTTAGTAAACTATATACGTAGGCTTAGAATATTATCATACAATTTCCCCGCTTTGACCAAAATCAGCTCTCTTAAAGCACTCGACGTCCACATCTGCTTCCGAACTAGTTTCGTGCTCGGGCGTAGAAGTACTATCTTGAGCATTCTCCGGTATATTGATAGCTTGTTCTAAGTTCATACTCGCAAGAGTTTGATATTCTTTATCCTCTCTGAGTATTTCCTCCACCGCCTTACGTTCAAGGCTGTCTAGCTCACGCCTTCGAGTATCAATATCTTGGAGCTTCTCCGTCAATCTAGACTCCAACAGATCTTTATTACGTCCCAGCTCATCGACAACCTGTTGTACTTCCCGTCGTAGGCACGAAAGAGTACGGGCGCAGATATTGTCGTGGAGTATATCAGCTAGGAATTCCGCTTCGATCATGAATTGCCTAACTGTATTTGCACTCACTCGGACCCTGTGGACAGCGGTATGGCGTAATTGCGCTATCGAGTCGAGAAATTCAGGGAAGGGCTTTCCGAGTTGATCCAGCTTCTCAGCGTCAAACTTGTCCTCATTACTACAAAATATCCGGGCCCAAATATTGAGCTCTACAGATTCCGGGCAGTCCCATCCCTTCGTTTGAAGTACGTCTCTCATCACGTTATAGCCAAATATATAACAAGCGTTTTCTAGTAGAGCTTGTACCTTCACCAGAAGTCTGTGCTGAGTATTGAGAGGCAAGTACACTGGGTACAATGACGGAACAGAGACGTTCGTATGTGGGAAGGAATGCTTTCGATATCGAGAAGTTGAGGCCTGTGATTCTGCGTGGGGTTAGCCAAGAAATAACCTGGCGTCTTGCATTACATGCCCAGTGCTTTACGTTTGCCTTTGTGAGCTGAATCAAGCTCATCAACTTTTACCGAAGCCCGCGGCCCGTGGAGCCCCTCAGCAGCATCTCTAATGGCATCCGCATCGCTCCTTGCCGCCTCAGCTTCTGAGGCAACACGCTCTGCGCTTTGGGCGGGAGACACTTCGAACACTTCTGGAAAACGGATCTTAGCCCTTAGGGTTGATGAGAAAATACTGTCTTGAAGCAGGGCCTTCGCGACATTGCAGACATTGTTAATATTGTGCTCGGCTACCAGCGCGCGGAGCTCTGCATGTCCATTTTCCAGCTGCTTCTGGATCAACTTCCGGATCTTCTTTGGGATACGCAACTGTGCGTCTGGTCCCTTGAAGACATTTTTCAGCGCCAGGTATACTAATCTTTCATCTGGAGGGTTCTTAGCCATTGGATTTGGTCATAAGTAGAGGCAAAGAGCAATTTTTTAAAGAAGGTCTAGCTAGGAAAGATGAAGAAGCATATGTCATGGCGATCAAGTTTGGCCAGGTGAGGGCAGATTACCTAAGGGAGCGGGGTAACCTCAATTGAACAAATGACATTGAGTCAAATTGATTCTAAGAACATTCCAATCTGCGGCTCACACGCCAGGATACGTGTGAGGCAATCAATCGTAGCCAGCGTTCGAGCTCACTAGCTCACACTTTCGAGTGCGATTGATCGTTTCTGCAGTCGGTAGCCCTTCGAGCAACACTACAACTCTCGTCCTCATAATTTCCAAATACGATTTGAACTTGGGCAACAGAGCCTGAAATATCGCGGACGTACAACATAGACGCCGAATCTCATCAGAAGTGGTCTCTTGAAGCGCCCTCTAAAGTTTTCATCTGATGAGTCAGTACGATGAGGGTGAAACGCGTTCCTCCTAAAATGCCTTCTCAGTCTCCTCCCGCTCTATTCCGACCCTACGTCAGAATTCGAATCGAGCCTACTAGCCGTGAATATAGACTTCCGAAAAACTTGTTGTGCCAGCAATCCACGTTCTTTGCGGCTGCGTTTAACGGAAGCCTCATAGAGGGAGAGGAGCAATTAATAGCTTTGAAGGAGGAAGAGGATATCGTTTCTACGCCGAGTTCGGCAATGAAGCTGATTTCGAACTCTACTGTACGTCTTCCGTATTCCTTATGTGTACAGAATAATGGTATGAAACTTGGGAACAACCTTGTCCCCATATTTCCCTTCTATTGGACCATAAAGCAATGTAATAGAGAGACATGCAATTGGGGTATTTACTTTACAAGCCCACCCACCCAGAGGCCAGAACTCCGACCCTTGAACGCCAAGCAATTCTTCTATACCATATCCCTAATGTTGACCGTAAAATGCATGCCCTTGCGCAGCTTGATCAAGATCCATGAATTGATCAATATCAGACTCCACATACGGTAGTGGCTGAGGTTGCTGAGGTTCTTGCTGTTGTACATCGGGAAAAGCGTCATCACTGGGATTTCCATCCAAGCCTCGGCTGACTTTGAATTCAGCTGGTACAGCTGTGCCCAAGGTATCTCTCCTGTTCTTCTTTCGTTGCTCAGGGTTGTTGTTTTTGTCTCTTCGACCGTTCATCCATGCACCTGCATCACTTGTAATGCCGCTGGCAACTTCATCTTGGTATTTTTGAGCTCCCCTCAGAATAGGAAGCAGGGCCTTCGTCTCGTACCAACGCCCCTTGACATCGGAGAGGCCCTTTCGAGCAGCTGGTTCTAGTAATCGCCATTCATACCACATACCCTTTTTTTCTGCCACCTCATTCCGATATCGCAGGTCATCCACCATTCGAGGAGGCAGATCTGGTTTCGGCCAGTCCGCACGGTTCTTATATGGCGTTGGCATCTCGACGAACTTGTAGACATCGCCAACGAAGGTGACAGAAGAACCATCTGGCGGAGTCGTGCGTTCGATAAGTTTGTGGATGATGAGAACGACGATGTCATTGCCAGGGACACGCAGGCGAACTGGCTCCCCTACCCATATCTTCTCAGCGCCCAAGAACATCCCATTGTAGTGCACTTCTCCCGGTCCTGCTAACGCATTTTCAATTCGGTCGAACAGCGAATAACTCGAATCAATGACCTTTGCTGCGAGTATACTGCCATCCACAATATAGTCTCGAGTCTGCCCTTCGTCGAACTCGCCCTTCACAACTCGGTCCCAAGGCACTTGGTCAAATGTATAATTTTGAATAGCAGGGACTGTGGTAGTCGGAACGCTCCACGCCAGCCACGGTCGAATTGAGCTTTCGTCTTCTTTGATTTGGGAAGGTTGGTGGTGAAAGGGGTTCGAGAGAGGTTGCAAGAGATAGCGAGGCTTATTACTCAGTAACTGCCGTTTCGCAATAACACCCAGACGCCAATTAAGACCATTGTTGAACCACACTAATTCCCCAGGCCTATACAGATATTTTCCGTTTGCCTCGCCATCTAATCGTTGCTCTTGTGACTTCGTAGCGGTAGGTAGGCCGGGTTGGAAGGTTGGTCTAGATTGCATGGCTTGAGGCGCTTGCGTAGCTTGGGTACATGTCAGCGGGCAGGGTTCATTTATATATATATACACGCTGTAAAGCGCTACTTACGTTTGGAGGGGGCTGAAGACGAGAAGGGAGCCTGTTTGATCTCCTTCTTGGGGGGGATTTCTGCCTTCACTGGCTCCTCCACGGTATCATCATCTCCATCCGGCGAGCAGATCTTGCAGGAGCAATTGAGAGGATCACCCTCTTTGTCGGCTGCGAGCCATAGCAGGTGATGGAAGAAGTCTGCGGGGCTGCGGAAACGCTTCTTGCGGCCATGCGGATGGCCATAGAGATAGGCATCCTGCCGTTCAAAGACTCCTGCGGCATGTTTCCCTCTCTCCTTCTTATCGCCGCCGCCAACCTTGTATTTGAGATGCTCCCATAACACATATCCTTCTGGGAATTCTTTCAAGATGTAATTTTTGCCTGTGGTTGATCGTTAGATGCGAGGAGGTTCGCATAAAAAGTTCAGACGAAAGGATACCTTCATGCTCTTTTTCTCCCAAAACATGCATCAGCATGCCACCCAGCTTTCGTCTCCAGTCAACCGCTTTTGGCTCATCAGGGTCCAGCTTCTTGTAGCAGTCAACCATTCCCTTGGCATCCTGGGTGTCATTTTGCTGTGCTGCGGTGGGCTCGTTGAGCTCCTTCGCGCCTGACTTGGTGGTCAATGAGAGCTGTCCATCGGAGCGAACTACAACAATGGGAACATAGGGCGCCATGGTTTGCAGGTGAAGGAGGATGTCAGCGTAGTATGGCGTAGGGCACGCACAAACACGGTGATCAAGGTGCTTCCATAAGAGGATTGAAGGTGGAGTTGGAGTTGGAGTTGGAGTGCAAACAAGCTAACTCTCGCAGTGATCCAGATGCACTTGTCATAGATAGTAGAGGAGAGGGACGAACAAGAGATCGGAGGCACATCGGATTATTATCGGAAGCATTCCGGGTAAACACCGGCCCGATCTGCAGGTCCCTGAACTGCCCCTGAATTATAGTTGAAGTTGCCCCTTTTTCAATTATAGGAACCTTTCGCCTTTCCAATCTCTATTCTCCATTCCGCGTTTGCCAGTATTGGGAAGGATATTAAGCTCCGTAAAGTCTACGGGGTGTAGGACAAAGAGATCGGCCAGATGCGGACATAAAGGGAGATGACAGACACTACCAAATCAAAGAAGAATTCCATACGTAGTACTTAACAATGAAGACAACTCGGGGCCACTTGGCAAGATCAACTATAGATACCCACGGGTATAATATATCACCATAGAACAGATAGACGCACATAAAGAAACTCAAATTATATCTTCCACAGAGCCCCCCCAGCAGGGGAGAGCTGATATACAGAGTAAGCAATCGGGGAGTCACTTTGACTCGCGTAATTTGGTTTCTTTATCAAAAAGTTGCGACGCGACTCTCTCCTCACCAGCGCGTCACACTCCCGTACTGTATTCCATACCGCCATCCTCACCTCCACTCCAACCCCCACTGGTTGCATCCAAAATCCAGAAACACTTTCTTTGCCTTGAGCATCTGAATTTGCATTCAAGCCGTCCATGGGACAACGATACCATCCTAATTGCCTCCGCGCTGGACTTCCACGGACGCGCTCGTCGCTGCTTGAGCTTTGCCTTGCCTTGTCTTAAGAGCCCTGCTCAAACCACGTCTACCTTCTAACGCAAAACTGATATCTATGTCTACCCATACTTCGAGAGCCAAAGCTTTGTTTGCCATGCAGGACTCAGGTTCAACTTCCGATCATCCCCAGTATCACCAAACCCCAGTTTGGCGCAGCGTTGCCTCAAGCATCCTCGCAAAGTTCTCGCCAGGCTCCTCTATCCAACATAAAATGGATGTCCAAAACCAGCTGATCCCAGGCGATCTGCCGCGCCGACCGAAGCCAACTGTATCTTACGCCGAGTCGGAGCCGTCTTCACGTTCCTCGTCCCAAAGTGAAGGCTTCTCGAACCCAGATAACGACGAAGATGAGGAGGACGATGAAATCATCGAATACGCCGCTGCCCCCCGCCGCCGTGCCCTGCGAGAGCGCAGACCCAACATGTCACTTAAGGCTCAGGAGAACTCCGAAGCTCCAAAGCGGTCGAGGGGAAGGAAACATAATGCGGCAGATAGTGTTGGAAGGGGTAGATCGAGCACTGCACCTACCTTTAGCGAAAGAACTGCTATCCGCCATGAAATTACGAATAAAACGGCGGCTCTGAGAAGCAGGTTCTTCGTGGAGAAGAAGGATTTCCTGCTTCCTCTTTTACCACCAAATAACCATGTTCGGAAGATGGTTGAAAAGCATGAACAGCTTTCCCCTGAAGAGTTGGCAGAACTTCCGGCTGTCACGCCATATGAAGAGATCGGAACCCAGCCACGGGGGGTTACAGCTACTATGAAGCCCTACCAGTTATCAGGTCTTAGCTTCATGGTCTATCTACATCGGAATGGCCTGTCGGGGATCTTGGGCGATGAAATGGGTCTTGGGAAGACTCTACAGACACTTTCGCTAATACAATATCTGAAGGAGAATGACCCAAAGACCGGAAGTGGCAAGCTACAGAGGCCCTTCCTCGTTGTCTGCCCTCTCTCTGTGCTGAGCAGCTGGATGGCCGAGGCAAAGAAATGGACCCCTAGTTTGAGAGTGGTTAGGTTTCATGGTCCGATAAAGGAGCGGGATAAGTTGAAGAAGATTGTCATGGGGGAGATTGATATGTATGGCAACATGACCCGCCAGGCCAGATCTAAGTTCAAGTCCCGACGAAATGCTGCCGGAAAAACCGTTGTTTCGCTGGATACTGACTCGGAAGATGAGAAAGACGTCGGCGTTGATTTGGTGGTGACGACATACGATTCTTTCAAAGCCGAGCAGTCGTGGTTTAAAAAGGCGCTTATCTGGCGATATGTAGTATTGGATGAAGGGCATACGGTCAAAAACCACGAAAGTCTTGTTTCCAAAGCTTTGCAAGGCATGAACGCAGAATATCGGCTCATTCTTACCGGAACACCGTTGCAGAACAACTTGTCTGAATTGTGGAGTCTCCTCCATTGGCTCTATCCTGAGGTATTCGTTGGCAATACCAACGAGCTTTTTGACAGTTCCTTTAACTTGTCGAAGGGGCAATACTCCAAGGACGTACTGGATAACTCTCGACATCTTCTGGAGCTGATTATGCTGAGACGAATGAAGGGCTCTCCAGGCGTTGATCTTAATCTTCCACCGAAGTCCGAGGTGCTCTTGTTTGTCCCCCTCAGTCCAATGCAGAGGTTTTGGTACGAGCGAATGATAACCAAGGCCGATCGAGGGCTCTTGGATGAGCTTTTCAAGGGGTTGAAAGACAAAGAAGTTGATGCTCTCAAATCCATGAAGGAAGGCGAGGAAAGGGAAGCTGGAATTATGGCAAAGAAACAAAAAGCACTTGAGATGTTAAACGACTCCGTCGGCACAGAGGACGCATGGAAGGAAACCAAAGCCATCTTAGAAGAAACAGTCCAGCGCGAGCAGGCGATGGAGGAAGATGGTAGCAGGAAGTCCGCCTGGCAGAAGTTGATGAATCTCTTGATGCAATTACGCAAGGTTTGCAATCATCCCTACCAGATCAGCCATGCTGAGCCGGATCCTTATAATGCAGGTGACCATGTCATCCACGCATCGGGCAAGTTCATTGTATTGGAGAAGCTGCTCAACGAACTGGTTATCAAGCAGAAGAAGAAGATCCTGATATTCTCCGGCTTCACGAAGATGCTGGATTTGGTGGAAGAGTTGCTGTTGCTTCGAGGTGGCGATGGATCTTGCTACAGGGCAGTCCGTATTGATGGGTCCACGGCTAGAGCCAGACGAAACCTCTCTATTCGCATGTTCAACGACCTGAGCAGCGATTATCGAGTGATGCTGATCTCGACCCGTGCCGGTGGTCTGGGCATCAATCTAGCTTCAGCGTCTGATGTGGTCCTTTTAGACCAAGATTGGAACCCTCAAATTACCCTTCAAGCTGAGGCTCGAGCCCACCGGATCGGGCAAAAGAACCCAGTCACCATTTACAAACTGGTTTCGCAAGGCACTGTGGAGGAACAAATGATGGGACGCATCCAGAAGAAACTCTACCTGTCCGCGAAAGTGACTGAAGCAATGGAGGATATACACACCAAATTTGGCAACAACAAAAAGGCTAAAAAGGGTAGATCATCCGAGGCTGATGACAATATGCCACAACTCAACACTAGCCAGCTCATGACCTTAGTCCGACGAGGTGCTTCAGCGATTTCTCGGCCCGAAATTGATGTCAATGAGATGCTCGCATGGTAAGCGTTCTCCATCTATCCATTAGCAGTCCTTCCCAAAACTTGTGATACGTCAATGATTGCCATCTCCCTGAGAGCTTAGAACACTCCGGTTGTCTACAGATTTCCAGGAAATAGGCACATTTTTTCCAATATCTCTCGAGTTTTGACATGCATTGTTGTTTGAGATTTACTAACGCCATACAGGGACTGGGAAACCACTGTTATGAAGTGCAAGGATCAACCGACAGATATCAACGTCAAGAAAGATGCGATCCCAGATGCAAAAGTTGATCAGGAAGCTGAACAGAAGTGGTTGAGTGAACTAGAGCGTGTCGAATCCTCCGTTTACGCTGGCAAAAAGCTTGCTCGAACAAAAAACATCTCCAACAAGGAACTTGCCGAGGAGTTCGATAGGGCCGAGCGACGGAAGGGCAAGAATACCACGGTCATGGTAGACGGGTTTGCTATTTCGAAAGAATCTATGAACTGCAAGCAATGGGAGGCCGTCCCCACAATGGGGAATAAAAATGCAGCTTTTGCCGAGCCAAAGCGCGCCAAGAGAGCCCCTGTTGAAGCACAATCACACTGCCAGGTCTGTCTTGATGGCGGAGAATTGGTCCTCTGCCAGCGCTGCCCTCGTTCTTATCATATGAAGTGCTTGGACAAGGGGTTTCAAGCCACCGCGAAGGGCTGGCAGTTTAATTGCCCGCAACATGAATGTTATGATTGCCTGCAGAAGACAACCGACGCCGGAGGAATGTTGTATCGCTGCAGGTTCTGCGAGAAGGCATATTGCGAAGATTGCTTGGACTTCGAGAAGTCCACACTCATCGGTGATACTCTTCCAGAGTTTGACCTCCTCAACTACCCTGAAGCCACCCAGGCGTTCTATATCCAGTGTCATATATGCGCCGATCATTTCGAACAAGTTCCAAATGACAAAAAGATGTGCGAAGATGTGGCTGAGAGTGCCAGGATTAGACATGAAGAGGTATTCGGTGAGCAGAGGGAGTCGAGCACTGGACCAGCAAGTTTGACCGATGCCACAACCGCCGAGACGACTAGTGTGAATACGCCGATGGAAATCGAGGACGACGAGGTTATGTTCGTCCCGAATAAAAACAAGCGAAAACTGGACACCCTGCACTTTGAGGTTCCCTTGAAGCGAGGGCGTTTGGGAGTTTGATTGTTAAATGGTTATTGTATAATATGGCGTTTTCGAAATCGGAATATGATAGATACCTTGGGGTTTGTCGGCTGGTGTTTGTAGGGGAGGTAGGATACCGTGGGGGCTTTGAAACCCGTTAAGGATCCTACTCTCTCAAAGAACGGGGCTGGCTGGGTATGGTGTTTTTAATTTGATTTTTCCCCCATCTCTGGGATGAATGGTTCATCTTGTGTTACTAGGGCGGTGGGATTACTTGGTCCTCGACAATAGGATCTTCTGCGGGGCGTCAAATAGAGTGCTCTCTGCATGTATTCTTAGAGATAATATTAAACAGTAACGTCAAAACTACACTCTTTTTTATTCTTGATGCAAAAAGATGTGGAAACTATACAATCAAGCAGATCATATGTAACATATAGCAAATTTAAATGCTACCGACAAGCGAGTTAACTGACAAAGGCATTAAAAACGAAAAAGGGCCGAAAGTAATTAAAGAAAAGAGTAGCAAAAAAGAAATATCTTCACGGTTACTTAATTAGTTGCACTTGGTATCATCGAGCTGGTAGAGCACCACGTCGATTAAAAGAAACGTAATGCAATGTCTTATTTGTAGCCAGCTGTTGAGACTTGTAATAATAAACTGTATTATTTCAAAGCCATACATCATGATATCACAACCAATCTGTATAATTAAACAACTTTAGACCTCATGTATTATTCCTTCTATATCAGTCCTTTTAAAAAGTATATTACATATGCTCTTAACTATTATCTATGCCTTATCTCAGTCTCAGAAACATATATATATATTTTAACCCCCAATTCCCGTTACATCCTCTTAACATCCTCAAACATCCTCCAACGTAAAGTATACAACCCATTTCTACACCCGCAATACTCAACAACACCTCTTACACACTAAGAATCTACATCAAGCACCGGACTTCAAATCTCAACCAAACATCTATAATGTGTAAATACCCTGCAAACCTCTCTGTGAGCATTAAGCAATCCAACCTAAATTATAAACTCTTAATCTCAACTAACGATCTATAATCTACAAATACAATACAAAACCTCTCCTGCAAACATCAAACAATTCAACCCAAATCAGATCCTCCTAATCTCAACCAATCATCTATTATTTATAAATACCTAACAAACCTCTCCTGCAAATATTAAGCAATCCAACCAAAATCATAGACTCCTAATCTCAACCAACCACCTAAAATCTATAAATACCCTACAAACCTCTCTCATCTAAACATTAAACCATTCAACCGAAACCATGGACTCTTAGTTGGCCGCCGCGTCGCCGCACCACAACAGGTCATCTCAGATTGTCTATCGATGGATAGAGTATACCTGTGTCTAGGAACGACGCAGTACACCACCGTGCAGGAAGTTTTTTGTTTCCTAACTTGAAAGCTGTCAAGGTGAATAAACTCACTATGTACTTTAAATATAACAAAGACAGCTGTATTCAAGTTTGACAAACATCCTCATAATGACAACAGCCCTTATTTTCTATTTTTAATAGTATATCTCCTACCTGATATAGCCCTCCTCTACAGCTCCCTACTAATACAAAAGACAAGAGATCTCTACAATATGCCTATACAAAAGCTGCCCAACACAGCAGCAGTATAGGCTAGGTCGAATTCCGTCCTACCTCATAGTTGGGTTCATCCTGGTTTATTTTCGTGGTTTATTGATCTTGGGGCTATAAGCGCTTATCAAGTATGATAATCCCACAGGCGCCAGCCAAACTAATAAGATTAACATTCGGGCCGTCAAAAAAACATGGCTTTCTCTCAAGTCAGCCTCTCTCCCCCCCTTCCAGAAAGAAATATTCGAGAACACACAAGCCAAGCCTCATTAACACATGTAAGTAAACGTCCTCGTGGCATAAACCTCCTAATCAAAGCCTCCGGAAGTAAGTACATATATGTGTGTGATCTAGCGTTTTACGACAAAACGCCCGCCCGGTGGCTGTACACATGTGTCCGTTAGTCAGTTAGTTAGGTCAATGCTGCTGACTTACTACTGGGAAGCAAAACAAAATAAAAAAAAAGCTCCGAGCAAAACCAGGCAGTCGACGGCACTACCCGTTCTTTCGTCAGTCAGCCTGAGCGTATCTCTCTCAGGGGGTTGTTTCCTTTGCGCAATTCATGCTAAATATGAAATTGGATAATTTACTTCGTAGACCTTCTAAACAAAACCGCCTATTGGCTGGAACCCTTCTTCCCTCCCGAATCCATGGATAACAAACTCGTCAGTCGTGTATTTCTCTGAATGGGGTATTTGGCGAAAGTGAGCTGGGGGGGAAATTCCCAGGTATCTGGGAAAGGGCAGGATTACTATCTAAAGCCTGAAGGCAAGGCAGGGCGATCTCTGAGCCGCGAGATGAATGATTTACGTCGTGAATCGGATATGCGCGGGAGGTAGCGAAATCAACAACTCACGTACGTACAAAACCCCAACTAGGAACCTAACAGGGCTTCTTTGCCTACCTACCTAGGCACTGATCCACTATTGTACTCTCGTACTCTCGTAACTGTTTTCCCACTGCGGCGCGCGCGAGAGAGAAACTAAAATTGAGGCTTCTTTGAGACATAGCCCACGTTTCACGCGGGCTTTAGAAACAATTAGTTCCATGACTCCATGGGCTCTAGTCTGTACGCCGCAGGATGCGCAAATCAAGAAGGCATGTAGGCATTTTGTAGGGTCTAGAACCACGTGGTTGAAAGTAGTGGGTGGTGTGGCTTTTTTTCGCTCGTGCATTAACCTCCTCGTGCGTTGTGCTCTGTTCGTTGGCAATGCGGAGTAAAGAAGAGGAAGGAAAATAGCTAGCTTTTGGGAAGGAAATAATGGGAATGCCGCTGAACGCGCGGTGAAAAAGCGCACACAGGTACGAAGTACTTTCATACCTGTCTCGCCCTGTGTATCGATGAGAAAACCCCCCTCACTGGAATAGAATCCCATCACAAACCTGCTGCGATTTATGTGAATCTCCCCCAAAAAGAGTGGAGCCCGCCCTCGGCCCCCTAGATGACCACGGCATTCCCAACACCAGTGTTTGCCAAAACGGGGTGCACAAGCCGTTCCCGCGCGCTGGCGACGAAACGAAAGCACATCGGGATCCTGACGAAACGGAACGGGCCCTGGATAATGAGAAACGAAACGGACAAGACCTTCGTAACGCTGAATGAGCTGATCCACAGCGCAACCGAGCGCGCAACCGTGACCGAGAGTTCGGGTCTTAAGAACCGGGGAGAGGGAGATGGAGAGGGAGAGGGAGAGGGGAGGGGCCAACTTGCCAAGGGGGCACTAATAAACGTGATAGGTGGCGCGGTCATGGCGGGCCGGAGCGTGTTTAACGAGGGGAGATGGTGTTTGCTGGGACGAATGGAGGGGCCTTGTAGTACGTACAGTACGGTGTGTGGTGGCAATATTGGGGGCAAGGGCAATTATTGACGGGGAAGAGGGACGAGGAGAAAAAAAAGAAAAAGCTCCGGTATTTGGTTTGAGGGTGTTGACAAATACCGATTCTTTTAAGTTCTCATCTGCCGGATCCGTTTCCTGTATGCCGCCACCCGCGAATCGTTATTCTCCACGACCGGCCTTCGGTCATTAAACAATCGTGGCGAACATTCTCCATAATAAATCTGAATATCATATGATCCCCCAAACTGCCTGGTCCGCGGAACCCAAGGTTTCGATGCCGGGACGTGTCGGATATGGCGACGAACCGGGGATTTTTATGCAAGTTGGCGCCGGTGTGTGGTGTGTGTCCTCCGTACTGCGCGGGTGGCGGGCCATGCATTTTTATCGAATTTTTGAAGTTGCAGTAAAACAGTACACACAAAACTGGGTATGAGATCCTCTCTGCCTTTTGCGTGCCAATATTTCTTGGTCAGCCATGCGCAGCAGGGGATTGATGTGCGATTTGCGGATGAGATGTCTCAAAGGCTCCTCAGATGCGCGGCTGGGTGTTTTGTACTACCTATTCTGGTTCAATCTGAGGTTGCAAAAGAAGCTCCTTGAAGATCCCAAGGCCTTCCCGACTCGCCGGCTCGCCCTCTAAGACACGTTGGTATGACGAAATCCCGTCACACCGTTATCCCCTCTGAAGATCTTCAGAGCAGAAATTTTCTCGACTAGAAGTTGGAATACCGGGTTTGAGGCGGCAGCTAGACCCCATTCCAGATGGGGTTGCATGCTTGAGAATATTTGCTGGGCAATAATGTTGTTGTAGCGTAGGCTTGGTGGGACGCTGACACCAGCTGGCGCGTCGTGCTGGATTTCCTGCGTGCAGTTGTCTACCAACCTTACCTGCCTTAGGTAGGTTACGGAGGAGGAGTGTTCTATGTACAGAGTAAGGGATAATGAATGGCCTGGAGGCCTGAATTTCAATACAGCGTCGGGATCTGACGCCCCTTGTCCCATCAATATTGAGTTGATTTGAGTTTGATGCGGCGAAGTCCTGAAGCCGGCGATAAGAATCTTCAGGCTTATTCAGCCTCGAGTTGTCTGACCATCTTAGTGCTACCTGCAAAGATGTGGCGAATCTACGAATTTGAGAAGGTCTGACAAAAGAACGGACGGTCGGACCAGCTACCTGGGAAGGAATAAGCAACACCGATCCCGGGTGTCAAGCACCGCATCTGCCTGCCTAGAGTTTGTTGAGATGGGCCCGCTTGAATCATGCGCTTAGAGACATTGGTCGCAAGCACGAGTAAGTCAGTTTTTTTCCGTATCGAGTACGGTGTGTTTTAGATCGTTGCACTTGTTTTGTTCTTGAGACTCATCTCAAGAGACGGCATTGACGAGACGGAGATGCCTAACGCTACAGCCACCACGCCATGGAGTAGTGAGTCAGGCAAAGATGTATGTCCGTCATGAGTAGATTTGTAAGTTGACTTCGGACGAGGTGAAGTGCGTGGTGACACCATTTCCATGGCGCCATTTCCGTAGCGCCGTAGTGGGTTTTATTTTGGAAGACCTGTTTCATGGCGAGAAAAGATACGGAGGAGGCTGCGCGAGCTGGGGATCGAACGGCTTGTGATTTACGACGGACAGACAGATGCACCGCACCTCTACTTCACATGTCCTCGGCATATTAAGAGGAGGGAACGGATGGATTTGGTGGCTGAGAACTGGTGTGCCTTCTCCCGAGATTCTCGAAGCAATTCGGAAGGATTCGTGCAGAGGTGCAAACCGAATTCGACCATGGGCTGGTTTTCGATCGGTGCATCGCTGTGCTACTCGACTACTATCAGATCAGATCAGATCAGGCGGGGGGATGGCTTGGCCGATTCAGGAAGCTGACGAGATTGAATGAGGATTGGGCCGAGAACCACAGACATGTGTGTGTGGTAGGTACAGAGTACACCGAGTGACCGTACAGAGGGGAGGACCGCACAGGATGGAATAATTGGTGCTACGTAACCAACAGAGGCAGGATGGAGATGGATTGCAGCAAGCAGGCAGGACAAGGATGATAGCGGGCAGCGGGGCCACCCAGTGCAGTGGCTAAAGCCTCGAGAGGAGTCCCAGACTGCAGTGCACTGCACTGCTGTTCCATACAGCACCCCGAGTTTATTCCTCCCTGCGTGTATCCCAGTGGGTGTGTGTATGTGTGTGTGGTGTGGTGTCCCACTCCTGTTGTCTGGTGTCCCTCCGTCACGGTCACGGTCACGGTTCAACAATGTCTCGGAGAGGCAAGTTTGGGTTGCGGGGATGCCCGTCGAGGACCCAAAGAAGACACCGCGGGTAGTCGTAAGTAGTAGCAGGAGAGCAGGTACACTCCAGTGAGAAGCTGGTCTCCTCCGTACTTCGTGCTGTGATTATTACAGGCCGAGCCTTGTCTCGCTTGGTGGTGGAGCTGGAGGAGGATCATGAATCGAGAAATCAAGACTCAAGAACTCCCACCCAGGAATAATGAACGGTCCAGGGGTCCACGACTCGCCCCCCCCAAATCCCAGGACACGGGCTCGCGCGGGACGTTGACACTTACGGTACAGTACTTTCTGCTGCAGATATTGGGGAATCCGGTTTTCCCAGTAGCAGGGGCGGATGCTGGGCAGCGGGTGCCCAACCTGGGCCAAGTGGCGGGTTTGGGGCCGAGGAGCCCAGTGGGTGGGAGGGAGGGAGGGGGAAAGAGGGCGCTGGGCGCAGCTGGGTTGCAACAGTTACAGCTCGGCGGCCAAAACAGCGTCAATCACAGTCGTCTGTCCCGGAGATGGCGGACGTGGACGCTGAGTGGTGGGATATCATCTCGTCTCACGCTCGCAGGTACTGGTACATGTACATGTACATACAAAGTACCGTACGATTGTACTTCGGTCCCCCCCTCCGGATGGGCGCTGAAGGTATTTGAGTATCTCTACCTTAGGTACGGTACCTCGATCGGAACAGAGCTGGCGGTTCGTGGACGTCGGTCGTCTCTGTCGATGCAAATGCCACCAGAACACCACCGCTCGCGCTTCTTCTCCTTCTTCGTCCTCCTGGCGCTGTTATCGCGGCCCCCCATCTCAACTTCTATTTGCGTCCCGTAGTCGTCACGGAGCACTTGCGGCGTTGGATCGCGCACTGGAGTGTGCTCGTGGAGCGCTGGTGAACCCAGGGCGCGGGTACTCCGTCCGGACTTGAGGCTACGACGACGACGGTGCTACGACGACGGTGGTAGCGGTGCTCGCTGGTACATGTACATACGCTGGTACATACGCTGGTACGGTACTACGACGACTGTACCCGCGGTTGGGACGCTGGGCCTGGGATCCATCATCTCCACGTTTTCCCCTAGGGCCGCCGTTTGATCCATTTTCCAATAATCTTCGGCGGAGTCGGTACATATGTACGGTGCATAGCATACACAGTATCCCACGGATTCCCGCCGGGGCGTCTGCCTGCTTTCTGTTGTCTGCGCGTGCAGTATCTGCAGCGGACCATGCGCGGCGCGTGGTTGCGTTGTTGGTGCCGGCGGTGCCATGGTGGAAGTGGAAACATGTTGGTGGAGGGAGCAGGAGGGAGGGCCCGTTGCACGGTGTTGCAGCCCATCCGGTAGAGACATCTGCTGGTTCCGGTGCAGTAGGCCCGGGAATATACTTCTGTAAATGTCCAGTACATGCCCGAAGTACAGAGTACATGCGGTACACGCACCCACGCTGTCTCGACCAAGGGCGCCGTGGGCCTTCGTATCTGCCTCCATCGAGGGTAGTTCGTTGCGGAGGAAAGACAGAGTTGGGCATAGTGGCCAACGCCCGGCGCCATCCCTACGATTCCTGCCCAGTGGCCACTAACAGCGCGGGCTCAGCACTGTAACTGAACCCCGCCGCGTGCATCGCCCCCAGCAGAATCCAGAAAGTCTCCAGAACCCAGTATCCGGTATCCAGGATACCAGCTTCCAGCAACCAGCATTCCCTCCACCCCGTCCGCGCTACTTCGTACCAAGGCCTCGCTCACGACTAACTCTCTCCCAAGTACACGTCCCATATCCATAATCCGCCTCCCCCCCCCCCAAACCCAACTAGTACTCGGGAATCCCCATTGCTCCCCATTGCTCCCCCATTAATATTCTCTCCCGTCCATCTGCCAGTGTCTCGCATCTCCCGCAGACCCAAACCACCCAAACAACGGCCCAGACCTCAGGAGATATACCTACGTACTCCCCCCCTTCCCATATACAGTACAACACCCCCCTTCCCTTCCCCCAGCCCCAGCCCAGCTCAGCGTCAACTCAAAACATCCGTCCCTCTCCTCAGTCAGCGTCAGCGCCAGCATACATCCAGTATCTTCCCGTCCGGTCCTGTCCCATGAATCGGGGCTAAACGCCACACGTAAAGCATCCCCCAAGGCAGCACCAAATAACGCCGAGGGCAGAGGCCAAGCACCAACCTTAGCATTGCCCATATATTCATCGCCGGGTTTACTCGAGACGACCGCCAACACATAGCGCCAGGCCGCAGCACCGTCCAAACATTAATTCCGCCCATATCAGTCTCTATATTAGTCCGGTCGATCATCGAGGGCACCGACAGAGAGCCACGGAAAAGTTGGATGGGATAGCGAGGACGACACGTGGTTTTGGAACATTTGCCAAACGGATTATTTTTTGACTATTATATCATCACATCTATGGAGTGCTAGCTATTCGTGGGAGAAATATTATCGATAGTTTAGCTGGACGTCCGTCGTCGCCGCAGACATGTCTTCCTCCGCGAAAGCAGGACCCTCGGCGCCAGCCGAGAAGAAACCGCCCAACAGCTTGGTAATGAGGATGAAGTCGGTACTGCAGAGAAAGGACGGCTCCAAGAGGTTATCATTCCTGAGACTAGCAGGCGCCTCAGGAGAGTCGTCGTCCGCTGGACTAAGGTAAGGCCCGACCTACAGTATATATGCATATGCACTTCGTCTTTTGCTAATATCAATATAAATAGTACACCGGCGACAAGCGCTGTCGCTACGCCGCCCGTTGCTGTTGAAGAAGTCAACGTATCTCCAGAAGTACCCCAGCCCAAGAGGATTTTCCGCTCCGATGTCCTCGCTGAACGGGCCCGCAAGCTCGGCGAGCGTTTCCAGGTCAACATCGAGCCCTATGAGGTCCTGGGGCCGAGTACCGATAGGGAGGTGTATCGTGTCGAGAAGCCCGTCCGCATGCGTGTCCACCGCTCGTGTCACAGATGTAGCACCGTATTTGGGGGAAATAGGACATGCACGTCGTGCGAGCATACCAGGTGTACCAAATGTCCTCGATTTCCTCCGAAGAAACCAGAGGGTAAGGGCAAGGAGAAGCAGCCCAAGCCCCTTTCGGAGCCGGTGGGCGGTATCGAGGTTGACCACTACTGGAATTTGGCGGATGGATTGACGATGACGTTAACGAAACCGAATCCGAGACCAGGTGGCCAGCCATTGGTGAGGAAGAAGCCTGTTCAGCGAGTGAGAAGGACGTGTTGCGGATGTACGACGACATATCAGGCCAACTCGAAGATCTGCACCGGTTGTTCCCATGTCCGTTGTGTAGACTGTCCTAGGGATCCGTAAGTGTTTTTCCGTTGACGATAAATAAGTTGATCTCACTAACTTCCCCACCCAGAGCAAAGAAAAAGAACTACCCCAACGGCTACCCTGGAGATGCCCCATCCAGCGACACTAGTAAACCTGTCAAATACACCTGCCATTTATGCACCAAAGCATACCCTCCCGTCCCCCACCCCGACAGCGACGAAGGCAAAGCCCAAGGCCCCGGAACCAAACCAGCATGCGTACGCTGCGGCCACGAAAGATGCGAACGGTGCCCTCGAGCCGCGCCCAGAAAAGTCGAACCGGACCCAGATCCAGAAATCATGAGGATGATCGAGGCGAAGCTCGCAGAGCTGAATATCGACACGGCAAGAAGCTCAGCTGCAGCAGTGAGATGACGAAAACCACCATCATCGAGAGAGTAATTAAAGATCAAAACGAAAGCGACGAGGAATCGCTCGCTTGGATTTCATTTCACCCGTGGTGCAGATTTTTCCTGCTTCAGCAGAGCGTTGAGGGGGTTTCAGCACGACACTCCACCACTCCATCATACCATACGCAAGAAACGACACGAAGGACACGAAGCGAAGCGCCCATGGAATTTTGTCCTTTTTTAATTTTATTTATATTGGATATACCTCTTTCGCCTCGCCCATCCAATTTTCTCTTTGGGTCGGGAATTGAAATAGAATTTTTGATTCCAAGCATGCGTGTGTGTTCATCCATTTCTATTTCCCCGCCAGCGGAAATATCCATTTCAACTTCCTCTTTTCAACCGATGGAAATATAGGGGGAATTTGCCAAAAAAGAGAGAGACCTGGGGGAGATCATTTTGTATATACTGACCTAGTTTTTTGTTCTGTTCTGTTCATTTTGCGTGCATGCATGATATGTGGTATGTGGGATGGGACGTTTTTAACGAAGGATCGATCGAGCGGGCGAGCGAGCGAGCGATTATTCGAAACGAGATATAGGGAGGGATGGATGGATATATGGATGGATACATGGATGGATTGATGGATTTTTACATATATATTCCCCGCATATATGAAGAGATGATGAAACCCAAAACACACACATACATATTCATATTCATATTTTTTGAGGAGAGTTGGGGAAATTTAAACAAGGAAGAGGAAAGATTTTTTTGCATCGAAACCCCCTCCCCCCCCTTTTGGGTTTTAATTTCTTCCAGGTATGTGGTTTTCATTTTGGTGGTTTGTGTGGTGGTGTTGTTTTGTGGTTATGGATGGATGGATGGGGTTTTATAAGGTAGGTAGGTGGATAGTGACGCATAGTGAGGGGATGAGAGGGATGGAAATGTTTTCAGGTATGCAGTATTCTCCCTTTCTTTCTCAATCCCTGATGCAAATGCTAACTAAAACTGAGGTAGGAATCGAAATTCAATCGCGAGAAAGCCCACCGAAATACGAAGTACTGGGGATGATATTACAGCCAATCTTTTTATTGATGGACGAGATGAATACTGGTATACCGGTGTGGTAGGCAGGTAGCTGGGACTTCAAGCTCAAAGCGCCATCGCCAGATTACAGTATGGGGGATATATCGATAACTCAGCAGTCGGCAGGCATAGCGCGGAGGGTATTGTGAAGAAAGCTTTTATAACCCGAGAGAGGGATGGGGGGAGAGAGAGAGAGAGATGAGAGCTGCTCCTCCTGCCAAGCCATCCATAACTCGAGGGAGATAAACAGCTATTCCTCCATTCAAACCATCCATACCTCGAGGAAGACACCATCAAACGACATTTCCACCTCCCTCACCAACTCCACCTCTTTCAACAACCCCCAAACCCCACCATACCACCTCTGAAATCCATCACCTATCCAGACCGCGCTCAGCCTTTCCGTGGTAGCCAGGTCCTCGCAATACACAGTCGTGCACACCTCCAACGCGGGCAAGGAGGGCTGGGATGGAATTAGCTTGAGAAACACATTGGGGGAATATGTTGCGGATTGTACCTCTATGGACCCTAGAATCTTGACTTGGAGGGAATGGACTTTGAGTGTTAAATTGAGGTCGGCGAATTCATTTGCGAGGATTTTGGACTTGATCTTATTCCGTATCCGTTTTCTTGCGGCTTCGTCCTGTTCCGTTTCGAATTCCTCCCACGTCATCTTGTTCTGTGTCTGGTCTCTTGCGAGTTCTTTCCATTTTCTTGCGTATTCCTCCCGTATCGGAGTCATGGCCTCATCCAGTAAATCCTGTACCCTCTGCCATACCTCCAGCGTTAAACGATCGGAAGTAGCACTGCTACTCCTAAGATACGATAGTAATCCAGCAAGCCCTCTTTTCTTCTGCTTCTCCCTTTCCATTTGATTTTGATGTTGCTCTTGCTTTCGCTTTCGCCTTTCCTTGCCCCTGCCGCGTGCCATGATGGTTTAGATGTCGATCGTAGATGGATCTACGCGTGATAATAAGCTGTTGCCTATACATACCTAGGTAGTGTGCTGGTATAGAGGTGATAGGGATTGATCTTACCTATCCCGACGACGAGATGTAACCTGGAGCGTCGAATGCAGGATTGTATTCGAGTTCAGCTTTGAGGTTGTTGTAGGATGGAGGGTTCGATCTTGAGGTCGCCGGGAGGCAGATACCTACGTCGCGGGTAGGTTCTGCCGATGCGGTGAATATCGTTGTCGTCGCGTAGGTTTTCACCTTTACAACAACCACCCAGCCATTACTCGATGCTCATCACGATATTAAACCAGGTCGGTTTTAGAGTCTTACAAGAATCACCTGACTCGTTGACGAGGAGGTATTGGCCAAGCGTTACTACTTTTCTGTGCATGTGGTCGATGAATTTCCTGGGATTACGGATGTTTAGGGAGGTGTAGATATAGGTTAGCATTGTCGTTGTTTGGGTAGGGTTATTATACACGAAGCTACGTCCTATTCCTGGACAAGCTAATAGATGTATAGCCAGATCTTTGGCAGAATCATGGAAGGATAGGCAAACCCAACCCTTGAGTATCATAGAAGCCAACTATAGTGCTTACTAGCAGACACTTCTTCTCCTCACCCGCTGCGCTTTATAGCAAGCCCACAAAATGCATTTGCTCGTTGCGCTCACGTGTCCTCTGTTGCTTACCCATCACGATCTCTGCGATAAAACTTCTTTATAGCCTCAAAATCGGCCATATAACCGAGATGGTTGACTAATCTAGGGCTCGAGGATATACTTGGCTATGGATTCGCACGGCAGGCACTGATAACCATCTTTAGGTTGAGGAGTTTTTAGAGAGCTTTTGAGGAAGATGTTCGAGGGGGTTCTGAGGTTGATACGAAAGTAATAAGTGATATGAGAATGGTGAGCTTGGTTTCTGAGGTATGTGCGTGAGCGGAACGAGGAAATTCCGGTCGGAAGAGGGGTTTGGAGCCGATGAAGTAGATCTCTTGATGTGTTTTGTGCTTTGTACGACTGGTGATAGGACGCCCAGATAGCCGGTTTAGCTAGAGGAGACTCTAGAAGCCTACTACCCCAGGATTGGAGGACGGGTGGAGATGCAATAGTATGGGGAAGAGCTAGGCAGTGCATTAGCGCTTGGACGTGGAGCTGCTACTGAATGGAACCGAGGCAGGTAAATCCTCATAAGCATGCGCGATAGCAATACCATAGTAGAAATATCCAGCTACCTTCCTAAATATATCGAAATATAAACCTTGTCTCCAGCTTCATTCTTAACGTCGTCTGAGACATTTCGGTCTGGGCTGACTCCCGGGTATTATCCGAAACCCCGCAGCTTACACGAACGACATCGCTACCGGTGCTCCAACGTAGTGTACCTTAACTCCGCAACACTGACCTACTTATATATCATCTCTGCAAGGCCAGAGGCATTCTTCCATTTTTATTTTGGGTCGCACACATTGCATCAAGATGTTAGGTCTTACGTTAGGCTGCGCCAGTTTGGGCGTCGTCTCTCATCTGGGGTATTTCATCCATGGAGAACGCCACATGGAATCCTTCCGTATCTTCACCATCTTCACAATCACGCCTATTGCTCTCTTCATATTAGCGGTCCGACTTACTGGCTCCTATGCCGACGCCGGGACGTACGTAGCAGTAGCGACAAGCTCCTATTTCACGGCGTTGATCCTCAGTATCTGCACTTACCGGATTTTCTTCCACCGGCTCCGCAACTTTCCTGGGCCGTTTAGTTTGAAGCTGTCTAAGCTTAGTCATGCGTTTTGGGTTGCGAAAGAATCGAAGAGTTATGCAGAGGTGGATCAGTTGCATAAGCAGTATGGGGAGTTTGTAAGGTTGGTGGTTCACTATATTCGACTATTCGCCTTCCATCATATATGTAATATATTACTGATTCTGTTGGTTATTGCACAGAGTGGGCCCTAATGAGTTAACAACTACTGCTCCCGAGGCCGTTGATCTCATTATAGGAATTGGTTCAAAGTGCAAGAAGGCCGTTTGGTATGATTGCGTTGGGTAAGTAGCCGGCCCGCACCGTACCCGCCGAGTTGCCGCTAAGTGCATGGCTCTATCTATGTAGGTATCCTCATAAGTCCCTGAATCTCATAAGAGACCGCCAAGTCCACGATAAGAGACGCAAAGCATGGGATAAGGGATTTAGCGCCAAAGGTAAGTTGTGCCATATCTCATTCTGGCTACCTATACTCACCCAAATCTAGCGCTGCGCGAGTATGAACCCCGCGTACGCGACTCCGGCGATCAACTCATGTCCCAGTTAGTCGCGAACTCGGGGAAGCCGCTGGATGCGTGTAAATGGTTTAATTTTTACTCGTTTGATATGATGGGCGATATGGCGTTTGGGAAATCGTTTGATATGATGAGAACTGGAGTTATGGTTTGTTGTTTTGGCTGTGGAGCGTGAGGTGGAACAGTTTTACTTACGAATAGCAGGATCCGGTAATTAAGTTGATGCAAGAGGGTATGGGTCCGTTGGGTGTTTTGACTCCGATTCCGTGGATTTTGGTAAGAATTATGAGGGAGGAGCTTTATATTTGTTGACTTTTGTCCTCGAGGGATAATCACCCTAGAAATTTGACGGAAAGGAATTGCTAACTCGATTATCCAGCCGCTTTTGCAGAATATCCCTGGATTGGCAGGGGGACCGAAGGCATTTATCAAGAGCAACGCAGAACGAGTTGCTACTCGGAAGAAGGTTAGTCAACAGATTTTAGTCTGCTTGTTTACTGATTCATGTGTCTACAGAACCCGCCGGACTCGCCCGATCTCTTCAATTACTTAATTGATACGGAAAAGCAAAGCGATGACCCCATCCACAAAAACCCCATGTAAGTCTATATCCAACTTATATCCTCACCAATACCAGAGTTAATAGATATTACAGGTGGCTAATCGGTGACTGCGGCCTCGTCATCGTCGCCGGAAGCGACACCACAACAGCAACCCTCTCCTACCTTTTCTACGAACTTGCACGCTCCCCCAAGGTCCTCTCCAAGCTCCGTAAGGAGCTCAGTTCATTTTACAAACCTGGTTCCGATAGCGAGTTCAAAGATCTTCAGGAGGCCCCGTATCTCAATGGAGCTATCAACGAAACGCTACGTTTACATCCACCTGTTCCCGGTGGACTTCTTCGGCAGACTCCCCCAGAGGGAATAACTATCGGCAAAACTTTTATCCCGGGAGATGTAACCATTTCAACGCCGTTTTGGTCTGTGGGTAGAMGTAAGTTTCATCCTTGGTTATTCGAGGGTAAATGGTGTACTCACTCTTGGCTAGTTGAATCATGTTATAAGAACGCAGAAGAGTTCATCCCTGAACGGTGGAACGAGAACCCCGAGATGGTCCTCAATAAATCCGTATTCGTGCCATTTTCAGCTGGTTAGTCAACCCCTAATACTGATATCTTCAAACCCCATCGCCTACCAAAGCTAATTGTTATAGGCCCGTTTAACTGTGTTGGGAAACATCTTGCGTTGATGGAACTCCGTAACGTCACCGCGCGAATTGTGACTGAATTCGATGTGCAATTTGCTCCAGGGGAAGATGGCAGGAGGTTGTTGCAGGAGTCGAGAGATGTGTTTACGTTGTGTCTTGCACCGATGATGCTGGTTTTCAAGAGGCGGAATGAGCGCTGAAGTTTGATGCTTGGTTGCGTTTTGGAATAGGATATAGCGGGAGTTTAAAGCTTTTAGTAGGATGGTGAACTTATTTTAATAATTGAATTTTATTATATCATAAACTAGACTTCCCCTGGGCAAATTTGCTAATAAAGCCCCTGATTTATGAGATGATATATCGGTAAGATCACGTGCATTTGATTACTACCAGCCAGATAGATGTTATGCAAGAGAATTTCAAGAGATGTTTGCATTCCCTCATATATAAGTTTACATCTACATTTATAAACACTTATCCAATCTTAGTAAATTAAGCCCTGCCGTAAAAAGGGGTGGCATTTATAGTGGTTAATGATCATGTGATCGCCGAATACGGACTGGTACGGTATTCTCGCTTCTGTAAGACAGAACATAGACGACGCTCCATTCATTATTCAACGCTGGTCTTGATTTTAGAAAACACGGCATAATGGACGACGGTCAGGCCATATCTTGTCATTTATAACGCTCTTTTTTTGTGGGAGTTGTAGGAGTAAACGGCAACATTGCAGTCTGCCATCTTATCACGCTTAATTATTCATGAAGTACCTATATCCCTTTTATGTCCTCAAATAAAATAAGCTAACTCTATAAAAGTTATTGTTTTATTTATCCTGCCATTTATTTGATCATTAAAGATGTTGCTATTACTCTCTCATATCTACGCAGCTGCGCAGTCTGCTTTGTTATTAGCTACATCTCGAACCAGTTCTCCGGTAACGCCACACACGAGAGAACTTATCATTCCCTATTCCAACGTATCATCAAATCTCCCACCATTTACAAATGATCCCGAAATTTCATTCCGGCTCTCAAATAGGACTTACGGTGTGATCATCGATACCGGAACAACAGGCCTCGTGCTTTCCGCGGCAATGTTGCCTAATTGGGACCCAAGCACCGCCAGCGCACATCCAGTAGGCTGGGAATTTCTCTCAAGCAGCAAACTCCTTTGGATTGGGGTCTGGATCCCGCAGGAAATCCATTTCCTCACCACCGAAAATATCTCCGTTGTGGCCTCGGTCCCCGTACTAGCGATTACCAAAAGCTACACATGTCCCAGGTATAATGCTCGAACCGATGGACCAAATTGCTTCGACCCGACGGAATCCGAAGAGATGCCTGATGACATATTATTACTAGGCGTGGGATTTGCGAGGCAATCAGATGGCCAGCCGCAAGGGACTCCAGATAAGAATCCGCTGCTTAATATCATCCTGGTTGATGGCGAGAAAATAGCACCTTCTGACCGGTTAAATTCGGGGTATCGAATCTCGCAGGAGGGTGTGAGTCTCGGCATTCCACAGCGCGACTTGGACGAATTCTCGATTCTCAATCTACAACCAGGCAATACCAACGATTCCCGGGATTGGGGACCAGTCCCTGCATGTATCCGCGTTGGAGACTCACCTTGCGTCGAAGCAGATGCCTTGATTGACACTGGGATCCCTCAGATGTACATGACAGTACCATTTTCTATGCCTGTGGAACGACACACGGAGCCTAGTTTGAGTAGTGGTGCGAATGTTAGTGTGCTTGACGATGGCCAGATAGTCGAAATCTTGTTTGGAAGACCAGGAAACTATGTTGCCAGGTATAATTTTACGGTTGGGGACCACGATGCAAGAGATACGAGCCTGGCTCCTGTTCAAGCCATTACGAGAAGATCGGCTATCATATCGCCGTTTGTTAATACTGGGAGACATCTCTTGCGAGGATATGAGGTTATGTTTGATGCTGTGGAGGGCAGGTATGGCTTCAAGCCCTGGACTGGAAACTGAAAACTTTTGCATTTCGACCCCGCTACTATTATATATTGGTTAGGTTGGCAAAATTTCATTCTAGGCGCCCCATTTATGAACATAGTCGATAGCTCCTTCCCTCAAAGATCGCATTGCTCTGGATAGCTTATTGCGTATTGCCATCCCGATCCCTCCCGCCTCAATGCTTGGGGGGGATCCCAAACAATACCACCTCCCACCACCCAGCTCCACCTTTGATCACTTTGGATATCCGCGGTAAACTTCGTCTTCACCTCCGAGCCAGTATCCGGGAACGCTGTGCAAGATCCACTCCACAAGATCTCTCTTGACCCTAACCTTAATCCCGCTATTAAAGCTGTCGGGTGCTTCCGCGATGACGTCCAAATAATGGACGCCCTCTAGGTTGTACCCGTCGGTATTAAACCCGTACTCGTCGAATCCGTCGTCATACGCGATGGCGTCCTCATTCTCGTCGACGTCGTCGACGTCGTCGCCCACTTGCTCCCAGTCTTCGTCAGGCCGAGCGCTGCTTGCAGCCCACATCTCATTCCGATCCTCCACTTTGCTCCAACAATCACTACACTGCAGACCGTGCGCGGGAAGCTCCGGAGTAAATAACCTAGTGCCGAATCCTAGAATTTCAGTCAAGGATGATAGGGCACCGCCTAAGACAAAGGCCTCAATACGTTTAGCAACAGCTCCAAAGTGGGCCACACCATTGCTCGTACCGATCATAAGCAACCCCCAACTTAACTTGTCGGCGTCTTGCTGCATAGCCCTAGCGAAGTTCGGGCACCACATCTCTGAGAAAGGGTTCTCAATCTTGGGGAAGGTCCATGTCTCGCAATAAGCATGTAAAGCACAAAGCGTACCCGAAACGCGGAAGTTCGTAAGCAACATGTAGGAACGGATTTTGCTGAATAGTGAGAGGAAACTCCCTTGCCAGAGAGCAATGTTGTGCAGCTCTAGATCTTGTAAGGTTTCTACGTGCGCCGCAAGGAAATATTCCAAACCCTCCTCACAAAACATCATCCCATCTAATCGTAGCTTTTGTAAGTGTCGCCATTGGCAACCTTGGAATATATGCCACAGTGGGACATACCACAGCTCGGGATCCATGTCTACAATCCAAAAGAGCTCGGTGCAAGTTGGGATCTCGATGGGGTCAAAGCCGAAGCGTAAATCCCTTAGCAATGGGATTTCTCTGAGGAAGAGCCCGAGATTATTCCAGAACCTGGGTGGTGGAGCCTCGTTGGCATCGAATGTGAGATGGATGGATTGGAGATGTTGTAGCGGTATGACCATATCGAGGACCTCCATTGGATCCCGAAAAAATGTGACCGGGAGATGGTCATGCCTCAGGTGTTTTAGCCGTAGCTCTGTCTTGGAAAGCGCCATGATGATATTGGTAAACTCTTGGTTCTTTCTGGGGAAGGCTCTGTTGCTACTGCCGTGGACCCATGCGTCGTATAAAAAGGGAGACCGGAAGGGTATTGATTTGAGAGTTACGTCGATCCGATCTAAACGTCTTAGTCCTTTAAAGACGTTGGTGATTGTTTCCAGGTTGCTATAGGCCTGGTTGGACTCCCCCCAGCGCATGTTCCAGTCAGCGTACTCTTGTATAGCGATATCCTTGCGTCGCTCAACCGCCTCAACCGTGTCCCAGGTCCCCTCTGTTTGGCCCGTCAACCGTCTCGCCGTGACGCCGTTGTAATCACCAACGTATATGTCGGCAAGGTAGTGAGCCATGTTAGGTATATTCATCGTGCCGATCTGAAATCGTAGCGTCTTTATGCCCCCTACCATGGCTTCCTCCCTAATCACGCGGCTGAACCTCTCAAAGTCCCGTCTGTCCTTGCGGAAGACAAAGGTGCTAAAGAGGAACCGGGAGGCGACGGGGCTCCACAGCGAGCAAACGAGACGAGCGGCTTTGACGTCTCCCAATTCCAGGTTCTTGAATACCTCTTCCCATACCTCCTTGGGAAGTTCCCTTCGAGTGGGAGTTGAGGAGGCCATTTCAAGTTGGAGAGTCTGGAAGAATTACTTAGTATATCTGAGACTTTGGAAGACTGTAAGAACGAGGGCAGGGGCTACGTGGTGATTGCTTTGGATAGGGCACTGTGCTAGTGGATAGAGGTCGTTGGGATTGCGCTTGGTATTGGTATTGGTATTGGTTGTGGTGGTGGTGGTGGTAGTGGTGGTAGTGGTGGTTGTGATTGTGATTGTGATTGTTATTGTGGTTGTTACAGGTGAGCGAAGTTGACGTGGTGGTTTGTAGAGAACGAAAACAAAAGGAACATCGTGGAGTTTTAATATTAAGCTGCCTTTTCCCTGAGTTGGCTGAGTTAATAGTGAATGAAAGGCACCGTTAACACAGTACGCTGTTTGACTGTGGAAGCAGCACTGTTAATCGTCCTGCAAGGTCTTGGGTAGATTTGACACAACTGGGCAGTTTGGTCCTTACTTAGCCCCTTCCAGATTTGACTATTCCTTCTTGTAACAAAGCCTCAGCCCCTTCGAGTTATCTATCCTTATAAATCTCTGAGTGGGGTTGACAGTATGATCACTTGTTCCTTCCGGATTTGGCTTTGGCCTTTGGCAGGATATATTCCCAGATTATCAATAGCCTTGTAATAAATCAATTCTCGTTACAGACCAAATAAGGTTCGGCTTTTTTATGTACGGCCCCCAGCCCTGGACCTGGACCTGGGAGACGCTCCCGAAGCCCGTGCTACTAAGCACTCGCGTAAAGTTTGCTATGCCGGGAATCACATTTGCATATTAAATACGATATAACTCTCGAGGCATAAATGTGAGTTAACATCGGCCCATTAATATCCATAACCAAAGCCGGAGAAGAGAGAAATAAGCTAGGACGTTGATATCCCAGGCCAATCTGCAATAACAAGTCAGCAATCATGATACACCTCAGTTCCGGAAGGAGAGCAAACATACAGAACTTCGTCCTCTCCTCATTCCTCCTCGAAACGACCAGCTCATCCCCAACATGCAAAACCTCCCCTTCCGAGCCCGTATTCCCAAACCCATACCTCCCAAAAATAGGGCTCCACTTCGACCCCTTATCAACCCTCCTATCTTTCTGCAGAAGCTTCAAAATCTGCCCATCCTCACCTTTCCCCGCTGCCCCGGTATTGAAATCTACATTAAGAGATGCACATCTCGCGCAGTTACCGGTAAGGATAATCCTCGCATTAGCACCGCCACTCCCGACTGTTAGCTCGCCCCAGAAATCCTCCTCGTAAGCGGATGAGGCGCCGCGGACTACGATATTCGGCCGGAATTTCGTGTAGTCCATTTCCATGCCCTCCGGGAGACGCGCTGACACATCGGCGACGGACTTTTCCGTGATTACGAGGTAAGGTGCGCAGTCGTTGAAAGCGATTATTGAATCGTCGGCGGCAGCTTGACTAGGGATTAGGGATCTGATGATACGGGTTTGGCTTATCTGCTTCAAGAGCGTCGGTTTTGCTGTTGACTCGCCCGCTCCTGCTCTTCCTAGTCGGAGGCTCCCTAGCACTTGTCGTGGATTCCCACCCCAGTATGCCAGGACGACTTTAAATCCAAACCTTTCCGAGAACCACTGGCTGCATTTCTCGCCCATGTGATACGCTGTGGTGGGGCTTTTGTGCATCATGATAGGCAGTGTATCCAAGCTGGCTAGATCCTCGGGGTAAAGCGGGATCTCGAGGGCATCCCCAGCCGGTTCAGTAGTTCCCGGTGCTCGATACCGGACGAGGATCTTGTCATCTTCGATGGATGGGTGGAAGAGGGACATGCTTGGTACATGGGGTATATGCATATTTTTCAATTTTGACGGTGCCGATTCGTCTTCTTTCAGGAGCATGAACCGCCGGTCGTGGTAGAAGCCTTCTTTTGTTAACATGGCGTGGGACACTTCACATCCACGGAGGGATTTTATGGGATATATCCAGAGCTGGGATTGTAGTTAGATGGCTATCATATACTCCCATTCCCCGTGGTCTTACGTTGCTAATCCTCAAGGAACCAGATGACGTCGCCGTGTCATTCTTATCATGATCAGCATCTCGCTATAGCAAAATTGGGGTTGTAAATATCTACTCGGTTGACCCTTTCCTTCTTGTTCGCCGTGCGGCTTTCGATCTCGTTGAATGCCTGTCTCAATGCGCGGGACCGCTCTGCCTTGCTCGACGTAGTCTTGGTGTTTGAAAGAGGATGGATGAGGAAATATGATATAGCAGACACCAGGAAAGCGGCTGCTGCCCACAAAACTGCCCTATCGTAGGAATGCATCAATGAAATTATATCAAACATCGTGGGCGCATTAATGACTCGCAGCTGTTGCGTCAACGTTTAAGGTTATACGGTTATATGCTACTCGGTAGGTCGGATGTAACTTTATATAAGCGCTACTACAAATGCCCCGCTATTTTCTTCGGAGCCCCATATTTCCTCGAGAAAGTTCCACCGGTGCCCCGTAATTAGTAGATTATTAGTACTGTTATTATTATTAGTTATACCGTCTAGATTTAGGATCTAGAAGATCTCCCCAGATCCGGAGGCTTAGATCAGAGAAAACAGTAATGTCATATTTGTAGAGCGCGGGGTTCAGGAGGGGTTCAGGGGCGACTCGGACCGTTAACCGAACATCCGTACCGTGGCCGTGTCTTCCCCTGTCAGTGTTTTGGAGGCACTGAAAACAGGTAGAAAGAGTTGATTGATTCTAGTAATAGAGGTGGAGGAGAAGTTCTTATTATTTACAGGCAAAAGTAGGCTATTTCTGCTACATGTAGCGCGCACCTGAAACTCCTGATTTTCGGCATTGCCGAAACTCAACATCCCCTTATTCCGTGTGTCAAAAATAATTACTTTGGTTTTTTCGTTATGATATTATAAAAGTGCGCTTAGACAGTTCCTGCGATGATAATATATAGCAAGCCTAGAAAACTTAAAGTCGCAACGGGGCGGCCGTCATAGTGATATATTCCGTCCTGTGGGTTTGGCTTGAAGTTGCGATTTAGTAAAAGCGAAGCGGCGCCTACAGCTATCATTTTTGAGGGTGTACTTTAGGAATAACTCCCAAGGTAATTATTAGAATACGAGCCTAAACGAAAAGGTGGTTGGTTTCGTTGCAGACAATAAAAGCGGCACAGAGTGCAGTCAAAACCTTGCCAATTCTAAAAGTTAGGAGAACGTCTCCTTTCCTTGGACCGATTTCGAGGAGTTTACTACCTCTATAGTTAAAACACGATTAGTATCACAAGGACTATAAACTCCTCAACTTACTCCCCTCCCATCCCTCTTACTATATTTTTCTCTAATGGAGGTCTTGGAACCCAAAGGGAGAAAATGTACAATTTACAGCGCTTTGTACCCTCGTTTAAATTCCGAGATCTATTCTATATTACGACGTCACAGTTCGAGAGCTTTATGGCCAGCGTGGAGTCATCTCTTGGAACCCCCCAAAACCTTGGCCAACCCTCCCCAGAGGGAAACCCTAGGCCCCCCGGAGCTTGCATGGTGACTACTGGTACCTTTGGGATTAGTCTAGTGTGCTGCTGTCCACCCAACCAGTAAAAACTCCCCACTTTGTCACTTTACAATACTCTTGTCATTTGAAGTACTTTTGCCACTTTATAATACATTTGTCATTATAACTAATCTTGTCATTTATAACTAACCTTATCACTTTACCATATATTTACCACTTCTAAAGATCAACACGGACAAAGCCATAGATATACACCTCGGCAATGAGGAAAGCCTAGCCCCACAGCAAAACATCGTCTTTCTCATGCAGCGGAGGCGTATATAAGGGTAGATACCTTGTCACTTCTGAAAATCGAAACGCCTGCTGCATCTTAAGCATAATTTACTACTTACCGAGGATGCCTTTGTTACTATTTGTTACCTTGTCACTTCAAAACGCTTTTAGTTCAACGTTCCTCAACGACTTTTGTTGTTTTGTAGTACTACTCTGACCACTCTACAATACCTCTGCTGTTTTATAATGCTTTATATTATTTCACATTCTTTTCGTCACTGCCGCTATGCCCATCAGCATTTTTCCTTATCTCTATTCTCCTACGCTTGATGGCCACCTCATGTAATCTAACTGGCGAATTTCTTTTTTAAAGCCTTGAGTATTAGTAGTACGAGGCCGGCGTTATTAGCTGGTTCCCCGTCAACCAAGGCGACATCCTCACCTGCGAATATGATGATGACTAGCACGCCGCAAGGGCCCTCTGATACAAGGCCAGGGTTTGGATATACAACCCGGCATACCAGATAGGCTCCCCGCAACGGCTGCCGATAATCCCCCGCACAGTGGCTGTGTGATAGCACCGCCCACTTCGGCAGCGTCTCCTAAGTCCAGGTCCAAGGCTGAAGGCTGTGTATAGAAGGGCCGATATTAGATCACGTTTATCCTTCGAGAATAATTTCATATTTAATGGGGCATGCAAATGAAGCTTGCCATAGTTTTGTATTTCAAATCTATTATTTTCCAGCAATACCTAAGAAGGTAGCTAATTATTAATTACCTCACAGCAAGTATGAAGTATACCGGTAATGCAAAGTATGTTTTTGTTCCTACAGCAAGACATCTAGCCCATAATATATACGTCATGTCTTCCTCCCGCTCCCCCTTTTCTCCCTTACCTAGTTGAACCTTGGATATGTGTTGTGAACATGCTCCTAGCAAAATTTCTCGAATCTCCCCTGTTGTTGAAAGCCAGTGCCGCCGAGTTTGCTTGTGTTGTGGTTACTGCTATTCGTTTTTTAAACACCATTTGTGCTCGCCAATTCCAAAATGGGCTAAGCCGGCTGCTTTTGCGACATTATTCCCACGATCGACCGAGTGTTTTTAACATTATTCGTCCCATCGTGCCCCCTCGGTGCCTCCATAACTTAACAGTTACCACTATTTCCCGTTGGGCCAACCCACGCATTCTCAACAGTTATAGCCTTGCCCCCACAAGCGGGAACAGTCAGCGTCCGATCCTGTGACTCGTATATATACGGTTGCCCGCAATTCTCCTGTCTAGCATATTTATATGTGAGTTGCTCCCCAGCTTTCAAATACGTGCTAATGCTCCATAGCGGTCTTTCCGAAGTGTATCCCCCAGAGCCCATGGGCAGCGCACTCGCAATGTTCCAAGACCCAAGGTCTTCCGTGCTTCCTGTGATAACCAGATTCTCGCCATAATAGGTGCTGGCGTTAACGTTGAATACGACATTAACTTGACATGGTGTGGTCACGTTGGGTGCCCCGGCGGCTGTGGCAGGTGCGTATACGCCTGGGGTGGATGTTCCGGAGCAGGTGGAGGGCGGCGCTGGGATATCTCGAGTTCCCCAGCTTGGAGGGTACTGGCCATCGTGACGTTCGGCCATAGTGACGAAAGCGGCGTAGGACCAGGTGAGGTCTTTAGCGGAGAGGGGAGCGCCAGTGTTACGGTTAAATTGCTCGGCGAGGGAGCCATCCGGGGGTGTGTATTTCTGGGCGACGGCCACGAAGGAATCGGCATAGGCGGTTATGGCGTCCATGATTTTTGTGAAGTCATCGCTGGCGCTGTCGTAGGTGCGGACTGTGATGGAGGTGTAAAGATCTTTGAAGAACGCGAGGGACGTATCATCGACGACAAGGGTCTTGCGCGCTTTCCATTGGGCGACGGCATCGTAGAGGAATTCAGCGGCTGCGGTGGTGAGTAGGTACCTATATAGTTAGTTAAGATCTTTGATTTGGATAGTAAAACTCACCATGGGTTGCCTCCCATATACGTATCTTCAGTATATCTTCCAACAGCCACGCCCAAATTCAGGGGAATTCCATTATTGATACCATAAGCTTTTCTGAAAGAGTCTATCAAGGCCTTGAAGTTGGCCAGTGATCTGCTATGGCAAGGTTGCATTGTCGGGCTGTCACAAACCGCATCGATATCGAAGATGGAAATTGGACCCAGAATCGAGTTTCCATCGAGGCCTGAACGGCCGGTTTGCGCATTGATATTAGAAACAATATACTTCCCATTCCAGAACTTTTGCAGAAAGCAAAGAAGTTCTGGTGCTTGATCACACCCAGTGCAAGTAACCCCCAGACTTTGCGCAAGCATTGCACCTTGTACTAAAGATCGATGCTGATTCTGAATGGTGAAAAAGCTCGATCCCTGTACTTCCTCCCAGAGATCAAATCCAGTCTGGTTCCAGTATTGCCCTACGTATGAGAGGTCGTTTGAGATAACAGGCCAAATGACATTCTTGGCCCTCTCTTTTTCGCCGTTTTCGGCCAACCAGTTGCTGTAGGTGATTAGAGTGATAGCTCTGAGAGCTGGACCATCTCGTTGAGGGCGGCCCCATGCTTCATTGAATCTGGACCCGTCGACCTGGTATTTTGGCTCGCCAAGACCGAGACCTGCGGGGAGAAATGTCCCGGACGGATTGGTAGTTGTCTGGAGGACGGCTTGGGAGTGGATATAGTCATCGATGTAAGGCTGGAGTTGGGATTCGCCGAGAATGAATTCATCGACGATCATCTTCATGGTTAATGCGGCATCTCGACTCCAGGTGAAGAAATCTGATAGGGGTTAGTGCCCAGGACTTATGATCATGTTTTCCGGATGCAATATCAATTTCAAAAAGGGAGGATTTGGTGCAGCAGTTTGCATCACATATTCACACGCTTGGAGGAACTACTCCCAAATTTTCCTGGGTATTCTAATTTCATCACGGCCCTCCGTAGGCCCGCATCCTCCCAACATCCCAAATCATCTACTTAGATTGAGACGTCGCCATTCCCGGAGTACTAACTGAATAAAAAAAAGGAGCAAGCTGCTACTCACAATCTGGGTCCTGCTTGGAGGGACTCGCAACAACAAAACCCGCTCCGGCTCCTGGCACCGCTGAGCCATTGGGCCCGATATTATTCAAGGCACCCTTCAACGCAATGGTTCTCTCCGTTGGTATGAAAGAGGCGAGATTTGCGGATGTGCTACCGGGTGCCGCAGCTGCTTGTGAATAAAATAGGGAAGTAACTCCCACGAACAAGACAGAGAAAACCATGGCTAACAAGATTTGAAAAGACCAGCTGGTGGGATCGGTATCCGTTGAAACTTTTCGATCAAATCGTAGGCTTGAGGCTCCTTTATGATCTTTATGATCTTTGGCGGAGCCCATCCTAGGAGTAACTAGGTAGGTAATCTTAAACCAATCCCAGCTGCGGCCAAGCCAGCGTCTGCATACCCCCGGGGGGTTCTGTTTTTAAGGTTCCCCGGAAATCCTGCGACGGATAAACGCGGCGGGCCGATTATTTTGCGGAGGACCGCCCTGATTGTGCTTGTCCTGGACTGGTCCGTCGGGGATCATCGCGGGCGTGATGGATGGAGAATTTACGAATCTACGAATCTAGCTGTTAGTGAAGGTGTAGATGCAGGTGTAAATGCAGGTGTAAATGCAGGTGTACGGACACGCCCCGGAGTAGGTCTAGACAAGCATCCGGCGCCGTGGTAGGCTGCGGGGTACGTCGTAGCAGCCGGAGACTCCTCGGCAGCTTGTACGTATATCATCATATTATCATGTCACTAAGACCCTGCTAATAAGGCATTCGGTCCTAAGACGACGTCGTGCGTATTTAATTCTTCAAAGGGTGTTTAAATGCATGTGAGAAACGCTTTGTCTAGTTTTTTCAAGGGGCTTAAGACACTCCGAACATATCACCGAGCCTAAAGGATCAAATCACATTGATCACATGAAACAATCGCAGGCCTAGGTACCTGGATACCTTTCGCAATTACCATCCTCCGCTCTATATCCAGTCCAAAAGCACGTAGCACAATCAATTGGGGCTCAGCCTCAGGGGCGCTGGTAGTGGGAGTGGAAAGCGCATCACCAATAGATACGCGACCACCAAGACGTACCGGCGATGCAGATGTGCTGTACGGTACATGCCCCCCGCATCGTAGGGGGTTTCAAACAACCGCGCCCGACGAGCCTCCAATGTGCATCGTGAATCCTTCTACGTAGTACTGCGTACAATACTCCCACTCCCACTCCCACTCCTCCCCCCACTCCTACTCCCTCTGAACCTTTCTCGGACGCGTCGACTCCGTCATTTACAGTCTGCGAGGAGGAGGACGCGATCCATCACCAGCCACAGCTCCCTTGCCTTTGCGGGAACGCGACCAATCTGCCATGGAGGCGCAATTGAGAGTCCAACATCCTAAAATTGGCCCAGATGATCATTTTGTGGACGTTGTGCAGGTTCTAGCCATGTAACCAAACCGCCAATTGGCCTGGCACTTCATGCGCAGTTGCTGAATCTCCATCCAGTTTCTTCGTGGATGAGATTACTCTTCCCTCCACCTACGAGCAATTTCGAACCACCTCAGCAGGGCAGAAGCTCCGGGATCTCGTAGACCACCTCGTGCTCAATGTGACGAATCCGGTGCTCATCAGTGCTCTCCTGTCAGTATCCCGCGTGGTAGTTGGTGAAAGCCCTCTGACGGACTATCGTAGGACGCTAAAATGGCACTTCTCCGCCCTCGAGACCGAAGACCCCAGGCTTAACGAGACTCGAGCAACCGCATGCGAGCTGGTGGCATCCAGATTCCTGACTCGACTCTCCGAAAGGGATGCGGTCGACGCTTGCTTACACAAGATACCCCGTTTGTCAGGGCTGCAGGCTCGCACAACGTCGTCTCTATCGGATATAACAGAACGCTCAACCCTATTACCCCGATATCGATCACAAGATGGAACAATCCGTAGCAGGCCTGGCAGCAGCAGACGGGAGGATCTCCAAGAAGCAGTCAATTCTATTGCAGCCGTATCCCAGCCGACGAATCAAAATAACAAAGGGAAAGAGGACCCTACGTCAGCCTTTATAGGGCTGACTGGACTTCAAATTGCTGTTGTTGCGGACTGCAAGAGGTTTCTGAGCCAAGCTCTTGTTCAAAAGATTGTCACTGGCATCTGGAGAGGAGACATAGTATTCTGGGGCAACCTCCACGAGCACGCCAGGAAAAAGTCTCAGTTCTACCACAGATCGCAGTCAGACCCGTATTCGCGATTGCGTGTTCCAAGATACCTCAAGATTTCGGAATTCGCTTTCTTCGTCACCTTCTTGTTTTTTTACTCTGCCGTTCTTGTTGAACATAACATGTACGTTGATTATCCGTAGTGCTAACAGCCGCTGATGGTCCCGCAGGTACCACGTAACTGTTTCCGAGGGCCTACTTTATATCTGGCTTGCGTCCTTTATGTGTGCCGAATTGAGCCAGTTTATAGGTGCCGGGACCATGGTATATGCTGTAGATCTTTGGAATGGCTTCGATATGACCATGCTCCTGATAGGCGCAGCATTTATCGTTACCCGTACGTAGACTTGTCGGAACTTCTATCTACATGTCTGACCGGGAGAGCAGGACTCATTGGTTTGGCAACCCACAATGATAAGTTGATTGATACGGCATTTGATATTCTCTCTCTCGAAGCACTGTTTATGGTTCCAAGGTATAATCACTCTTATCAGCGCGGGAATAAAGCTGACTAGTGAAGAATATGCTCTCTTCTGAGTATCCTCCCATACTTTGCTACTTTGGTAAGTAACCCTTCCCAGGTTAATTGTGTCTCTTACTAATCTGCGTAGATTCCTTGCCTAAAAGCAATGGTAATACTCCCTTCCAAGTTGCCGGACCTAGGAGCTAATTGGTTCCACAGATAAAGGATTTCTTCAAATTTATGGTCATAGTGGGGATCTTGTATCTTGGTACGTCAATTTCACCCTGGGTTGCGGTCATTTACTGATTACCGCAGGATTCCTAACAACCTTCACCCTTCTGGCTCGCAAATCCTTTACCCTTGGTGAAATGAGTTGGACTTTGACTAGGATTTTCTTCGGAGGGAGCGCACTTGGATTCGCAATTATGCACGATATCAACCCGACTCTTGGCCCGCCGCTGATGGTGATTTTCGTTTGCATGACAAACATTCTTTTAATCACATCACTGGTCTGTGTCATGCGCCAGAGCTTCGCGAAGGTTTTTGCAAATGCTCGAGAGGAACAACTTTATGTGTACTCGGTATACGTGCTTGAAGCGTCGACTAGTAACAGTATCACGCATTTCTACCCGCCCCTGGTATGAGCTCCTCCCGATCTTATTAATCTTGTTTCTAACCCTGATACCTAGAACCTCATCCCTCTTCTCTTCATCCAACCATTCCGCCTCATTTTCTCAGCCGACCAGCTGCGGAAAGTCCGTATCCAAGTTCTGAAAATCAGCCATTCCCCAATCGTCGGTCTTATCTGGATTTACGAACGCCTCCCTTGGAAAGTCTATAAATCTGGCGAGCAGCTCTTCTCATCGCACATCCCTCAAACCACGCAGATTCTAATCGCTTCTTCCAAGGCGAAGATGAAGGGCCAAAGCACAGTCCATTCGCATGGAATATCTGGGAGCTCGTCGGGCGAGGATCTGTGTATGGTGAAGCCCTCGACCCAGAGCGAGTTGGAAGAAAAAGTGGAGGCGTTGAGCGCGCAGATTGCTGAATTGGCGGCATTGATTGTAAAGTCGCAGGACAAGGGCCGGGCTTAGCATATATTGCCTTAAATGTCCGGAATCTCAAATCTCATTTTAATAGGCATTCATATAGATGCATGGTATTGAACAGCTAGGCGTATATCTTCAATCCGTACTTTAGTGGTATGTACCTCTTGGCTCGAGCCCTTGCAACTCATCACTTCCTATGCTTTGCTGGGTCTTGTGACTATTAGTCGCCCTGAATGCCACCACCGGGGTGCACCCTGAATATTCACTCCCCACTCCTAAAAGAACACTAAACCATGGTTTAGTCTTCTTTCTGCCACTTGACCACTTGACGATACGGCGACAACGCGACCGTCTCTGAATTACCTACACACTTGACATGCGATCCTTTGGTTGTTTTATCTACGATTTCTCAGACTATTACTAAGGGTCTTTCCTTTCTGCTCCTCGACGGTACCAAGGTAGGCAATATATGTGAATTCATACTGGGGTTTTGTTGCACATCGCATGTTTGCTCATACCTCAACCTCTCCAACCCCCTCTCCTTGTAGAGTTTTGTTGCACATCGCAGATCCCCTCAATGTCCCAACTCCTCAACCCTCGCTCTCCTATAAGTTTTGTTGCATGTCGCACTTTTGATAAATGTCTCAACTTCAACTTCTCAACCCTCCGTCCCCTATAAAATTTTGTTGCATGTCGCAATTTGGGCTAAGTTACATTGTTATCCAACAACTCCAGTGGTACCTTAGGAGGGACTTAAGCCTCTTCCTATTGAAGTTTTGTTGCACATCGCACTTTGGTCAACTTTGCATTTATATCCGACATCTCAAATCTGGACTTACGGCCGAGTTAGGCAAGCTCCTATTTTGGTTTTGTTGCATGTCGCACTTTGGGCAATGTTACACTTTTATCCCACAATCCAAATCTCACCTTAAATTCAAGTTAAGCCTTCTCCTCCTAAAATTTTGTTGCACATCGCACTTTTGCCAATGTCACACTTAACTGAATTCTCAACATACTGGGGGTTAAGCCTTCTCCTGATATAGGATCATTCACGTGCAATAAGAGGTTTGTTGCACACCGCCTTTGGCGCCGGTGTGTCGTTTTAGGCGTGCTCTAGGTACCTTAAGGTCGGAAGGGGCCTCAAGACGAAATACGAATCTACGTCCCAAGCCGACAAGCAGAAGTGGGACTTCGAATACGACTATATGCGGCATATACAGTTCTACATCGGTAAGTACAACCACTTTATCAACCAGAGAGGACGGATAACGGAGAAGGCGAACGGCCTTGAATAGCAGAGGGTTGTAATAATTTAGTCAAAGGCTAGATACGAGGGGCAGTCACCGTGGGTATATACTTTATATTATCCTGTACTTATTGTACCGGTACGATAAGCTTAAGCAGTTTAGCTTGGTACCGTACCTAGGTATGAAGTACAGCCGTTGGTATCGGCAAAAACATCAACTCAATCAACCGTTTGACAGCATATGGTCTATGTCTTCAGAACTCACGACGAAGGAAATTTTGAGCAGACAACGATTGCAACTTTCCGGAGGTATCATGTTAGTAGAAGCTGCTACTGCACAACTAGCAAGTGATTCTAGCCCGACGAGTATAATATCAGTATTGCTATTGACGAACAAGCTTCTACTTAAGTACAAAAACCAGTTCAGTAACGCCAAGTACCATGCCGCTAACTCCAAAAAAAGAAAATGAGATATCCAGCAAACCCTAGAACGCCTCCTATCCGCTCTGCCTGATGCAGACTTCGGTACCCCACAAGCTATGTTGTAGCACAACGACGGACTCATCATTTCCAATATCTCACATTATGGTACCTCTTCACAGGGACACTCCGTTCACTATGACGGCCTGATGTCGCCCTCAGCTGCTTCGATTCCATGTGAAAGCAGGTACCATTTGCACTTCCGCCTCCAGCACGAACAACTTTGTTGTTGCACAGAGGATATGAGCGACGTTCGCACATATCACAGTATATGCCCTCGACCACGGAGATAAAGTCCGGGCCCCAGGAGGTTTTACTCTCACAGACCTCGGCAGCGCTGTGTCCAGAATGCTCGCTAATAACGAGCTGGCCTTCCTGACACCACCTGTGTGGTTGCTCGGCACGCTTCTCAACGTGGCGGTCGAGGACGGGCGCGTGTCTCTTTACAACGGGTTTCGGCATAGGAGCAGGAGCAGGAGCCGCACGTTGTTTCCGTTGTTTCTTGGGTGGCATTGTGGGTGCCGCCGTGATGGCAGGCTGCTCGCTATTGACCGTCAAAAGTGTCTCCATGTCTGCATTCGCACGTCGTTGTAATATAGAGGCACGATCGGCAGCACGCCGGGCTCTAGCTGGTATTTGCCCAACTACACCCCCAAAGGCTCCCACGCCAATCGATGTCTGTGGTGGAGGTGTATCTGCAGCTATCGTTCCAACTACACCACCAAAGGCTCCCACGCCATCCGATGTCTGTGGTGGAGGTGTATCTGCAGTTATCGTTCCAACTACACCACCAAAGGCTCCTGCGCCATCTACTGGTGGGGATGGTGGGGGGCCTAGATTGAACACAAGACTGCTCTTGAGCTGACTAGTAATGCTTGCAGGAAGTGTGAGGTCCGGGTCATCGATGATTCCGTTGGTGGCAGTACAACCATGATTCGCGCCCTCCACGCCACGGGCGAGATCGACTTCGCAGTTGAATGGAATCCCCGCGATGGAGCAGGTCTGAGTGAAGGACGACTGGATTGCGTTGAAGTCAACGTCGAACCCAGTGTTGGGATCCTTCTGATTAACAGCAGCCAAGCCTGATGGATAGAAGGGGATACACACGCCTGGGTTCTTGTAGAATTGCTGGCGTCCCGGAGCGTGACACAACGTTTCAGGAAACTTCGACCATTGTGTTGCGGTAGCGTTTGCGGGGCCTGAACTCCCAGGAAAGAAGAAATCGGTGAGTCGAGCACTAAAAGCGTCTACGAAGCGGCCGTCGTTACTCATCCAGAAGCATGGTGGTTGAAATGGGACTGAGACCCCAGGGAAGGCGGCCGTACTTGGATACCATGGCAGATTGCAAGCTTTCGCCGTCACTCCATTCCAGCTTCGGAAGTCGGCCCCATCAGAACTGCCCGAGGTTGTTGTGAACCAGGATATGCAGACCTCGTCGCTACCACCTGCCTCCAAGGATATATATACCGGCGTTTCAGATGCTACAGATCCTTCTTGCCCGCTGATTGTAACACCCACAGTTCCGCCGTCGACGACAACAACATCCGAGACCGCTCTGCCCATACTGTGTCCATTTACGTCGTAAAGCTCGACGTGTGGAGTGTTGCCCCCTGGGCCATCTACGCACAGGCCGATGGTTAGCATTGGCTGCTTAAAATTCACCAGTAAATGAAGTAAGACACTTCTCATGAGCCAAAGTAAAAAAGCGACGCCAAAGAAGGGGAAAGGGAAACAATTCTCATTTACTTACTGGAACCACCAGGAACAGCAACGCTACTGTTTGTAGCTCCTATGCCAATATTTACAGTGATCTTCTCTGGTTCTGGCTTGGCGAAGAAATTCGTGAGTGCTGGGATTGACAAAAGACCAGAAACTCCCAGCACTATAATATTTATAGCGGCATTGGCAACGGCCATCCTTGCTGATATCTCTCAGAAGCGGTTTGTTGTGGAAAAGAAGGGAAGTTTGGTGTTCAAAAGGAGAGAGTTGAAACTTGAACAAGTAACGAAAGAAGCAAGTTCAAGCTGGAAAACGAATATAATGCCGAAGAAAATTCGAAAATGCTACTCAAGGAAATAGAGATAGTATGAATGTTTGTGTAAGCATGAGTTGATTGATGGTTCATGTAAGAAGAGTTTCTTCTTGATCTTATAGCTTTCAGAAACTCTATTTTGGTGCATTATACTCACACTCTATTTCCGGCGGCAAAAGATATAAGCATCTAGATGCTGATATTTTTACATCTTTACGTTTTCTGACTTCTCATTTCCTTTTGACAGTGTTTCATCTATTTTGACTCTCTGGGGTAGTTGTAAGACTGTTATGGGATTTCGGAATGCCAGACGCAATTTCTGCCGAACAATTACTAAGTTAGCATCGTGGCTAACTTGGATGCATCGCGGCAAAAGAGCTGCGCCAAGAATAGCATCCGTAAGCTCCATGCCTGCGGTATTGCGCAGCTTATTTCGGTTGAGTCGGCTATCGCGCGGAGAAGGATCATATCCATGTGCACAAACGAAGGATGATATATATCCGTTAATAGCTTGGCGGCTCTGGATTTGCAATCTATGCTCACAACTCTTCAACTTTCCTATTGTTTCAAGTATCTCACCGGTAAGTCTACAAGGTACAATCTGACAGGAAGCGCAGGACGATTTGAGTTTCTCCTCATACGATTTCTATCTTTATCGAGAGATAGTTTTTTTTCGAGACTTGGATCTTCAAATCTTCGTTTCATGCTAATTATATCGCATTGTATGCTATATTCGAGTTTGATGTACGTTATGAGTCGGCTTCGAGGTGTCCATCACGCGAGTATATTTACCACCGATAGTTCCTATGATCAACTTAAAAACCATCAGATCATCCTCTCCTCTTTGTCTCTTCATCAACACAAACCAGCATCCTAACAATTTGGATAACTTTCATTCCTACACTCCTTTTGTCATCAGATTCTAAGTTCCCTTTTCATTCGGCTCTCATTACCCATCAACACTCCCTCAATATGAAGTACACAACAGCCTCGGCGATACTATTGTATCTCGCACTTACAGACTTGTCGTTTGGGAGGAGTATTCCAACACGCGAGCTACACGAGCGACGAAATGGGCTTCCTGGTACTACGAATCAAGGTTCGACACTCCCATATAAATATACCATTGCCAGTTGATCTAATAGCGTTCCAAGATGTTACTTGTAGTACTGAAGAGTGTGGTCAGCTGAGCCAGCTCCTCCATCTTAGCCTTCCTATAAAGCGGGCTGACTTTGTTCCAATCGAGTTCGAGCCCCCAGAAATAGTTGCGCCAGGAGAGGGTGCTGGAGGAGAGCACGGCATACCTGAAACTACTGGTCCGGCACCAGGAGAAGGGCCCGGAGGCAACTCAGCTAGCAACGAACACCCAGACACAGAGCACGGTGGTGTTGGGGAGGCTACAACAAAGGACCCAGGATCTCCTCCGGCGGGTAGTGACGCTGGCTCTGCAGACTCCGCAGCTAGTCAGGGATCAATTTCTACCTCCGACGAAGACTTCCCACAGGCGCCAACCCGATCAGATCCCCCAGATCTTGCACAGAACGGATACTTGGTCACGCCCCACGATGGCCCCATTCCCAATACATTTGATATCAACAAACCCGGAACTTCCTCACCATTAGACATCATCGAGTTAGACACAGATACAGACAGTCTTGGCATCAACTTCGCCAATAATGGCGAAGAGGATAAACTCAATCCTGGAAAGCTCCCTTTGCGCAGTATCGGTACTAGTCTCTGGGCCTCAAAATCTGGCAAAGCTATGGGCGATTTGAAAAGCATCAACTACCAGCAGGTCAAGAACACGGAGATGGAGGCCAAGTTTCCCCAGGCCTACGCTGCACTCCAAAAGGTCTTTCCCACTGCGACGAGGCCTGAGCCTGTGATATTGACACCTAGTGGGAGGGGATCCACAGTTGTTGGAAATGATGCGGCGTTCGATTTGATTACGGATTCGGCGTTTGGCGGCGGCGCGAATAAAATGTTGGCGGAGACCAAGGGTCTTGAAGGGCGTGAGATCATTAGTATTGAGTTGTTCCCTGATGCGGATGTCGATATACAATTCAACTTTTGATCGTGGATTTTATCGGAAACTCAGGAGTGGAGAACTAGGAAATCGTTGGGGGTACTCGTATAGAACACTGCTTTGGAAGTGCGTAGAGGAGTTGTGGGATATTAAGTAACCAGGGTCTATTTTGGGTAGCAGGCGCATTGTTTTTTTTTTAGGCTTCAGGGGGTTCGTTTCCTTTGCTAGGTTTATTCACATTTTCAACTCATCTTTTCTCTCTCATCGTTAGGCCTTTAAGAGTACAGTTTGCAAATAAAATCCATATTGTGGAAGTAGTGGACTAGTACGGAAAGAAGCTGCACTAGAATCAAGCTTTCACCTTGAAGCCAAGAGGTCTTGGAAAAGCTTGAGACCTGACAATGCTCAGATTCCGGGGACGAGACTCAACACCTGTGCGCGGTGTGGATAAATTAATCAACCAATCAATGTCTAGATTCACTGCAGTTTGCTATCGCTCGTAACGTTGTTGTTCCCCTGGACCTCCCACCGTATGAACGCTCGGGCCAACCGCAGATCTATTTCGGGGCTCACTCCACTCGCTTCGCGCTTCAACGTCTTCTAAGCCTCTTACATGATACATCCGTCATTCCCAACGATACTGCTGACTTAAAGTTCGACATTGACTTCACTGGCATCATTTTATTTTACTTCCATTTATACTTCCATTCATACTTCCATGCAATACACCTTAAGGTCAACCACTCGTCATATAGGTTAAGATCCAGCAAGATGGAGCTCCTCGACCTGCCATCTGAAATTCTTCACATAATCTTAGTTCATGCCTCCTTGCTTGGTATCAAAAGAGCCTTGAGATTACGACTTGTGTGTAGCACATTTGCTGGTGCGATTTATCCTGCGCTTTTCGAAACTCGTTTGATGGATCGCGAACATGCCATCGGTACATTCCGTTGGCATCTCGAGAATCAACACGGCGCCGAGAAGCTGTGGCACGAATACTTGGTACATAGAGTCATGGGTGAACGAGATCCAAGTGTTGGACGGTTTGTCGAAATGCGACAGACCGCGGAAGCTGCCTGCAGGGAGACTGCAATTGACCTGCACACTGCCGTCGATGGCATGTGCTGGCTCGCTCTGAGGCATAGAAGGGAGGAGAAGGACCGCGAATTCCGCCAATGGGGTCCAACACGCCCAAGAACGGCGAATTTAAATCTGAATCTGATGGCTTTCGCCGCTTATTTTGGCTTAAGGGATCTTGCCGAAAAGCTGATCGATGGCAATCTCCCAACAATGCACAATTATCTGTTTGCGCCGCCAATGCAGGTTGCTGCACAAATGGGTAACGTCCCTATATTGCATCTTTTCCAGGAAGCTCTGCTCAAGTCACAAAATGAAATATGGAAATTTGAACCCTGGTCTGTCACTGGTGCTGCGATTCGAGGCGACCTGGAGGTTCTCAAGCTAGCTCTTCGACCCCATACGACAACCACTCAAGGTGAAAATGATGGCAAATACGCTGACATCGATGGCCACATGTTAAAAAAATTCAAATGCACATTAGAGACTGGTAGAGAAATTCTAAACATTAGGCAGTACGCATCTAATCCCGAAGTCTACGACTACCTGGCTGGTGTACTGGACGAGACGGAGTTTGAAGGGGACGTGTACCAGGAGCTAAAGGTCCATTCACTCGGAGGCAACTTGCCAATGGTGCGTCATCTTCTAGATCTAGGCGCACCTATTGAGCATCCGCAGGGGATCGAAACGCCATTGGTCATGGCATGTCGAGGGCTGCACCTTGATATAATTGATCTTCTGCTAGACCGTGGCGCCAACCTTCACTTCAACAACAAGTACTTCCCGGTCTTCGCTTTTCACGAGGCAGCTATTGCTGGTAGTCTATCTCTTGCTCGGAAATTACTAGACCGGGGTGCAAATCCTAATCGAGCTGAACCTCCGGGCCAAGCTGGAGGTTCGCATGGAAAGTACCCGGCTCTATGGTGGGCATTCGAAAGGGAGAACACGGACATGATTAGATTGCTCCTAGAGCGAGGAGCCACTTTCGACGGCCGGTACAAGGATTGGATTGGGAAGTCACTTGCTGAGATGACCTACTACCTTGGGTACCATTCGATGAACAATATCTTGCGGAAGGATCATGGGTTTCAGATTCCTGGACCTCTTCATGACCCACGCAAACAGAGAGGACTTGGTTGGTTCAAGTGGGGTGAGGCAGTGACTAGATACCCGCGAGCTTCGGATCGAGAATGGTGCGCACAATATGAAAATTAACGGAAATAATCAAAAATACCTAGTATCAGTTCTCTCGCCGAAATCATTCGTCATTGTTACCTCGTGTTTTCCTATTGAGTTTACTCGATTAGTAGGCATAGGTATAGGTATAAGAGATTTTCATGTCTCAAACCCCCCTCATCCAACCCTGAGGTGCATATCATTTGTGAGGCAAGTTCAATATTGGTAATATAGACTCAGAGACTACTTTAGGAGTTTACCTACAGTACGGAATACGAGACTATATACCAAGTCTATAGCCAAATGTAATGTTTAGGCGTGATGGCCGCCGGATAGGACGGAGGTGTGGACTGAAGATCTAAAAATATTACCTGAACTTTTGGGACAGAGTGGAGATGAATAGCTAGTCTATTAAAATAAATACAACGAAAAAACTAACTCATCTTTCCCAATCTCAGAGTACACATAGGCTAATGGCATGCTTTACCGTACTTACGAAGCCGCATGTAGTTATATGGGAGAGGTGTGAGAAAGCCTGCGCCAGCAGAGATCGCGGCTGCAGCCCAAAACCCAGGATTCTGGAGATCCACAACCCCACCCATTAGATGGTAGTCAACGACATTCTGAACCGCCTCCATGGACAGCATTGAGACCATGCTCATACCCGCAGCTGTAGTAGCTGCCGCCCGCCAGCCTAAACGATCTAGTCCATACCGGAGCAATATCGTCTCGATAGACAACGAAGAAGCTAATCCTGATGCCACTGCCGATTATGTTAATAACTATATAAACTCAAGGGCGAGATTCAAGTAGTCTTACTGGAAATACCCATGATCGTGTAGATGCCTAACTCGGGATGTTGACTTTGAAGGAACCACATTGCTGAGAAGTCCCCCAACGTGCAGCCGATGAGACATCGCAGGGTATTGATTCCAGCTCGTTTCCATAGGGCACGAGAATTCCAGTAACTAATCGAGAATGCGGAGTCTTTAACGGAAACTTTGGACTCTGGATCTTTTCGACACGTTGAGGGTTGTGGGTTGGTCGATCGGACAGAGCCCTTTAAGTGATGAGTGTTTTGCGAACGCTGATTACAACTAATGGACGTCTTTGCGCTACTTTGGAAGCCGGCACAAAGGCGCTGAACTTGGAGGTAGCGACTCCCCGACCTTGACGAAATCACCATTCCTCTAGGAGCCATCTTCGAACCTAATAAGAAACGGGATGATCCAAGAAGCGTCATCTCCTATTGTAAGATGATTTTGGTGGGCTAGTGACAACTTTTTCTCGGTGGAGCGGTTGTTGTGGTTTGTTGGTAGTAGGCAAGGGCGCGTGGGAAGATTAAGACCAGTCCAGAGACGATCATTCGAATCACGTTATGACGTGTGAGACCTTGTCGACGAAGGCTATCAACAATAATTAACACTGAGAGGACTGAGAAAATAGGGCGGAGGTTGTTGAAATATGCAGCAGATGCAGATCCAATAGATGTTAGATCAAGCAGAGTCTGGATGATGTTAATTGTCTTGAGCGAGGTCATAGTAAGATGGAATGCTAGAGGGGGCGTAGAGCCTACCGGAAGCCAGCAGCACGAGCTGTGTAAAAGCGCAGATAAAACTGGTGAGAGAGAGGAGAGCCAAGATATGACGGATGATTGGGGTTCAGGTGAATCAGACAGCGAAGAAGGTTTGTTATGAGAAGGAGACGTCGAGTCAGAGGGTTCACAGCACGAGGGCATGGCTCCTTTATTTCGACTCGTGCTTGCCTTGTATTTTTCAAAGGGTGAAAAACAGGGTAAGACTATTTACTTATTAAATGGGCAATTTGCGTTGTGTGGAGTAGATGTTGCGTGTCGAATGATGTTGATGCCTCGTTGCGCGTTTTGTGCGGATTGCGGATTGCGGATCAAACACGACGCTAAAAGGAGCACAAATATCGCGTCGCTTAAGGACCCCTGTTATGACCCTTACTAGCGCTGTGTGTAAGTCTGCTAGACGAAGGGATAGCGACGGCAGCTGCCTCCTCCTGGATTATATTAAGGACCGGTTTTACTAGTAGGTGTCGTGTCTTTCTTCCTCCTACAAATCGGATCAACCTAATTAGCTTATAAGTATATGCAAGTAACACGTACAAGTCAAATATGGTTGTAGTAAAAAAACTAAGAGAGGGAAGGTTGTTGTTGGTTGCGAAATTGCAAGAGATCGTTTACTAGCAGCCATCATCAGAATGCATGTCCTTTTAGAAAACTCAAAGGTTGACCCTGCAGCCTGCTAAGGATATAGCATGTCCGTTTTGGCAATGCTCTGGATAAGGGTTTCAAACGGGGCAAGCGCACAGACCAGCTTTCTTGGTCGCGTCTTGGAGTTCACCTGATTTACGCAATAGCTAGTTTAAATACCGTATATCGGCCATTGTCGTTTGTCATTACTAACATCCCTAAAGTGAGCTATTGTTGGCTTACCTGTCAGTGTCTAACTTTGACGCTTGTCTAGACTAGGATCTCCAAAATGATGGATGGCCGCTGGCCATTTTTGGCGCCTGCACAACTGTAGTTGTGGGTCGCTGCGGGGCCGTGGAGTAGAGAACTGTGATGTTAGGTCTCCCAATGTGCTGTGGAACACTGAGAATAGATTGATGCTGGTGGTTTTGAGCGGTCAGTCTAGTGCCGTGCCCCTAGGTTAATGCTACTTCCGTTTTGCGTCTTACTTTTTATCCGACTGCTCATATCCTTTGGTATTATTTATCATACTCATAGATTTCGACGAGAGTACGGGCTGTTGTGTGTTGGCCGCGCGCTAATGCTACACGTTGTTGGCAGCGGGCAATTTCCGAAGTTGTCGACAAAGAATGCTCATTAATTCTCGACTTGTGGAAATCATTCCTCTCCGTCACTCGCGTGCAAAAAAGGGGTTTCTTTCTTCATGAATTCGTAGCTCTTCATGAACTACGATCTTCACCACCAACCATGACTTCCAAGCGGGCCTGTACCAATTGTCGGCAATAGAAGGTATGTATTCTCTGTGATTCTGTGCTCATTACTGATGTGTACAGTCATAGATCCGGTGCATCATCGACGAAAATTCATCCATTTGCTCCTGGTGCCAGCGAATGAAGCTATCGTGCTACCTTGATTTGTCTGAGAAAAGATCTCGGAAGTGGACGTAAGTTGTAGACCCTGTTGGATTCGATCTACCCCTGCGTACTCATTAGCTGGGCAAAAGCCAAGAAATCGATACTGCACAACCTCCAAAGCGAACCCTGGTGCCATATCCTGTCGGGTTGGTAAATTCTGGGCTCTCCATTTTTCTATCAACTCCCCACATTGTATCTTATGAACCCATCGCAATTAGTAGTGCTGGAAGTTAACAGCACTATAATAACTACAATACTACAATTCCTAGGTGTGGCCACTTCTTAGGCCGTAGCTAGTAATAGAGAACGACCAACTAATCAATCCATGCTATCAAATAAACAGTTCGAATATGGCGAATAAAACGAAACGTGGATTGAAGACTGATCGAATTCCTAGAAATAAAAGATTGTGTTCTTGGATTTTAGCTATGCAATGTAGGAGGAACGTAGATACGGAAAAGCCGAAGAATAGAGTATTCGGCGCAATAAACTCCCATGACGGCTTGAAATGAAGCATTGTATAAAAGTTCCGCAGCGGTTATCCGATCCTGAGGATCATAAGAGAATCCTTTTAGCAAAACGGACAGTACGTGAGTACGCTCAGTCGAACTGACGTCAGGGCGGGCTTGTGAAATCATTGCTTCAAGGGTGGACTCAGGCTTCTTCCTCGGATCGTACCACGAAGCGCCAGTTCTGGTGGGTTGGTGGTAATAGCCGTACCAAGTTTGGGGTAGTAGGCCGAGAGACTTGATATACTTACCTAGCCTCTTACTATTAACTCCTCTACTATAATAGTACAAAATCTAGTATTCTCACCGAATTAGTCAACCTTTCGTTAGTATAATAAATTATACACTATATAGAGATATAGTAATCGAAAAGTTATTAAACTAAATAAATATTTTAATATTACTTGATAGTCCGACTTATAATATTAGGATATATATTCCGTTCTTGTACTAAACCCAAAGACTATCTCGAATCTTTCTATATATCTATATTATTAATCCAAGTTAGCTTTAGCCTCCTCCGCTTCAGTAAGTATTTCTAGTAATTCTTTTGCCTAATAACCTTATAAAGTCTCTTGTAAAACACTGTCCTTCTTCTATTAACTCGAGAAAGCTACTATCTTTTACTATAGTCTCGAATAAGTATACAACGAACTATATAACTATACTCTTTAAACTATTTATATCCTGCCTAATCTTATTATCTTTAGTATTACTATTACTAGTAACTAAACCGAATAAAATCAATTACTTTCCTTATCTAGTTTCCAGCGACTTTGAAAGAACAAAGCGCTTAGTGTAATTTGTCAAGAGCTAAAATACGTAAATCGGTAATGTCGTACCTGTCAGCGAAGATATATACTCTTATGTGACAAAAGAAGGGCCCAGCAGTGTTTTCGCACACTTCCAGCTTTTCGCGTACTAGTAGTCGAAATTTCGGGCTAACTACCGAGTAACCGCGACATTTGAACTCGCCCCAAAGAATCTAAATAAGTACTTTATAACTGTAGTATCTACAAGGTTTCTCAACACTATCAAAACCACCAAAAGAGGTAGCGACCTTTTTCTTCTTGTTCTTAGAAGTCCCGAAGCAGCGATTATCTACTACAAATTCTTCTGTAGACAGAGGAGCTTCTACTCTCTCGACTATAAGAATAGCTAGAACGAGCGGACGTTGTACGGGTGTGTAGTCCCCTATATAAGTATATTCGCAGAACCCAACAAAACTTTATTCGTCTATATCCTCTAGTATTGTAATTCCGTCCGTTACTTCGCGTATCAGCTTATTCATTAATACAGCAAGCAGGGCCGAGGCCTAGAATAAAGGCCAAGTCATGAGTATAAAATGGTTCACGTTTTCAGGTATGTTGTTCTCTGCCGAATAATCCCCTCAGTCCTTACCAGTCTTCCTAAAGGTTATTTGATAGTTAAACATGATTTGCTCTTATTATTAGCCGCGAAGCAACTCAAGGACGGAAACATGTATCGTTTCCCAACTCCCTAGGGGAGAAAAGTGTTACAACAGTACCCTTAGCTACTGGCTCTGATTCGAATAACCGCGCTACTGCTAGAAGATCTCCCAATTGCTTGTGTCGTCCCTTCGGTAACCCCTGCCATCTGGTTTCAATTCCGCGCACTTGTCAAAAAACCGTTCCGTGAATCCTCGCTACGTGATTCTGAAGGTGCATCTTGTGCTTCAAGGACATCCGACACACCTTGTACCTAATCTCTATCACTAATGTTGGAAAAATGTTTCCGCTAAAAGTGCTTAGTTAGGTCTCCCGGACTGGCAAATGGATACACGCGCTTCTTGAACGGCAACAAAAAACTAAAATGGTAATCTTAGCTTTATTTTGAATCCGCAGACGTTGCGTGGTAGCTGATTAAATTTTGCCATTCATCTTGTAGAGTGTGCGTTTGCCGGTATTATCCGATGTGAGCCTCCATTTGCGAGTCTAATTCAGATAACAGTTGAGAGACAGAGGCCTCTAGTTCTTCATTGATGTCGATTTCCTTCTCTGGAATCAAAAGAAGTATGTTGTTTCCGTTAGCGATCGCAGCATGGAAACACACTGTAGGGCCAGAATATTCAAGTCGGTATCGTATACACTCTTGATCGAGGTAATACTCTAGCGGGTGGGCGTTATCCTCGTTAGCGATCCATGATAGATCTTCTAGAACTGCCCTATCGCATCCTTCATAATCAGTATTGATATCCGTCAGATCTGCATCGCCAACACCGGTACCAATATCTATTAAGACTGTATCTTCGGCATCGGTATCAACATCCGTCGGCTCGGTATTAACATCGTGCTCATCCTCTATATCGAAGCAGCTCTCAACGTCCGATTCATCGCTGGAGAAGCTTCAAAACGTACAAATCATCTTCCCTAAGCATGACTTGTCCTGGTTGGCTGTCTACACTCTCCGCGACCGGGAGGTTGATGCATAGGTGAGATAATAGACCTGCATTCACAGACCCAATGCAGTTGAGAAAGGATTCAAGGGGGCCTAATCCATTCGGGGCCCCTCTCTTCGCACCAGAGCCTGAGGACGAATAGGGGAGCCACGGACATAAATTTCCGTCGAAGAAAGGGAAAAAGGCTAAGAATGGCCCGTTAAGCCCGTCCAGAGTTGTTCCAGAGCCGCCGACACCTGCATTCAAAGTGTTCAACTCTCTTAAATACACTCTCTTCTAATGTCGATCCAATCTTTGTACTTGCAAAACCTTCTATGGACGACGGTCCTGTAGAGTACAGTGGCGAGGTCCTTCTTGTTCATGCTTCCCTGTATGTCCTGGCAGAAAAGTGGGGAGTTAACAGTCTGAAGATGTTGGCTTTATCAAAACTCTACTAAACTCTGAGCACACTCTGCCCCGACGCGTCAAAAGTTCAAGAAGTCATCGATCTTGCGCGATATGCGTACTCGGATGGTTTGACTCCAGATTTAGAGACTGAGATGGATGGATTGAGAAAGTTGATCTGTCTATACATAGCTGCTAACATCGAGGTAGTCTCGGAGCATGCTTCGTTCATGGATTTGATTGAGGATGGGGCGCCTTTGTGCGGGATCTTTGGAAGCGCGTAGTGCCCAGGAGTCTATCTCAAGGGATGAATCATTAAATCATTGAAGATGAGCCCGCGTGGGAGCCGCCGCAGAATGGTGCATAGAAAGATGCAAGAAAGTGGTATTCAAGGCGAGTAAGATGGCGAAGCACCATAAATGAATGAAGAGGTTGATATCGAAAGGAGACATGAGACGCAACGCCATTACTGGGAATTATTGATGAGTTATTCAGATAATTGACATGCTGAAAGTTGTGAATGTAGTTCAGATAGGAAGTTTCCGAGTTCTTTGGACCCAGCTAGTTCGCACGCATTACGGGATATATTGCTCTAGCTTGGAAATAGAGGACTCATCGGACGCAAGCTAGATCTGTTGAGAAGATAAAACAAGAAAATTTAGAGAAGCGGAAGACGGTTGAGATATTCTGGTTATCGTGATTCGGCAATTATATAACTGGGATCTCAGGAGCAGGTGAACATTTTGGTTCCAAGTGAACACTTCTCCTAGGAAACTTCTACCGTTTGGAACAGAATGGAAAAGCAAAGAAAGGCAATTTTAGTGAGTATCCATAAAAATCAACGTTCGAGATGAGGACTAACTTTTCAAGCAAACATCCCAGTACAGAAAATGCTAATTACTCATTAACTTTCCACCGTGATCTCAGCTCTCTCCATATCACCCAATAACCTCCTCCAAACTTGTGTACCCTCCTCCTCCTCCTCACCCCCACCTAAAGTCGCCCGATTCCCAATAACGATAACTCCCCTTTTTGCTCTCGTGAGTACAACGTTCAACCTTCTCAGGTCTTTTAGGAACCCAATTTCACCATGCACGTTACATCTGACAGTGACGAAAATGACGATATCTGCTTCTCTTCCTTGAAAACCGTCGATCGAGAAAACTTCAACGTTTGGAAACAGAGATGTGAGTGATTTAAGAGCGAGAACCTGCGCGCTGTAAGGAGTCAAGACTGCTATGGATGGTGGGGATGGTGGTATCGGGGAGGATGAAGGTGATGAGGGTACAGTGTTAAGAAGGGTGCAAATTTTATTGCACAAATCAGTTTGGCCCTTGTTTCTTTTTGATTTACCTCCTAGATCTTCTGGAGTTGTGCATTCTAAAAATATGAGCCTTTTCTCTGCCTTCTCACCGACAGGCCATGGAAACGCGGACGGTGGTAGAGGTCTGCTGTTGTTGGAAATTCCAGTCCGGAGTTTACCCTCGTAAAACTCGCGAGAGCTGAACGCGCAGATGGACGAGTGCATTCGGTATTGCGTGTCTAACATTACCTTTGCGACCGAACCGGAGGCTGTCCCATCCCGAAAGACCGAACCCGACTGGGTGTCCTGTTTATACAACCTTTCGAAGAGGGAAATATCAAACCCCTGCAAAACGGCATGTTTCTGAATGGTGGCTCCAAGTTGGACATGATCACCGACAAGAATTGCCTTCCTGCACCCCTTAACGAGCGGAACAAGAGATGCAGGTTCGGTTTGTTGGGAAGCTTCATCAACAATAACGGTATCAAAGATCTCAGAACGTAAGAGTCCAAGTCCAGACCCAATACAAGTCGTAAAGATCAGCTGGCATCGTTTTATCTGGTCACGAGCTTTATTTAGGGCAGAGTAGCTGGTATAGAGTTCTTTCCCCATCATTGCATCACAGGTATACTTGACAAGATCTCCCGCAACTTTACGAATCTAATGAAGTCAGAATCAGACAAGTCCTGAGAGAATAGGCACTTACATCCGTAGACACTCGAAGCGGCAGTGGGTTTGCACCACCAAGTAGGCCCTCTTTTGCCGCTTCATCCAAGTACTTCCTCATCACGTTGTCAACCGCGTTATGGGTCGGCGCGGTGACCAAAATTCTCCTCGTTCCTGACGTTTGGAGCTGTTTGATGATCTCGACGATTGTGTGAGTTTTTCCCGTGCCTGGAGGGCCCCACAAGCACACTAGTGAATACTCAAGAGCGGTCTCAACCGCCTGGTTTTGGCTTTCGTTCAATCTTGCAATTCTATTATAGGCAGAAAAGTGTTTGTCTGAAACGTTCAAAGTCTCAATTCCAAGAATTTCGTCCGCAATTGAGCAGCAATTGTCTTTTTGCGAGTAGAAATTGCGAACTGCATCAAACATAGTCTTTGACGTTACGAAGGATCCACACTTCTTAATTTCCCAAGAACATTCCTCGAGAAATTGGGGCAAAGGATGAAAGCAACGAAATTCTGCCGAACCTGGTTGGCTTGATTTGACGAGCGCATCCATAGAATAGGGTTTCGCGGTGACACTGTTACTAGGTGAATTGGCTACTGTTAAACGAACGTGGTCGGAAGTGTTAAACATCCCACTGGGTGCATCAATTCTAATTCGTGTCTTCACGACAGGGAAACTATCCATCCATCCGGATGCCTTCAATTCTAGGAGCATAGATTCTGGCCTGTGTGACTCGTCTGCCTCGTCAATGTGGTCAAGAGCGATTCCGAAGAGATTTTGCGCAAATCGTTGTACCAATACCTGATTTCCAGAGAGAAGTCTCGAAGCTTCTGGTTCGAGACAACCTAGAATCAAGTCCAAAGCTATGGTAGGAGACCGAACAGACAGCGACATGAGCTCAACCAAGTCCGAGAAGTTATCAAAAGACATGGAGCCGATCTGTGACAAAACCTTCTTGAATGGCTCTACCACGAGTTCTCCAATGCTATTTGCCGAGAGTATATGAGCTTTTAGAATAGCTGGTGATGATTCTTCCAGGAGGCGATAAAGATCCAAGGGGAGTTTTACCCATGATTCTGACCGAGAAAAGGCAACTGATAAGAAAGGGGCTCGCCTAAGAAATGCGACCATCGCCCGCAGTGGGATCATGGAGATCCCCTTGCACTCCTCTTTAACAAATTGTGTCATCAAATGCTTGAAGATATCGAGAAGCATTCCATTCTCTGCTCTTTCAGACAGCCAGCTAAATATTTCAGTATACTGGTCTTCCGAATCTACAGAATCGAGGGTAGTAAAATGCTTCTGTTTGACGATTTGCTTGATGTGTTCAGGCACTTCGCTCCAGTTGACATCTTTCAGCTTCGGAATGCTGTATTCTTTCGCATTCTTCTCGAATAGAGGCATGACATGGTTGGTATCGACAAATTCCAACCAAAGATCGAGATTCAACATCGATTTCACATCTTTGTTACTAATGACATATATTTCCTGTCGCATATTAGCATACCTTTAGACATAAAATTCAACTTGCATACTGCTCCAAGGACACCATTTCGATTGACCCTCCCAATATGTGTTTGCAATCGTCTGCTAAACTTGTCAAGAGCAATGCTGGCTCTACAATCAAAGTTCTGCCCGCTGTCGATAGTCGCCTGTCGTCCTTTTCTCCAAGCGCGGGCGCTTTCTTGGTTCCGGTAACTACTATCATCCGATGCACCTTTCGTGATGAATATCCAAGAGTTACCTCGCTTCAGCTCGAACAGCTGAAAGGTGTTGCTATCACAGTAGAGACGATAGTTCTTCTTGGTGGGAACAGCCTGACGGTAGGATGACTCGTCTCCTTTGGAATGTGGAAATGCAAACAACCGTACACGATTATCAACTTGACACTCCTCAGCCCGTTCAATCTTTTGGGGCACATATATCGCTAGAGTTAGTCGCTCATCTACTCGAATCACGATGAGCTTCCGATGAAAGAGTTCCAGAGATCTTGCGGTGACATCAAGGAATGTCGCCAGTCTGTCCCGAGTTGAGTCATAGATACATTTCCACTTCAAGCCTGGGTAGTCGAGCTTAAAAGGTGCCAGCTCTCTGCTTGATATGAGGCTGGATTGGCAGAGCGCATTGGAAATCATGCTCAAAGCTTCAAAGGTTGGGGGAATTTGATTCAAAGTCCAAGATTTTTCTTCGGCGGTCAAGAGATTGAGGTCAAATAAGTGAAGGAGGTCCATGAGATCATTCCTATTCTTTCGACACCATTTGTATGTCAGCTTGATTAGCTCAAATTCTGAAATGGCCATATTTTCCCGTGCCATCAGAAGCTCCATCGCATCGAAAGTGAAGCCGTCATAGTTGAGAGCGCGGGTCTGACGGGCTTGGACGATATTCTTGGCCTCATTGTGCAGCACATCGAGAATAAATGGAGGATCCAGAGGAGAAGGTTGAAGGGGGCTTTCAAGATCGTTGGGTACCTTGATTCGATTTCCATCAACGCACATCGAAAAGAGACGATTCAATTGTTGGCACTCAGGAGACATGGGACCCTTGGATCTTGCCCAGTCTAGGTAAAGATTCTTGACTCTTCCCAGTGATGCATTCGTATATTTGGCAAAGTAGACAAGACGATCATCATCAGTAATAGGCTTGAAGGTGACAGCTTCTTTTCCGCCTGGGTACTGAGCCGCTTCGGAGACCTTTTCTGGGATCAGATCGGTGTCCCAACAAACGAAGACTATGAGGATGGTTAGTGATTCTATCAATTAGAGGGAGGCTAGTGACTTACATGTATCTCCATCCAAGTCCCCTCCAGACATCAAATCAGCCGTTGGTCTCGTTCCGCGAGTGGGGAATACGATGCAATCAACAAGATGGGAAAGTTCATCTCGTTCCACAGCCTTGAGCTTTTGCAAATCTCCTGGATGTAAGCACGGATTTCTCGTAACTAAAACATCCATGCCTTTCAGCGTGTAAGGTTGGCCATTTCCATCCATCGTAACTTTCACTGCACATTCTCCTTCCTTTAGCACATCCCATGCATCACAGATGCCAAAGAGTAGCCTCGAATTTGGAATCAATATCCGGCATCTCTGTTCGTCTCTCTTGTTGATCATCCGGTCATACTCGGAATTCACAAGCTTGGTTATGGTTTGTTGTACGGTTTCAAAACCATCGATCAAGACTTTCTCTGCAAGCTCCGGCTTGTTTATATACGTAAGAAAGCGAAATGCTGGTATCGGATGCTGTGTGGCGTTTGAAAGAAATTCAAGGTGCTCTGCTTGCTTTCGGAGAAGAGTGGATTCTTGAATCCCAAGTGAGTGAAGCAAAAGTACCACTTCATCGTTCAAATTGCCAAAACAGTAGGGCTAGGACGCATTAGGTTGTTCTTGTTCAGTATTACAGAGAGAAGAGAGGAATAAGCTACCTTTGAATGCTCGACAACCGAAAAAGAATGATCATCACCTCCATGAAACTTCTTCATCGACTTCCTGAATTTCACCCAAGTCTGAATTTCCATGCGCGAATCTAACATGAGCACACCTTTGTAACCACGATATCGTATTTGGAATACCGATGGGGTGTATCTCATATTTCGGAACGCGATTTTCAAGATCCTTGAGAGCTCATGAGCGAGGTGTTTCGATATCAACCCACATCCATCGGTAAAAATGTAATCCTGGGCTTCAATATCTGGGATATCTTGACAGCGGGAAGGGTCCAGATTGATGGCAGTTTTGGCAACCGAGAACAGGAGTCCAATCCGCTTGGACTTTTTGGCTACGGTCTTCATCTTCGTAAAATCACCCAAGCCCTCAACCAGTTTCGAAACTTCTGGTGCCGGCGCAGCATAGAGGAAGCATGTTCGCGACTTCAATTGACTGTTGCTGTGACCATAGAAGTTGTAGTGAATACTATTCAGGTGTATGCCAGCTCTAAGAAGCCTGACAATGTAATCGGATGATTCTCGGGCTGTCGCTGGCTTACTTCTTTGCTCCTCTGCTGCATCGGTGGTAAGTATGGGGACTCGTAGCTTGAAATCGGCGAAGGAGATGCTGATGAACTGATCTAGACGGCCTATTATTGCTCGGTTTGGTGAGTATTGCTGTAATCTCAGCGTCATCTCATGTTTGGTACTGTTCGAGATCAGAGAGATGGACTTGATCAAGTTCTCGTGATTGGTCTTTGACGCGGGGGGCAGACGTGGAGCCTCGTATATCCAAGCTTGGTCCTCAAGCTGGATTGACTCCTGCAGCACCTGCTGGAATGCTTTCAAGTTCACCTTGGCCATTTTGGTGTCGTTCAAGGACAGGGCGACTTCTCGAGAAGAAATCCGTTGTTCTTGACACCTGGATAAAAGGCGTGCAAGTTTGACGTTGTGTAACAACCACCCACTTTCTGGCGAGAGATGATTGGTAGTATCTGTCCGTAGCGACATTGGAGGTCTATGGAGATTTGAAGTCAAGTGTCGAAAGTGAGATTCAGAGGAAATAGGCCTGAACTACCTGAAAATCACAACCATGGCCGATTCCAAAGCTCTCCGCCATATATACATCGTGGGTGCTCAGAATACCGGCAAAACAACACTTGTGAATGCCCTCGAGGCTGCCTTCGCCAAGAACACATCAGAAATCCAACCCCGAGCCATCAAAGAAGTCGCAAGAAACGTCTTGATAAAACACAAATTCACGGCCGAATGTATCAAAACATCCCCCTCGCGAGCTTTTCAGTTACAGGAACTCATTCTGAAGGCTCAATTCGATGCTGAACGCGGGGTATTGGAGCGTGATGGATGGTTTATCTCAGACAGATCTGCCATCGATCCCATCGTCTATGCTCGCAAGTATGTGACCGAGGAGGCATCAATCCAGTTGAGGCAATCCACGGAATGGTTGCAATTGAAGGAGAGGATGAAAGATTCCGTCGTTATCGTTTGTCAAGCTGGTGCAGATTGGCTCTTGGATGACGGAGTTCGGTTGATGCCAGAGAATCGGGAGGCATGGATTCAATTCGATCAACTGTTTTGTAGTTGTCTCGATGAGTGGGGATTGGGTTATGAGGTGATGCCCTGTACTTTGACCGATATTGATAAAAGAGTGGAGTTTGTATTGGAGAGATGGAGGTCGGGAGGAACACTAGAAAGGACTTAGTGGCTGTGGGATTGAGGGAGACTCGTCTAGTGAAAACTTGAAGTAGAATCGTTACTTTTTCCTTTCTACATCTTGCATTATGCAATAGTTTGGCCAATAGTAGCTGTTCTGCCCAGTACAAGAAACTTCATTGACTGGAGAGATCTTAGCTGCTCGTTTCAGTATCTAAGAGCGGCAGTTCGTGCAACCAAATGAGCTTTTTTCTGGCGGTGTGATGAACCTTTGAAGACTGTTTCAACGTTTTGCTTGAGGTAGGCGGCTACGCCCTCTCCCTCATGGTATTGGAGTCTGGGGTACTTTGAGAAGCATCGACGAGTAGCGCAGGGAATTTCTACTATTGTCAAACCCCGATATAAGGATCATGTGATATAAGGATACCCCATTTTTAAGAATATCTTTACTGGTCTCAGCGGATTTAAGGTGATTACTAAGGATATTCTCTTTTATTAGGATATCCTAAGCTGTCCATGGGCCCAAACCTCGAATCCTACCTAATCTATCCTTATAGCTATAGCTATAGCTGATTCAGCACCTCAAAAGTGTCAAGCTATTACTAATTTAGAGCAACGTAGTATACGTCGCCGTCGCGATACAACTAGTGAGACTCAGAAAGATCTAATTACGTAGTGCGCAGCACAGCCTTCTAGCAGGCCCCTTAACCAAGGCCAGATATCGACAATTCTCTCTCCTGCCTACGCGTGTCTTGACACAGACCCTCGAACGATCTCGCAATTGGTCTCTAAACGATGCTTTAACGGCGATTACCCAGACCTCGAAGACGCGCCATTCTATTGGCAGCAGCAGATGCAGAAGAAGAGGGCTATAATTACAGGGGATATTCCTAGGGCACAAGCACGCCAGATTTGGAATCGTCTTCCGCAATATAACGAGAAGGAGGAGCCTAGGTGGTCGAATGGCTGACTAGATCTATTCAAGAGGTGTTATATTATCAAGGAGTACAAACAGCATGGAGAAGGAGCATCCGCAGAAGCCAATACGCTATTAGCTAATCAATAAATGGACGATCTACGCCTCGAGTGCTCGAATTACCATCCTTGCGGTATCTTTAATATCGACGAAACGGGCTTGTTTTGGAAGCTACAACCAGATCGCTCTCAATGGGCCATTTTGTGCCACGACGTGCTGGTAAACTTATGTTTGTCCCTGTACACGGAGTATCGCCGACATCCATTAGACAGCCACTTCTAAAGTCCTGATCGGATTCACGCGGTCTCTGGTTTTCATTGCGTTGAATTCGCTCGACCGTTACGACGGTAATACAGCACGCGAGCTTCTCAAGAAGGGCGAGCGCGACGTGCTCAAGTAGTTTGGCGCGTATGTCGTCCCTAGTGGGTCTATTGTTACCACCTCTCCGCCCGAGGCATTCGCTCTGCACCTCCATATGACCGGCCTCCTCCGATTCCTACTCGAATACGTTGGAGGAAAGGAGAAGGAGGATCCCCGGCAACACTGGCGTGATCCAAAACATACCGCTAACGATAACGCTCACATATACCGTTTCGTCCTCGGCGGCGTTGAGGGACCTAACTATTTCGGAAACTTCAACCTACAAGAAATATTCAACGCGCTTTCGAAGTCCCCTCTCTTTACCGGTGCCACAACTCCGCAGGGTTTCATGCGATGGAGTGAAGCGTTAATGGCTTATCTCCCCGTTGGATTTCAAGAAGGATACCTGGTTGGTTCCCTCGCCGGCATCTCCAGCCAGTACTAATTTGCTCCAGGGTGTTCCAGCGAAGGTACTGCACAGCGTGGGCTTGGGCCCTGTGGAGATAGTTCGCCTTCAAATGTAATGCAGGGACGGACGCGACTTAATTTCAAATGTGTGTATATCTTTTGGCAAGATTTTCGTCGCCAGTCGAACAAGTTGGCTAGCTAATCTATGTGAGCGTCATCACACCTGTCGTCATCCATAATGCTGAACTCCTTTCGCTGTCCTCAATACATAAGAGGGCAAAATGAGGCTATAATAACAACAAGCGCCGCCGCTTCTACGACCTCACAACCAACACCGCCCGGCCCAACCATGACCGGCTCGCCCGCCGACTGCAACAAGTAGGCTGTTGTGACTGACGGTCTGTCCTACACGGATATAGCGAGCTAGGCGGGGCTTACGTTGAAACCGTTTTTGGCGTAGAACCCGGCTGTGAGTAGCGATTGTATGACGAATTATTAGTTGGGGGAGGCATATTGTGTTGGTGTTAGTGCCTAGGTAATTAGTAGGGAGGCGATTAATGCTGCTGGCTGGTAACATCTTTGGCAGTTTCTTTGATATTTTGACCGTACGGGGAATAAATATATGGACAAGGATCGTTTGATGAACAAGAATGGACCCTTTCGTGCTTGTCGGTACCTAGGTAGCTGTGAGCGCAATTGCGGGCCTTTCGTTGCGACGTTGAAAATACTTATGGGTCTGTTCTACCTGCCTGCCCTGTTGATTCTGTGCCTACCGACCTACCTACCTACTCTCATCAGATATAGACATCCGGATCTTGCTCCCTCTCCCCCACAAACTCAACCGCTTTCCACTCCATGTTCTCCCCGTCCCCGCCCACAAGATCCTCAAACGCCCTAATGATTTCGTCTTCCGGCCTCCAGTCCTCACCGACTTGCCACGTGACTGTCCCTTTCCCATCTCCTTGAGGCGCATCGTATCTCACCCCCCATCGGAACATAACGGTCTCCTCATCATCAGTCGAAGGAGGCGCGTCATCACTCCCTTCATACTCTTGCGCCCGCTCCTCGGAGGGCCGCCAGGTAAGCCACGTAAACAGCTCGGCGTCTTGAAGGGAGGGCATCTTTTGCTGTTGGAGCGACGAGGCAAAGGCCAAGAGCAAAGGGTTGATGCGCTCCGCGATGGGGAGCGTACGGAACATGTCAGGTTGGCGGTGGTCGTATATGTCCTCGTCGCCCCAGTACTCGTCCTGCTCGTCGGACCACAAGGCATGCGTCTCGTCGTCGTCGTCGTCGTCGTCTTCCTGGCCGGGCGGGTAGTGCTCCTCTCGCGTGATGGCGAAACCTGCCGCGTGGGGATCTTCGCCTCTCGGGCCGGAAAAGTACCAGCTGCCGTCAGGCGCGCACGGGTGGAATTCTACCTTGAGGTGCCGCATTTGTGGCCATGACAACCCGTCGCCCCCGGACGGGAAAAGATCGGGGGTGATGAGCGCGCAGATGTCGAGCTCCTCCAGGCGACTCCCCAGGTCCCGCAGCCCAAGAGACACAGGGTCCATGCCATCAAACTCGGTAGTCGACGACGACGACGACGCGCCAACAAGGTCGGGCATCTGCGCCGCTTGGTCCGTCTCGTCCCCGCCGGGGTCGGGCTTCCAGAACCAGAGACGGGCCTTGGTGAGGGAGGAGGGCAACAAGAAGGGCATGACATGGCGCACCCCCCGCCCGAACTCGGCGCGGTCATCGCGCCAAGGCCCTTCCCAGACGCGGGCAAATCGGCGCGCCGCCCGGGATGCGAAGGCCATGGGAAGGCGCTCCCATAACCACGGGCAGTCCAGCTCGCGAAGGTGCGGGAGGCGGGTGGCGAGTTCGAGGGGCGTGCGCAAGGAGACGGGCCGCATGTGGGCCGTATCCGAGGAGTACGCAGCCCGATCCGGGAAGACGCGCAGTTGGGTGCCGCGGGTGAGAAGAGGGAGGCGGTCCGGGTTCTTGACGGTGAGGCGGCGGGTGTGGAAGGTGCGGTGCAAGCAGTCCGGGTAGATGTCGAAAGACTGGTTGACGATGCGGATGACGACGGGCCGAAGGCCTTCGCCTTGGCGAATGAGGTCCAGCTCGTCGGCGGACTGTTTGTCTGCCATGTCCTCCAGGCTGCGCACTGCGTGGAAAAAGGCGTGCACTTGGGCGGAAAAGTGGGCGTTGACGGCCTCGAACTCGGCGGGCGGCTCCCTGCACGCGAGGGGCGCGCTAGGCAGGTTGAGAAGCAGGGGCATTGTCGCGTCGAGATCGAACGAGTTCAGGCCGGCGTAGAGGCGCGGTATGCGCGCGTTGTAGGCGCGGACGAGTTCGAGGAGGGAATTGAGCATGGCGTCTTGGGAGGGCGCCGTGGCTAGGATGTGTTGGGACGCCATCGTGAAGATGATCTCCGTACCCCGTACCGCCGCGATGGCTGACAGGTGTTGTGTGATACTGTGGAGGATCAAGTTACCTAGGTAGGCTGGCAAGATCAAGCTTTTTAGTACGCCATCTGGAAGTGGTTCAGGTGGGGCTCCGGCCTGTTTTCTTCGATTTGCATAAATTCACGGTGTCTCCCAATAAATTCCACGAACTGTTTCCGCCGTTCGCCAAACTGCCTCGCAGCTTAATCCACGGAACGAGATGTGGAAAGATTATATACTGAAAGACCGAGATTTCAGTAATCCCTCCTAGAAGAGACTACCCTTCGCTCAGCGTTGCAGAAACAATACTGTTTAGAAGATCGTTTATGAGTAAGATATATATCGAGATTTCTATTCTAATTGTCACGAATGCAAATAGGAGTGCCTTGTAATTAAGGAACTATCTCTCTATTCGACTATAATCGTATATTCTAAATATTTTATATATTATTTGTTATTTATTATTAGGAATTGTCGTTGTCTACTACGACGTCTTATCTGTCTCCTTGTATATAACAGTGTATTATCACACACTAATCCTGACATGAAGAAAGTCTATTTCCGTTTGGAAAGGTGGGCAGAGCTACTTTACTAGTAGTTCTTGGTGAGTCAAGGTGACCGATATATAACCGTATTGCTGTAGCGCACCAAAAGCCGAAGCGAGTTGGATTTCGGTGTGTCCTGGCGCACGATTACGGCGAAGCAACTGATAAGATTAATGGCGGGTCTAGGCTCGGTAATAGACAAATTTCCGAGCTGACGTGAAGTTTAAACGCCGAAATCTCAAAACATATAAAAGGAAAACGCCATCACTCCACCACGTATGCCCTTCTATGCCCCGATCGTCCACGCCATTGCAATTGCAAGCTACAACAAACGCCCCCCCCCCCCCCCCCCCCCCTTCAATGAATATTTCTGCTTCTGGTAGCGAGCCACGGAGGGCGGGAGAAACAGGAAAACGTACCCCGAAAGCCAACAAAGCATGTATGCCCTGCCGTGCACGCAAGGTCAAGTGCGATGCCGCCGTGATTGGCCTCCCCTGCAGCAGCTGTACCAGCAGGCAGTGTGCCGAGGACTGTGTCCTGCTGGTCCGTAAAGGTCGGACCAGGTTAGTTGATTACTGATATGCTGGTTCATGGTTCATTAGGTGCGTGCTAACATAGATGGGGCTCATAGGAAAGTAATACACGTTTTACCGACTCCTAGCCATGTATGCTTTAGATGATTAGCATTGTCCGAGCTGCTTCTGTTCTCCACCTTTTCTTCTACTCCTTCGGCGACCCTTCAGAATTCCCACCAACCATTAACAGACTACAGGCATCCCAGCTACATCCAACAGTAGCCAGTTAGATAGTCTCAATCAATCCAATCAATATAAACAATCTTCCACTTCTGACCTCCTGGACTGCCAAAGCCCACGTCAGACTGAGCCAGACCTGCTCTACCTCAATATCCTAAACGACGCCGTGAAAGAAACTACAGAATCAAGTCGACATCACACCACTTCCAATACCTCCTACCGTTCAAGGCCGGAAGACAGTTTTACCCCTCGGAACTGTCTATGGACCAAGCTACCCCAATTGGACGACATTGATAATGAATATCTTGTCAAGAAGGGTGTCTTTGATCTACCTCTTCCGCACCACTTGTGAGGCAATCTTGGAACCCTCCTTCCTCCATCCTCTTTAGGTCTTCGTCTTCACTCTACTAACAGGCAAAAATAACAGAGATACCCTCATTAAGACATACTTTGACCACGTCTACCCTTTTGCTCCCATGATCAACAGAGCTGATTTCATTCGCGGCTATCAATCCGGCGACTGCTCTTTGTTCCTGCTCCGCGTCATATTGACACCAGCCAGTCTCCATGCGCCAGCAGATGTACTATCCGCCTGCGGCTTTGCCAGCCGCTCGGCCGCGCAAGAGTCGTTCTTCTCCAAGGCCAAGCTGCTCCACGACTTTGCCGCCGAAGATGACCCGTTGTTGATGCTGCAGGGATCCATCATTTTGTGCATGGTGATTCTCGACCACCCCACCGACCGGGACTTTTGCTACTGGTTCCACAACGCGATCCGTCTTGCCACCAAGCTTGACCTACGCAACACGTGCGTTTCCTACTCCTGGACTGTGACACCTGTGTCATGTATTGCAAGTACTAACTGCCTATGGACTCTCCGACAGGTGTGTTCGAGAAGACAAACCCCGCAAAATCTTAAAGTTGTACAGAAGGATCTGGTGGGCGCTCTACGTACGCCCCTCTTCTCGTCACCGTGTTTTGTTCTTCCTGCTTTATACTTACTATAGCTACGTAGTTTATAGACATTTTCCACGTCTTTGCCAATACTAGACGCTCACGACTACTCGAAAACACCTCCGCGATCAAGCCTAGGACAGAAGATGACTGGGAAGCGGAGGATGTCTCGGGAGCATCATTCGGCTTGCTATCGGCAGTCACGCCTCAGCAAAAGGCCTTGCCTGTTGTCCACTGCGAGTTGTCTCGAATATGTGCGTGTTGGATGTATTCGATTCTTTGTTCTTATTTCCTTTTCTTTTTATTTTCAATCTGTAACTGATACCACAAGCATGACTAACTCTCTTTAGTCGGACAGTGTTTGTCCATTGTGACAAACAAGCCACAGCAGGATCCTCGCCAAATGATGCACCCACTCGATGCATGGCGCAAGTCTCTCGCTGCCAAGATGCACGTGGGTGGGAACACTGGAACTGACGTGTACTATCTGAATATACAAGCCATGAGCTACAGGTTTGAGTGCATCTTGTGTCGTCTGATACGACGCTATTGGCAGCAGTCGCAACATGCGGACTGGAGAGAGTGGGCCAAACAGCGGCTTCGGTCCGCTATTCTGGAGTTGGACACGATTGCCATGAGGGTGTTGGCGAGTGGTACCCTTCAGGACTTTCCCGTGACGTTGTAGGTGCCGTCTATTTCTTCCTATTTCCCTTTTTTTTTTATAGAGATACTCTATAGAACGCACCAATAGAACTAACAGTAGCCTTGTTAGCGTAACCACAATAACTGCGCTGCTCGCTTTACATATCGAATCGGCCCTCGATCCAGCCGAGACAGACCTCGTCCGTTCCATGGCTCGGATATCCATCAGCCAGACAATGCTTGTTCTCACCCAGGGAAAAGAAATACCCGCCCTAAAAAGAGCGCTACCGGTATTTGAGGAGATTCTTGCTCAGAAAAATCTATACTTGGTTTCGCCCAACATTCTCGGTCAAGCACCTGCACAGTCGCAGTCACAAGACAACAGCATGGCGGATGCGTACGCTTCGCCGCACACACAGGTTAGCGTAGTTTCGTCTCAATTGGAGCAGTGGGAGAATAATCCGTCGTTCGGTGTGGATTTCCTAGGATTTGATTTCTTAGACGAGTGGCAGATTGAGCAACTGGATTTGACTGGTCAATATTGACATGGGTTCCCAAGAATGGGCAGCATCGAGGCACATGCATTATCTGGGGCAATGTTAACCGTATAGGAATCTATTAGCACACGGAGCTTGTCGATTCGTCCTTTCCCCCCTACAAATTTCCCGTCGTTCACTTGTAATAATACAACCTAGGCCACTGCAGTAGCCATCTTGCTCGTTTTAGACTAAGATGAGAAATATATGGCTAGGTAGCTCAAGTCCAATTGACCTGGTGTAACGATTGCTCTGACCTGGTGGCGACCGGGGCTAACGCAGGTTGATTGGGTAAGGCAGGGGCGTAGTCGCCGTATAGAACGAAGGTGATATCTAACCTGGTGGTGGTAGTATCAATGGGGTTGTGGGTTGAGTTGCGTTATGTTACTAAGTATAGGTGAAGATACTGTATTTGAGTTAAGCACAAGGCTTCTATCTACTGAGGAGATATAATGATTTATATAGAACCCATGTGCCCGTGAATCATTACAATCATCTGAATCATCGAATCCTCTTAGATGATCCGCATGCTTCAACTGATGCACTGATTCAATCAGGTGATCTCGTCTCGTAATCTACTAACATGCTCACGGTTCTCGGTGTAATGGAACTACCGAGCTCAGGCTGCAAGTCTTATTGTGTTCGTACGACCTAAGTCTTCTATCTATAATGAATTAAAAAGAAAATAAGAATACAATAGTAAAAAGAAAGTAACCTATCTATACTATGATATTAAATTCACACTTTGCATACTTTCCATCTAAAACTCCCACGCCGGCGCCCTATTACGTATTACGGAGGGCCAATAATACTGTCGGGACCAGCCTCCACTAAACAACCTATTTAGCCTCCTCCTCTAGCCCATTTGGCTCACCCCCAATCACGACGGCGTGCCGACGACGTATCATCTCCAGCACCTTTGCTGCTTCGGAAGCATACTTGCACTTGGAGCGTATCCTCGGACCGTACTTATAGAACAGAAACGGGATAGGCACGCATGCAAGCACCAGGAACGCAGGAATAGAGCTCGCCCATTGATCTCCGAGATTCGCATACATTTGGGTGGTAAACAGCGGAAATGCAGTGCCGAACAAGGACCGAATCATCGAACTGGCCGCCAGCACAGAAGCAGCATAGATGGTATCTGTACACAGGTGAGCATGTGCATTGTTGCCGGGGATCACGAAGCAAGGATCAAAACGTACAAGAGTCAATCAGGTAGCTCATCTGCGAGATGAAGACCAGGACCAGTCCACACGAGAACAGCAAGGCGCCGATAACGGGTGCGATCCAGTGCACTGAAGGATACGTCGTCCACGCAAATAGGAACAGACCAATCGGAAGGATAATAGAGCCTGCCATGGCCGTACTCAGCCTGGCTTCTGGCTCAACTGTGGCCCCCTTTGCCGCGATCGTCGCGCACAGACGCACGTAGCGTTTATTGTCCACGCCTGCCAACACCGTGGCAAGGCAGACGCCAATGGTGACGCCGACAAACGGAAGTCCGGCGGTGCCTTGGTTCCAGCCTCGAGAACCTTGGAAGACGATGGGAATTGCGGCAAAAAACATGTACAGTGTGCCATAGATGATAGACATGTACAGCGACATCAGCAAGACAATGGGTTCGCGAAACAGAAGAATCCAGGGGCGCGAGAGAGCGACTGAGAGCTCCTGCGTGAGTGTCTTAGGCGGCTTTCCCGCATCGGGTCGGGATACATAGACGTTTCCTGTCATTTTGGAGAGGGCCTTCGCTCGAGATCGCAAGATGAACGGCGCATATGTTTCGCGAGTAGTTAGCGTAGTGGCAATCCAGACCACACCGGCCAGGATGGCGATCAAACCGAGAATCCAGCGCCAGCCCTGGGTCTCGTCTAGGAAACCACCAGCAACGGGCCCTAAAAAATAAACCAAAAATCAGCAAGGGTACAAGGGCAAAAATAGTAAAAAGGCAGTATAGAAGAAGGGCATCGACCACCTACCAAGTGCAGGCCCCAGAAAAGGAGCCGTGACAAACAATCCCGTCGCCATTCCGCGCTGCTCCTTGGTGAACATGTCGGCAATAAAGCCCCCGGTATTCGTCATCGACGACGAACCGAACGCGCTCGCAAAGAAGCGAAGAACCAACAAGGACTGAATGTTGGGCGAGCACGTCGCCGCCACGCTGAACGCCGTGTACGCCATGAATGAAATCACATAAGTTGACTTGCGCCCGTACAACTCGGACAGAGGCGCCCAGATCAGCGGTCCCAGGGCGAACCCTAACACGAAGAGCGACAAGCCCAGTGTGGCCACCTCCCCGGACACGTCAAAGTGCCGCTTGACGCCCTCGATGCCGCTGGCGTACGCAGAGCTAGCAAATGTCACCGCCAACGTGGACATGGACTGGAGGACGGCAATAGCCCATTTTCGCTGCACGGGAAACCCCATAGCATCTTCGTAGTCGTTCTGCAGGTAATCGATAACGTAGGGGTCGTCGGCCGTGCCGTTGCCGGCGTAATTCTGGTTGCAGATATCGTTTTCGAGGCGTGTGCGGAGGAGAAGAGATCGGATCCAGGACATGCGTTGGGAGAAGTCCTTGCCTCGCTGGGGGAGGACGTCGTCGGCGATAGCGGGCTCGGGAAGGACGGTCATGATGAGAACGACAAGAAGGACGGGAAGACCTGTGTCGAGATTCAAGATGCGGACGGAGGAAACCCAACAAGTTTTTATACTTGGCCATCTTGCCACGGTGAGTAGAAAATCGTGCTCGCGGTTATATAATTCACCTCGGAAGTTTGGATTCGGAGTTTCAGCCTGGCAATATTGGCGAGAAACAGAAGCCCGCGGTATTATCTACGGAATTATAAAATTTCCTTCTTGGCATGGCAAAGATACATCCGCTCAGCAGGGGGCGGGCCGTTGCGACTTGTGGAGACACCTGGGGCTGCCCACCACAAGCGAGGGTGTAGCGGACCGTGATAGGGTCGCACCGGAGGGGTATATCATATCTGTCGATGTGGCCTTGGCAGTGAAGCTCCCAGTCAGCCTCACTCGTGATCCGCTTGCTACACTTGAAGCAGAACATGGTAAAACCTAACCTTTGAATCGGCCGCGCGCAACTAGACACCGGACAGCAGCCCGCTATGAGCCTCAGTACTAACTGGTATGCGACCCGACGATCGTTCTTGTAGAGTGCGACGAGGTCCCGAAGAGCAGACGGGCCTTCGGGGCTGCGGAGGGGACTGGTAGGATCAAGGTACGTGCCAAGCGGTCACGTTCAGGCATCATGTGGCGGAACGCGCCTAAGGAAATAGCGGTGGCGGTCGCCTTGGCTAAGTTCGAGAGCACCGTGGGACTGGTGATTTCGAGGTTGGCTCTGGCGGCGCTTCTTCAGCTCTTCTAGAGGGAGCCGCTGCCGTTCTATATGTAGTTTGTGCCATCGACCTTGAAGCTCTTGACTGGCCTCTTCGTCAGCCGTCTTAATCTCCTCAGTCAGTTCTTCAATCTGCTCTTCGAGGGCGACGAAATCTGGTCGGCGTTGGAGCTCGTGCCGCATTTGCGCCGGCAGCGACTGCCATTGCTCAGGGTTGCACTGCATGGACATCACGCGGAAGCTCTCGAGATGGTCCTTTCGGAGCGGCTGATTCAGGAAGCTGTTCTGCCCGTCTACGCTCCCTTCAGCTATAGAGTATATTTGTAATATTTTAGGACCTGACTGTCCGGAAAACGTCATCAGTTCCGCGTCTATAGCCGTTCGCTTACCACAAGTTAGCTGAAAGCAATTTGGGAGATGAGGGGGAGCTTACCGTTCGCGTTAACGAGCGCTTCACGTCTGATAGCATGGACGGTACAATTCAAAAAGCCGGCCCGCTAGGCAGCGCCCGAGAGCAGCGCACGTAAAAGCCTTTTGGATCTCTCCGGTTGGGCCGTTGCACCACGTAGCCTAAAAAACCGGCACATCCTGCACCTCATCGTCCCAATCCAAAATCAAGTGATCATCGTACACTGGGGATTTGAGAGCGAAAATTTCATCGTCCGCCTGGGTAATGGTTGAACGCGTCACTGGCTAGCGCCATAGCGAGAGGGAATATAATCGGATTAAAGAGGAGCGGTAGACCGGTCGTTGTCTCGAACATTGGGTGCTCTGGCCTGTTCAGTGTCAGCTGGAGCTAACAGTTTTGCAATACCGAGCGAGGGGAAGGGGGGCGGGGAGAATTCAGATCCCACCTGCTTAGCGAGTTATGCATCCCTTTGGCGGCCTCTCTCCTCCATTTCATCTGGATCGTCGAGTATCGTCGTGTATCGTCGTGCACACAGCCGTATTCGCAGTCGTTGCTACTGGAAACTTGAGGAAGGTTATCTCGTCGAAGGAAGCAACGTAGGAATTCATGGTGACGGCGGCGGCGGCGATGAAGGAGCGGATTCCCTATGGATATCAGGGCTGGCAACTGTAGAAGGTTCGTCGTTCTGTTAAGGTTCGTCGCGACAGCCGAAAGTGAAGTCAGCTGAAACAATTAGTCACCAGATACGTCAAATCCGGATTTCGGCATCGCCGAAACTCAACATATTCGTTACGAGGATTATATATCACCTCTGTTCTACCGTCTAGTTCGATCTAGGACATATAATTTAGTCTGTTCATACACCCCGTCGAATGTAGATCGCCAAGTTAAAACATCCAAGTATTTGTCGAGGAACTCCACTTCTTGGCCCCTTGCATTATGCAGTGTACCACCATGTTGAGTGAGGGTCCCTTGCTTCCTCGCCCTCCATCTCATTTTACGCGATGCTACTTCGTCTGGATTGGAAGACTAGATCGCTGTTGCCACCAATACCTAGGTCGGTTGAGGAGTAGATTTAAACCAGAAACGAACGAATCCGCACGACCCGACCCTCTGAGAAATCGTCAACAGACACTTCCCCCCCCCCCCACATCTAATAATTCCTACAACCCACCAGATCTCAGACCATGGCAAGCAAAGGATCGGTTTTCTTGATTGGCCCTGGCTTCATTGGGCTCGAAATTCTAGGGAAGCTTCTCCATGAAGGATACCAGGTTACGACACTCGTACGCCGAGAGGAAGCAAGGGCAAGCATCGAGAAGCTTGGATCCAGGACAATACTTGGAACACTCGATGATGGTAACCTCATACGTGATAACGCTGCGGCTGCTGATATCACGATACACGCGGCGACCGCTGACCACCAACCATCAGTTGATTCTGTCCTCAACGGAATCGCAGATCGCGCCAAGAGCGGAAAGAGTTCAATCTACATCCATACCAGCGGGTGCAGTGAAATCACTGACAATTCCAACGGCGAATATGTCTGCGACAAGATATATACTGATGACACACCGAAAGATATTGATGGCGTGGCTGACAACGCTCCGCATCGATCCATCGACCTGGCAATCCTCAAACGCCGCAAGGAACTTGGAGCCAAGGCGAAGATCTCGATTGTGTTTCCACCCTTAATCTACGGCCTCGGTCAGCAAGGACGCCTTTCGATTCAGCTCCCAACCATGGCGCGCTTCGCGATCAAGCACGGCTACGCAGGCTACGTCGGCAAAGGAAAGGCACTCTGGAGTCATATTCACGTATCTGATTTGGCACGGGGATACATGACCATCCTACACTATATGGAATCCACAGCCGGAGTGGAGGTTTTGCAGAATCCATATTTCTTCATCGAGAACGGAGAGGAATATTCATGGGAGAGATGTGCTGCGGAAATTGGGAAGGCACTCTATAAGGCAGGCAAAATACAGGATCCAAAACCCAAGGAGATCACCCCGGATCTGTATAGCTATATCTTTGGGGATTGGTCCATTCCAGTCGTTGGTCAAAATGCAAGATGCCGCGCCAACAGGCTGCGTGCTCTCGGCTGGAAACCCTCAGCGAAGAAGACTTTCGATTCTTTGGTGGAGGATGAGTTATCTATCTTACTGGCTGAGAAGACTGACTTCGCGGGTTATGCGGCTCCAGTAGCATCTTAATTCTTATTACCTCTCGGACTTGCTTTGGTTTTACTCCAAAAAGGCAACTGCATCTAGTTTTAATGAACCTCTATTCTCATACACCATTATCTATTGAATCCTAGACGGGGGTTTTAGACATCGTCCTCTTTCTCATTGCCGCCATTATCGCTTCCTCCATCTTCGCAGCACCGTCGTCCAGGTCCATATCTTCTCTCTCATACCTCATCATCCTTCGTTTCTCCCACATATACCACAAACCTACAATCAAGCATGTCACAGGAACAGTGACAACCCAGTATATCCAAAACCGTGGGGAGATTACTGATGTCATATCTTGGGCGTTTTGAAAATTGAAGAATGTCGTTGAGAATATTGACTACACCTGGTAAGATTATCGCTTCATCCGCATGTATATTAGTTGCTCACCGATAGGTATGCGCCTGGAAGGAGAACTGTTGCTAAAAGTGAGAGCCCTTTCATTGATGAAGAGTCGCGTTTTGTCGCCCAAGCGAGTCTCTTTTGGTCGCCTGCCATTTCGAAATTGAGTTTGCTTTCTCTTTGAGCGATCAAAGTGGTGAACTAAATGCCTTCTTAGTGTTTATCTGCCACCACTTATACAAGATGCTTACTGCAGCTCGTTGAAGGTCAAGTCTCTTCAAGGTAGTATTGGAGTATGTTTCCATGCCCTGCCATTTCTTACGATACAGATCTAGTCTGGACAAAATCCGGGTTTGTAGTATTTCTATACTTTCATTCCGTCTAGAGACGGATAGAATATTGATGAATTTTGTCGCAGTAAGCTCCATGGATTCCACAATTCTCAGATAAGCTTCCGGCCGCTTCCATAAAACTTGGCTGTTGCACTCCGTCAAGTCTCGATTGATAGCTTCCACGTCCATGACCCCATTCTCTACATAGTTTTCCAGGTCTGGGTCCGTCATTCTTCTAGCGATAATTGCATATTCGAGTCGGCGTAGCCAGTCTCGCGCTTCCCTTTGCTTGATTTCTGCTTTGGATGACGAATCGTGGCCGAGTATTATCAGCGGGAGTATTAGCGGATGACTGATATCTGCGATACCACTCTTGAGGTGCTTGATGCATTCTACTATATCTGAGCTTGGTGTTCCCTTCAGAAAGCCCGTGGTGATAGCAGTATTTATGTTATGGCCAAGGATCAACTCCCAACCTCGGGTATAACCTTTCTTGCGCACATCGGATTTTCTATACACTAAGTCTACACTCTGTCAGGGTGGTATTCGGATATAAAAAGGATATATCACAAACGTAAGTTTGAATCCTGATCACTCTTGACATACGACGACCAGAATAAAGGCCCAACACATGCGGACATCTCGATTGCTTCTGGCGGTAGCTGGAGGCCATTGATCATTGCGGTGTAGATTTGCGGCTCTATACTTATAGAGTTTGGGGCGAATGTCTCAGGATGACGAGAATTCTTCTGCAGACTAAAGCCCGTTCATTATTACGATGATCGGGCGTCCATTATCGGGACAGACACTCACAGGAGACGCATTCCACCTATCAATGTTACACCATCTGGAAGAATACGTTCTTGAAAAGTACCGCTTCGATTTACAAAGTCGATTATCCCTTCTGGGTCCAACGGATGTTCTTCGATTGTGTTTAAGGTTGGATCCTTAAGACTGTGAATTAGTACGGTTCCTACGATTTCAACTATGGATCAATCTTACCGAGTAAGAGAACATCTCCAAGTAAGAAGTTTCCTCTCTAACATATTTGCTACTAGAAACGCTTTGCTGGAAGTGAAAATTGGCCAGTCCGTCCATGTTGACTCGCGACAAAATGACGCGTCGGAATTTATACTTGGTGGTATTGTAAGCTAAATTCAAGAACAAAATTAGCTTTCTTGATCAGGCTGGGGAGATCTCTGCATCGTGAGATTGGGGCTGAGCAGGCGGCTCTGCAGAAGCGCAGCAATGCTCCTCTCATTGATCAGGTAAGCTAGCCAATCAACTGCGCAAATGGTTGCGAACGGAGGTAAATCACGTGGGCTCCAAGAAACCTCCCCCCTTTTCGGCATCCGATGACCCTTCACATTAAGAGAAGAAAAGACTTAACGGTTTTTTCACGTCTATTGTGGGTGCAACTCTTCTCAAGATTATTATTTCTATTAAAAATTAGCAAGCGAATGGCGGATTTGCATCAAGTCTTCAATTACACTTGTTTCTTCTCTTAATCGCCTCAATAGCATGCTCCTCACAGTTCACCGATATTCTGTCTGTATCATGCGCCACTCTCTCTCTCTCTCTCTCTCTCTTACCACACATTCAAACTCTACCAAGCGTCCGACACAAAGCCTCCAAAGAAAGCTTCACTTCCTCAAATCCTGAATCAAACGAAGAAGTAAATGAAAAACAGAAATAAGTAACCATCCATCATCCAGCGCCAAGCCTCCCTTGATTTTCGCCGCATCGCAACCACATCCTAGAAACAAGCATTCTCCCCCCTTCCCAACACTGAATATTGTACCCATTCCTCGTCAGTGATCCTTTTTGCACTGCAGTTTCTTCTGACTGGTTGAGGTGTACGATTTTGTTCAGCCCCAGCATAAGTGTTTTTACATCAATAGGGCTATGTTTATGGGGAAAGCCCGGCCGCAGCCACCACTACTATATGGTACTACAATACCACATGTCAGGCCTGCCGCCTGGAAGCACGCTAAAAAGAAATTCGTACATGTTGGGTAAGCTTGTTTCGAGTGCTTATTTTGCTTCTTTGGGCGGTGAGTGGTTAATGAAGTTTTTAGGGCTGATGTACCTTGGTGTCTTTGGAGAGGACGACTTCGTATGGGATTTTTGATCCTTTTGGTACAGTAAATTGCGGTGCTATTGTAGGTTGTGTGGAAGATAGCCTTGTTTAAAAAAAGAATTATGTCTTATATAGATCTGTCAAAGGACGTTATAATATTATTTTTCTCTTAGTCCAATCACTTTCCTACTTCTAACCTTTCTCTTTCTCTATTTCTATCTACACGTTTTGATTTTTTGGGTTGCAAATTCGAACTAATTGATATCCTCAATCCTCTTAACGAGTCGATAAATTAGCAAAATGCGCGCCATCATATTCTGTCTATTTGCAGGTACCCTCGCGGGACCAGTTGCTCAAACCATGCCACGAGATGATATTATTGGGGAGACCAACAGAGGAGCTTGCCCTTGTCCTAACCACGGTCCGGGTGGCAGTTATTTCTCAGGCCGATGTACTCTGATGACAAGAGCAAGTGGGATAAATCCATGTCTACTGTACGTCGTTCAATTTCAAGTCCTGTTTTCCAAATAACTGATCTTATTGATAGACATGTGACGGTGATACATCTATGGAGGATCATACAACAAGCGTAATCGCGTAAGTCCCGCCCCTCCAAAGAAATTCCAATACCAACATTTTATAAATAAAATAGATTACTAACACAAAAGACACAACGCCTGCTTCCAAGCATTCAAAGATAACATCGGACCAGGAGGCCAAGGACAGTGTTCTAGCATGAGCCACTGCACCACTGACGGAACAACCTTCCACATCTGCTGCCCCAAAGAGTCATCAGGTAAAGCAAAAGTCAAATCCCAACTTGACATCGGCAACTAATAAACCGTCATGGGCGGCATCAAAGTCCAAAAGCTTGAAGATGGGACCACCAAAGCGCTCAACAAACTCTACGTCGGCGAAGGAAGCTGCGATTCCAGCCAGAGCGCCAATTTCTCGGACTTTGGTTTTGTCTACGCAGACATGTAGATGGGTAACCCGGGTGATACCCAGAGGGTCGCTGGGCGGTTACCCTACCCGGCGTAAAGTTGCTGGGTAGATACCCAGAAAATCTTAGACGATGGTATGTACGGGTAACCCGGGTATCCGTGATATCCGGGTTCTTTTAGGTCAAGATTGGGTATCCATACCCGCAAAAGTTTCACTAGGTGATATCCAGTTCTCTCTACCAGGGTGGGTGCGGGTATAACCCTGCCCATCTTCAAGTCTGTGTCTATGATAATATGGTTATGCATGATGGGAAGGTGCAGTTCAATATCGTGAGCTCAGATCATAATAGTTTGAAGCAAAGGGATGCTTTGATTAAGGAGATTGCGAAGGCTTTTAGGGGTAGTGCTAGGGGGAAGAATTGTCATAATGAGCCGGTTAAGGGGAATGGTAAACTAGTTAATGGGGATCTTCCTCCTCCGAGACAACCTTGTAAGTTCCTTCCTTCCCCAACCCCCACGTCTTTCCAATCAATGACTGATTTGTGATTTATTTCAGGGACAACTCTAAGCATCTGCAGTATCGTAACAAGAATCCAACTCAACCTTCAAGAAAACCCAGGTGAACCTCACGTGGTGGCTAAGATGGATATCAACGTTGTTGTTCTAGAACCCGCGAGACTTGAATTTAAATCTGGTGATTATTTGGGGCTTATTGCTGAGCTAGTTCAACTCTAATCCTTTAATATTCATTCCACATTCGGTTGGTAGGCCTGGCCGCTTCTACTCAGGCGCTAATCACCCTCTGCTCATCCTCGGCTCAGCCAGCCCTGCCAGCTCACCTGAGCTGTGCCGTGTTGTGATCTGGATATTGGCACGCTAGATGGCAACGGGATAGCACCCGCAGATTATTCGTGCATCGGACGTCGAATAATGATATTTCGCTAAGCTTGGTTAGACAATCAGGGGTGCAAATCGCTAGACTGCTATTAAAAAAAGCAAGGTCTGCCCGATGTGGAGGTTTTAAGCTTTCAGCCACAGCCACAAGTAAATTAATAGCCTTTAGCCGCACACGCGCGCCCCTTAACATCTGGTCTCAGAGCAGTCTCACTCGCGACGAGCGTTAGCCCCGGGTACCTTTTCCACTTAGAAAGCTTAAGGACTTTGCCCTCCAATCAAGCCTTGCGTAGTCGTGTGGGCTCCGGAGGGAAACGCACGGTTTGGGTGGATGTAAGACAATTGGAAAATGGTTCTTAGCGAGTCTAGTACTCGTGTGGCTTTCGATAACAAGTTTTTGGGCTTCGCATTGGGGAGCTGAGGAGAGGAGCCCAGGCTTGCTGCCGTGAAGACGTCTTCTAGAAATGTAGGCCGCATGCCGAATGTCATTTTCTATATGTTCTGACCGGGTCCCGGTCTTGAGGCAGAGTGGAAGAAGTTGAACGGCCATCTCTCGCTACGTTGCTCTTTGACACTGTCTTTTCGGACCTTTCGTCATGTTATTATCTAAACCTGTTCATTCTTTGGCCATTGGCCTTGCAACCCTTTCGACTCTTGTCTCCGGTGATGCGGTTCTACCTAGGACCGTAAATATATGTTCCGTTAGCGTTAGTGTTAGCATTAGCACGGTCACAGTCACAGTTACTCCAAGCTGTTCTGAGTATCCTTTGGCAGCAGCATCCACGACCTTCTCCTCGTCAACAACCTCTTCGTCTTCGAGCTCTTTGAGTTCCGCGGCGGCCTCTAGCTCCTCGACATCATCCTCATTCTCATCGAGTGCTTCCAGCTCCACTATCTCATCAACGTCATCCTCGTTCTCAAGTTCATCATCTTCAATCCCAACATCACCGACTTCGGCTTCATCGGCCCAATCTTCGACTTCATCCTCCATCTCGTCTACAGCTCCATCTCCAACATATCTAGGATGTTGGACCGAACAACCAAACATCCGTACATTGCTGGGCACGGTGTTTTATAGCGATCAGATGACAATTGAAATGTGCAGACAAGATTGCTCTGGTGCAGGATATTTGTACGCTGGTGTTGAATACAGTAGAGAGGTAGGCTATACCTCCCTTTCAAGAAACACTTCGTGGGCTATTGCTAACTCTCTGAAAGTGCTGGTGCGGAAATACTATTACTACAGGCTCAGTCAAGGTTGCCGATAGTTCTTGCAATATGCTTTGCGACGGCAATCAAGCTGAGACTTGCGGCGGGTCTGCCTTATTGAATATCTACGATTCTGGGGTCTCACCTACCACCAGCACCAGCACTAGCTCATCTATCTACTCCAGACCTACTACTGTACCTTCTGTCGGATCTTGCTACTTCGTGGGCTGTTACAGTGAGGCAACCAACTCTCGAGCCTTGATTAATGCTCACTACACTGACTACTCGGCAACTGGAATGACTGTCGAGAAGTGCGCAGCGTCATGTGGGCCTACCTACAGCCTATTTGGTGTTGAGTGGAGCGGCGAATGTTACTGCGGCAATACATTACAAGCTGGATCTGTACTCATGCCGATCGAACAATGCCAGACGAATGTCTGCGATGGCGACAGCACAGAGTATTGTGGTGGATCATCCAGACTGGGCCTTTACTATTGCCCACCGCCACCCACCACGCTCACTACTACGTCTACTATCCATGATTTCGTCACAACTGTTCTAGCCACTAGTGTCGCGCCAACCTATACATCAACCGTGGATACAGTTACAACAACTAGCACAACGTAGGTTCAAGATCTCTGAGCAACACTTGACTCGCCCATGCTAACTATTCAGAACCGTTGCTACCATCACGACGTGCATTCCTCAAGGATACGTCACGTTGAACAAGAGAGACCTTGAGAACGGTCTCACTACCGTTGCGTTAACAAGCACGACCACGACAGTGCCTCTTACGGAGTACCTGACTAGTATCTCCACAACGATCGTAAGTACTCCTGTAAGTCCCTGGTATAGGAGAAGGGGCTAATTGTCTCTAGACTACACCGTTAGCAACCTTTACGCCCACCACAACCGTGACCGCAGCCGTCACCTACACAAGCAACGTTTGCCCCACACCATCAGCCTCATGCAACAACCAAGGTCTCCAATGGGCTTACTACGATAACGCAGTCTACAACAACGACGTTGTCTACAGCGCCTTCGACCCCACAGTCTACAAAGACCAAACCCCTCAAATCACTGGCGTCACCAGCACTCTCGGCGGCATCAACACAAACTCCAACCCAATTGTCGACCTCTACGGCTCCAGCGTCGACATCGGCCTCAACTACTTCGCCCTAAACCACGTCGGCTACATCTTCGCGCCGCTAACCGGCACCTACACATTCGTGCTCCCCTGTCCTGACGACATCGACTTTGTCTGGATCGGGCAATTCGCCTACTCCGGCTACACTCGAGACAACGCAAACATTATGAATGACTACGGGACCTACTCTACTGAGACATACTCTATTAATCTGGTGGCGGGGAATTACTATCCGGTGAGGATTATGTTCGCGCAGGCGCAGGGACCGGCGATCTTCCAGCTAAGTCTGACGGATCCATCGGGGACAACGATGTTGAGTTCGGACAGTAGTCAGAGTCCTTTCTTGGTGCAGTATTCTTGTGATGGGGTTGCGGCTCCTGCTTTTATCCCTTGGGGGTCCGAGATTTAAATTTTTTGTGATATAGACTTGGTATTGGGGAATAGAGATGATTTTTAACGATATTAATGTGAGGCTTATTGAAAATATTCATGTATTATGGCGAAAGTTAAAGTTTATCTAATAATTTGAATATTCAGAGGGGGTTTGTACCAGATTCAAGGATTGCAAGTCCACATTCTACAGTTAAAATGGTATTCCAGAGAGGGATGCAATTTAAATCTTAATTCAAAAAGATGCAGTTTTGTCAAAAGTAAGCGTGCAGACTTACAGGACATCAAAAAAAGTTCGCCTCATCTTCCCGGGTTTGAATTACTAGTCACGTGCTATTTGACAATAGGGATCCAAAATTGTTCTAGCAGGAATCCTGTAAGGGACCAGAAACAGACTCCCGGGCAAAATTCGGTAAGGAAACTGTAGCCGGGGCACACAGGGGATGCTCACCCTCAGCTCAGGTTAAAGTAACAGCTGCTCATGTCCGGAGACTAAAACGGAACCAGCGAGAATGAGATTAGAGTCTGACTTTCGTGGTAAATTCAGACGACAAATTCTTCGAATTCGCTTGGAATATAGTTAATCAGCATCGCTGCCCTGCTCAGGCGCTACTCATCCTCGCCTCACCCGCTGCTTAGGTTGCCCAGTCATGTTCCGGCTCTCACTTCTCGTGACCGTGAGAGAAATGCGGAAATTTGGATGTGGCTTAGTCACACAGCCTCACCACGCTTCCTCGCGTTCAAACGTCGTTGATAAGAGCGTCAAACTTCACCAACACCTTCGTCCTTTTGCATCCGACTATTGTCAATCATCTCGCATAATAACATGCCTTTAACTACCTTGGAGTTGAAACTGAAAGCCGAGAATGCGGCGCGAATACAAAAGCTAGCAAAATCAACTGGCGTTTCATCAGCACTGCTGGCAGCTCTCGAAGAATCAAAGCCCACCCGCTCTATTCCTGAAGGGATCCTTTTCCCTCTATCAAAACCCTGTCAAACTGTCTACAGGTCGCTTTCGAACCTTGTCAACCCACGTTCATCTTCGGTAGCTTGGAAGGGTCACGTGAATGGAGTGCCAACAGGGTTCTTCCGTCTACCATTGGAGATACGGGAACAGATATACGGTCTCGTCACAGGGCACAAGACAGTTCTCAAGATTCCCAAAAATTACTATAAACCTCGACCATCCCGAGGAAGGTCTAATAACGGATCATTGAGCCTATTACAGACTTGTCGCCAAATGTAAGTTTGAGATCTTAGGTATTCGTTCCTCTACTATGATAGTAACATGTTTCTACCAGATATGCAGAAGCAAGCGGGAGTATCTACACCCAAAATACATTCCACTTCCAAAACCACAACGATTTCCTCGCGTTTGCCCACGCCGTCAACCCCATTTTCTTGAGCCACATCACGTCTCTGACTTTCGACTTGGATTCCATTCTACGTCTCGACGGCGACCCATATGATCACCAATACCCACGTTTCACAGTCGATTGGGCTGACGGCGTAGAACCCCAATGGTCACACGTTTGGAACACCATAGCAGCAATGGACAACTTGATAGAGTTAAAGGTTTTCCTGCAGGACCCCGGGTTTCCTGAGTGGGATGGCATGCAATGTCTCTGTTTGCCCGAGCCCGAAATATTGGCTCCGCTTTGGAAAGTAAAGAGGAGGTTGGGGGTGTTTGAGGTGGATGTTCCGTGGGTTGATACAACTTCTTGGGGTATTCTGGAAAGTTCCCAGGACATTACACAAGGCGCTCCGTTCAATTTGACACGGAGAGGCATCACCCCTGTCGCGAGAAGCAGGCCTTAAATAGCTAGACTTACACAATAGCCTCAGCACCAATTCTTGACTTACCAGGTGAAGGAACCTTGCTGTTTATCGAGTACAAATCAATGTTCAACTCAAAGCAAAATGGCTACTAGGGCCCACACCTTTGCTAGGAAACTTGCTGGCAGAACTTGCCATCGCTTTCAGGAAAGAGGCTCCGCAGAATGGAAACAGAGAAGCTCTGCAGCTCGCGTAAAGGATATGAATATAATGATTAGGCTGCCCCGCCCCCCTTCTCAGATAACAAGATATCAGGAAATATGAAGGTCGGCCCAAAAGCCAGGGATACCGACGGTTCACCAGCCTGCAATTTTACTTATATAGTAAAATCACTTATGGTCCAAGCTTGAGTTACCACGATGCTAAGTTGGATTTGGCGAATGCAAGGGTATCCTCAAGCATACGCTGCGTGTGGGATATGGTCAAGTCCTCCGAGTTGAATACTTGCGCGCAACGCTCGATCGCTATGGCATCGAATTTATTAAAGATATGTTCATATCTCTCGACTAGTTTTGGCGACGCAGCGTTGCCTTCGCCAATATCGAAAGGCCCAGTGAAGAAGACGAAATATACTCGATACTATTGTGTTGGATTAAAGTTAGCAGTAAGTCTTACAGCTCTCTCGATGGAGCAACACTCGGGGAACCTTTCGTTGCGACTGGTTGCGGCATAGCCGTGTCAACCTAGATAAAGCCCTGTTTAGACGCTTGGAATCAGCACAACTCGGCATCAGGAGCAAATGTTATAAGGAGGGAAGATGTCACTCGACATATCTTGCAGTTATCTTGCACGTATTGACCAGCAGCATGAGCGAGTACCAACTAGCTTGTTCCCATTCTCGCACCCACGAAGACGAAGGGGCCAAAATCCAACTTATTTTCTCTGCAAGGTCAACCACATCACTCGCAAGCTCATCGTGATCTATGGCTGTCTTCCCTCGAATCGGCACATTGCATTCGCTTTTGCCAAAACCCGCCTTCGCTCAAGCGCGATACTGCGGGATCAATAGGTCTCGCTGAGTTGTAGGGAACAAGGGCTTGGACGTCGATGCCGATGGCTGTCGCGCGTGGAGGGATAGACGCGATTCCGGGCTGGGAGACCTCTGCCGTTCTCTTCGAGCGCAACTTGGTGGCGATGAAGGTATGATATCGGCTATCGATGCTCGGCTGGAGAGGTGCTTCGTATTGTGAAGTGGGTGATGAGGTTTATTGCAGATTGCAAGCATAGTAGAGAGAAGAAGTGCTGCAGCTGATATTTCTGTAGCGCATAAGCAAAACCACATGGGTTACTTAATACCCTATCTTAGAAGCTATAAGAAAATGTAACAAATCGAGTAAACGGAAGTCGGATACTCGGAAGCGACGAGAGAAAAGGGGGGAGTGCGCACGAAAGGTCACCTGATGACTACTAATCTTTCGGGACCACTTCGGCAATGCATCTTTATACCGTATGAAGTGACCAACTCGGACAAAGTACACGATGACTCGCTGAAATGCTTGCGAACTAAAGATCTGAAAGTTGGGGGATAGGGGGAGAAAATGAAATCAAGCCACCGACGTCGGGGCGCATTCTGGAAGTTCTAGCTCGGCATTCCGTAGAGGCGCCAAGCATTTACTTACTCGGTAGTTTTCGTGCTAGAAGGGCGCGGACCATTGTGAGGGCCGAGGAGCATTCAGGCATCCGCCAAATGACCCTGCGGTGGCGGGCGGAGGGTCCGGTTTTCGCTTCTCTGCGATGCCTTGAATCGCTGGCGCCTACGGAGGGTCCAGTACTGGTCGGGACACGCCGATGCTCTTGATTCTGTACCAGTGCCGGCGTCTCGTGGATCGAAAGGTCCATTTCCTGTGCGACCAAGAAGAAGTATTGTAAGAATTGTCTTCAAGTGTATGTGAAAATAAGGCTGTGATCAGGCTGTTATTTGGCGCAGGAAGCAACTCGGCCCAACGAGATACGAAATACGGAGGAGGGAATAAGCAGCTGTGCTCCGTTACTCCGTATCAGGTCACTTGTGCTTCACCAGAAAGCCTACTCGAGATTCACATCCGGATTGCTCCATACGGCAATCGTAGTGCTTACTCGTGCATAGGTCTGCTCCCTACTCCGAAGCATTGCCTAGAAGTTCTGGGTACACTCGAGTATGAAGCAAAAGGTTAGAAGACTCCACAAAGCCTGGGCTAGGTAGCGACTCCGACTATCCACAGCAACTCACAAATTCACATCGGGGAAAGAACTTACCGCATAAAAGACTAGCAGCTAGCAGCTAGCAGTTAATAAGACATAATAAGTGGATTGAACCACAACTATTCAATCAACCCCTCATCAGCGCGAGCCTCGAGGGCATCCCAGGTAGAGGTACTTAATTGAAGTACCTGGATATACGGAACAGGTTTGCAGGTACTTGGGACCAAGGTACTGTACGGCGAAGAAAAAGCCCTTAGCGATCGCACCAATAATCGCCATGGAACCACATGTAACATCCCGCATGTAACAATAGGCAGCGATGCCGAGGGTTTAGGCAACGGAGGTAGGTATCTGTACCGTGGAGTAGTACAGAGTGCAACTAGCCAGGGACTGCTTGCTGCGAGTGTGTTGGTATGTGGTGATAAGTGATACGGTACGAAGAATCGCAGCAGCAGTTGCTTCGCACTTTACCAACTTTGCTAGTCTGACCCCGTACCTTGTGCTGTGTGTTGAGTTGATTATTGAAGTTCATTGGAAGAGCGCTGACTCGGTGTCCAGTGACCGTGACAGGTCGTTCAGGGGCCAAGCCCGGGACAGGGGGCGGCCACAGGGATCGAGGCAGCCACAAGCAGCCATCCCGTCAGCCACAAACGTTAATCAGCACACGTTCTTGTCGCCTCTCCGATTATCCTCCTCTGAGTTTCAGCCTCGCTCAGTGTTGTCTCTTCTCTGCGCGGTGCCCATAGACAACTAACTCCCTTGGACTCTTAGACTTCTGGACTCTTGACTCTTAGAGTCTCAGACCCTTAGAACCATCGAGCCATGCAATCCCCAGGAGGACTAGACCAGGCAGCCAGATGACATCCTCACATGGCGCCCCTCCCCGAGACGGTGGATCTAGGGGCGAAGTACGGCTACAGATGTAGTACCAACCAAGTACATGCTAGATGCTTGCGCCTGGGAACGAGCCGGAAACACACCACAAGTCCACTGTTAACACCACCGGTCGGGGACCTCAAGCACACGACATTGCACGATGCAAGGCATGCGCGAGACAATCAAAATGAAGATCTTTTTCAGCGCCCATCGCGGCGCCAATGGGATTGATTGGCGCCAATGCGGCGACGCTGCCAAGTGTTGATTCCTGCTGGACTGGGCGAATCCTCCGTCAGCCCTTGTAGGGATGAAGCCGGGGAGTACCAACAACTACAGTAATTACTCTATGTTTGCTCCACAATAATAGATGGATGACAAGTTGACAACCGCTGAGAATCAGGGACTTGGAGCCACATGGGGTGTTTCGTGTTGTTATTGCCCGACACCACCTACTCCAGTCTCCAATCTCCATCCTCCTCCCCCGCGACTTATTCCCCCAGTTACTCCAGCAACTCCACAACCTGCTCCACAGCTCCCCCAGGCTTTTCTGCGTGCTCGTTCACACGCTAACCCCGACTAGCTGCTTTACCATATCGTTCCAGAGGTACACAAACTTGTTGCCTGAAGGCTCAAAAGCCATAGCGAGTCGAAGAAAATGTGGAAAACGGTGGGGCGCCACGCCCAGTCGAGCATGGAACATGGATAGCATCCTCTTTTCACGATATACTGTACACTCTCTGGGAAACTGCTACTACCCCAGGAAGTATCCTCGAGGTTGGCCTGCAGTCCTCGCGACCAGGTCATCTATATAACCCCGTGCGCTTCCGCCTTGGAGTTGGTTGCTGCAGTCTCCTCAGGTTCCACGTCTTCTCCCCTTCTCCGTCCTGCAAAATGGCCGAACCAAAGTCGATGAGGTACGTTTAGCATCCAATGCCTGCAATAGGCAAAATGTGAAGAAGAGCCACCATTGACCTCTCAATAGCGATGGCGATCTAGCTCATGGTGAACTAGCTCATGGCGAAACCCATGTCAATCTCAACAATAATCTGGACGCAAAGTAAGCTTCATCCCCCTTCCATCACCCATTGATTTTTCACCTATGACCTATTGTTTAAACATTGCTGACGCCTCGTAGAATCCAGAACCCTTTGGCTGGCATCCCTGAAGCGCAGTTACTCCAACAGGTGTCGGACTTCGCCGTAGAGAAGGGCCTTACTGAACATACGGAACTCTTGAGAAAGGGTGCCCTTGTTGCTCAAAGCCCAGATAACTACGAAGATATCACGGGCCAGTATGCCTTGGTTCCCGAGGAGATCGACGCCCTTCGCAACGAGGTGCTACACAAGTGGCGCCAACCATTTGCGTTATACATGACCATTGTCACGTGCTCCATCGGTGCCGCTGTGCAAGGCTGGGATCAGACTGGTAGTAACGGCGCCAATCTGAGTTTCCCTGAGGTGTATGGCATTGGAAGTGACTCGGTGAAAGACACCCTTCTCGTCGGGCTCGTCAATTCGGGCCCATATATCGGCGCGGCCTTTGTTGGCTGCTGGCTATCGGACCCCCTGAACCACTACTTCGGCCGTCGCGGCACGATCTTCTTCTCCGGCGTCTTCTGTTTCCTGCCCATCTTCGGATCTGCCCTCGCACAAACCTGGGAAGAGCAACTTGCCTGCCGTTTACTCCTTGGATTGGGTATGGGGTCTAAAGGAAGTACGGTCCCTATCTATGCCGCCGAAAATAGTCCCGCAGCGATTCGAGGTGCCCTGGTTATGTCCTGGCAGTTATGGACGGCCTTCGGTATCTTTTTGGGAAATTGCGCAAATCTCGCTGTTGTTAACACTGGAAAATATGCGTGGAGATTGCAACTCGGATCCGCTTTCATCCCAGCTATTCCATTGCTCATCCTGATCTATTTCTGCCCCGAATCTCCTCGTTGGTTGATGAGTAAGTGCCCTTCGCCTCTTCGCATCCAAATCAAAAATCTAACAATCACCAGAGAAGAATAGATACCCAAAAGCATTTGCCTCTCTCATAAAACTACGGAACAACCCAGTTCAGGCTGCCGCCGACCTCTACTATATCCACTCGCAACTAGAAGTCGAGCGTGATATCATTGGAAAGAGCAACTATGTGACCCGTTTCGTGCAACTATTCACCATCCCCCGTGTCCGCCGCGCCACCCTCGCCTCCTTCGTGGTCATGATCGGTCAACAAATGTGCGGTATCAACATCATCGCCTTCTACTCGTCGACCATCTTCAAGAATTCCGGATTCACAGATTTCCAAGCCCTGTTCGCCTCGTGGGGATTCGGTCTCATCAACTTCCTCTTCGCATTCCCAGCCATATGGACCATCGATACTTTCGGCCGACGAGCACTCCTCCTTTTCACATTCCCCAACATGGCATGGTCGCTGCTCGCAGCCGGTCTCTGTGCTCTCATCGACATAGAGTCCACCGCTCATCTTGCCCTCGTCGCCATGTTCGTCTACATCTTCGCCATGTTCTACTCGCCCGGTGAAGGACCCGTTCCATTCACCTACTCCGCTGAAGTCTTCCCTCTCTCTCATCGTGAGGTCGGTATGGGCTGGGCCGTCGCAACATGTCTCTTCTGGGCCTGTGTCTTGACTATGTTCCTCCCCCTCATGTTGACAGCCATGACCACCACCGGAGTCTTCTGCTTCTACGCCGGAACGAACGTCATCGCACTGATCATGATCTTCCTCTGGGTCCCAGAAACCAAACAGCGCACCCTAGAAGAACTCGACTACATCTTCGCCGTGCCCACCCGCACACACATGCACTACCAACTCACCAAGGCGCTCCCATGGTGGTTCAACCGCTGGGTGCTCATGCGCAAGGGCGCCGTCCTCGAGCCCCTCTACCACTTCGAGAGCAACAACGACCAAGACCGCATCGGAGCCCTCCACGCAGCGGACAAGGCGCGCGCCGACCGGAAAGCTGGAAACGGCGACGTCATCCACACGGACAGCAATGATGGATCTAGCACGGAGATTGCCGAGAAGTCATAAATGGGCTCTCTCACATCCTGATATTTATATTATCTCCCTCCTGCCTATCTATACATAGGTTGTGGCAACCTTTCCTCAAGAGTGTCAATTAAAATACCCCATTTTCAATTTATACAAAGTACATCATCACATGCATGCATCATCATAACGGTGGAACTCGCGCAGGGACTTCTTTTGACTTACCTTAGCTTTTTCACATTTGCTGTTTTTGACGGTTTGATTTTTTTATTATAATTCGCAGCTCTTTGCTTATACCCAGCGATATATATATCCAACACATACATAACTATTATTACTTATTCATCCCCCCTGCATTAATTTGCTCAATCAACATGTCTTTTTGGAAATGATATGAATGTTTATAGAGATAGTTATACCCTTCTCTGGTTCATGAATGAAATAAAAATATGATTGATGATTGCAAAATTAGTTGGTCGTGAATTCATTTCATTTACCCACCTAGCTATGTAGGTACTTAGGTAAGTGTTCAGGCAAAGTACTACTGATCTATACAATACACCCATCGCCAGCGAGGTAAGTGCCCTGGTTTTCAACAGCCCGCATCCCAGCCGCAACGAAAAACCCCCCTCCTTCCCTATCTATGCACTTAAAAGACCAACACAATATGAACAAAAGCGCTCCAAATCCATGCCGGCCCGCCCTGACCAACCAACCAGCCAACAAACGCCCAATCAAACCGACCCATTTCCCAATCGCAAAACCATGATAGGGAGAACCGGGTACTGGGCTTACTCACTCACTCATTTATTCATTCATTCCCCTTCAACAACGTCCTCAAAGTCACAATCTCCCTCTTCAACCTCGCATTCTCCTTCTTAGCCTTGGCCGCCTCCTCACTATACTCCTTAACCCTGCCAATCAGCTCCTCTTTATCCTCCTTCCCCTTACCCCTCAGCGCCTTGACAATCTTCCCTAACTCGCCGTTGAATTTCTCGTACAGGAGCTCGTTCTCCGCGCTACTCTCCTTGTAAAGCTGGTCTAGGCCCTTGACCTTGAATTCCGAGGCCTGTAGGCCCTTCTCGAGGTCTTGCTTGATGGTCTCGTTTCTGGCGGTGAGGTCTTTGACGATTACAGGGATTTTGGATTCGAGGATGGACATGGTTGCGGAGAGCTTTGCGATATCTTGGGGCCGGACTGAAGAGGCAGAGCCAGCGTTTAGTTTTGCCATTTCTTCGCCGATCTTGGAGAGCTCGGTTTGTAGGGACGCCTCGGCATCGTGGATGGCTTTGGCTTCGTTGTGGAGGCGCTCGCGTAACTTCTGAGGGCTTTGGAGACGGAGTTTTTGAGGGGATGTTCTTCCACCGCTTGTTGTTGGCCGTGCGACTGATGGAGCACGCTCGCGTGGGGTTCCACGTAGTGTGGGGATATTCGATGAAAGAGACACCGTCTTAGAATGTCCTTTTCCTGGCCACAGCTCCTTCACTACAACTGTGTCGGGGGTTGACATGATATTTTGAGGTCGCTCTGTTAGACTACCAATATTTCTCGAAGTCAAGTTCAGCGGTGTATTCTCTTTCTGAGTTGGAGATCCAGTACGGTATATTGGCGAACGATTTCGATCCCCACCAGCAACTGGAATCTTCGTAGGTGTAGTACGTGGCGAGGTATTCAATTTGAGTCCTTTGCGATGTGCTGCTGACAATGGGGAGCTGTCTCCCAACGTTGCAGCTGCCATCAAGCTTTTTAGATCAGACAAGGAACTCCGCCGCTTCTTTTTCAATGATCTAGCTGTTTCCTGTGTCTCCTCTGGCGGAGGGGAAGCGCCAATAGTGCTAAGTCTCGATGGCTGGCCATGTGAACTACAAGGCCTATCATCGAAGGTGCCAATAATGGTAGGCCTATCACGGGAGAGTGGTCGTCTACCAGGAGACTCGATAGATCTTGAACGATTTAGGGACGCCTTAGTGAGGCTTGAACTTGAAGAAGGGATCGCTTCTCCAGTGGCAGCATTGCGGCTTGTCTTACTTAGTGTTCTCCACACAGAAGGGCGAGAATCCGAGTCACCCTTGTTGCTATTCTGTCTAAGAAGTGTATCGGCGAATCGTTTCCGTAGGGAGGATGCGTTCGACGTCAGGGAGCCAGTAGCTGAGTGATTTGATCGACTGCCAGAAACCGAACCATATCCCGAGTTATCACCAATCGCGCCAGGGCCGATATCCTCGAATAATCGCTCGGATTCCTCCACCATACGATCCAACAGGTTAATGTAATCATGAGGTTGGCCATCAATGACTAGTAACTCAGCAAAGGCGGCTGTCAAAGCACCGCGGTCTCCGTCATTGCCACAACCGTCAAGAAGGTCAGCTAGAAGCTTGATAATAGCAATAAATGCCCGCCTATTTTGGGGTGCCATTTCGCCAAAGACCATCCGAACGTAGTCCGCAAAATCTCCTCGGAAAAGCTTCAAAGCTCGCTCCTGAAGAGAGTCTAAAGTTTGTATAGACATGACCTGACCCATCTGATCCTTCCACGCCATTCTCAGATACTTCTCAAAGGCTACGAAAAGGACATCGACAGAAACCTCCGAGGCTGCTCGTTGGTCAAAGGGATTTTCGATGAATGCGTTGTAGATAGCGTTGATGGCTAATTCATCAGCAGTCCCACGACTCCTAAGAGTTCTCCCAATAATGTTGCCCTTCCGGGCCTGCAATGCAGCAATGTAGCCAGTAAATGTTTCCTCTAGTCGAACAAGAGGGTTTACGGGTCGACTATCATCCATCGCGGTCCGCACGCTGCCTTTCCCATCCACATCCTGAATTGAATGCGTAGATTTATTGCTATTGTTTCTTGAGACTGCCGGGGCTTGCATAGAGGGGATGTTTCCGAGGGTTAGAGTTCGTGAGTGCTTCTGGTTATATGACCCAGAATCCTTGAACGATGTGATGGAACTGCTAAACCCGCTTGTCAAGAAGCTTGAAAACATCTTAACAGGGGAAGGTGGCCTGAATCCTTTTGATTTATCCCCTTCGATGAATACATGAATTGACTTAAGGATCTTTGAGTAGAACGATATCAAGGCGACAGACAGCGCTGGGTTGCTGCAATTGTATTGTGAACGTAGCAAGTCGACAGCTGTGAAACTTAGTTAGAAGTGGGAATAAAATAAAATGGAGAAATAGCATACTTCTCTTTGCAAATATGGGCAGAAAGTGCTCCTCGACCACTTCGTCTACATAAACCTTATCGTGGAGACCATCAACCTCTACCCTGTATTTCAACCCGCCGCCGAGGACCGACACATTTGCTACAATTTCGACACCATAATGGCCTACCGGGGCACCCTTGGTTCCTTTCTCATGGTCAACCACAATTCGTATAGGCGCTGGCTCTCTTCGACCCTCGATAAGGGTGTCAATGCTTTCCTCAAATACTGCGGTATGAAGGGTGATTTCGGCCGCAGGGAACCTGATGGATCTCAAACACCATTTATCTGTCTCCCGTTCTGTCTCCGAGAACCGCCCCTCTACCCTTGCTCTAGAAACTTCTTCGGTGAGCTTCAACGCCTTCCCTTCGTAACTCCCTTGGAGAACGAAGTTCCTGACATTTGCGGCCAGCCCGTTACGGTCACGACCAGTAGCATCCTTCAGCTCTTTCAAAGAGCTCATCCAGACGCTGCGTGCATCATCTGACATTGTAAATCGAGTATCACCTAGCGCATGCCAACCGGCAAATGTCAAGTCGTAGACACGCTTTTGTCCTCCCGCACCGGCAGTCACCGAGGCCATCATCGTAGCAGCGGATGGCTTATCGACTTCGGCCATAACACCTCGAGCTGAGAGGTTACATTGCGCTGCCTTCCGTAAAATAACGATGCAGTCTGCAAAAAGGAGAAAGATGCCCTCTTTTGAGATTCCTGGTGTTCCAGATGGCTCGACGTGAAATGGAGGCGAGAGTTCAACAAAATCAACGGCCGTGATCAATCTACCTTGAGGATATAATGAAGTGGGCCATGAATCCGTTATGTTCCTTAAACGATTTGTGATCTGTGATTTCTCCGCTGCTGGAGGATCCAAAGAGCAAATTGAGGTGATTATATCTCTCGCCTTGAGCATGGACTGTAAGGCCGGGTGACCGACCGGAAGATAATTAACAATATTGTCAATGAAGAGGCTATAACGGGGTAGACGCTGGACTGGCTCAATCACAGCGGATCGGAGGCGCTGCTCTCCTGTTTGCTGCACTCGTTGCGAGAAACTAGACTGCTGTTTCGAGAACATTGTGATGATTTGTGGAAATTCTTGACTGGCACGAATATATTCTTGATAGCAATCAGAAAATTGGGGGAACCATTCAAGAAGTATTTTTGCAAAGGCAAGGGTTCCAGTTGGATCTTTTGAGCGACCGGTTGCACCATGTCGAGAGCCAGTTGAACTGAAAACAGGTGCCTCCAAATCTCGCATAGCGTCGTCTTCTGACTCGTCCATGGCCTTCCGAATAGCCGTTAGGAAGGCCGAATTAACCTGCAGAATTCGATCCAAAGATCGAGGGAAAAGTCTCTGCAGATCTTCCGCTGAGGGACTGAAACTTCCAAAGGGTCGATTCTTCGCTTTCGTACGGAAGTCATCCGCAATATGGTTGACTAGCTCATGCATCTTGATGACATATCGTTCTTCTGTATCAACCAATTCGCCCATCTCCCGGCGCAACGACATCTTGTGATCCTTTAGAAACGATCTGGACCTGTTCCGAGAAGTGGGCCTTGATGGAGCGCGACGCAATTTGGAAGTCGGAAGGAACGCTACCTCGCCCAACATCTTGACCAGTGGCGCATACATGCCATACTGTTTCAATGTCGGGTCTTCCAGTTCCTCCTCATCCATATGTGCCTCGGTATCCTCCTCCTGGAATGGGGCAATGGAGCCTGGTGGCAGCACAAGATCGATATCGACGTGGCTAATATTTTGAGGGCGCAGAGCTGCTTCAATATCCTGTATTACATCCCCTATATTGTCCACCTTGACCATAGTGCCCACCAAATCTGCTGCATGTTGCTCGCTAAATAGAGATTGCGCTGATCCGGGTCTCTTGTTTCGAGAATTCGCTGATTGAAGTATCAAGCCGCTTTTGACCACCTCTGGCAACTCCTTAAAATACTTGAAAAGCCCAAACGCGAGTCCTCGACATATTTCGTCTCCTTGCTTCTCGCGCGGCAGATGGTTTACGGATTGGTAGAAGGGCGAGTTCGGTGAGACAGTGATGCGCGGATAACTTTGAAACCCAGCTGCTGTGAAGACGTGGACTTGGATTCGAGAGCTGTTGAGGGTCGAGTTGCTGGTAATTGAAGGACCGTGGAAGAGGAGCACTGGCAGATTCGCCAGGAATGGATCTGTTGTATAGTAGAGACTGACCTGGTCTTGCGACAAGGCCAGCTCGTCCGTGACCCGAACCATTGCGGAGGATGTCGCACGTAGATATGTAGTTAGCTTGGGTCGCTCAATGGGCCTCCATGCCAAAGATGTCTCGATGAGGGTGGGGATGGTGGGAGGAAGGGCGTGTTTTCTGTGTTCTCGAAGTTTGCTGAATGATTCGATCACGCGTGTCTTCTCAAGCCGAACATATGATTGGCTTTGAATTCGATATGAATTGAGTGGTGGAAAACAATCCGACGCGTCTCCTCAGCCGTGGTTTTCGTGGAAGAGATTGTGCAGATGGGGATGCACGAGCAAGGAGATCATGTCACCGGGAACGATATCTCGTACTAGCAATAGCGACACTATCCGCAAGATCTAGGATCGTCGATTCGGAAGAGAGTGTTGTACTTGGCTTTGGGCATCCAAAGATTCGATGTTCCGAGATCTTCACTGGGGATTGGACGCGTTGATTGGACGGCTGTGTACCTTGTCAACAAATGCGCATCCTAGCCCCACCAAGCTCGGAACCCAAAACAGACCGTCTCAACTATATTAAAAATAAACAGTCCACCTCAAACTTCCATCATCACAACGGTGACATATAATTATGGCTACTCAATACAATCTCGATATTCCTTTCTCGGCAAGCCATGGTCAACAGGCTTTCAAGCTTCTTGAGCTACCTCCAGAGCTCCTCGCGCTCCTAGAGTCAGACAACCCCCCGCGGTCAGTTCCGCCTCCCCATCTTCCCCCAGACAATGGCTAATATCTCTGGCAGAATCTCTATAATTTCCTCTCCTCCGACCGCCACGACTCCTGGATATGCGGTTCTGTGCACCGGCGATAAGAAATACCAAATGCGACAGAAGAACACATCAAATCCGATCATGGTGCTCAAACCGTCCTTGACCAAGCCTACAGAGTTAGATGATCCTGCGACTTTTATTCCACAGCCTTCAGTTACTACAACCGCCAAGATTGCGGATACCATCGAGTTGATTGTGCAGGAGGCAGAGTCTAAAGCTCCGCCGAAGGTCAATAAGTGGCATGAGAAATTCGCCAAGAGCAGAGCTGCGCAGAAGGATAATTGATTAGGCATTTTGCTCATACCGGTCCATGCATTTGCTGCTGCTAGAAATTTGGATTTCTTGTGAGTCACTATAGAAGTAAGGGTTGTTTGTCACAACTTGGCGGAACGGGGACGGACCCTGTACGAGGAGCGAAGAACGAACACCACGGTAGCCTCCGTCGCCGTTCGGAATAACCATCTCGTCCACATAAAAGCGAATGGGGCATTCGAAGGAACATTGCATAAATTTAGGCTCTCGGTAGTCAAATGCCCTAAGAAAATCCAGTTATGTTAACTCAACGGACTGTTTTCGGTAAGGGCCTCAATTAAGATGGACCAGGAAGGTGTGGATCAAGCGGTAATGACGCCGCTGGCTAATGATCTATACTTCATGTCGCGTGACGTTGATTTTTAGCTCTGGAAGGGGTCCGCGGATCGAGATATATCGATTAGCAACAGACTATTGGCAGATCAAAGCTATCCGGATCGGAGGCTTGGGGGGATGATTGTTGGAAGGTTTATATCCAAGCGGGACGGGACTGCGGAGAGAGCGAAGAAACTGGCACGTAGGTCGATAAAAGGATTAATATCCCATCCCTAGAGGGCTATTTAATTACAACGATTAGGATATATAGTTGTTTTACTGTATGCCCATATTTCTGAACAGCTAGACGGCCAGCTGGGCGAAGATCATAGAAATACAGGCTAGGTCGACACATTAATCAATTAACTCCATTGACCAGTCATAAATTCATATAGCATAACCCGATTGCGTTTACGTCTCCAGCTTGTGCTGCTACTCTAGCGCGGTTTACCATAAAAATACCTCCAGTTACTGAGAAACCTAATCCATAATAAAAAGAAACGAGTCTCTCTTCTCCAAATTCCTATCCCAGTCTAGGTATCTCAACACCAACCAAACTTCTCATTCGCAACCCATTCCACACCCTCTACCCCGCCTTTCCCAGGGCCATACCACATCAAACTGCAAATACTCTCCTCCTCTCTCTCCTCCGCCTTATGTTCTAGACCCGTCCTCTCCAGAAGTGCTTTACCCACCGGACTTACATTCCACATTTCCACGGCTGCAAGCCCCCACGTCCCTGCCTCGCGTTGCGCCACCTCCAACACGCTTTTTAGCTTCTGGGCGTTTTCCTCGGTGTCTTGCTCATCCTCCATCACTAGCCTTAAAAGATGGAGTACATTCCCCGACTTCGGGTCCTGCAATGGGCCGTAAAAGCTTCGCGTGAAGATGGTCCAGATGCGTGAGCCTTTGTCGCCAGAAGAGATAGCGCCCTTGATCGTTGGTACTTTGCCTTGGAAAAGCTTGTCGCACATGAAGTCTTCGCGGAGGTGGTGCCATTCCATGGTGGAGTAATCGGCGAGGAGTGCTACGGCTGGTTTATTCATATGTTTAGCGGTGCTTTGAACGGCGGTCCCGATGTATTGCTCGTCAAGGGCGCAAAGGGGGGCAATTTCAGCAGGGGTGAGTGTCCTTGCCCCTGCCTTCGTTTTGTGCACCCCATTTGTTCCATTTACTGTGACCCCGTTTGTTCCATTTGTTGTGACCCCATTAGTCACCGGAGCAGCAAGAGCTGGAAGAGAGATATGGGCGCTGGGAAAGACATCCCATCCTAGACCAGCATAGTATTTCTTGCCAATGTCAGAGTACAGAATCGAAAAGTAGCATTCCCCTTCCTCTTTTTGCCACGTTTTGAGAATGGGTGCTAGGAGTGCGAGCATGCGGGATGCGTAGCCTCTGCCACGGTAGGCGGGTGGACAGAATACGGACCCGATACCATGGGTTATAACTTCTTTTGTCGGGCTGCCAGGGAGGGAGATGACAGCACGGCGGCGGAGAGATTCGCAGCATGCTAGTACAGGACGAGATTCGGCAGGAGCGGTGCTATCGGTGAGGATCCAGTCTGCAGATTAGTTTGTTAGTTTCAGGTTTCTGTTTCGGAGAGGTTATAAGTATATCTTGTAGAGGAAAAGCAGCGAGTGCCGTCACTCAAGTGGCCAAACCCCGGGAAGGAGAGAGCGAGACCTACGTGTAACGCCGCCATCTCGTGTTGCTGGAATGCTGGCGAGGTAGCTTTCACGCTCGAGGTAATCGTCGACTGCCAGAGCAGTTCCCCAGCTTTGGGAGTTGAGGGTCCAAGTATGCTTCTTCTCGGCGAGTGTCGGATGGACAAGCGTGAGAGCAGCGGATGATGCCCGGGGCAAGTCGGCCATGGTGATGTGACAGTGTACCTAGGTAGGCTCTACGAGGCTGGTTTGTGCTGAGTTGTTGGATGTTGGATATTGGATCTTGCTGGGTTGGAACCGTTGACGATCAATATAGGATTGATTGTATTGTAGTTGTGGAGAGAAAGGTATCAAGTGTGTAACAGACGAGTTAGATAGATATGTATCTGTGCAATTAAGTTATAACTCACGTAGCGCTGACAGAATGACAAAGAGAAAATGAAGGGATGCATGACGGGCATTCCATTGAGGAAGGCCAGAAAGACCTAGCTCGTTGGCTAACCAGGGAAGCTGTACTAACAACAACCTGCTATAGGCAATCATCTGCCCAGATCGTGTGACATGGGCGGCACTACTAGGCAAAGGAGCTGTTATACCTTACGTATTGGCGTTTTGGGGTTTCCATTGAGTAAACACAGGTTATAGTTACTGTACAGAGAAAGCACTGGATGTCCAGATACGGGGCGGTGATCCACGCCCAAGATAAAGCCGTGGAGAACCGATGTTGGACGTCGGAGGTCGGAGGCCGGAATTAAGCAGCCCAGGGATCTAAAAGGAAGGAAGGAGTTGCGGGGTTGTTTCCGTTCCTGACAGCGACCACGAGATTACCTAATTCACTTCACTTCACTTCATCCAAAACACTGCTCACAGAAAATATCACGTGGTCGGATAATCTTCGGCAAAACATCAGTCATCCACTCGTAACACGTGCCGATAAGATACGCGAGACACCGGGATTCCCTCTTTGGGAACAACCTCTCTACACCCAACATTGACGCCGTCACGCCGTCTCTCGAGTCCTCCATGATCAACCTTGTTGGTAGCCAATATCAGCTCTTCTTGACGCTTGATTAGGGCATGGCCGCCGTGACATCAGTCGGAGCTGCGCAGTAATTTCATGTAGGTGTTAAATATCAACTTGCCTCGAATTCACCAGTTCCCCCCCGCGACATACCAACATCACGAAGCTCCCAAGGCTGTAGAGTACTGCTGGCATTGGTGCAACACGTCTCTCAGCTCGACCTCGCCTTTCACTCTTTATACTCTAGCTAGCTGATTCATTCTAACTATGAATAGTGTAGATCACGCAGCTGTCAGTACTCATAGCAGGTCGTCGAGAGCAGCTCCGTCGCTGGCCCCGCACACAGCGTCCCCGTCTTCAGCGGCACTTCTCACCAGAATCAGACAGCAGACAAAGGCAGTGGCCAAACTTAAGGATAAACTGCAAGCAATGAACATCGTATCTCGCCGAAAACCAGAAAGAAGCGATGTCCAAATGAATAGATCCGGATCCGCCGCAGCAATGGATGTCATCGATCTGGTATCCGAGAACTCGGATCCCGACGACGATGACGATGATGCCCTCCAACCGCATGTAGGAGATAGACATCCAGGAAAAGATCTAGCTATGGATGATTATGAACAGCATCCTCCCGATCTCAATAGCCTTCTGGCGGACGAACAGCCCCACAATCCAGATGCCTTTGAGGGGGCAGAAGAGGAATGGGAAGACTATGACTTTGATGACGTTTTCGACCCTGACGAAGAACTCGTCCGAGCATTGATGGAGGGGGCCGAGGGTCAGCCTTATGAAATAGCACATCACAATGGTCTACAACATCCCGTCGAGCCACCGATTGATCTTGAGCAGGACTCACAGTACATGCCGGACGTCCAAACGCGCAAGGACTGTGTTGATGCCGTTCTAGCCATTTTCCCTGACATCTGTCGTGATCATGTTTCTGAACTTTACAACGACGTCTCGCGAGCTTCGGATCGTCTAATCGCCCATATTCTTGATAAGATGGAGAGCGGGAACCCGTACCCCAAGGCAAAAGATACGAAGAAGACCCTGAAGAGGAAAAGGGAAGTTGATGAAGATGAGACAGTGATACTAAAGTACGGGGCGGCTGACCGTTCCCCCGGGGCATCGCGGCCTTATATGTAAGTGTGCTGTCCCTTTGTTTGACTTAAATGTATAAAGCAGAGGGGAGTTATCCACGTGAATATCGTCACCTGATGCTATGTTTCTCTTGGGTGAGGCAAATTCGCGGATTTTCTTTTCGACTCGGAGGGATATATCAGTCCTAACAAGTGAAGAAATGGGAATCGGTTCTAGTCCTAACATTCTTTAGACGCGCTATCTTGAGCCAAGAATTTTCTACAACCCCGATGGCTTTCATTGACGCAACGCTGAATCAATCGCAATATCGTTTGTTTCATGCCTACCGAGTACTTGAGGAAGCCCATCGAACGTATGACCCAACAGATCGACCGTACAACAAAATCAAGAAACCTAGGTCCATGCAACCGTTATACCTAGCTGAAAACATAAAGGCTTCCATTGAGGATATAACGGCAGATCCCGCGCTGGTTGAGGTTCTCCAGGAGTTACAGGCATCGCGGAGGATGAAGGAAAAGGCTGACAAGAAGCGGGAGGCTGAACTGCAAGCCGAGCTTGACGAACAAGCTAATACCCAAAAAGCCCAAGAAGAGGGCACTATGTCAGAATGCGGATGCTGCTTCGGAGATTTCCCACTTAACCGAATGGTGCATTGTGATAGCGATATCCTACATTGGTTCTGCCGAGGTTGTGCGCGACAGACTGCGGAGACTGAGATTGGAAACTCCAAGTATGAGCTTCATTGCATGTCGATGGATGGATGCAAGTCGGGATTCACTATGGACCAAAGGTAAGTCCCTATGTATATTTGGCTAATTCTGCTGACGAAACAGATCTCAATTCTTGGACGAGAAAACAGTAATTGCCCTCGAACGAAATGAACAAGAAGCAATGTTGCGCATGGCTGGCATAGAGAACCTTGCAAGCTGCCCATTTTGCCCATTTGCCGCTGAGTATCCACCAGTCGAGGTCGATAGGGAATTCCGATGCCAAGCTCCCGACTGTGAGAAAATCAGCTGTCGACTATGCAAGCTGGATTCCCACATCCCCAAGAGTTGCGAGGAAAATGCTAAAGACAATGGCCTTTCAATTCGCCGCCAAATCGAAGAGGCGATGTCTGCGGCGCTAATTAGGAAGTGCAACAAATGTGGAACCCCATTCGTCAAGGAGGAAGGCTGTAACAAGATGACCTGCACGCGCAATGGATGTTACAATGTGCAATGCTATGTTTGCTCCAAATCCTGTGCTTATGACCATTTTAATGATCGAAGCCGGGGTGGCAAGTCCGGCAACTGTCCGTTGTTTGAGAGCGTCGAGGATCGCCACAACGAGGAAGTCAAGAAAGCCGAGAAGGACGCCCTTGAGAAGATTCGAGCTGAGCATCCTGAGTATACCGACGAGGACCTACAGATAAAGGTATCGGATGCCGTCCTGAAGGATGAGGAACGCCGGAAATCGTTACATCCTAGAATGCGTGCTTATCAGGCAGAAGCTGCACGTATCAATGGTCAGTAGGCAGCATTTCATTTTCGGCAAAGAGTCTCGATAAAGGAGTCCGTCCCACAAAAGCATACCGTATCTGGGATTGCTTCAAGTTGTGATTGGTACACGGCTCCTGTGCGAGACTTGGGTTATTTTCCAGAAGACTTCAACCATTTCCTACTAACTATATAATACCGAAGCTCATCGGCATATCTTACCACAATACTATGGTGCACGCCCTGCACCGCCGCCAGGAAACCAACCACAAGTAGCTGATGAACTCGGATGGGGAGATGAACTCGATCCCATAATAGGTAGGTTGTATCTTCCCAAGATTAAATTCCAAGGGGAACAGCCCGCTTGGGTGACGACCTATTGCTACTCTAAAGCTGCATATGGCCTGCCCAGAGCATTATATTTCCAGCCGTCGCATGTCCTGCATTCGATTCGACTAGAAAGCTGACTTGCCAAGAAAACCCTTTCGAAAACCCTTTCGAAAACCCTTTCGATAACTTCGATTTCGATTTCGGCGATGAGATTTTTCAGGCTCACCGGCGTGGTTTTATTGGTCATCGCCCTCCTGTTCGAGCTCCAGCTGAACAAGCGCGACGTAAGGCGATACCAGCTTTCCCAGTTTTCCCAATTCTTGACGAGCCAGTTCGCATACCTGAATTTCCTGAGTTCAACTTCCCTATTTTTCCGGATCCTCCCATGGCATTTGCACCGCCATTAAATGCAGCGCCTGTGCGTGGAGCAAATCCTGGGCCTGAAGTACCCGAGGCTCAAGCATCGCCTCGAGAACGCCTCATTAAATTGCAAAAAGCGGATATGGAAAGACAGGCTGTAGCCCATCGGAAGCTACAGAGACTACAACAGGAGGCTTGCGATCGCCATGCTCAACAGAACCAGGCGCTTATGCAACAACCTGAAGCGCCTCGGGCGCCACCAGAACTAAAGTTACGAATAGATGGTCATTTACGAATGCAACCACGAGCCCTAGTACAGATACAGCAAGAATCAATTCAGCGAATGCATCAGCATATGGAAGCAGTAAACCAAAGAGCTGATCAGATGAATGATGACTTCAACGCTCATAAATCACGGTATTTAGAGGAGCATATGATGATCCGACAACAAAGAATTCGGGAACAACATCGGAAGTTACTATTGGCGCAATTTGAAGGCCAACTGCCAGTTGATGGTGGTGCTGCTGCCCGTGCCGCGCTTGGTGTTAATGGACTGAAAGAACATCAACACGATAACGACGGGCCTCCGTCTCTAGAATAAACTGGAATCGCTCTCTACCTAGGTAGGCTTTATGGAAGTCCGTTCGGGAGGTGGGTTAATTTGCTGAGCTGCGAGCATGGCGTTCAGGTGGGCAGGCACCTTCAATATCGATACCCAATTATGCTTTTTCCTCGGGGTCTTCTTTGCCCCTTTTTTTCCTAGCGTATTACAGAAGGCAGGCATATTTCCATCTACGCCGTTGCATGCATAGATAGGTACACATAGATACCCGATCTAGGAATTAATAATAATAATTCCTTCATGTGTCTTTCTGCGGTGCGAAATTGGTACTTGCTTGTAGGATCCCCGAGACTTGGAGAAAGCAGCTGCTCATCAATTAATATAATTATATTCGTTAACTTACATTTATCGCCTTAATATGAACCAAGCATCTGTCTCCCGTTAATTTTACATATTCCCGCTAGCATCTTTAGGGGCAATGGGCAACGGGCATTGTCCCAATTAGAAGTATAACTTCACATCTCTATAAGACATTCAGACCGTGCCATATATCTCAAGGAATTAGGCTTTTTAGTCTCCAAAACATAGATGGTGGTTTCATGATATTATTTCATGTTTTATGTACTTCGGAATTGGGTGATATCACTTAAACACCGAGCCCTTCAACTGTGAACCTTCTTCAACCAGTGTTCTACTTCTTTTTGGTCGCCACTTGTATCAGGGTGGTTGTGCGTTGTCGTTCCCATTTCCTACAAGAAATTACGCTTTGCCGTGGTGCGTCTCGTTCCGTGTGGTAAACTATAGGATCTAACTTACCCGGGAGATATGAAGCTTCTCCTCGGGGCAGTTTTAGCAGCATTGCCCTTCCACTGTTCCCATCTAATCCATGTCCTGAAGTATGGAAATGCGAGACTACATCCTCTTCCCCATCCTCTCAAACGAAGCATCGACTTTCCCTTCATGCATAAACTGGATGTCCGTCCCCCGTGCTATACAATTTACGGTCGTATACCTTCAATACGTTGTCAAAGCGCCCACTTAAGGAACCTCAATCACCGTCAAACTTCGCCTTTCCTTCCTCAATCCACGCCTCTAAAACAAAATCTCCCGCCGCCACCAATCTCACGGGCGTACTCCTAACACCACCCAAATCCCTCCCAATAATCTCACTCTCCCCCTTCTCTCCCGTCTGTAAACTAGGTTCAGAGGGCACCCAAGGCTGCGGATGACCAATGGGCGGCTCCGCCTCATCCCTCAACTCAACCGCGAGCGTATACGTGCACTTCTCCGGCAGCGGGGCCATCTTACTCCCAGCATACTCCAATCTCCGAATAGTAGCACGCAGTTGCTCCTCAACATCCGTGATGTTGCTCATGCCCCGCGTCTCGTCCGCGAACTCGGTGAGCTTCTCCTTCTCACTTATAACGGGGAAGCGGCTTATGTCGAAGATGTACCGCTCTAGGACTTCGAGTTGAGGGGAGTAGATGACGATTACCACGCGTTTGGCAGCGTTGGAGGAGAGGAGCGGCGTGAGGGAGGTAACGGCTGAGTTGATCCATGCACAGACCGCAGGGTGACGGTTTTGGTGGACGGGAAGGTTGTAGGCCCGGCTTGTGAGAAAGGTAGTTTGAGGGTATAATGAACGAGTATAGAGGATTGTATGGATGGCAACTGTGAGGAAATCGGTCAAGGTGCGGTGAAGGGAGAGCGCGGTGTTGAGGATTGGTGTTGGCGGAGGAGGGGCAGATGCGGATGCGGATGCTGATGATGCCATGGTTGACAGAAGGAATGGGCGATAGTGGCGTCTAGTTGGTAGATAAGTATGATAGTGATCAGCAAGCTTCCCCTTCAGCCGAGGAGTGGAGATGATAGAGTTCCCATCCTCGAGTTGGGAAACGCTACAGCAACAGCAAACCGACAAGTACTGTGTAAAGATGGATTCGTCGTCAGTTCGCCCACACCGCGTCAGGTCGCGCCCTCGAAATTTGGCGTGTCCCGCACTTCGACCGACTCGAAGGTCCACAATCAATAACCACAACCCCAGGATCATAAACCTCCACGCCCTGCTCCCAACCGCCATCACCTATTTGCGGAGCTAGACTTTTAATCCATAGTTCGGGGATAGACTGGAAGGATGGCCGCAACGACAATGGAGGATCAGCTCTTGCAGCTACTTTCTGATACACAGTTACCAGCAGAAGGACCTCGCAAAGAGGCGGAATCACGCCTCCAACAAGCGCAGAGCAATCCTGCTTTCCCCGGAAGTCTGGCAGCTATTGCCTCACATAGCTCCGTAACGCCTGAAATCCGCCAGAGCGCGCTACTGATACTGCGACCGTTTGTGGAAAAGAATTGGAGTGGGCAGGCCGAAGATGGAGCTGCAATTCCTATCGCGGATTCGGTGAAGGAGCAGCTGAGGGTGCAGATGTTGGAGTTGGCTACGAGCGGGGATGCCGATAGGAAGATTAAAAGTGCGGCGAGGTGGGTTGGCTCCCTTTATAAGCTTCATGCGTGGTTTGGGATATCATGCTAATTACTGGGTGGCCGATGTAGTTACGTCGTGAGCAAGATTGCAAATGTCGACTTTCCAGAGCAATGGCCTAATCTCCTTCCTGCGCTGCTGCATCTTATTCCCAATGCCACGGATCCGCAATTGCACGGTGCCCTCAAAGTGCTGTATGATTTGGTGGAGGATTCGCTGAGCGAGGACCAATTCTTCTCTGTTGCCAGGGATATTGTCAACGTGGTATACGATGTCGCCGTCAATAATAATAGGAAGTCGATCCTGCGTGCTCTTTCGGTCTCGGTATTCCGCGCTACGTTTGATATTATGGATATGGTGAAGGACGAGCATGGCGCTGAGGTTAAGGGCTTTGCAGATGAGATCATCAAGGCGTGGTCCCCCTTTTTTATGGACGTCATGAAACAGCCATTACCAGCGAAGCCTACTGGCGAGGACGGGGCGTTCGAGAGTGAAAGAGAAGTAGCTGAAACATGGAGGGGGGTTATTGCGTTGAAGTTGCAGGTGGTCAAGACGCTGATGAAGATCCGGATGGTATTCCCGCAATTACTACTCCCGCAAAGCCCTGCGCTATTCAGTGCAACATGGGAGGAATTATCGTTGCTCCAGGAAGCCTATAAGAGCATGTATGTCGACAATGATGAGCAAGGACGACTTGAGGATGCGGATGGCCTTCCTTATACTTTGGACTTCTTAGTCCTGGAGGAGTTAGACTTTTTACAATCTTGCTTAAGAGCACCGCCCGTGAAAGAAGAGCTGGAGAAGCAGATACAGCAGCACTCAGGGATATCGGGAACACCTTGGGTCATGGATGTCATGAAGTTGGCGGTGGGATACGCACAAATACCAAAGGAGGAAGAAGACCTGTGGGATATCGATGTCAATTTATTCTTGGCTGAAGAGACTTCCGTTACAGCAAACTACACAGCACGAACAGCCTGTGGTGACCTACTCATTAAGTTGGGCGAATGGCTTCACCAGGGTGCTCTTGAAGGCCTGCTGGCATACACCCAAGCTCACTTCTCTTCAGAAGCTGCGACGTGGAGAACAAGGGAGGCTTCATTATATCTGCTTACACAACTGATGACCGATTTCCTAGATCTGAGCAAGCAGGTGGCTCCAGAGGTTGCTACAGCCTTCTTAGGCTTGGTTGAGTATTCCATCAATCGACCAGATGAACCTCTACTAAGAGGACGGGGCTACATCGTATCTAGCTTGCTCGTGCAGTACCTCCCTGATGTTGCCCTCGGCTTGCTTGACCGGACGATTAAGGCTGTCAATAGCGATGAGTCGGAAGTGGTCAAAGTTGCCTGCATCAAGGCACTTCAAGGCTTCATCAAGGCACGTACTGTACCCTCTGATCGCCAAATCCCTATCATTGCATCCATATCAGACTTTATGTACGGAAAGGACATGACAGATCTTGAGGATGCTGATGATCTAGTGGTGACCTTGGTTGAGTCGCTGCGGGACGCAATTGAAATCGATCCTAGGATTGCCATCTCGAATGAGAGCTCTGCTCTAGATCTACTTTTTGTCCTTGCCAAACATGGCGCGTCCAATTTCCAGCTCACTATGCTGGTCAGCGAAGCGTTCGAGTCAATTACCGCTGCGCTTTCGCCTAGCCCTGAAGCCTACACTGCTCTATGTACAAAGGTGTTGCCTTCATTAACTGGTGCCTTTGATGTGGGCAGTATGACAGGCGATGATCCTCTTATTGAGGTAAGTTTCCCCGGAGGCAAGACTTTTACAAGCTAACAACCTCCCCAGCTCGCAACAGAGCTACTTGTAGTTCTTACAGAAAAAGGTTCTGAGCCGCTTCCACCCGGATTCGTCACGGCCGCTTTACCAAAGCTTAATCGTCTCCTGATGGCAACTACTGAAGGAGGCGTTCTGCGACCCGGTGTTGAAACTATTAAGTACATGTTGGCGCATGACCATCAACAGGTATTTGCTTGGCATGACGAGGCGAATAGGTCTGGGTTGGAGGTATGCTTGATTATTATTGACAAACTGCTCGGTCCGACGATAGAGGATAACGCGGCTTCTGAAGTTGGCGGTCTCGCTGCCGAGCTTGTTGAGAAGGCGGGTCAAGAGCGACTTGGGCCATATCTAGAGCAGTTGTTGCGAGCCGTTGCAAACCGACTTGCAACTGCTGAAGCCGCTCCGTTTATCCAGTCGTTGATCTTGGTTTTCGCCCGGTTGGCGTTGGTCGGTGCTTCTGACGTCGTGACATTCTTATCGCAGATCGAGATTAATGGCCAGAATGGCCTGCAAGTTGTCTTGAGCAAATGGCTTGAGCATTCTATCAATTTTGCGGGATATGATGAAATTCGGCAAAAGTAAGCCATAACTACCACATATCTTCAGGCGATGCTAACGATCTAGTGTTATTGCGTTATCGAAACTGTTCAGTCTGAATGACCAACGAGTTGTTCAGACTATGGTCAAGGGTGATCTGATCATTCCAACTAGTAATAGAATTATGACCAGATCACAAGCTAAACTAAGTACGTTCCCCCTCGTCCCTGCAGAAGACTCTCCATACTGACGAGAGCAGACCCAGATCAATTCACCGTCATCCCTGCGCCCCTGAAAATCGTCAAAGTGTTAATCGAAGAGCTCCTCTCCGCTTCCGGAATCCAAACCGCAGCAAATGCCGCCGCGGCAGCCGCCGAATTTGCCGACGAAGAAGGCGAAAACGACGATTGGGAAGATGTCCCAAATATCCTCGACCTTGGCTTGGGATCTACTAAAGCCGAACTGATGGCGTATGGGAATGATGGGGCTGCGAGTTTCATGCGCCAGAGAGATGATGAGACGCAGGCTTATTTGACGGAGTTCTTCCTTAAGGCTGGGACTGAGAATATTGCGGGATTTAACGAGCTTTATGCGGCGCTGACGGATGAGGAGAGGGCGAAGTTGAACGAGCTTGCGAACCCGGGGCAGTGAACGTTGCTTGGTTTCGTATCCCAACCGGCTACTCTACAAATGTGGTGTAGCCAGTGGAGAAAAGTACACCGATCGGTATTTGGGAAACGTCAGACCGATTTGGTATGTGGATATGAATCTTCTTGTGTAGCACGGTATGAAACTGTTATGGGTTATGTGGTACATAGGAGCGCGTGGGTGGTGGACTTTGAATAGACTTGCCCATGCTTCTGGAGCGTTTGCTTCTCCATAAGAAAGGATAAATTGATTGGTTAGACCTGGCTTTTGGCTTTGCTGATCAAAATACTTAATCAATTCTCTATTTTTCTATCTCTCCTACCTCCTATGGTATCTATAAAATACATCAAAGGTATTATTAAATGTCATATCGGTTGCTGGTTAGTTGTAAGAGCTACTGTAGTATATTAGCGACGACGTCACAGTCGTGACCAGGTAAGGCGTCCCGTAGGGCTGCCAGGTCAGGGGTGCGGGCAGCCCAGGCGCAGTCCAGGCGCAGTCCAGGCAGCGGGGGATTCGCCATCTAAATACCCCACCACGACCCTCAAACTAAGTATTATATCATCTCCACCTGGAACATACACAACCCATATTGCAAACAACCCCTTTTACTTTACATCTACTACAAGCTCCTAATCCCGATCTAGTTCAGACAGCATTACACAAGCAATTAATCACCTACCTCTTCGACAAGACAACCACAATGACGGACAACCCGCTGAGCACAGAGAGGCTTCTCAAGCACATGGCAAACGCGCTGCCTACCCACGCCAAAGATGACACCAACTCAGACCTCAGCAGCTCCTACGAAGCCATTGCGCTCTTCTCCCACGCCTGTATGGTAGCCGTAGGATTCCGACTAATCGGCTTCGGAGAGGACCAAAAGATGGGTATGTTTCCTGCAATCTCTCTTCCTACCACAAACAAGGCTCTAACAACATCTCCAGAATCAGAATGCGAACGTCTCGCCCCACGACTGGCACCGCGATGGAACTCCTCCTTCGGAGCTCATTCTTTCCTCTACGCACATTCCCAGTCCTCGATGCAATATGTCGTGAAAGTAGACCGGCTAGGAGGGAAAGCAGAGATCCGGGGTATTGGACTTGGGGATGAGAGGATTAGCCGGTTTGAAATCACAGCGAAGGATTATATATCTTCATCGGCTTTGCCGCTGAGGATTAAAATGTCGGATGGGGAAGAGGATCGATCGGATTTAGAGGCCAAGTTAAAAGAGGTGTTTATCTCCCCGTCGCGGATTCAAGGTGCGTTTGCTTTCTTCTAGCAAGGTAAAAGATCTCATCACTAACAACAAACTATCAGACCTCGCCTCCCTCTTCCGCACAACTATAATCCAAAAACTCATACCAGGCCTCCACAAAGAAGGCTACGAAGAGACCCCCTCCGCCGGCTCAGCAGAAGCCTCCCGCGCCCACGACGAACGCGAAGAAGCCCACGCCCGCCGCAACCCCCCCATCAACCCCCTCGCCGACCCACGACTCCCCGAACCCGCACGTCCATATCCATTCCACGACCCCCTCGCCGCCGATCCGCGCCGGGGCCCTATCCCACAAGGTGATTTCCCGCCCCCGGGCTTCGACGACGAGTATGATTTGAATAGACCACTACGAGGCATGGCGCCGCCGTTCCCCGGTGCCGGATCGCCGTTTAATATCGGACATGATGATTTGAATCCCCCTGGTTTGGGGCCTCATGATCCGTTAAGGGGGAGTTTTATCGGTGGCGGTGGGCCTGGGGCGATGGGTGGGGGAATGCACCCTACGTTTGACGATCCGCTGTTTAGAGGTCCGGGAGGTAGAGGAAGAGGCCAGGGAGATCCGCAGGTGCCGCCTGGGGCGAGGTATGATCCCATCGGACCGGGTGACCCGCCAAGAGGAAACATGGGAGGGAGACCGCCGAATCCATTTGGTGGGTTTGGAGGGAATGATTTTATTTGAGAGGGGAGAGGGATAGGAGGGCATTAACAGCGCGAGTGGGGATCTATGTAAGGTTTGTAGGTCTGCAGGCGTTCAGCGCTTACTGGGATTTGATGGGACCATGATATGTATTATGAATCTGATACGGAAGATATGGTATAGGCATATTCCTCCTCCCTAGCTAAAAAAACAGAAACGGAGATAACCACACGTACTCTTACCTACAGCATATTTACTAAACCTATCCATCCAATTGCATCTCTCTTCTTATATTTCATAACGAATAGAGTTCACATATGTAGGTAGATATGAACAAGACGTCTAGGTGATAGGTAGTGTGGTGTGGTATATTTCTTGCATCTCGCATCTCCTTCCAATGCATGCATTACATAGAGCCGTATATCTAGCTATATCTATCCGTCTATCGCCCATTTCATTCTCCTCTTCGTCTTCAGTACCGTCCCAAATTCCGGCACCGTTTATGAAACATAAGATTATCAACCTACTTTATCAACTATATCCCCTCACAATTGGCTGGTATGGCTCTCATAATTGTCCATCTACCGCCTACTTCTCCGCTGCCGCTTCTACTTTGCTTCCCCGGATTTAACATCCCCATTCGGCGAAGTCTTCGAATCCTCATCTAGTTTGAGATTTTTCAACGTTGGTAACCCCTCTGATGACGAAACGAATGTCTCTGGCATAGGTTTCGTAGAGAGGTCTACCGCCTCTCCTACATTATCTCTTTCCGGTTCGTCTTGTGTTTGTGATTCTGAAGCTGCGGCCGGGATGCCATCTGTTCCCGTTGCGGCAGCCGTGAGATCTTGCTCTCCTTTTTCGGGGGGCGAGAGGTGACCATTTTGCTTCTCGCTCATTTCCTGTGCGGTTTCGGGGAACGTCTTTGTTATGGTGCAGATTTCCTCATGTCGCAGCACTGTGCCATCCTCCGTTGAGCCTGCAGCCATGAGCTGTATCTCCTTGCCTTCCTTATCTTTCTCACACCAATACAACGGGCCCCCTGGGAAGTTGTCCCGGTCGCCCTGCCACTTCACTACGTCCTTGATGGCGGGGTCAAGCTTCGGCATATCGCCGAATACAAATTCCAACTGGCCGCCATATTTCTTCGGTATGTTCGCTGGGTCGATGAAGGCTTCTAGGGTTTCTTTCATGTCGTGAGATGAAAGTATGAATATTTTGGACGTGGTGATTGGGTCGAACCATTTCTTGATCCAGTTCCAGACTGTTGGGAAGAATGCGGGGGCGCCAATGATCTAATTACGTACATGGTAAGTCAATATATTCAAAAGCTTGGATTTCGGCCGAAATGACGGAGAGACGTACAAATATCCTATCCAGTGTCTCCGGGTAGTGTGCCGTGGCAAGCGTGCTTGCATCCTGCATGTGTCCCCTCAAATTCCAGAACTGCTTCAATCCAACACCAGATATATCGACAATGTTATTGCTCTGTGTGATGGGTGTCCGGGGATGATCTCGGTCGGTGAGGGCGGTGCAGAGGGGCATGACGAAGCGGATGAGGTTCTCGTAAAGCGCGAAGAGTCGTAATAGTTTGGGAGATGTTTTGCCGTCCGTTTGGGCTTTGGTGTGGGTTTTCACGGCGGATTTCTCGTACGCGGCCATGGTCTTCGAGTTCAGATGCATCACTTCGAATACATAGACTGGAATCCCACGGCGATCTCGTCGTCCTGTCCATTGGGGGTACTGCGTCATGTAAGCAGGCCACTCAGCTATACAGTCAGAAATATGCGCACCAGTCTTCGAGTCTCTTCGTAGTGCTCTAGATCTATCGTCTCGTATAGTTGGTCTAGTTGGTTTGCCTTGCGCCAGTTCTCTGTGTCTTCAAACTGCGTGAACGCATCCCCGACGACAAAACGCCGCGCTCGGAGGAATCGCCTAGAGCTTGTAAGTGACTGAAGAGCATGCATCAGCAAGTCTGGTCTAGCAGAAAACATACAATAGCGTCGCATCATCATGTGTGCCTGGGTCTCCTTCCGAGTCTCCTGGCTTGTAATAGCCCTTCTCTGCACATAGCGCCTTGAAATTGGTGAAGGCGGCCTCTTCGTCGGCGGTCAGATGCCCGAGATGGCCTTGAGGATATCCATATTCCACCACAGCGGATTGGACCCTATGAGCGGGACCAGCAGTCGACATGACTGCGGGATTATATCCAAGAGAAAAAGAGAGAATACGCCGGGGGGGGTGAAGAACGTATTCTGATTCAAGCTCCAAGCTTATTGTTGAAGGGTTCGGCGTTACCGGATAATTGATTCCGGGATTTATTTAATGCAAACGCTAGATGCTTCCACAGCCGTCATTCCTACTCGTACAACTCGAGAACTTTCGCAGTGAGTTTATGTAAGGAGGTACGAGGCGTTGCTCTTATATTAGTCACCGGAAAACTGGCAAAGAAACGGAGTCCGAGGGTAATCAGTCCGAGGCTAGATGGGAAAAAAAGGTTTGAAATCAAAGTGCTAGAGACTAGAGAAAGAAGTGAAATAAAAAGCTCATAGCAGAATCATACTTCTCGGGCTTCGGATCGGCTCAGAGACATGCCGCGCCGATGGTCACGCAGACCGCCATTCTCAGCCATTCTCAGCCATTCATCGCCGTTCTCAGCATTTGGGGATGATGATCTTCGTAGATCCGATAGCCACATGGCTTCTTTGCGAGAGGAAAGGAGACAAACGGAAAGGGGGGAACGGGGAAAAGGGGGAGCGTGGTCTTTATAGCGTGGTCGACTGCAGGCGGTGGTTGACTGGTTGACTGACTGGTTGAAGCCTAAGGTGGGCTCACACGAGTACAACAGCACACCGCGGAGTTGTGAGTTCTGGTGAGCGATGATGGCATTGTGCTTGTGCTTGTGCTTTGTACTGTGTACTTTTATACTCCGTGGTCCAGCATGTCTTTATATGGCTTATCCCCCTTTTATATATGTTTTCTTGGTTGCATTGCATGTGAGTTACCAAGTGTTTGATATTTGTAAGGGCCGCGAATGCTTGTGGGCCCAACACCGACGGAACTTGTGCCTCGGGTACCACCAATACTTTATTAGATGCTAGTAAATGGGCTGTGCTATTTATCCTTCAAAACTTTCTAATCGGCATTCATCGGCCACTAATCAGATTATCTACTTCTTACTATTAGAAAGAAAGAAGACAAAAGAATAACCAGTCTTGATCCTCTCTATTAGAGAAACGAGAGATGCCTACCTATTGCCTGGACTATTACCTAGCACTGATACACTTGCTATATATAGCATCGTCCCTCGAGTTAGAAACAGCCTCGTCCATTTCGTCTAGACTTGCAGCTCAGTTCGTGACAATAATAATATTTTTTTAATCCTCTTCAAGTATTATTCTAACCACCTATTCTACAACTTATATTAGATTTATATAATCCCTGTGCACAGTAAGAGACGTATATACAAGATCGAATCTATTACGCAGAATACAGAGGGTATCAACTGGGAGTGAAGAAATAGTACTAGTACCAGTAAAAATACAATACCGTCCCGCAGTATGACCAATCAAGTCCTTTTATTCATGGCTCGGCCATCATTTCTGGCAGCTCAAGACGCGTGCCTCCAGCTGTCGTTCCCTGGAAACCGATGCTAACTCCTTCGATCACAGCACGCAGCATTGCGGATCTAATTGTACTATTACTTGCCGACTTGAAGCCTCCCCTTATCGCCGGTGATCCACCAGTCATGAAACCCGCTCTAATGGCATTCCATGGATCTTCTTTTTGTCGAATTCCCTTGATAGAGGAATCCCACACGCGGAAGAGGCCGCCCCAGACACCAAAGTTGCCGCTATAGAGACAACGGCTAGGATATTATATGGACGAGGATTCGCGGGGCGACGTACCCTATAACGGGGGCTCGAGCCTTGATACTAGACATTCGAGTTAGCAGTGGACCTAACGAGCATTGGAGTGGTAACTTACGCAGAGATGGAGCCGGTGAGCCTTTCATTGTAAGGACTGTTTCTGAAGCCTTTGATGCCATGCCAAATACTTCCGCCGAGTGCCTAAGAAGCCTATAGGCATTGAGAGGGTTGATGATTTGATAGATAGATATTTTACCTGGCAGCTTTCGGAAGGCTGACGCGAGACAAGGCTGAGCGTGGTAGAATCACATGAGGGTGGCTGCCTCAGGTCCGCTAGCAATTCTGGGCCTGAGGCTGAGAACCAAGAATGCCCCTCTATCTCCTGTTTGCTGTCTCCGGTCCCGCACCGCCCACCCTCCAGCTTATTATAGGCATTACATATCACCTCTACAAACCTTCTACGAACCTAAATCTAATAGCAATCATCTACAGAGTCCATCCGCCTATGTTCTCCCGATTCTCACAACTCACCAGACATCTTTCCCGTCCCCTTCCCAACTACGCCCACACTTCCGCGGCAGCTACAGCTAGCCGTGTCCGTCCCCTCATGGCGTCCGCCGCTCCCACTCCTGATGACCGCAACAGCAGGGCGATACACACGGCGGCATGTTTGATCATTGGAGATGAGGTGCTAGGGGGCAAGGCAAGTCTGGTCTTGTGTGTAGAAGGCGGTAGTTTTATAGAGGATGGCTAACGTCGGCTACTTATTAGACCGTCGATGTATGATGCTCAGTCCGCGAAATAATATGATATGCAGACCTCTCGAGGAGGTGCTGACGGGCGTTGCAGACGAACTCGGCGTACATGGCCAAGTTCTGCTTCAAGCTAGGAATGGTAGCAAGAGCAGTTCTGTAGCTGTAGAGAGAGAAAGGCTAACCCTAGATCCAGTCTCTAAAGCGCATCGAGGTTATTTCAGACGATGAGGGCGAGATCATAGAGGCGGTCAGGCGAATGAGTGAGAACTACGACTTCGTAGTTACCAGTGGAGGCATAGGCCCGACGTAAGCACATCTGCCTACCTACCTTGGAGGATATGCTATACTGCGACCCACAGCTAACTAACCCTTCCGCCAGCCACGACGACATCACCTACCAATCCATAGCGAAAGCCTTCGGACTCCCCCTCAAACTTCACGAAGAATCCTATGAGCGCATGAAGAGACTCGCAAAGCCCCACCCTCAACAACCACATTTCTCCTGGGACGAAGATACGCCTGCGCGCAAAGCCAAGCTCCGAATGATCGAGCTACCTACCGACGAATCTAGAGATTTATCCAAGCAAGTGCTCTTCCCTGACGAGGAGCTATGGGTGCCGGTTGCTTGTGTCAATGGAAATGTACACATCCTGCCTGGAGTGCCCCGATTATTCGAGAAATTGATAGATGGGATGAAGCCATTGCTGCTTCCGCGGCTGGAGGACCCTGAGAAGGGAATCCATAGGATAATGATCTCGACGCCGTTGCCGGAAAGTGCTGTGGCGCCTTATCTGACGGAGTTGGCAGAGAAGGTCGAGCCGAAGGGGGTGAAGGTTGGGAGTTATCCTAGGTGGGGAAGGTCGAGGAATACGGTGACTTTGGTTGGGAGAGATCCGGAATTCCTCGAGAGCCTGGTTGCGGAGGTCGAGAAGAACGTGGATGGCCGGCGGATCATGGTGGAGGGGGAGGATGATGTTGAGATCCAGGGCGCGATTCCTAGCCAGTGATCGAGATCTACCGTGGATCCTAGAGTTATCCAACAAAGGGGATTAATTCATACACGGGGGTAGAAATGGTACAGAAGCCGACATGTACGGACTAGGGAAAGATACCAATTAGATCCAAACTTATATATATATTTGTGAGACATGGCAAAAGCGTATCCTGCTGTGCTTAAAATATCACTCTTGTGGCTCGGGGCCCTGTTCGGAAACAGCCCCTATTCGGAATAAAGTATGCCCAGGGACTACTGTGTCGTACATCCTCGGATCCTCCGCGCAGTAGCCGAAACTAGAGATGCTAGATGCATATACATGTACATGTACAGTAGCTACTCCGTATAATTGAAGATGTGTCGAGCATGTGCCAATTACCACAACAGCTACTTAATAAACTGCAAAATAGCCACCGCGCCCCAAGCGTGGATGAAACGCACCATGGCTCTCAGGGCCACCAGCCTCCAGGAGCCCCTTTTCCACTCTGGAGAACGGGACAGCCGAAGCCAAGCTGGGGTGGCAGGGACTGGGAGATTGTCCCCCACAGAATCAAAACTTCTGGAAACATGCAGAAACACTTAAAACCTCTCCACGTGTCTATTGGGGATTTGCACAGCATCGTTCCCAGCATCGGGGGCGCTGGATGTTGCTTTTTGACGCGGGCGAGAAGGCTTGAGTTTGCAGCTCAGCGTACAGTACTGTACAGCAACCGGTACTGTAACATGGCCGTTGGAATGCAATGCGCGCCCGCCGCACACGAGGGCAGCTTTTGCCGATCGCTATGGCAGCAGAATACTAGCGGGGTTGTCGATCTCCTGGATTGGGAGGCTAGGCTCGCCGAAGGAGACAGACATGGACCACCCTCTCGACGGAAGAGATCATCTTACAGAGCTCTAAACACCTGTTCTGGCGAAGCTCGGGGTCCTGGGTTGCAGATCTGAAGCTACCCACGTATGTACCCACGTACAGTAACCCAGCACGATCAGAAGCAGACAGGAAGCAACAATAGAGATATCCAAGAATAATTATATTAAATCCAATGGCGTACGCCGTCCAGAGCACTGCTTGGGAAGCGCGCCAGTAACTCTCGCCCGGCGCATAAAACCGACGCAGTACCTTATTTATTATCGCTGCATGGCGGGCCTCGCCCTCACCCTCGCCTCATCCTCGCCCACGCCCACGCCGTCCGTCCTCATCCTGCGGCTAATGTTAAAGGGCGATTTGAGGATTGAGGAGCCGTGAGTGGCGGAGAGAGAGGGGGGGCGCGAATACCAAGACCCGCCCCCGAAGACGACCACTCGAACTGATGGCACCGTCGAACATGCATGGAAGGCATCGCTCATCATGCACCAGATGTCATGGCAGCCATGCAGACATTGCAGAGGGCGAACCGCGGTGTCTGGTCAATCACACCCTCAGCGCCGTCGATGGCCATGATTGGGCGTGATGGGCCCGCTGGAGGAGCCGGACGAAGTCTCATCGGTGGTTTGGTGGCCCCTGTGATGGCGGAATGGTGGACAGAGGGCATGTTCGTTCGTCAGATAGTGTAGCATTGCGAGCTTATTGTGATGGTAGTATATATTAAATGGTATTGTATAGCACGAGGTAGCCCGAGTTAGCACAAGGAGGGAGGGTGGGCAAGGAGTAAAGGGAGTCGAACACTATCGAATTGGCCCATAATAGCTGCGAAGTATTGGTATTGTACGATACTCCAAGGCAAGGAGAGACAGAGCCGTTGGCGTTTAACCTTACTGCAGAGTGCAACCCTAGGTACCTTTGCACTGTACTACAGCACTGCCGGTACATACGATCATCCTACGTACCGTACATCCTTCGGACTTCTCCAGGCGTCTTTCAGGGTCTTCACTGTCCATTCACCACCTATTTTGGCGTCAAAAGGTACATGTACATAAGGTACTAGCACCGTACTTCGTATCAATCAATCCAACCCAATCCAATCCAATCCAATCCAATAATCATCCAAGCAACAAGCAACAAGCAACCAAGTAAGTTCCGCGCGGGCGCACGCACCTCCTCTGTGCACAACCACAGCATCCACATCCACATCCACGGCATCCACAACATCCTCCAACTCTACCTCCACTTCCACACCCTTTGTCTGCACAAACAACAACAACAGACCCTAACATCTCCTCCTCCAGCTTCAGTACGCGCCGTACGGAGTATCCTCATCTGCGTCACTGCAACCACCCGCTCAAACTCAATTGCGGCCCCGTCCTCCCCCCCCATCATCCCTCGCTCTCACCGCTGCACCAACCAACAACCACCCTGCTGTAGATTCATCCGTCCCCCTCGTGTTATCTCTCCAGTCCGTGTACCTTCGAAACCTCGCCGATTCCTGCAACAACACACGCTAGCACACACTACAGCACGCTTCGCCGACCAGCTCTCAGCTTCCGGTCGAGCTCCTGTTCCAGCGAAGCTATAGTTTAACAAAAAAAAGCACTCCCGCGGCTCCAGCAACAGCTCTAGCCGATCGCCGATACGGTCCTCCAGTTGATGAACAACTGATCTATCCTCCCCCACACATACCAAAGATGGCTTCGAAGGTGAGCGTGATCCCTTTGCCAGAGGATGGGATGCATTATCCTCGCGGGCCTCAATTGCTAACTACGATCCTGCACCGCGTAGTTCCTGAGAGAGTACAAGCTTGTTGTTGTAGGCGGTGGTGGTGTCGGAAAGTCGTGTTTGACCATCCAATTGATACAGAGCCACTTCGTGGATGAATATGATCCCACAATTGAAGGTATGCAACGATCTACGACTACCGTCCCCTATCTCCTAGCTATCGAAGGATTTCCATCTAAATCCCTACAAATACAGATTCCTACCGCAAGCAATGCGTGATCGACGAAGAAGTAGCGCTCCTCGATGTTCTCGATACCGCCGGCCAGGAGGAGTACTCGGCAATGCGCGAGCAATATATGCGGACGGGCGAGGGTTTCCTGCTTGTATACAGCATCACCAGCAGGCAGAGCTTTGAGGAGATCATGACGTTCCAGCAACAGATTCTGAGGGTCAAGGATAAGGATTACTTCCCCATCATCGTGGTGGGCAATAAGTGCGATTTGGAGGGCGAGAGACAGGTTTCTAAACAAGGTATGTGAATCTCCTGCTTCCGCCGTGCGGTGGGGATTACAGTTGGGCTAACCCTGGTGGTTCCGTACAGAGGGAGAGGCCTTGGCCCGATCATTCGGATGCAAATTCATCGAGACGTCCGCCAAGTCCCGCATCAACGTCGACAACGCGTTCTTCGATATCGTCCGCGAGATTAGACGCTATAACAAAGAGATGGCCGGCTACTCAGCAGGCGTATCAAGCGGCGCCGGCGGCAACGGCCAGCTTGGGAAGATGGAGTCCGGTAGCGGCGGGGATAATGATAGGGGATGCTGTGGGAAGTGCGTGGTAATGTAAGACTTCGTGGTCTCGAGACCCAGTTTTCGAAGATTGGCCAGGGATTCTGGGGAGGCCAAGGGAGGCGGGAGGAAAAGGCAGGAGGCGGAAGACAATCAGGAGGGTGGCGGTGATGAAATTAAGGAGAATTGACGATGCTTATTTTTTCTGCAGCGAGGGAAAGGAAAGCATATATCTGGGGTTTTTCTACCAAAACTAGAACCAGAGAGGATCTTGATTACGAGTTTTTACAGCACAAGGTTCGGATTAGGATGCAAATTCTGCGCGCGCTCGAGAGAGAGAGAGAGATATTGGGGCATTGTTTTTGCTCGCCGCATCATCAAAACCAATTTTTGTTTGTTCGGGGAATAATATTTTTTCGAATGAAAAATAAAAAGAAAGAAGAGTTATTTATATATGCACACACACACACACACAAAGCACAGCAAAGCAAAGCTAGGTGGGGGAGGCGGGAGAGAACGTTATCGATCCGTGCCTCCTTTTTTTTTTTATATATATATAGTTGGATTAATGGGCGTGTTTGGATGCATTTTAGTTGAGTTTTTTTTATTTTTAATTGGGATGCTATGAAAACGCTATGTACCTCTCTTTCATCTTCATCTTCATGTGTTTCGTTTTGTTTTTTGTTCGTTTTGGGACAGAACTGTGGTGTGAAGATATGTGTTACGCGGCATGTGGAGATGCAAGTAAGTGCAAGGCTTTTGCTTGTTGATATACACTGTGCGGTATATATATGGTGCGAAAAGGCGGCAGTTTGATGATGCATTGAGACCTTGAACACTTACGTACTTACTCCTTCCAGCCCCTCCATCTGTGAATGAATATCTGTGATATGCTGTGTGTTTTATACGTGAGCTGAAGACTTGCAGTGTCGTGTCACCAGGTATTCCAATTTTGCAAGCCAAGTGGCAAAACTAGTGGTGAACCTTCTCGATAAATAGCTTTGTTTTCCTTCATATGCACTTGTTTGTTTTGCGTTTGGTTTTTCTTTGTGGACTTTTTTGGGGGGGCGAAGGGGGTTGAAAGAATGGGGGTTGCTTCTCTCTGGCCTTTGTTACATTTACTTAGGTGGATGAGGATGGACTTGAGGGGGGCGTTGGCTGATTATAGGATGGTGATTAACCTTCGTCACGGTTTTGCCAATTTATAATGTTTGAAGGGGGAGGGAACGTCGCTAGTACTGAGATGGGCAAATAGTTTGGCCATTTTTTATTGCGTCTATCGGGTTCTTTACTTTTCATACTACACTTTGTCACCGATGGAAAGGAAAGGCTATATTTTCATTGATTAACAATACTATTTTTTTTTGCTTTGCTATGGCTTAAAGAATGACTAGACCGACAAAGGAAACTCGCAATGATACTCACTATTCGTCTTGATTCCTATCCTAAGGATACTGTGGAATTGAAGGAAAAAGTAAATTGCAGACAGAAAAGAAAGGTCACTTCCCGGCCCTTACTTGGCCGTGGTGTGTGCTTATGAAGAGTCCGGGTCGTCGAGGCATGAACCGTCTGGCCCGCGTTCGATGCGGCTCAAAAGTTCTGCCAGTTCCTGTGCTTCCTCGGCGCTTCCCGCATGAGCCATCCTACCTTGAATTTGTTCATGGTCTGCGGAAACGTCTCGTGCGCCCGGGAGGAGCTGGTAAGGGGATTGTGCTTGGGGGGATTGGGTATATGGCGATACGTGTCCCGCTGCTGCTGCTGCTGAGCTCTCTCCTCCTGGGATCTGTCCTGCTTCAAGACGTCCGATTTCTCGCCCGAGGGTATCATACCGGCTAGCATTTAGAAGTTGTTCATCTGTTAAGGTAGCGAAGAACTGAAGCGGGTCAGCGTGTAGGAGCATTGGATCGATGTTGCTCTCGTCATACTCATTCTCTACACCATCCATTGTATCCGGGCACTGATCGCCAGGAAGTGCTGCCTGGAGGACTTGGTTCCCTGAAGCTTGGTTTCCCAGTGCGCTTTCAGTTCTGGCGGCTGGGATCTCCTGTTGTTGGAAATGTTCTGGTACCTGATCTCCGGGTTCTTGCCCGGCCATCGCAGACTCGCCAGCATGCTGAAGCTGAGCCTCTGCCCAAGTAGTGCTGAAAATCCGAAGTGGGTCAGGCACTGGGAGCGGTGGATAGAGGCTGTTCTCGCGCATGATTTCCTCGAGTCGCTCGAGTTGTTCTCGTGCTGTCATCGTATCACCGTATGCATTGTCGAAGTAGCCACCTTCTTCGGAGTATAGATCCTCTTGGGGAGATGGGTCAGCCAGATATTCTTGCAAGTTTTGGAATAATGCGATATCTTGTTCGTCTGCCATGTTGTCATTTTCTGGATTGCTGCCATCACAGAGGTGGCTTTCCTCAAATAGGATGCAGTCCCAGCAAGGTTTATTAGGGGGATTGCACATCCGGTTCTTCTCTATGCAGTTGCGGCAACGATCGTCACCTTCTGCAACCGCAACTTCAGGCCCTTTTCCTTTTGGCTCCCGGGCCATGAGCGTAGGGTCGGTACCCCCCATTTGTGGGCTTCCCTGGGGAGAGTTAGTTTGCTGCCCTTGATCCAACCAACTCGCCCAATCTGTTTCTTCTGGGTCTGCGGTTTGGGGTTTAGTAGTCTCTGGGTCAGCGCTCTCTGGACTGGCACTCCCTGCATTCTGTACAGTAGAGAGCTTTGACAGAGCACGCTTTGTGGGAGCACGCTTTGTGGAAGCACGCTTTGGGAGTGGTCGCTTTGCGGGTGCACGTTTTGTGGGAGCACGCTTCGTGGGAGCACGCTTCGTGGCAGGATGCTTAAAGGCAGGTCGCTTGGGGGGAGCACTCTCTGACACTGCCTCTGGGGTTGCACTCTTTGGGGTTGCACGCTCTGGGTCACTTACTTTGGAAGCGCCCTCTGGGGCTGCACTCTTTGAGACAGCTCTCGTAGTCATAGTGCTCCTTAAGACAGTGTTCAGGGGGTCAGCCTTTGTATAAACGCTATTCGGCGTTGTGCCGCGCATTCTTGGGCCGACGGGGGTGGTTTTGCAATCCTGTTTATAATTGACGCATTGCAAGCAAGGAAAGCCTCCGTCGTCCGGAATAGTACAGTGTCTTTTGTTCCGCTGGCAATAGAGGCATGCAAGCGGTAATATAGGTCCTGGCCAGCCGGAAAACTCATACTCGTGGGTATAGTAAGAATCGCCGCTATCTTCCGCGGGATCGGGTGTTGGCTCTCTGGGTTGTCCAGTACGTTCCTGCCATGCCCTCACCTCTTCCAAGAGTTGCCGGTCGATTTCTGCGTTGCGCTCTTGGCGGAGTTTCTTGTCTGCATACCAGCGTTGGGTATACGTCCTGTTATACTCCCTGTGCTTCTTATCCATCTTGTGCGCATGCTGAGTCTCCATGCGGTTCTTGACCCGCATCCTGTCATCTACTCTGGCTTCCCCGTGATGCAGGTCCTTTGCTAGAACTGTGGCTTCCTTAACAGTTGGAATGCATGGTTTGGACATGTACCCGACGTTTTGTTGAGCATACCTCACCCTGTTTGCCCACTGTTCTCTAGTCTCCCAGTCCAGTCGTGGATGGTCCATTATCGCGCTGCGGGGGTCGTCATTAGGACCCAAGTTTGCTTCCCGGGGAAGATTGAGGCGCGCTGGGCGCGGTCCTTTAGGGGGACCTTGGGCAATGGGACTGGGGAGTTTTCCCCCCCTCCCCTGAGATCGAAGTCTCGGTCCAGTGTTTGGATATTTGAAGAAGCCGACTTCGGGGTATGTTGTTGAGCGACGAGGAACGGGGTCACCCTCCACCTGGGGCCGACTCATTTGTCCATCGTCAGCTGCTTCTTGTTCAGTCGAGCTTTGCAAAAGGCCCGGGGTTTCACTCCTTCTCCGAGATCGAGTCGTCGGTTCAGTGTGTTGAGTTCCGCTCACTGGCAGGAAGGCGTCGGGGGTTGATGATGGGCCGAGAGCAAAGCGATTTCCTCCCCTCTGTGGTTGACTCATCATTCCACCGTGATATGCTTCATATTCCGTCCAGCTTTTGAAAGGGGAAGGAGGCATATTACCAGTTTCATCTTCGCTCCCCTCAAAGGTATCCTTCATCTCGGTATCTTTGTCGCCGGCCATGACATTTGACAAGCGGCTGAAGAGGTTGGGAAATCTTGAGTTGTTATCAAGAATGGTTTCTGTGCTCAGGGAATTGGTGAAGATCAGAGGATCGTGGTGGTGGTGCGGGTTGGAATGGAAAAGAGAGATTTTTAAGGTCTCTCACAATTATATTTATGTAGGTTAAGCACTGGTTGTTTTCTCTCTATTGTGAACAGTATTCACTGTTAGGGGAATAAACAACAACTTGAACTTGATTTCTTCAGGCATATCTATTATTGCAACAGCTGTTAGAAGAGCTAGATTGTTCTCTAAAAGCTCGGGTCTGGGTAGTGTTTCCTGGGGGGTTAACAAATCGCGACTCTATACACTGTATAAGAAAAATGCAAATATCTCTTCACCCACACCACTGCCCATTAAGAGAACCCCTAGAGCCGCCAATAGCCATTTAGCTCCCTATGGAATTATTATTGCTACTCGAGACAAAGGTGCCTAAGTTAATTATTCTATCATTTTTGTTTTAGAGCGCTAACTAATTTTACACCCCAACAAAATTTATATTTGAATACGGCTTGGGAGTTCAAAGGAGATTGTGTCGATATCAAATACCGTTTAGTCCTTTTTAGTATCGATATGAGAATTGCATTAATATACTCTGTTGAGATATTTAAATAAAAGAACCAAAAAAATAAATTCTAGTAATAAATAATACGAATAAGCTATCTTTATTTTGACAATATAAGATGAACACTATTGACGTGTCAAATAGTGTCATAATAAAAGCTTGGATTTTATGTATGTGTTCTAATGCCATATTTGCATATAAGAGAGAAAAGATAAGATATCAAGGAACTAAATTGAGTTTGGAAGGAGCTCTTTTAGAATAAATTAATATTATATACTACAGTAGAAGGCGAATTGGGTGTCGCGAACTTTTTTAGTTCCCTTTTTTTATGGACTGCGGGGTAGGCCACTTAACAAAGGCAGAATTGGCGATCATACAGTATCCTAACTCCACATAAATGTACTACCTCTTGTCAATAGAATTGCCGTACAATGATTTGCACAATCAGCTTCCGGATTTTTCTACACACGCGCTTTTTGCGCATGGACTTCTCCACCAAGCCAAATGTGTATTTACCAAGCTCTTCACTGAGCCAGGGGATTTTGAACCTCAATACCGCCGGCCAGCAATGTCCAGCGAGCAAGTCGCACTCATAGTAAGATCTTAGATTCCTCTTTTACACAAAGAAAGAAAGAAAATAGCTTCTATGAATTTGTATAAGGCTATTATTGGTGGGCAACTCGCCAGAAAATGCACGAGGCTCATGTACCAAGAAAAATGAGGCTGTGTAAGTTTACAAACAACAAGGCTGTGCACACTCGCCTTGATCCCTCCAGCCTTGGCTTTCAATCTGTGGTTCCTCTCCACCAAGCTCACCACCGAGTTCTCCTCGTCTCAATGTCGGACCTCACATGCTCCAGTGGATCTGATGCGCTTGCCACCAAAATGTCGCCAGCGGCCGATCCCAACATCTTCAAACTCCTTGACCGTTCAACACCATCGATCAGGCTGATCCAAATACTGCTTGAAGACGACAGAGCCATTTCATGCAAGTTCCACAACTTCAACCTTGCGGATTGCCCGCCATATCAAGCGCTGTCGTATGCCTGGGGCCCATCCGAGCCCACCGCTAACATTGAACTTGATGGCTCCCCGTTCACCGTTCGAGAGAATCTTTATCAAGCGCTTCGTGCCCTTCGTCGTTCTTTGGAAGAGGTAATATCCACGGGTCACCTCGGTCCTCTTAGCAAGCCCTTTACAAGCTCATACTTTTGGGTCGATGCCATCTGTATAGACCAAGCCAACGTGCTGGAACGCAATCACCAAGTCAATCTCATGAGCCGCATCTACTCCCAAGCTAGCACTGTTGCAGTATGGCTTGGCCCTGAGACCGAGGATAGCGCGTTAGCTATGAAACATTTATCTAACAAAGTCCGATTTCACCAAAACATCCGAGATGCAATATCTGCCCTCTGCCACCGTCCCTACTGGAACCGTCTTTGGATTATCCAAGAACTCGTGCTCGCAAAATCCATCTACGTACTTTGCGGTAGCGGATATCAGGACTGGGAAAATCTCGTAAGACTAGCTTCAAATATGGAAGATGAAGATGAAGATCACATAAATTCTTCCCGGACAAACTTTCTTCTCCCTGACTCTCCAGCCCGCAACGTCATCACGTTTAGAAGCCGCTGGAATACGCTGGAGGCGAAGAAGAAGACGCTCGACAGCTTTATTGTGACAGGGGGAATAGACAAAGCTGAATGTACTGATCCCCGTGACAGAGTTTTCGGGTTGTTGGGTCTAGTAGACGAGCTTGGAGCGAAATCATTGGGCATAACGGAGGCAGATTATGAAAAAAGTAAAGAGGAGATTTACTGTGATGTTCTGCGCTTCTTGAAACACAATCCTGACGGTCTTTCCATGTCTTCCTTCTGGATTGCGAAACCGTTGGCAGTCATGCTGCGGCTGACGACTAAGGAGGACCCACGGTCGAACGGTTTCAAGCTGTTGCACGCTTTTTTCCATCCCAGGGCTGGTGAGGTTGCTGATGAAGAAGAGGAGCTTCGCCTTATCCTCGAAGCTTTCGAGGAGGAGGAATCTTAGCACTTTTCGTAGCAGCTGGTTTCCAAACTCTTCCTATATTTGTAGAGATAAACTCTCTTATGAAAAGTGTTGAGATTGATTTAATATAGTTTAATTTAATAGGTATTGATCGTTCAACTCACTTGAGCCTTAAATTCCTATAGCGAGGATTCGTACTCGAGGAGTGAAAAGCGGTGGTATGTAAATAGTCCTACGCTTACCTACTAGTAGACAAGTAATACCCAAATTACCTATTAATATATTAGTTAGAGACAGGGGAGAAACTTACCGACATTTTCTCCGCTCGTTCTTAACCAGAATCTATCCTCGTAAAAGCTCTATCGGAGATTCCGGCTCGTTCTCGCTCTAGGATAAGGATTTGAGAGGGATGAGGGTTGGTGAGGGACGGCGATTCGTGAGGGATATATCTAGAGGTGAATAGGCAAGCGAATACAAGGGTACTTTGCTCGGAGTGGGCTGGATAGAGTACTGTATATACTAATGCCTGGCGCAAAGTCCTTGCGCAGAAAGCGCGTATACAGAAAAAACCGGAAGCTGATTATGCAAACCAGTGTATAAAATGTAGGTCAAAAATAACAAATCTTTGAGAGTTGGGGACCGCACAAGGTAAGAATTAGGCTTGCTCTGCGATAATAAATTAGGTCTGACAATTAGCAGCGGTAGGTGCCTTTGAAGTACAACCGCGTAGGGGTGCACAGCTACAACTATCTGGAAATGGACTCTAATTAACTAAAAAACTAGCGATACCCAATTCGCCTTCTACTGTAATTATGCTTTCTGATTTAGTCTCCTCTAGATACCATTTCATGAAAATGAAATACAAAAAAATACCCTAGGTGTTCGTGCTAGATGTTGCTATATGATGTAGAAACTTTGAGTTGTCGTCGTCGTCGTCGTCGTTGAAGGCTAACCGACCTCGGTCTCCCAGGGGAAAGGGGGGAAATGCCCCACATGGATCTGTAATCGCGCGGCTTATCGGCAGCTCTACAACACTGCGGTGTTGATCGCAACAAACAAAATAACATCTGCTGGCAGCTCCATCCCACTTTCAATCTCACTTGATTCGACTTTCAATCACGACATATGCCATTCCTGCCCACCACCGCCCACGTCCTTCGTACATTCCGTGCCCTTAAGTCCTCACCCAAATCCCTCATTCCAAACCCGACTACCAAGCTCCTCCTCCGCACTATGGCTTCCTCCGCCATGTCGAAACGCCTCGAAGGCAAGACTATCCTCATTACAGGTGCATCTTCGGGAATTGGGCGCAGCACAGCGCAGGAATTTGCCCGCACGTCGCCTAATAACCTGCGGCTGATTCTCACGGCGCGCCGGATTGATACTTTGAAGGAGGTTGCGGAGGATATTAAGAAAGAGGTCGGGGCTGGGGTTAAGGTCTTGCCAGTTAAGCTGGATGTCAGTAATCCTGAGGAGGTGCGGTCGTTTGTTGGGAATCTGCCAGAGGAGTGGAGGGATATTGATGTGCTTGTGAACAATGCGTAAGCTGTCCCCCCGTTTTGTTGTTCGGTTACGTGAAGATATACTAATACTGTCTGGATACGCATAGTGGATTGGTAAAGGGTGTTGCAAAAGCCCCTGAAATCCTCGAGGAAGATATAAATGTTATGTTTGCGACGAACGTTACGGGCCTGATCAACATGACGCAAGCCATCCTCCCGATTTTCAAGAAGAAGGGGGAGAGTGGTGCGGGGGATATTATCAATATTGGCAGTATTGCAGGCAGGGAACCATATCCGGGCGGAAGCATTTATTGTGCTACCAAAGCGGCGATTCGGAGTTTTACTGATGCGCTGAGAAGAGAGTTGATTGCTACGAGAATTAGGGTTATTGAGATTGATCCTGGACAGGTTGAGACTGTGAGTTGAGATGGGGATTTCGATGGTTTTGTGGGGTTATTATGCTGATTTTAGTCTAGGAATTCTCGGTCGTGAGATTTTACGGCGATAAGTCTAAGGCGGATGCTATCTATGCGTAGGTTCCAGCCTTTTATCCATGTCTCTAGGTCATTACTAATTTTACATAGGGGCTGCGAACCGTTAACCCCGGATGATATTGCCGAAGTTATCGTCTTTACAGCGGGTCGGAGGGAGAACGTAATTGTTGCAGATACCCTTATCTTCCCAAACCACCAGGTAAGCGAATATTCTCTTTTCTTTTCGTCCCAGCGCTGATGAGAACAGGCTGCTGCTACTGTCATGCATAAAAAATCATAGACGTGCTGAGATGTTTTATTTTAGGCCGGTGCTGGAGGGGCAATGTATAAGAAGCCATAAGACAAGGCTTTGCTGGATTATAGATAATAGAATGCATCTTACGTTTGATTGAAGATAACTTGCTACGTGATATGATTTTGAGAAAGTCCACTGCCGTTCAGGCTCTTTTACTTGTGACCGAAGCATTAGATCTTTATATGCTCGTCAGTGTGGCTCACGCTGGGTGCTATATGAACGCCAGATAAAGAAGTTAGAACCGCTTTGTTTAGAATAAAAGGATATGGCCAGATCAAATGTTAGTATTCAGTATCCAATTTCCACTCTCGATATAAAACTGGAAATGTACAAATTCTTTACTACTTCTTACCAATTCTATGAGTGAGGGGTGTGCTGCACCCCCACTATTAGGTACTCACTCACCGAAGCTCCCCCGGTCCCCACCCCTGATTGGTCCGGTACCGAAAGCTGTGCCCACAAACACCTGATAGGCATATAGTGTTAAATAAGGGAGAAGTAGCAAAAACAGCTCAGCAATGAGCAGTACACCGGTTGTATAGTGTAGCGGTTAGCACGGTTAGCTTCTACTCCATACCATCAAATAATGTATTTGGCCACTGATTTCAATTAGTGGGATTTTGATTATATCAAGATATTCCCGAATCCCCGGTTCGAGCCCGGGTACGACCTATGAGTTGTTGATTACTTTTTTTCTTCCCTTTTGAATTTATTTTGGGTAGTTTTTTTTTTTGTTTGGATGTTCTGGTTTTGGCGGTTTGGAACTTAGAGCGCTAAAGAGTGACGCGATGCGGTTTTTGGTGTGGCTGGACGGGATGTGACAGATAAGAAGAGCCACACAACTGGGCGAGAGAAACGTAATTAGTTTATTCCTTTGTTTTATGCATACAGATTTGTACTACGAATATGAATGAATATCTTGTCTGGTTACATCCATTATGCTACTACATGTAGGTTACTCTTTGAAGCCTTTTCCCCATACGTCTGTTTCCCTGAGAGATTTTGGGGATAAGTCACGTGCACAGTCCGAGGTCAACTTCCGAGGCTTTCCTGTGCGCCACAAGAGGTGGGATTATTTGCTCCGGAATCCGAAGTTCACCCTCGACAGTTCCATCATTTGTACTTCGCATTGTATGTCGTAGTCTCATGCTAATCTATAACATGCCTGGCTTTATTACTTAGTGCTTCTGATCATCAATCGCATTTTTTTCTAGGCCGCTGGACTTTCTACGAGTACTGGGTTGTTGAAGTTTCCGAGTCTGCCGTTTGCTTGCTCATATTCTCAGCGTGACGGGCTGTTGTTTGTTGGGCTTCATCACAAGACATCCAATCCTTCAATTCTCTGTCTCCGTATACGATGATCGAACTCATTTATCCCAATTTCCTGCCAACATTGACCCTTCAAAATCTATCTGCGCGTTCGAAAATGGCAGATCTCGCGGTAGACCTTCCCGATTCAAAATATCCCCATCTCTGTCGCTGAAGGGGATGGGCTAGCAAAGTGATAGCCCGCGTCGCGTTTCGCGTTGGGAGAGATCTGTTCTACTAATTTATTAATTTCCCCGTTCGTTCTGTCTGATCCAGAATTAATCTCAGTTGTAGTAGACCGAGAAATCAAGGCTGCGTGTTTTTGATAGACCGAGAGGTTCAAGCGCAAAGGCTAACTGGCCCCCACACCCCACCCCACCGCCACGGAAGATCCCAAAACGTCGACTCCGGATACAAACCGAGAAGAGCGAGCGCCAAAATTGTGGAGAAAGGGTGAGAATGTATTTCACAACTGTTATCGCGAGTGTGAGCTCTGGACGAGAGAATAGAATAGGGAGCGAGGAATATCGTTATTTACACGGAGGTAGAGGGAGAGCTGAAGCTGAAGTTGAAGCTGAGGAAGTTTCGGCAGCGGTTCCCGGTTGCTATGGAAAAGTGCAGTTAAGTGCCTCATAGTCCGGAGATCCAGAATGTAAACAAAAACTTACCTAGGTACCTGCTAGGTAGCTGAATCGTCGGGACCCCTCCGCTGTCTCACGAGAGCAGGCGGCATGCAGGGAGGATATTAGCTTGGGGGGGTTACTGTACAGTACGTAGGTACATGTAATGTACATGTACAGTGTACAGTGCAGTACAGCACAGTACGACGGCAATAGATTTGTCCGAGCCTGGATATTTCCGCGGCCACTTCTTCGGGCGAAGAGATTTTAATTCGAATTCGAATAGTGGGATTGCTCTAGTGCATTGCTGTCTTTCTAGGCATCAGAGATTGAAAAGGGAGGAGGGGGAGGGAGGGAAGCGGAGATCTACCGCAGTGTCACGACCCCCCAAGACGCCGTCTGGCAGCCAGCAGCCAGCAGCCAGCTGGGCTACGAGTTGCGCTCGCCTCTCAGGGCCGCAGCCCCAATATCTGACTCGAGAGTGCCACGTTGCGAAGATCGCACTTTCCACTCGAGGAATGGAATGAACCAGAATTCAGTGATTCCTGCCCCAAGGGTCCCAAGGGTTCTTGGGATCCTTGGGGGGGGCTTTCTCTTTTTTGATCTGTCGTTCGGGCTCGGCTCGGAAATACTTTGTGAGGGAGGGAGTTTGTTACGAGTAGTGACTAGCAACTACGTAGAGTTACTAGGAGTTACTAGAAAACAGGCGGGGTCCTCCAGCAGGGTTCAGCCAGCGACAGCAGGCCCGCTCGGGATCCGCTCGGGGGGCCTTCGCAATGCTACCTAGTGGGCGAGATGACGAGATGTGGGAGGGAGCTGCCTGTAACGAGAACAAGCCAGTCAAGCGCACAGGATTTGAATGTATCAACTAGATCCTTTTAGCTTCTCGTTTCTATTTTTTTTTCCCGATGCAACTCGATCGCTTGCCAGGGCGTGCACAAAAACGGCGAATAGCAAAATGCGCTCGTTTCAATCGGCATCTGCATCTGCAAGACACCATTGCTTCCAGGGCGTAAGCCCCCGATTCCGTCGCAACCGCAACGCCGGACAAGCCGCAGGATGCACCACACGGTCGAACCCTGAACGAGGCGAGCCGCGGCTATGGCGGAGGAGGGATTCTGGTTTTGTTTATGTTTTGTGTTTGTGTTTGTGTTGTGTTTGGTCGCTGGGTGTTGCGAGGCACCCGGACAGTAAGGTACGTGCTGTATGTGCTGTGCTCTCGCTGACAAGTCCCAATTACTATACGGCGGATAAGACCACGATACAGCGATACGACGCAATCCGATACGATACGTAAAAAGGCGTGCTTGGTGTGGCCGCGTCATGGAGATCCTGAAGGGTAGACTGGCTAGCTACAGTACCTACTGCCTGCCTACTACCTAATCGATAGCGAAAGGCCTCCTCTCTTCCCCCCCCTTCCAAAGGCCAAGCTGACTTGGCGAATAAGAGGGGAACAATTCATTAATAAGAGGGATCGCAAAAGCTGTCAGTTGGTCGTAGGCCAAGATACCGAAATACCTTGGGTGGTGTTCTTGGTACCTTCGATCAGGCAGCTAGAAGCCTTCCATCCAGGCACAAGACTTTCTTGGCCCTCCATATGCATAATATGAGGTCACACCGTCAGATAAGCCCAACAACCCAAACGCTGTCCCGGGTATAGCCCGTACGAGGGCGGAGAAGGGGGGGCAAGAAGGGCAAGAAACGGATCACCGGAGGCAATTTATCACTTTCCAATGGATAACCCCCGAAAAGAAATCGCGCAATAATACGTAGTGATAATGATGCAGACGCTCTCGCTACGTTAGCTGGGCGTGCACTGTGCACTGTGCACTTGCAGCTATCTGCAATTTGAATAGCACAGAGTAATAATGGTATGCCGGCTATCCATTGCCGTTCGAAGTAAGTAAGTGCTTGCTCGCGTGCCTGGCTGGCAGCAGGTGTCCCGAGTATTTGCCTACGTCGGTGGCTATTTGTCGCTCTTCGCCCGGCTTATGTCGTGTGCGCAAGACAAAACAAGTCATGAATAGGGTCCTCGGAGGTGTCCGTTGCTACCGCCACGCCTTGTTCTCTCGCTCTTCTCTGGCCCTCTCTCGCGCTCTGTTGTGAGAAAAGAGGAAAAGAAGATTTTCTTCAAAAGAGCCTTAGTCGTGAAACAGTACTGGTACGGACGTAGCGTTCCCCGTGGTGGGGTGGCGGTGGTGGCGTGGGCGGCTTTCGCGGTTGATGGGCCAATTAGTGGCCGAGAACCCACCAAGATCTTCTTATCTGAGATTCAAGAGGTCCAGCGAGGGGTGTATTCTTAGTACTGGAGGGGGCGCCTGCTTATCCGCCCCTTGTCACACCCAAGGCCGCCGTTACGGCGCTCTGACGGAGTCTGACCCCAGGCCCAGGGCGAGGGAAGAGCGAGAGCGAGGGTCAACACGCCCTTTTGCTCCTATCAAACCCAAAATAAAGCCTCCCTGTTACAAACATAACCCAGAATCCCTTTCTCCCGCCCGCAGCGCTGGGCTAAGACCAAAGACAAAACACAGTACGGTACGGAGAAGAGCAGCTAACTAGCTAGCACCCGCCGGCCTGCTACGCACACCGCTTCGAGCCGCCGTGAAAATCCCTCAATCGCTTCTTCTGCCAGTGTATTATTATTTTATTCCCATCGCCGGCGGCGGCCACTATACTACCCACTAACCACGAACCACTAACCTCCCCCAGCTTGCCGTCCATCCCGGAAAATGGCAGATGGAGCTACTCAATCTCCTTGAGAGGCCCCCACCCCACTCCTTCCCCGACTCGTTCACAATAGCAACGAGCGGAAACGCGGCGCCGATTGCCACAATGTCGAAAAGTAGAAAAGAAGCCCAGTTCCCACTCTTGGCTTGGGTTTGTCTCTCTACCTTTTTTAGCTATCCTTCATATATCTCTTTTCCCTTCCTCTCACCGGCGTGTGTTCAGGCCACGGGTGCTGTTTGTGCGTGCAAGTGTGCAGTGTAGAAGTCGACCCATCTCCCCTCCAATTGTGTTCTGAAGCCAAATCGGCCGCTTATCACCATGTCGTTCCACAACGGGGATGTTGAGAACGGGAACGTCGAGAAGGAGACTCGCCCCCCAGTCGCCGCCGCGAATAACAATTCCGACCTGGGCGAGTATGGAAACCTCGTCCGCTATATCTCGACCTACCACGATGGCCGCCGAAACTCCGTCCTCGTCGACGATGAGGATACCCCCAAGAAGCGCCATTGGTGGCAGCGGAAGCCCAAGGACGGCTCCGCTGGAGCTGGATTCGAGACGCCGGAGGAGTGGTTAGAGACAGACTGGAGGCAGGGCTTGAAGTCGACTGAGGTCGACGCCCGGCGCCGGAAGACGGGATGGAACGAGCTTACCACCGAGAAGGAGAACATGTTCCTCAAGTTCCTCTCGTATTTCCAAGGCCCCATTCTCTATGGTAAGTTTATAACCGAATAGCCTGCTATCATCTGAGCTCAATTGACCCCTCCAATAGTCATGGAACTTGCGGTTCTTCTCGCGGCTGGTCTCCGTGATTGGATTGATTTTGGTGTCATCATCGGTATCTTGATGTTGAACGCCGTCGTCGGTTGGTACCAAGAAAAGCAAGCTGCGGATGTCGTCGCCAGTCTTAAGGGTGATATTGCCCTCAAGGCCACCGTCGTCCGTGATGGTCAAGAAATCGAAATAAAAGCCCGTGACCTCGTCCCCGGAGATATTGTAAGTTGATTGGTCAATCGCAAAATCTACTCCGCGCTAATAAATATCCAGATCGTTATCGAAGATGGACAGGTCGTTCCCGCAGACTCCCGAATTATCAGCGCTTACGACAACCCCAACGGCTACCATGAGTATCTCATGGAACTCGAGGCCCGCCGCGGTGAGACTGTCGAGGAGGAGGTCGACGAGGACGAAATTGGCGGCGAGAAGCATGGATCCGGATATGCCCTCCTCGCCATCGATCAGTCCGCCATGACTGGAGAATCTCTTGCTGTCGACAAATATGTCGCTGACGTTGTCTACTATACTACCGGTTGCAAGCGTGGAAAGGCCTACGCTGTTGTTACTCACTCCGCGAAGATGTCCTTCGTCGGTCGCACCGCTTCGTTGGTCACTGGCGCCAAGGACCAAGGTCATTTCAAGGCAATCATGAACTCCATCGGTACGAGCTTGTTGGTTTTGGTCGTCATCTCGATTATGATCGCGTGGATCGGCGGCTTCTTCCATCATATTAAAATCGCCACACCGGAATGGAGCTCTGTCAATCTTCTCCATTACGCTTTGATCCTCTTGATTGTCGGTGTCCCCGTCGGTCTCCCTGTCGTCACTACTACCACTCTTGCCGTCGGTGCCGCTTATCTCGCAGAGGAGAAGGCTATTGTCCAAAAACTTACTGCCATTGAGTCTCTCGCTGGTGTTGACGTGCTCTGCTCCGATAAGACTGGTACGCTCACCGCCAATCAATTGAGCATTCGTGAACCATTCGTCGCTGAAGGCGTCGATGTCAACTGGATGATGGCTGTCGCCGCTCTCGCATCTTCTCACAATGTCAAGTCCCTGGATCCTATTGACAAGGTCACAATTCTCACTCTCAAGAGATACCCGAAGGCCAAGGAGATCCTTAACCAAGGATGGAAGACTGAGAAGTTCACTCCTTTCGACCCTGTCTCCAAGCGTATCACTGCTATCGTCGTCAAGGACGGTGTTACCTATACTTGCGCCAAGGGTGCCCCCAAGGCTATCTTGAACCTCAGCAGCTGCTCCCCAGAAATCGCCGATATGTACAAGGCCAAGGCCACTGAATTCGCTCGTCGTGGTTTCCGCTCTCTCGGTGTTGCCGTCAAGGAAGGCGATGCCGACTGGCAGTTACTTGGAATGTTGCCCATGTTCGATCCCCCTCGTGAGGATACCGCTGCCACTATCGCTGAGGCTCAGGTCCTCGGTCTCTCCGTCAAGATGCTTACTGGTGATGCCATTGCTATCGCTAAGGAGACTTGCAAGATGCTTGCTCTCGGTACTAAGGTTTACAACTCTGAACGTCTCATCCATGGTGGTCTTAGCGGATCTACCCAGCACGACTTGGTTGAAAGCGCAGATGGTTTCGCTGAAGTCTTCCCTGAGCACAAGTACCAGGTCGTCGAGATGCTTCAAGAGAGAGGCCATCTTACTGCCATGACTGGTGACGGTGTCAACGACGCTCCTTCATTAAAGAAATCCGACTGCGGTATCGCTGTCGAAGGTTCCACTGAAGCTGCTCAAGCCGCCGCTGATATCGTCTTCCTTGCCCCTGGTCTCAACACTATCGTCTCTGCCATCAAGATCGCTCGCCAGATTTTCCAGCGTATGAAGGCATATATTCAATACCGTATTGCTCTCTGTATCCACATGGAAATCTACCTTGTCACCTCTATGGTCATCATCAACGAGACTGTCCGCGCCGATCTCATTGTCTTCCTTGCCCTGTTCGCCGATTTGGCCACAATTGCCATTGCCTACGATAACGCACACTTTGAGATGCGCCCTGTCGAATGGCAATTGCCCAAGGTCTGGATTATCAGTGTTGTCCTCGGTATCCTCCTCGCACTTGGTACCTGGGTCATCCGTGGTGCTATGTATCTGCCAAACGGTGGTTTCATCCAAAACTACGGCAACATCCAAGGTATCCTGTTCCTGCAAATCTCGCTCACGGAGAATTGGCTCATTTTCGTCACTCGCGGTGGCCAGACCTGGCCCTCATGGCAACTCGTTGGCGCCATCTTCGTCGTCGACGTTCTCGCAACCCTCTTCTGCGTCTTCGGCTGGCTCACAGGCCCAGGCGGTGCTGGTGAGCCATTCACCAACCCCATGCCCACTGCCCACAACTTCTCCGTCAACGGCGACACCGATATCGTCACTGTTGTCGTCGTCTGGGGTTACTCGATTGGTGTCACCATCATCATTGCCATTGTATACTACCTCATGAACCGCATGCCATGGCTCAACAACCTCGGCCGCGCCAAGCGCAGCCGCTCCGACACCCAAATGGAGAACGTCCTGAGCCACTTGTCCAAGGTCGCCCTCCAACACTCCAAGGACGAGGGCACCGGCAGCGAGCGCTGGCACTTGATCCCCAAGTCCGAGGAGGCCGAGGATGATGATTAGATCATGATATATAAATAAAAAAAAAGAATCGTGGCCTGACCCCCCCTGTGGTGGTAATTGTTAGTTGTGTATGTGTTGGGTGGTTGTTGCATAGAAAAAAGGCGTCGGCGTATCAACCAAAGCTGGATATATCAAATGAATCCTTTTTTATTTTGTATATAATCATATATCTATTTTTATAGAGTATTTTTTTTTTCTTCCCTTTCTTCTGCGGGATAAAGAAGGAGGGAGAAAAAAAAAGAGACAAAAGATAAAAGGACACCGGTCTCGGGACCGATATCTTTCTATCTTTGGATATTTTTCTTTTGTTTTTGAGTAGAAAGCTTTGGCAAATTTATTAAGAAATAAATAAAAACTTCATTTAATTAATCTTTTTGGGCTTAGGATATCTTCTTGTGAGACATTTAAAGTTCTATTCTTCCTTCCTTCCTCCTTGTGATGTCTCTCTACCCCTCTCTCTCCATCGCCCGCTTGACCCATACAGCCACCCTGGACTTGGTATTGTTTCTGGCAGACACTTGACAAGTGTGGAGGTTTGGACATGTGGGAAAGGTGGTCGCGGGTTGGAGGTCAGCTTTGAACTCAAGCTAATCCCATTTTGCAGTTAGCTCTGTGCTACGATAATGAAGGATGGGGTTGGGGTACCTCGTGAACTTGCCCAGAGCAACGACAACAATAGCAGCTGCTAGGTCCAAATCGATATAAAGGGACAAAGGAGAGAAGGATTTCCCTTGGAAGCTCGTCTTAGCTTCATCCTGGGCTTTCCACGCCATCCATCAACAGTAGATGTTGTAAGAATCAGATGGGAATGCCCAACTAATCCTTCGTCACTTTCAATTGGCGGTAGATAAAAATCATGTTGTCGGACAGGACTTTGTTCCAGCGAAGCTGTAACGCGGAGGTTTTGCGGACGAGTTTGAGTTCCTCATGATGTTCTGCCATTTGCTGGCTTTGAAGTTCGCTGGTGGCTCGGTCTTGTCGGTGAATTTCCATAAGATCGGCGTTGTGATCGGCGTTCGTGATCGGTGATTGCTTTCACAACGTCTGCGTTAGATGGGAGAATTCTGCGAGCCAAACCAGACTTCGGGAAGAAGCCAAAGGCGACAAGAAGGCAGGGCAAAGTAACGAGCACCGCGAGGATGCCGAGCACGAGCGAGGCGGTGGCGACTCTATCGGAGTACGACATTGTCGTCGCTCCGTCGGAGACAGTTGAGGTTGGGACCATTTTGAAATCTTTTGAATTGTAGTAGTACGATTGGATTTCAAGTAGTGATCGCTCTGTGAACCAGAGAAGAAGAAGAAGAAGAAGAAGGATAGCGAGGAAGGCACTTTTATTACACGTTGAGCTAGAGTTCGAGGAAGGTGCAACAACAACACCCGCACCTGCCAATCCGTGCCGGGCTTGGATTGCTGGTGCTTGTAAGGGGAAGGCACTATGAGGGGTGGGGTATGAGAATGTTCCAAAGACTGTGAGAGATTTAGATGTTGGGAGTTACTCAGAAACTGTGAGGCATTCAAAACATTGAGGCCATCTTGCGGCAATCCCAATGGTACGCCTTCGGCCCAGTCTTGCTCTAAGGATGTCCATGTGTGGTATACGAATGCGGCCGGCAATAAGGACCTGCGCGCCAAGCGCATTGGGGAACATGTCCACGAGGCACCTAATATCTTCTTGCGAGAGAACGCGGCGCGGATTAAAAGTGTGATATATTAGATTCCGTCCGACTCGAGGGACGTCCATACTGTTATAGGGCCAGGCTGTAGGGATTGTGTGGATCTCCAGGCCTTCTACGTGAGTGTGAGACGGCAGCTTGGTAAGAAACTCGAGGCACCAGACACGTTTGCCATCGGTTCCGGTTGTTATTTCGACTGCCAAGGTGTATTTTAGTGGGGGATGGTATGTCCGGAACAGCTGCTCGTTGTCGTCGGTTACGTAGGGCTCGACTTGAGCTCTATCAGCGGTGACTCCTGGGGAACCCAATAAGTAGATTGTGTAGCTGTGAGCATGAAGTGTTAGTACTAGCCAAGATATCGATTCTGGCAGAGGTGGGGCTGTAGGTCTAGTTTAAGGGATAGTAGCAGGCGGGTAGGTGGGTGGGCCCCTGAGGTAAGAGAAGGGTGTAAGATCATATACGGGAGATGACTCAATGATTGATAGCGGGATCATCGATGAGGGGCGTAGGGATATCGACGGCGAACTAGTATACTGGAGAGGGAGGGGCGGCAACCCGGCGCCTTTTGGGCTGAGGCTCGGAAGACATTCTTGACACCGTCGAGTTCGAAAGGTCAATAGATGGCGAGTCGATGTTGATTGTGATGGAATGTTGATTTGGCCCGACTCTGTCTTTGGCTGATGCCGCTTCGGTTGATGAACCTCGAGCGCGAAGGACTTTGTTCATGGGATGTACAGTCGACATTGCTCCAACGATGACTACTTAGGATAGTCGATCATGCGACAGAATTATATAATAGATAACTAGGGCGTGCCGCAAATAGAAAGTCTAGACCCTCAGTAAATCCGGTACAAGGTGTCAACCATCTGCTGGAAGCTGTATAACTAGATCAGTACCTTCCCTTACTGGAAAGTGCGGTGCAACTAATGGGAACTACACCTGCGCTGGAGGTCCCCAAAATGGGAAATGTTGTTCATCAAGCGGATTCTGGTAAGCCCTTGCACATCTGAGTTTGACAGTTTACTAAAATATCAATTAGTGGACTAGCATCTGGTTATTGTGAAACAGGTTGCCAAAGTGGCAATGGAAACTGCACCTAAACTACTTAAATTTTGGGATTGATTTTTGATTGATCTTCAAATGTTTAAATTCTTGCTGGGTTAAATGTGTTAGAAAAACATATAATATGTAGCTTTGAAACTTGGAAACCTTCCTTTTTTAAAGTTCAATTTTTGGGGGCAGGTTCTACTTCTCAAATCCCTATAGTCTCTATAACACAGAACTCTTATCTCCAATCCTCGCACATTTTTGCATATTTGTCGGTGTATGCGTTAACATAATCAATCAAACTGCCATAAAAGTGAATGTTGTCATAAGAGGATGTAATAACATATATCCATCCAAACTCATCGAGGTCACTTTCCTGTGGATTCGTACATCTCCCATATACAACATGTGACGACCCCCCATGCGTAGAATCACCACATTCAAACCCAACAAGAAGCTCCCATCCAAATTCTGCCAGCAGACCAGTTGAATCGGATAGATCCTCCGGTGATTTGCCATCGTCCCAGATAGGCACAAGAGCCGACACTATGGTGGTTTCTTGCAACATTGGAAATCCAGGTCCGATGATTCCACCTGTCAGGGTTGCATGAATTTTGATTTCTTCGGGGATTGCGATAGGACGGTGACTCTCAACAATTATTTGATTCAGTGATAGCTCGAGTTTATCAAATATTATGGTTTCGTACCCTACCGTAATACTTATAAGTTATATTTAAAATATAAGTTCTTTTCTATAAGAAATCTCTATATAAATATATAATTCAAGTCACTTTTATAAAAACTAGTTGCTCGACTTATTTATCGATATATTAATATCTAAGTCTATAAAGCCCTGTCCACGATTATCGTTATATTATTACGAATCTCCATTTACTAGTGCCGGCTTATATAAATCTCCGTTTGTCAAAGTCGGCTTCTCCCAGGTAACCCACGGCGTATCTGGGGGGATGCTATTCATGAATTTATCAACAAGCTCGTCGATGGTGGCGGTGGCGCTGAGAATCAGCAGAATTGGGATATCGATATCTAACTCCTTCAGAAACCAGGTACGGATATCAACGGCCATTATGGAATCGACACCCTGTTCCACTAGTGTAGCCCTCTCGTCGACTAATCCATCTTGCGGGATTTGGAGAATCCCTTTTAGACGGGAAATGAAGGATTCTGTTTTTTGCAGGTTAATTAAGTACAATTAAGATAGCATATCACTCACCTTTAATGACCACGGTAGCTTCCTCTTTGGTATCTACGTCTGCGAGACGAACACGAACTGGTACCAGTGCAGTGTTGCTAGTGAGGACCTGAGTCTCGGGTTTCTCCATCAGGAAATGGACAAACTTGGGATCGCGGCAGAACTGGGCTCGGTAATTCTGGCTGCTGCCGTCATCGTAGGTGGGCACTAAACCAGTGGCGATCTCCGAGTTCTCAGGATTGTCTGGCTTGCCAACCCTGATGCCTTCCGCGAAGTGCTGAAGGTAATCCTGTTCCGACACGTTTCGGTAGCCACCGAGCGAGGTGAAGTCGACAGAATTGAAGTTCTCGGAATTTTCGACATATCCGATCCCCAGGAGCGTGCTGATAGCGATTGTCGAACCAGCGACACCGCGTTTCTTGCGCTGCGCCGCCAAGGCGACCATGTACTGATTTGCCGCAACGTAACTTCCCTGACCCGTGTTTCCCATAATGTTCCCGAGCGACGTGAAGAGGATGAAGAAGTCGAGCTCGGCCGTGTAGAACAGTTCGTCGAGCAGTTTGCTGCCGTCAACCTTGGGCGCCACCTGGCGGTCGAAGGATTCCCAAGTGAGATTGTCAAAGAGCGAATCTTCGAGAATCAAGGCGCCGTTGGCAACTCCAATCACGGGTGGCATCGTACGGCAGATCTCTTGGTAACAGGAATGAAGGGAATCACGGCTCGTAATGTCCCTAGGAGAGACATGTTAATTTACTCACTTCCACCAGAAGGACGAAGATGAAGCAGAGAAGACTACAATGCTGGTGATACTTACAAAGACATGAACTTGGCTGTGGCACCTAACCTTTCCATCATCTTGATGAAAGCTGGGCGGACCTTGGGCGTTCGACTGGACAGAACGACGTTCCGAGCACCATGTGCGACCATCCACCGGCAAAGTGACTGTCCAAGTTCACTCGAGAGGCCGACAAGGAAGTATGTCCCGTCAGCGCGGAAGATGTTTCCGGTGTCGATTGCCCTGAGCGAAATCTCGACCGATGAGACATTCCAATCCACGACTCTTAGTGGCTTTCCAATGATTGAATGGCTGCCGACCTCTTGTAGGGGTATAATCGGCATCTCGTTCTCGAATGATGAACTCCTCCCTTGACTGGTTTGCCAAGCCGTCTCGATGGCTTCATGGATGCACTCGATGGAAGCTCCAGCAAAGACCATTGTCTCGTTCCTGACGAAATCAGACGACCTATAAGTCTGCGTGTGGTGCGGAAGGCATCTGGCGATAATCTCACCTACCTCGTCGGCACCGGGAACCTGGGCCAGGTTGATGAAAAGTGAGATATCGCTCGGGAGAAGCTTCGTTATCAAGCGCGTTGGAAGTTTGCGGTGCACGAAGATAGAATTCTTCACCTTGTTACCCTTGACCGATGAAGAGAACCAGACCTTGATGCCAGATTGCTCGGCCTCCTTAGTGATGGCATCGCCTAGGACGGCATCGACTTCGTGGATGAGGATACGACTAGCTGGGGGCGCAACGGCAATGATGCTTTTGGCGAGAATGTGTGCAGCGATCGAGATAATGGTCTCCGTTGAAGGACTGGATACTGGGATCGCCCACTCAGCCAGAATCGGTGCAGGAGTCTCGGCTCGGTCCGACAAGGCAATGAGATTTTGACCAGTGGCAGTGTCGGTTCCTACACATAGCATGAAGAACCCTGCATTGTGAACCTTGATAATCTGGAGGAGCGAGTGGGAAATCTGGACGGTCTTGCGGCCCTCCGGGAACGCATCAAAGGTTGGGAGACGAATAGGCGACACACTTGATAGTTCATACGACTCTCCCTTGGGTTCTAGGGCGGCAATCTGCTTGTTGGGGTTGATAGTCTGATGAATGCTTCGACGGTACGTGTTGTAGCGGTTATTGGCTTCTATATTCGGATACATACGAGGGATGAGAAGCTGGTTGTTCTCGTAGAATACCTCCGGTTCTAAGGACCATAGGAACTCACCCCCAGTACTATTTGTGTCCTTGTACATCCCCAAAATCTCCAGCCGGATGAGCGCCTCCACCAATGTCTGCGGAGTCTGAGCGTCGACAACGTCAAGATCGAGCATCTGGAGATTGATATTGGGATACTCAGAGCGCATCACCCGCGACAATCCAAGGACCATGGAAGCGTACGGATTGTCGTCGCGGATCCCACGGCTGACCCACAAGATGCTCCCGCTCCGGCGCCAAAGGGTTCTCAGGTTGTCCAGCTTGGAGGGAGATCTCGCCTGCAAGAAAGGCTCGTCAAGGTCGCTGAGGCAAAGTACCGAGCTGGAAATCGGTAGGTTTAGCTCAGTGAGCTCTTCCAGAGAAGTAAGACGAGTTGTTTTCGCATATCTCTGCGTCTGCTCCGGCCCAAGCAGCTCGCACGCCTGATCTGCAAGTTTTCGAGATTCGGGCGTACATCCCCCTATGACGATCAAGGTTGTTGAGGAGAGAGAAGGGGTGAGGTCGGCTGAAACTTGAGAAAGGGGGGCCCGCAGTGCGCTCACTCGCTCATCGAGGGCTTGACAGGCGAAGACGCAAATTGGCACAAGCCTGTGCATCTGTGGTGTGGCCGTGTCGACACCACCAAACCCATGCGCACGCGTTAACATGTCCCATTGCTGGAGCGTCAATAATGGGCCCCTACGACGCCGTTCGTCATGTCCAGCTCCCGCCCACCACCCCGGCAGACCACCCATGGTTGTCCCAGTCCCCAGAGAGTCATTCGAGATGATCTCCAGCGGGATCAGGTACCCGCCTGGTTTGAGCAGCCGCCGGGTGTTTGCCATCATCTCATCTAACTTTCCCGTGGCGTGCAGCGCATTGGATGCGAGGACGAGATCATACGAGCCCTCGACAAAACCCTGCTCGACTGGTGGCTTCTCCATGTCGTACGTCTTGAAGATCATGCGCTCCCCCAAAGCCTTGAATCGCTCCTGGGCACGTTCAAAGAAGCCCGCCGAGATATCGGTAAAGGTGTACGAAGAGAAGGCACCGTTCAGGGCCGACAGAATGGAATGAGTAGCGCCTCCAGTGCCGGCACCTATCTCCAGAATGCGCAGATGCGGAGAGCGATGGGCAATCTGGGCGACCATGCAACCGATCCAAGTATTGGCCGTCTCGAGGCCCGTGGAGTCTTGGTAGTAGTGGGTGAGAGCATCATCCTTCATCATGGACTCTAGGATGCTGCCGTTCTGTCGGACTTGCTCAATGATGTTTTCACCGACGACCGCCAGCAGACGAACGTCGCTGGCCTGGGGCCATTTTCGGGTAATGGCTTTGATCGTCTCGTGGCTGTCATTCACTGCCTCCTGCGGCACATTGGGGTGCTTCCCGCTGGAAACAACCCCCACTACATACTCGGCCCAGTTCAGGAGATGCTTGAAATGCGGGAGGGCATTGGCCCTCTCCTCGGACGTGATTTCTTGAATGAGGCGACGAAGATAGAAGAAACCCATGCGTTCAAGCCCGAGAAGCACGGCGGCCTTCTCAGGCGGCAGCACATCCTCGGAACTGATGGCTGCCTCCCCGTTCGGTACGGCAGGTTTGTAGACAAAGTTAGAGAAGAGAAGCGCGTCAGAATCTGGGGTGGCGGGGGAGAATGGCTTCATCTCAAGCGACTCCATCTGGATGAACGTGTGGGACCCATCTTCCCCGGCGAGGACATCAACATCGCAACTCATCTGGCCGTTCCGGGGTTCGTGGGCGACGGACTGAAATCCCATGATACTCTGCTTGCACCCCCGTCCCAGGCGTGTGAAGTATGGGTTGATCAGAATCGACGGGATAGACGTAGGGACGTGCACCGTCCAGAGGCGCTCATCACGGGGGTAAGAGTAAGCAGCCAAGCAGGTCTGAAGCGCAGTATCCATCCAGCACGGGTGTAGAATAAGCTGATCCTCCCATTTGTCCTCCGACTCATCCTCGAGAGTGCCAGTTGCAAAATCCTTGTGTCGACGAATGCTCTTAACGGCTTTGAATGATCCGCTGTAGTTATACCCGAGACGCGTGAGCTGGCTGTAGAACCGCTCGATATCCACCTTCTTCTCAGCTAAGTTAAGATCTTCTTCGGTCTGCACGCTTGGCAGAGTATCCGGGGAAGGCTCGTGAAAGGCTACGGTGATGGTGGCTTTTGCATTCAAGAGCATCGAGGACGAGATGTCCCAGGGATTGCCCGAAGAGCAGGTAAACTCGGCGCAGAGTTCATCGTCCGTTCCTCGGACGATACTTAGAGTTACCAAACACTCCATGCCCGGCAGACCCTCAGGAAAAGTCATGGCGTGCCCAATAACAAAGTTCTCTAGGCTGATGAGACCAATTGGCTTGTTGGAAGCGAGGATGGCCATGGCTTCAACAGCCATGGCGATATAGCCCGTCGCGGGGAAGACCGTCAGGCCCTGCAGTTTGTGTCCACTGAGCCAGCTTATTTCCTTTTTATAAAATTCTCTGGTTAGTATTATTCTCTGATTAGGGAACTTTTCTCGTGGATACAGAGAAACCTACGTCTAGACGCAGAAAGTTGCGCCACTGAATCTCTTGCGTCGTTTCACGCTCATTGCATCGGCGCCCGATAAGTGGGTGGGGAGGGGAGTGGACATTTGCGTGCCCCCCCGACAAGCGGGTCAGCTTCATGTGCGAGCGTGGGTGTTCGAAAGGATACTTGGGCAGATCGGCCAGGAGTGATTTGGGATGCCCAGCGCCGGAGATTGTCTTCTCAAATGTCTCAAAATCGACGGACCCAGCGCCTAGTTGCATCCAAGTGAAGCCAAGTGCCGAGGAAAACTCAACATTGTCATTCTTGCCCCGAGAAAGCAAGCCAGAATATGGCGCTCGTGAGCCGACTTCCTCGAGCGTCTCCAGAGCTGGACCTTTCAAGGCCGGATGCGGACCGATCTCCAAGGTAAGGTCAAACGGTCCTGCATCCTCCGCTGCTGCAGTGACGGCTAGATCGAAGAGAACAGGCTGTGTCATGTTGTCCACCCAATATTTGGGGCTGAGCCTCTCCTTGGTCATAACCTCGCCCTCGACAACACTTGAATACCACGTTGGACCACCACCACCAGCAATAGCTATGTTGCATTTCTTCAAAGCGTCGAGGTACGGAGCTGCACAGGGCTGCATATGATGCGAGTGGTACGCAGTGTCAACCTTGAGTCGACGAACAAACTTGCGCTCATCCTCGAAGATTTGAATGGCGTCGGTAATGGCATCTTCGTCACCGGAGAGGGTGATGCTGGCCGAAGCTGTGAGAGAATTAGCACGATAATGAACAGAAGAAGAAAAGGGGGTGAGAGCAGCCGATAGCCGTGTCTCTGCTTTTATGACGCCTCAAGCGTCTCAGAAAGCTACCGGCTCGCCCAAAAAGGGTTGAAAGGAAAATATGCGTACAATTACGAGCTGCTACTTGGAGCCTTCCTTCAAAGTCCTCGAGCTCGCAGAACTCGAGAGCATCTTCATATGAAGTACCGACCGCTATCATCGCACCCTTGGCGCCATTTGGGGACTGGTGAAGCGTAGCGTATACGCCACGATAGTAGGCAATTCGAATAGCGTCCTTGGCTGTGAGGAAACCAGCCGCGTATGCAGCCCCGATTTCGCCAGATGAGTGGCCAACCACGGCATGCAGCTTAATCCTCGCCAGCTTCAGCATGTCGACGAGTAGGATCTGCACGGCCGTGCACAGAGGCTGAGAGATGACGGCTTCCGAGAGCCGGGACACCAATGGGTCGGCAAGTATCTCGGCTTTGAGCGACCACTTCGGCCGATCCTCTTTGGGGAGACTGGACAAGGTATGATCCAGCTCTGCCAGACGTTCGGCCGCAAATGGCGAAGTCAGAATCAGCTGTGCTCCCATGCGTGGCCATTGAGCTCCCTGGCCTGTGAATACACCCAGAACTTTGGGAGTGGGGATGGCATGGTACCGGATACTTATGCCCGCAGCCGGGTCATCCTCAGCAAGAACGCTGTTGATCCTGTCGATGACTTCCTGCACATCTATACCGGCAATCACCTGACGGAATTGCAAAGTTGAGCGGCGCGTGTGGAGCGTGTATGCTAGATCGCGCATATTGGTATCTGGCTTGGCCGTCAGGAAGTCCCGCAGCTCCGAAAGCATGGCACGAAGAGAGTTCTTAGAAGCAGCTGAGACGACAAGCGGAGTGAATGCCGGGGCGATCACCTGTTTGGCCGGTTGAGGAGCCTCGTAGGCTTCAAGAATGGCGTGCGCATTTGTGCCTCCAAACCCTTTTACATGTTAGCAAGGACTGACTGTCTAACGATCGCACAGCTGCGCCAGCCTGACGATTCTAATTAACCGACTACTTCGTGCTTGTAACCCCTGAGGCTAAGCGAGATTTTGTACACACGGAATCACAATGTACTTTGTACGAAGTTAAGGAATGATGAGATCTCACCAAAACTGTTCACACTCGCACGACGGGGTTGGCCGTGTACAGGACTGGGCCAGTCCTTGGCTTCGGTAGGGACTTCGAGATAGGTATAGAATGGCTCGACGCGGGTGCTCAGCGTGTTAAAATGCATGTTCGGAGGGATGATGCCGTGCTGTAGTGCTTGGGAGGTACCGATTATACTGGCAATGCCAGCCGTACCCTCGGTATGCCTATGATCATCCACAGTAAACATTAGCTTGTCTTTGGAGATTCAAGCCACATCTATTTAATATAAAAAAGCCCTGATGGATATGAGATGGGAGGACAAGCGGAACTCGCGCACCCGATGATGGTCTTGAGCGAACCGACATATAGTGTGTCAGTCACTTTGCCGCTCTCGAAGAACGCACGCGAGATGGCCTCGGATTCTTGCGGGTCTCCCGCGGGGGTTCCCTTGTATTACAAGCTCGAATTAGCTCTGCTTGCTTTGGAAGAACACTGGGATCCACACGATGTCTTGAGGATATAAAGACTTACAGTTCCATGCGCGTGAAAAAATTGCGGGCGGTCTTTCGGATCATTGATGTCCAGCCCAGCCCGGGCGTAGGTGTCCCGGATAAGATCCGCCTGGGCCGTGTTACTGGGCATCGTCAGACCGGCAGTGCGGCCGTCCTGGTTGATTCCGGTTTCGCGAATAATACACTCGATATGATCACCGTCTTCGAGAGCGGCGCTCAGAGTTTTCAATACAACGGATGCGACCCCCTCACCTCGAGCATAGCCATCGGCATCGGCATCCCACATGCGACTCCTCCCTGTAGGAGAGAGCATATTGAGCTTGCTCTCGACAATGTACATTCCTTAGAATATTTGCAACATTAGTCTTCACACGTATAATTTAAGAAAGGCCCACAACTTACCGGGACTCAGAATCAAGTTGGTACCTGCCGCAATGGCGACTCGGCACTCGGCACTTCGAAGGGCTTGAATAGCCTGGTGAACACACACCATCGATGATGAGCAAGCGGTGTCGATTGTCATACTTGGACCATGCCAATCGAAGAAATAGGAAATCCGGTTTGAGACGATACAACGGCTGGTACCGGTGGCTGTATAGGTGTGCAGAATCTCCCAGTCGCGAGTAGATAGCTGAGCCCAGTCATCACACATCTGGCCGACATATACAGCAGTAGATGAGCCTTTAAGACCCTCCATGGTCTGGCCACCAGCGAGCCTACAAGGTCGAACATCAGCATTTAGTACCGGGGAGAATTTTCCAGCGGGCAAAACTTACAAAGAATCGTAGACTGTCTCCATAAGGAGGCGCTGCTGAGGGTCGATAGCCTCGGTCTCGGCAGGCTGAATATTAAAGAAGATGCCGTCAAATTTCCATATGTCTTCCTCTAGGAAATACGACTCCTGGCAGTTACTGGTGCCATGGTGGGTAGGGTCGGGATTGTAGAATGCGGATGAATCGAAACGGTCGGCTGGAGGGCGCTTGAGAAGGTCGCGGGGCGCTTTGAGCAGCTCCCAGAGCTTTGATGGGGTATCTGAGCCCCCGGGAAATCGACAAGCAGTACCGATGATTGCAATAGGCTCCTGTTGAGATTTGGCCATGGTGACGATTCACTTGGGGCGTCTCGAAAATATTTGGTAGGTTGAGTTGAATCAGCTATCTATCGCTTGCTATGAAAATATGACCCTGTCTAGAGAGAAAGAAGTGCCGTAATAGAAGTAGGAACCAGAGAAAGCTACGTCCCCAACATGTGCGAAGCTGAAGAACGCTGCTGGGCCACTGGCACTTGTCGGAGCAATGGCCTTTGGATCTCGGGGCGCAGTAACTTCCTGCGGCAACCAGCCAACCGAACAAGGCCGAATTATGGGGAAGTTCGAAGTACACTTCTATACCTCCGTAGATAGGTAGAGAAGTAAGCCACGATCCCTCGGAAGTGGTTATCGGACCTGTTATAGAGGTCGTTTGGAATGGGCGAACTTCGCAAATCTTCGGGCCCCTCACGTTCACAAAACTTGACTAGACGGATATTGCCTGACAACAAGACTATGGTAGTAATCATGTGCAGTTTTATGATTGGGGGACAAAACACTTCACAAAAAGGGGGGCGGAATGACTCTCCTTTCGTGTGATCTCTTTCCATCTTTGCTATTGAGCAATCTCCATCAATTAACGACCTTTCTCGGTGACGGCCGTCTGTCTTTGTCGGACATCGTTTCCTTTCAAAGTTATTGCAAACATGAAGACTCAGACCGCTCTCGTTGGTGACTCGGAAGGCAATATTATCCTCAGCCACTCCGCGCCGGTCCCTGAGCTCGAGGATGACCGTGTTTTTGTCGAAGTCAAAGCAGTCGCCCTCAACCCCGTCGACACCAAAATGGTGGGCGCTTACCACACACCGGGTGCCATCTCGGGATGTGACTTTGCTGGAGTGGTCACCGCCGTTGGGTCGACTGCTGCCGCTGTCGGTCACATCCAGGTTGGCGATCGTGTAGCTGGCGCCGTCTCCGGCTTGAACCCCCTCCGCCCAGATGTCGGTGCCTTTGCGAATTACTGTACGACGCCTTACTGGGCCTGCCTCAAGCTGCCACCGGCCTGGAGCATTGCAGACGGAGCCAGCCTCGGCATGACCTGGACGACTGTTTGGAACGCGCTCTTCCGAAGTTTGGGCCTACCCTTTCCCGGCGTCGGGGAAGTCGAAGTCGAAGTGCAATCGCAATCGCAATCGCAACCTGGGCGCAGCAATAATGCCAGCAGGAAAGTCACGACGGTCCTCGTCAACGGAGGCTCAAGCTCGGCGGGCACCTGCGCTCTGCAGCTTCTCAAGCTGGCGGGCTATCAAACGGTCGCGACATGCTCGCCGCGCAACTTTGAGCTGGCACGCTCCTTCGGCGCCGACTATGTTTTCGATTACAATTCCCCAAGCTGTGCGGATGACATCCGCGCTCTCACGCGCAACTCTCTGCGCCATGCCCTCGACTGCATCGCCAGGACAGACAGCACGCGTCTCTGCTTCGGCGCTCTCGCTCGAGCAGGCGGTCGTTACACGTCCTTGAACCCCTTCAGCGAGGCCGTAGCCGCGACACGGAAGGCGGTGCGCTGCGACTGGGTGATGGGACCGGAGATGATTGGGGAGGAGGTGAGATGGCCGGAGCCTCATGGTCGCCCCGCGAATCCGGGGCTCAAGGTCAGCGCTGCAGAATGGGTACGAATGCTACAGATGCTGCTGGACCGCAATCTGCTTCGCACACATCCGCTGCTGGTCCGTGACTCCGGTCTGGAGGGGGTATTGGAAGGATTTGTCGATCTTCGGGCGAAGAGGATTTCGGGGCAGAAGCTAATATATCTTTTAAAGTGAAAAATTGCGGACAGTGTTGGGCTTCTTTCAAATTTGACTGCTCGAGTACATGTACAGCACATCAAAGCGAGGCTTCCCTCTGTCTACCTACTTGCTTCTCTTTTGGCCTTGGTCCCAAGATGGCTGACGGGATGCAATAACATTGCCAATTCATCGACTGCATAGACCAACATGATCCTTACTTAGCAAACATTCCAGCCACGCAGGGAGATACCTGTAGCTGAGATCCATCCACGGTGGTATCACTTCCTTTTGTTGTTGTTATATACGAGTACACACCGCCAAGGTAATAAGCGTATACCGCTTCCTTGTGCCTCGGTTAATTTCTTACGTGCTTCTCTACAGTACTGTACGGTAGCTGGCGTCTAATTTAAAAGATAAGAGTTAAGTCTAAATTCCATATAAGTTAAGCGAATACGAGTATATCCAAGGTATTGAATATCTTCTATATGAGTTGAAAAGATACGTCTAAGGCATTATCCCACCACCCACCATCCCCGGGCCCTGAACTTTCTCTGCAGAACCTACAAGCCCACCCGACACGGAGACCACAAACCCAGAAAGACCAGTAACGTCTGGTCGCGGGGGTCCTAGGGGCATTTCATACCACAGCCTCTCATGGCAGAATTCAAACTCCCACCTCTTCTCACCTGCCTCGAAAACGATTCGATGCCCGACATTCTTGGGCCGAAAAGCACCAGTAATGCCATCTCCGTGGATATACTCCAACGTAAACGCCTCCCCCTCTCCCTCGGCAGCAGCAACCGCTCTCTCGGTCTGACACACCAACTCCCCATCATGATACAGCCTCCCCGACCCCGACAATACCCCTTCCTCTGCTGGCCTCCCCATCATCCAAATAACCTGAATCAAATACCCCCCCGCCTTCCCCCAAAGGATCCAGTTGTGCGAGATGGTCTTATGCGGCGGGCTCACTGCCCACGCCCGCTCGAAAGTGCCAAACGCACCCTCCTCAGCCCTCAGCTTGAGCTCCCGCCCATCTCTCTCGTACCCACCCATCCCCTTCTCTATCGTCCCCTTCTGCTGTGAAAAGAAGGTTAGATCGGCGTCGACGCCCGCCATAGCGATGGGGCGCAGCCACCAGAAGACGGAACCTTTCGCCTCGGCTTCGGTCTGTGGGAGGCTATGGAAGTTATGGGATGTGAGCGTAAGGGTCCCGGTTACTTTGCCGGGAACATTGAGAGTTACGAGAGCGCCAGAGAGATCGGTGGATATTTCGAAACTGATGCTCTCGCTACCGTTCTCTGTCCTCCAGACACCGGTGGTATGTGCTGTGTCGGATGTGATAGTCGAGCATGGGAGCATCACGGGGCCGCACCACACTGCTTCTTCCTTCTCCTCGCCATTGTTGTTGGAGCCTGCCCAGCTGGCGTTGATGCCGACGCGGAACCCTGCCGGGGCATTGATTGTGTGACGGAAGAAGACAACGACGAGAGCAATGCTTCCATCGGCTGACAGGGCTTGGAACTGCCATTCATCCCAGCTGTCAACGTCAAGTTGGGAAGGCCATTTGGGGAAGAGGTTTCCCGAGTCGGGGATGAATGGCGTTGGCGGGATGGGGTTGGCTGCTATTGAGGAGGTAATGGTGACCTCGGAGACGAGATTTGTGGTCGTCATGATAGGGTACGGATGAACTGTGTTAGTGATTGCGAGATGGGTTGATACACTACATGTTATAAGCATCCTGATATGAAATACTCGCTACTTATGCCAGCTAACATTGTGGCTAGGGAAAGTCGTAGTGTTTCGGAGTTTGTTGGGTATTCGGACTGTTTCGGAACCCCGCCTGAAATATCAATACATACGAAGTCGGCTTCAGTGAGTATACGAAAGAGCAAATTACTGGAATTTAGCACGGTAATAAAATCTCTTGTAGGTCTAATTCAATGGCCGGCAAGATTGGCCACTTGGGTTCACATTAGTTCTAGTTTTCCTTCCGCTATTTCCCAAAATTAGTACAGGGGCCGCCCATGTCGGATTGAATACACAATCCTTTTCGTGTCTCTAAAGCTTCAAAGGAAACCTCTCCCGCAGCCACCCGCCATATTTATAGAAGAGAATCGATACCGGCGTAAACGCAAGCGTGATAAAGCCTAAGACACTATTTCCCCACCCCAAGCCAAGCCTCTTATACAGCGGTTCTGCAGCCAATGGAAGGAAGGCTCCCGAAGCATTACGCACCAGCGTAAGAGCTGCCAGCGCAGATGCGGCACCTTGGGGGCCGAACATATCCATCATATAAAGCTGCGCCGAAGACGAAACGACCAATGCTCCCATTCCAATGAATACCGTTCCAATGATGGGCACGATCCAATGCACCCCACGGTCCGCCGCCCAGCCGTACCAGAAGATGCCAATCGGCACACAAGGGCCCACCCCCATCATCAGGATCAAGCGACGCTCCGGCACGCCGTCCTTGCCTAGGAGTCTGTCGCTCAACAGGGAGAAGGTGGTCAGGCCCAGGACGCAACCAACGCCGAGACCCATGTACGCCAACCCCGTCACGCCAACCCTCCAGTGGTAAGTCTTCTCGAAGACGGAGGGAAAGGTGGCGAAGAGGAGATAGGTCATACCGAAGACCAGCGCCATGTATATCCCGATGAGCAGCACGATGGGTGAGAAGAGGAGCATCCGCAAGGGCCGCAGGAGTGCGCGCTCAGCGAATTGGCGCGGGCGTAGCGAGACCTGCGGGCTACGCGCGGGGCGGAGGTGAAGGTTGCCAGTTTCCTTGCGCAGACGGGCGGCTTTGCTGGCGAGGATAATGGTGGCATTGGTTTCGCGCATTGTCGCCATGGCGATTGCTGTGACGACACCAGCCTGGATACATATGATTAGAACGGTAGTTGCGGAGAGTAAGTAATTGAAGAAAGTAGCCGAGGAAAGCAGTCGAGGAAGAGACACTATACGATGCATAGAGACTTACCAGAATGAGGACCAAGTAGAATGTCCAGCGCCAACCCCAGGCTTGCGTCACGAAGCCACCAATGATGGGACCAATAACAGGCCCGAGAAGGGGTCCAGCAGTGAAGAGGGCCGTTGCGGCTCCACGCTCCTCCTTGGGCAGCAGATCAGTGATGGTGCCGCCACCGCACGTCATGAAAGACGCCGTACAGGCACCACCGAAGAATCGAAACACGAGGAACATGGCTGCATTTGTGCTGCGCGCGCAGCCGATGGTACATCCTATATAGAGCCAAGCGCTGGCCCAATATATAGGCACACGTCCGGCAACCTCTGATAGCGGGGCGAGCAGCAGCGGGCCCATTGAGGCCCCCAACGAGGGGATCGTGATGCTCAATGTCGAGACGACGTTGTTGGTGATCCCGAATTCCGAAGCTAATTCTGAAGCACCTGGGGCGTACATGGTTGTTGCGATATTCCTGCATTGGGACCGGTGTCAGCATATGCGACAGAGAGGTATACCGTATACTTTTACTGGTCGATGAGCATTTTCTATACCTAAACCGTGATTGAGGAACGGAGTGATGAGAGAGACGTACGAGTATAGTACTGAAAGGCTGACCAGGGAAGTGTTGAGCATCTTGCGCTTCTTGGACCAGTTGCGTGGATTTGCAGGATCCTTGGGACCGTCCCAGTCCACAAGATTCGGGTCGGCGGCAGCATCGTTGGCAGTAGTATCTTTCTTCTCGCCAGAGTCTTTCTCACTTGCGTTATCTTCCATGTCGGCTGGTGAGACTGGCTTGATTTCTTCGCTATCGATTCCGGCACTATCGTCCTCTGCACCACGTCCACTCATCTTGGCTGGGCAGTAAGTTTGACTGCGGAATATTGCGTGTCCGACTTATTATTTTGCTAGGCTGCTTGAAGTTCGGTAACACTGCCGATGAAGAGAATTGAGTATGGTTACGCGAGTGTTCCTCCTGCTCCTTTTGGTTCGAAGAAATGCAAGCTAAGCTCAGCTTTTACTACGTCTAATCGGATGGATTGTTGGAGCATGTCAGACGGCCTGCAGTTTGCCCGGCTTTAAGACTCAGTGTCGTCTAACAAGCAACGAGAGTGTAAGAAGAAAACCATAGAAAGAGAGTAAGCTTAGGCCTCTAAGCGCAGAAGAGAGAAGAGGCGAATAGTCCAAAGGCCCGTGAGAAATCGTTTGTTGGCATATGATTGCGACGAGTACGGAGTATACTCTGCATGTTAGCTTGAATGTTCCATATATAAGGTAGAGAAGTCGGGGAAACAATGGAGATAAGCTTGAAGTCTTGGATTATGCTCAGGATTCTGGAACTCTGGGACAAATAGACTTTTGCATATGCGCACTGACGGACGGACGTACACTACAGCTAGGAGCTGAGTTGGCTGACCAAAACCAAGCTCCGTCAATTGCTCCGTCGATTGCTCCGTCGATTACTCCATCGATTGCTCCGTCGATTGCGGGTAGATAGTGAAGGGCTGTTCGCTGCAAGTAGCCAGACCAGCTCTACGGTCATCTCTAGATATATAGAACATTGCCTCTAACTCTAGTTCTCTAACTTTAGTTAGAGGGTTATCGAGCAGGAAATAAGATGGCGGCCCTATTGTTTCTCCCTCTACGTGATAGATGAATATTACGCGATCGGCATCGCCGCATCGATTCCCCATCTTGGCACTACTGGATCAAATCCCACATGAAGTACATTAGTCTGAAGTGCATGGAACGGTCAATACAGGTTAATTATCCAGCGATGGCGCTGGTCTTTCTCTAAATGTGGACAGGTTTTTATGGTTCGAGCATGTAAGTCTCCCCTTGCAACGTCCGTTAATCTTGGGGCTACAAGGTTAGTACATCATATGCGGTGCTTCTCTTTACCTCGTTCCAAGAATAATAGAAGTTAAGCTTCTTTCCCACGTGGATCTCCCGCTAACAATGTTGTATATAGTGGGGATAGGCAAGAACCGTTACGGAGGTACAGCGGTTAAGTATTCACACAGCGCTTGCAAGGGCCACCCATATTAGTGCTATCACTGCTGTGTGAATACTTCACCACTATACCTCCGTAGGGCGCCATTAAGAAAGTTAGCGCTCTTTACTGCTTACTCTAAAAGCTTAACATCCCCTCGAAACCGAGAAATATCTGACTGACGACGCGTCCCCAGCCGCTACTTCTATATTAAGCAATTGCTCCATAAATATAATTATCGAAAACCTACAGTAGGGTGCCATTAGTATTCGACCATGGCCCGCGCAGGCCCGCTTTATTCGACCAACTAGAGAACTTAGAAGTACCTTCCAACCCATATAATTGGTTCAGTGTGCACGTACGAGTGCCAGATCGAATAGAAGGATTCACCCGACAGCCGCCCCCCATGCCTCTCAACCGCCCAAATATCTATTTAGCCACAGCAACGCAACGAAATGAAGAAAAAGAGGTCATAATCGTGATTTATGACCTAGTTATAGTCATCGATCGGGTGAATTTTTTAATTTTCCAAGCACTTTTGGAAAACCGAGATTTTTCAAGGGTTGTTGCCTGGGCGGTTTCCGAGCAATCCGAGAGGACCGCGAGGGTGAACTCCTGATGTAGGTCGGGGTCGGGAGTATTACGTGCGGGAGCTGAGAAAACGCTCCTGCCGGGACAGATAGCCCGTGCCGTGCGCCACGGTGGTTTCGAGAACAAATGGGCTGAGAACGCGATGGGGCCAAGTATTCTGCCTGTAAATTTGTATGCGAGGTACTCGTGCGTGCTGCACACATGGCAAGGCACACCGAACCACCAAGGGATAGTAAGTTTCGAAGGAAGAGACGAGCAGGGATGTCCGGGGATGCGGGGGGATCGGGAAATATACCCTGCAGGCACCGCCAAGGGCCGGCCAGGACTTAACCTTATATCTACTGTGCTCTTCAATCAAGCACTCGACCTGCACTACTTGTAGGCAACGCTCCGCAGAACGCTCCGAATGGAATACACGGCCCCCGACGCTGTGGGTGCGGGCAGCAGCAACAATCTCCGGTCAATCCGGTCGTCGTGTGATCGGTGTCGCTTTCATAAATTAAGGTGAAGGCAAAACCTCGGCGTTCGTGCAGGAGAAGTGGGCGGAGCTAACTTCTGCGCTGCCAGATGTGATCGCTCCGCTAGCGACGGCCCGGTAGAACTCCCGTGCGGACGATGCGCCCGCGCAAAAACCCCATGTGTCCTGGGGCGACGCCGGCCGGCCAATAAGAGGCAGCCAAGCGTCTCCACGACCAAGTCCTCGACATCATCAACAGCAACCACAGCAACCACAGCAACGGCGGATGCAGAGCAACACGGCGAGACTGTGACATATCCTCATCCCCAGGCCTCGTTTCCCTCCCAATCCCAACTCCCGACCCCGACCCCGACCTCGCCCACAATCCCACGTGCAACCCCATCTGCGCAGTCGTGGGAGAATCAGCATGATTATGAGCGTGTGCATGAGAATGAGAGTGAGAATGAGAATGAGAGTCAGAATGGGATGTCGGGGATGCACGATGTCGCTGACAACCATCCAGGCCAAGAGAACAGCATGAGCGGCTGGGGCTCGATGCCGCAGGGCATGGAATTCAACTTGAACGACACATTCATTTTCGATGCCGACCTGTTGGATCCCCCGCCATGGCTCCCAGCTCCGATCTTGCCAGATCAGTCAACCGACGCCGCCACGATGATGAACACAACGAGCACTGCAGTCCCGGGACAGCGCCTCATCATGTTGATTGCAAATATGCAACAATGCCTCCAGATTCTAGAGCATGGCCCATGGCAAAAGGACAGCGCAAATACCCTCGATGACTATCCCGTCGGCACCGTGCTCCATCTCTCGCAGGAACTCGGTTCGATCGCCAGTTCAGTTCTCAGTAGAGGTTGCATCATGGGGACGATAACGCGGCGGGAGTATGTCTCGGAAACGGAGAGTCCCGCAGGCGGAGAAGCACACACAACCGAACCGAAGGGCATCGACGGCGGGAGTGACACGGTGACACCTCTACTCGTGCTGAGCGGGTACATGTCGCTAGTACGTATCTACAGCATTGTGCTGGGCCATTTCCAGACACACATTAGCAGCGTACCGTCGAATAGCAACGCGGACCATAGCAGCGGCATGCGCAGCGCAAGTACAAACCCGACATTGCAGCTCGGCGAGCTTCCATGTACCAGCGTAGCGCCTATCCTAGGCAAGATTCACACCGCCCTTCGTATGTTGCTGGCCGCGGTGCATGGTGTTGAGGAGAAATTGGGGCCAGGAGGAGCAGTGGCGCGCAATCTGGTGGTGGCGCTGCTGGCGCAGGACGCGGTGCTGGACATCGGTGACTTCCACGGTGGGTTGTTGACGAAGATGCAATTAGTGAAGGAGATTTTGCAAGAAAAGATGAATTTGTAACAACTTCCTGACTGGTTTCTCGCCATTTCGGCACCTTGTAAATATAGAGTGTTTGATTGTGCTCTACTCTTCGGGCTTTGCTGGCGCTGACTTGTACTACCAAGTCGGGGAGGAGAAATCGCCTGACCACAAGCAGAAGCATCCTCGCTTCGATTTACTCGAGTATCCTTTCAAAGTCTTCTAACGGGCTTTTGTCCAAAAGAAATCATCTGCTGCGCCCATGTCTTCGCACAGTAATGTGGTGTATCTCCGGGAGCGTCAGAGATTGCAGAGTCGTTCAATACCTCATGGTAACAGAGAGTTCGCGGATGTCATACAAAAATATTTTCGCTCTTGGATCAACTATACATCATATCATAACCGGTCATCGGCCATTCCTACAATATGACACCGTCGACGATGAAGCCAACCTTGAAGAACTTTACCACCGTAGCCGAGGACTCCTATCCTAACCTCAATATATTACGTCTCTACTTAACAGTAATAAAATCTCATCATATACTTTAAAAAAAAAAGAAAATTCTTATTTAGTGTTACTCGTTTAAATAATAAGTCTGAGAGTAATGGCAATAGCTGTTGGAAGAAATCGGAAAATCCAGGCTAGGTTAAATATGCAAAAAGGTTATATCGCCGAAAAGCACCGAATATCTTAACCCCAGTTTGATAAATATAGCGAAATAGCAGGGCAACAATATATTATTGCTTCAAAGGCGCTCATTGATGACTTCACGATTGCCCTTTCTTGCCTTGGTCCACCAGCCCGCTCTAAGATCGCAGTTCTGCTTTTCTCTCCGCCCAAAATGGAAGAGAGACGTGCTCAGCTCCGCCAGTCACTAGGACCGGCTATGGGATACCTCAACGCCATCGTTGAGATGGGAGTGCTCAAGACCTTTATCGACTACAAAGCCTTCGACATGATCCCGGACTCTGGATCCATCTCGCTCTCCGAGCTGGCGCGGAAGATTGGCGGCGAGCACGAAGTCCTCGAACGTCTTGCAGCACACCTCATAGCAGCGGACTTCCTCACCTCCCCGGCCCCAGACCACGTCGCTCACACAGCCAAGTCGCTCACCTACAAGTCCGAGCAAATGGCCGCTGGCTTCCTCGTGCACGTATTCAACATGCTCTTCCAGCCCATGGCTCAGCTGCCCACGTATTTCGCACAGCATGGCTTGGCCTCCCCCAAGCATGCCGACGTCACGCCTTTCGGTCTCGCCTGGGGCCATCCGGACAAGGACGTCTACGGGATCCTCGAGGCCGAACCGGCATTGGCCAAGGTGTTCAATAGCATGGTCGGGCGCAGCGGCGCTCTCTACCCGATGAAAGGCGTCTATGACTTCTCGTGGATGCAGCAGCAGGTCGGCAGTCTGGATGGGGAGCGCCCTGTCTTCGTTGATATCGGAGGGAGCAGTGGGCTTGCGTTGCGAGATATGCTGAGCGACAACCCCTTCGTGCCCGCGGAGCGATGCGCCGTCTTCGACCTCCCCAAGGCCATCGAGAACGCTGCAAGCAGCCTGGACCCTGCCCTGCAATCCATCCAGCTCGTCCCTGGCAGCATTTTTGATCCGCTCCCTCCAGCCGTGCGAGGCTCCCTGGTGTACCAGTTCCGCCGCATCCTCAATGATTTCCCCGACGGCGACGTTCTGAGGTCGTGGAAGACGGTGCGAGAGGCGGCGGCGAGTGATACGCGGGTTTACGTTGTAGAGGAGTTGATGCAGGCGAATAGAACCACGTTTCAGATTGCGCAGGACATTACGTTCATGCTGGTTGGGGGAAAGCGACGGACTGTGGAGATGCATGCGGCGTTGGCTGGTGCTGCGGGATTTCGCCTTAATGCGCAGTTTCAGGACACTGGGAATGAATGTGCGGTCCTCGAGTTTATTTTGGCCTAGGGAAGGGTGTGTAGCATGCAGATATCGAGATATAACCTGTTTTGCTAAAAATATATATAAAGAATTCTGAAGACCTTCGGCATATATTTACTTCCTACACTATAGAATCTAAAGTCATTGCCCACCTATCATTTGAGGGGGTTACGACACCTAGATATGCTCCTGTCGCTTAAGAGCGTTGGTTTGTTTACTTGGAAAGGGGTTATTATCTGCCTTGCTTAATAAATCCCGGTTTGATTTCCCACTTTGAAATCCGTGAGCAGGTATTTAGATATTACACAAATAAAAATAATATACAAGGGAAATCACTTTAATGCACTTCATTGAATACTTTAATTCGTGAATGTATACCTGGTCACTGTAGAGATTCTGGTTACCTGAGTTCACGTGTACAGAGCTGAAGGTCTTGTTTCTTTGTGTAATCCGGCCTCTTAAAGGGCCACCGTAGCTCTTAGTCGTGAATGGAACAGATTGGGATTCTACATCACCGAATTATGCCGTAGATTACCGACGCCCCTTACGAGAAATCGTTAAGCAAAGGGAGATGTCTTCAACTTTTCAAGGTACGTACCAAACTACTATATGTAAGCCCACATGGGAATTGCCTATTATCCGTCTCAAGATCACAAGTGCACTACGCCTGCGTAAACAATTGCTCTACCCAAACCAGGTTTATATTACTCTATCCAAATGGCCTCCTTCGACAATGTCCTGCTCACCAAGGCATCCGCTGGGTGGTTATGTAAGGTATGCCTATCGCTATTTCCCGAAGAATCAGATGGGATTGACATGACGGCAGGCTCTGGGTATTAGGCTGGTAACGAACCCCCTTGTGGTCCAATTGGCCAAGAACGCCGGTTTTGACGCCCTTTTCATTGATCTGGAGCATTCGACCTTCTCCCTTGCGGATGCCAGCGCGATCGCGTGTGCAGGGCTTCTCAGTGGGCTCACTCCCTTCGTTCGGGTGCCGTATCAGTGTGGCATCGGGTTCGTGCAGCAAGTGCTCGATGGAGGAGGCATGGGGGTGATATTCCCGCACATGTAAGTCTTGGAATTGGCCTTTCTCGGGAGCCCATTTCTCTGCAATTGCAATCTGACTGGAAGATGTCATGGTAGTCATTCGGCAGTGGATGCACGAGTAGCCGTTGAAGCATGCAAGTTCCCACCATGGGGGCGGCGGTCCATGTGGGGTCAGCAGCCAGCCTTGGGGCTGCGGATGATGCCGTTTAACAAGATCGTGGAGGTGTGCGACTCGGTGGGGTCATCAGTGCTCCTGATGATCGAGGCTGCTGATAGCATTGAGAACATCGACTCCATTGCTGCGGTGGATGGCGTCGACGTCCTCCTTGTCGGCTGTCTTGACCTGTCGACGGACATGGGCATGCCAGGGAAGTACGAGGCAAGAGCATTCCGGGCGGCCCTCGAGTCCGTCAGCGCAGCGTGTCAGCGCCATGGCAGACTCATGGGGCTGGCAGGACTCTACAACAACCCTGAGATTCAGGATTGGGCAATCAACACGCTGAAAGTGCGCTTTATCATGTGTCAACAGGACTCGAACATTCTGGCTGCTGGGGCGATAGAGTGCGCGGCAGAGGTAAGCAGTGTTGATAGGACGGCTCCGATGCCCTCGAAGGTAGTTAATGGAGCAGTAAAGGAAACAAAAGTGCCAGCAACCGCGAATGGAATTTGAAAGAATTTGGGTGGAGACGTTTTGCGAAAGTATTCTCGAGGGACTAGAAAGGATTCCGATCATGAGGGATGATGGATGAACTGTATGATAGAGAGTTGGATGGTCTGGTATCGACCGGGACTATAGAATGACATGATCCTTGTGGTTGGGCCCATACCGCTCGAATCAAGTACCTTACGGTCGGAAGGAGGGGTTTTCTAGACGATTCATTATCATGATAACCCCCTAGAATACGATTGTATATATAGGTTCATTACTAAGGTACGTACGTTACAACACACACTATACCGAGCTATTAAAAAAAGGGGGTATAATAATTATAAGATGTGTTTATAGTAATATATTATAAACTAGAGATATTATAACTAAAAAAGTATCTTGAGATAGTCCTGATACGGTCTTGAGATAGTCTTGAGACCGCTTAGTAATTTATTATATAAGCGTACCTAAAATTAAATGACACACTAGTCTCCCACTCAATCTGTCCTATCCACCGATCGGATATACTAGTAGTACTATCCCTTGGACCGGCAGACTTGCACACAGCGCTAGTAAGGGTTATGACAGGGGTCTGTATGCGACGTCCCCTCTCATCGTCGCGATGCAGAATCACCAGAATTTGCCCTAGAATTCAATTAATTTACATCCCACTGATGATACCGTACCCAACAATCAGTATCCTGGCACAGAGCTACATTACAAAAGCTGCACCCACTCCTAGATCGACGCGCCCTTGCCCCCTTATTGCCCTCCTGTTTGATAACCTTATTATACCGAATCAAATACTGGCACCAAGTACAATAGTCCACCTTGATCTTAACCCTTGTATGGATATAATCCAAGTTTGGATTAAACAGTCTCTTGCCCCCTAATCCAAGTTGTAATTGGTATATCTTTCCCTTTATATAGAATCCAAATAAGGAAGTATATAAAGTAATCCGAAAATCCAAATGGGATAGCCTTAGTGGTTTTCGTACACCTAACTCATCCATATGGACTTGGTAAAGACGGTAACTATTAATAACAGTTACGTCTATTAGCCAATAGAATAAAGGCCACCAATTACGCTTTGTAGCTTTGTGTATTTCGTACGACTCCCTAAGTTGGTTTGCAATATCAACTCCTCCTATATTATGATTATAATCGTCAATAAGGCGGGGTATATCAAGCTCTTTAGTTGGATTATCACCAAAAACACAGCGTACTATTCGACTGTTTGTAGACGTCTTTGCAGGGCGCTTTCTCTGTCTTAGAATGAAGTCGTTAGCACTATGGATTGTATGGATCGTACTGAGCCCAAGGACAATATTATTATCCTGCCAAGCAAAGCAAAGAGTGTCTTCAACTACCCGTGCAAAGAGGGTATTCCACTCTAGCTTTGAGGCTATATTATCGCGCTTTAATTGGGATAATTCAGGAGGGAACTTATCATGTGGCCTTGTTGTTCCAACAGCTCCAAAACCTTTATTACGTAGACTATGAAAAAGGTTGACCGAGGTGAAGTAATTGTCCATATAAATCGTAAGGGAAGCTCTAGGTAGAGTGTTAATAAGTGCACGAACAAGGCAACCTGTATTTGTCAACTCTTCAAAAGTAGGGATATCCTCCTGTAAGCCGTGTACCCTGGAGCTCCATACCCAGCTATATACATACCCGTGGTCTGCTAGCCCATATATCTTATACCCTTGTTTAATTGGCTTATTAGGCATTTTATAAGTGTGACTTGATCGCCCAAAGAACCGTACCATAAGCTCATCAATTGATACAGAGCTTGAAGGTGAATAATACTGTCGGAAAGTGGCTTGTAGGCGCGACGCCAGAGGTTCCACCTTATACCACTAGACCTTATTCTCATCTATAGTCGGATTTATCTCTGGGCAGGATATATGGAGATATCTCTTAACTTGTTCCTATCGCCGTAAAGAGATATACTGTCGTATTGAGTGGATAGGGCCCTTTTTAATGTCGGTATTCCAATAGTCCTCAATTTTGGAGGTATTATGCGCCCCCATATATATTACCCCACCTAGAAAAACATATAGTTCCTCTGGCACTAGATCTACCCATTCGCGTTGCCTTTCTTCTTTATTGAGCCGCTGAAATCCGGCGTATTTATTCGAGTTTCGAGTAATAATATTAGATAGGTCAGGAGGGAATAGGAGGGTAAAGTAGTCGTATGGTGTCGGATCTGAAGGGAATGTGGGTGGCAGCAGGGCCTTGGCAGGACAGCCTTTCTCTGGTACAAATGGGTCAAATTTGATCGCTTTAAGGTCCCCAAACTCATCAGCTAACTTATCTAATAAAGTGATCTTCTTTTGAGCTTTTGCAGCCCTTGATTGGGTGCTTTCAGGGGTGCTTTTGCGCTTTGGAGGCATTGGTGGTAAATACAGGGAATTGGAGCTGGGGATGGAATTGATATTGGAACTGTACGCGCAGGCCAATTGGAGCTGTATTATATAATCGACTAACTAAACAGGGTAAGGTACGGCGTTGCTAACCGAGTATGGTTTAGCGCTGTGTGCAAGTCTGCCGGTCCAAGGGATAACTCTACTACAAGTATTCCCCCCCTCCACCCGCCCCGCCTCCTACCATAAGGTACTTTAAGCCACCCCGCTCGCCTACCACCTGTCGGATATCCCTTCGCCTAAGATATATAATATAGTTAGAATGATTACAGAGTAGGGAGCGCCATAAACGCTTTTGACGTCCACATCAACCTCGCATACAGACTGACAGATATCTTCATCTTCATCCAGAGTGCCTCATCGACATCGACGAATATATTAGCAAGCCCGGCAGTCGAAGGCAATGGATCCATTACCAGCATTTGATCAGGCTCCTACTTCCACAACACCACACTCTGGCTTGATAGAGACGGCAATAGAATCAACACGTCGGCGAGACCGCCGGCGTGAAAAACAGCAGTTGTCATGTAGCTTTTGTCGGAGTCGCAAGTAATCGATTAAAGATCGCAGACTATAGGGAAAACGATACTGACCGAAGACCATTCACAGAATGCGATGCGATCGTCAGCTCCCGTGCAAGACTTGCGTAAGCAAGGACATCGCTCTCTCCTGCACCTATACACCGGATCCGCAGCGAAAGGCCGTCGTTGTTGGTGTTGGCGATCGCATCCAGCAGCTCGAAGCCTTGGTTCGCTCCCTGATGCAGCAGCAGCAGCAGCAGCAGCAGCAACCTAACAGCCAGGACGGTGCTACCGCCACGTCTCCTATGCCATCGGAACATGGGAATGGGAACATGCGTCTGCACTCACACGGCTCGAATTACGTTAGTAGCGTCCATTGGGCGGCCATCCTTGATAGCATCTCTGAGCTTAATGATACTTACGAGACGGAGCGGCAAGCGGCGATGCTGACTTCTGGCGACCATGTTCCGCATTACAGCCCAGGCCCTCGTCTTTTATATGAACCTGTACAAGCGACTAAAGACGAGATTATCTCTTCAATCCCAGCCCGGGCTGTGGTAGACCGTATGGTTGCGCGATATTTCAACACCCAAGACGTTGCGCCAGGTACAGTACTCTACACACTACATTATTATCGTTAATATTTTTACCTGAGAACGCATATCATATCGCTGCTGACATTTGGACAGCTGTTCTTTCCAGTGGCCAATTTCTCCAAGAGGTACGATCGCATCCTCCATTCCATTTTAACTCCAACGACTCGACTAATATGCATTTCCCACTTCAGTACGAGATCTTTTGGCAAGACCCAGATGCTACGTCGTTTGCGTGGCTCGGCCTTTTGTTTAGCATTATGTGTCTCTCCACGCAATACCAGCACTTGACCGAGGACCCAGCAGAGCCCGAATCTTTAATGCGCGTCCATATGTTCCGCGAAAGAGCTGTCCACTGTCTTGTCCTGGGCCACTTCACCAAAGGAGGTCCACATGTACTCGAGACGATGATCATCCATTGCACCAGCGAGATTTTTATGTACAAAGATGCCGAGATTGGCCTCTGGCTGCTGCTGGGCATACTGGTTCAGCTCGCCCTGAGTCTCGGCTACCATCGAGATCCTCAGAACTTCTCTCACATCTCGCCCTTTGCCGGCGAGATGCGGCGGCGCGTGTGGGCGGCAATAGTACAGATGGACCTGCGTCTTTCGAGCCAGATGGGACTCCCGCGCCTCCTGAAATCGCAACAGTGCGACACGTCCGAACCGCGCAACCTCTTGGACTCGGACTTCGACGAAGCAAGCGTGGAGCTGCCCCCGTCCCGGCCTGAGACCGAGGTGACACCAGTGCTCTACGGACTGGCCAAAATCCGGATCGACAGCATCGGCGTCCTCATCAGCGATCTCGTCGCCGACACCCGCGAGCACCTGCTCCCGGAGATCATGCATCTTGACGGGAAATTGCACGAGGCCGAGACGTCGCTCCCCCCGATCTTTCGATGGCAGCCCCTCGGTCAGTCGCTCATGATCCCCCCGCAGATCGTGTTGCATCGCCTCGCCCTACAACTTACTGTCCAGAGACTCGTAATTTCGCTTCACCGGAGGTACCTTTCTGCTTCGTATGCCGCGGATGAGCGCTACGAGTATTCGCGAGAAGCCTGCGTGCGAGCTGCGATCAAGATCCTCGAGTTTCAGCAGATGGTTCATGAGGAGACTCAGCCCGGTGGGTTGTTGTATCCTGTGCGCTGGTTGCGATCGTCACTGTTGCAGTCTATCTTCCTATTGGGCATGAGCATCCTCTGCTATTATGTGCAGCTCATGAAATCCGCAACGAATGTTCCGCTGGATCGTGATAAGATCCTCGAATTGCTGCGAAATACGTATCCCATATGGTTGCGCTCGAGTACCGTGTCCCAAGACGCCCGAAAGGCAGTTGAGTATCTAAGTCTTGTACTGGGACTTCCTCATCAACAACATCACACTCAGCTCGCAAATAAAACAACGGCTGCTCCTTCCACCACACCCCATGACCAAGTTGCTTGGGATGCCTATCACGGTGATTAGATTTGTCTGATCATTACGTCAGTGGCAGTGGCTAATCTTTTTCGAAGGTATCGCTGATTTCCCTCAAATATTTGATACTGACCTTATGGCGTGGGACGTGCCTGGATCATCTTCATCTAGAGATATGTTTTCAACGGACTGGCCGTTAGACAGTCAGCTAGATTAGTCCATCACGGTAAGTTTGTCTTCTAAGCGTAAAACTAAATTTGATAGCCAGCTGACTTGTCTTAAATAGCAACAATCGTGATATTCTTTGCTCTAGAAGTGTGTTATTTGTGAATACTAGCAGAGGTCATTTACGGAGACAAATAGTAGAATTTCCATACACTAATCTTACACTTTCACTTTCAATTTTTTTGCTTTCTGTTTCCGAACTCAATTTAAGGAAGTATCTAAAGGTATTATATATTACTTTTATTTAAAAGGGATGTTTAAGAATGTTCATATAATTTGCAAGTCTACCGGGACCTATAAGGGCGAGAAGTTTCTATATGCCCTTGAGTTTTTGTTTATTTATTTATTTATCTTTTGATCCTAGTTGTAATACGCAGACTGTCTTAGCGAACTATCGTTGCATACTGTACGACGTTGCGGCGGTTAAGTTTTATCACCGCTTTTTCTTACTAGTAACGTTGAACACGAGATTTTAGATCCTAAAAAGGCTTAAAAAGGGTAGAGGGAATCCTGTTAAGAGTATAGTCTAAGGCATTAATTCTCTCCCTCTTTTTGAATCATTGAGCTGAGAAGTGCATATCTTGAGAGATATTACTATTAAGTTCTGGTAGGAGAGCAGTGTTACTTCCGAACTTCTCGCACTAACTCGGCGTTGTTCGGAAAAGAATAGAAAGGTTCTGCCCGGCCGGACAATACCGAACAGAAGGAGGAGCCTATCCATGCAATGCTTGATCACGCCTTAACGCTCTACCTAGGTAAGAGAGAACCCTTTCAGTTGCATCGACAGCTAGCTTTTACTAATTGACTTGCTATTAGTCTACGTCTATCTCTTCGGCTTTCTATTAATTCCTATTTCGTTATTTATCAATAAGACCAAAATTCTTGCGGAATTGCATTAAGTTCGAGGAACAGTGTATCCTTTACATGTTCGTTTATCTTTTCTTCTTAATCTATTTTTCTTTGGTTCAGAGGAACGGATTATTCATTATAATTTAACTCAGTCCCAGATTACACCACTCGGGGCTTGGAGTCTCCAACACACCAGTATGAAAACACCATTGTCAACTACGGCGACAAGCAGCTCGCCGAGCCTAGTGTCGACGCCGGGAACGCCTCCGGAGATAGACGAGCTGCTGCAGCGAAAACAGCTCGACAAGCTGCTAGAGAAACAAAATCGGACAGAAACATCTCACCCCCGGCGCCAAGCCATCATCGAAACATCCACCGAGCGTACGGAACAGATGACATTCGGTCAAAAACGCTTCTGGTTCCTCACCCATTACGTTGACGACCCCACGACTTTCAACATCGCCTACCTGGGCCAACTCACGGGCCGGCTCTGCGTGGCCGACCTAGCAAGAGCGGTTGAAACTGCAGCCCAAAGGCATGAGTCCCTACGCACTCGCTTCTTCTGGTCCAACGACGAGAGTAGGACACCTACGCAGGGCATCTTGTCGAAAATTCTTATCCGGCTGGAGACAGTAACGATCGAATCCGAGGCCCAGGCTATCCAAGAACTTCACAATATGCGCAACCATAAATGGGACTTCAACAACTGGGTCCCGCTTCGCATGAAATTGCTCTCACTCTCAGAGACACAGCATTACATACTTGTTGGGACTCACCACATCTCAATGGACGGCCATAGTCTCCCCGTGCTGATGCTCGATATCCACAAAGCATATCAGAAGGGAGGTCGCCCACTACCCCCGCTCTCGAACACTTCGCAAGTTCGCGCTTTTGGAGCCCAGCAACGTCTAGCGTATGAGAGTGGTCAGTTCAGACCTGCTATCGAGCACTACCGTGCCATGTTTGCTGCCGTTGACTTCACACGTCCCATTGAGCTGTTCTCCTTCTCACGCACACAAGTTCGGCCCCCGCTCGATCGCTACGATACACACATCGCCAAACTACAGCTCGAACCTGCAATCACGGCCAAGTTGAAACAGCTGGCCCGCGGGCGTCGCGCTACCTCTTTCCACACATACCTTGCCGCTCTACAAGCTCTACTCTTCCGCCTGCTCCCCGTCGACACAACAAATCAAGTCTGCATCGGAATCGCGGACGCGAATCGCCTCGACAGCAAATTCATGGGAAGCTTCGGAAACTTCCTCAACGTGCTTCCCCTCAGATTTGATAGAAAGCGCGGGCAGACGTTTGGTGCGGCGATCGAGACTGCCCGCGAGAGAGCGCACAATGCGCTGCGGTATTCGGCGTTACCCTTCGATGTGCTGCTCGACGAGCTGGGCGTCCCGCGATCGAATGCGTGGGCGCCGGTGTTCCAGGTATTTCTCAACTACCGTCTTGTAGTGCGGGAGCATGCGGAGAAGAGCTGGGTTGGGACTCACCTCGGCGAGGAGAGGTGGTATCCTGCTCGGAGCGGGTATGATGTCGCCTTAGAAATTATGGAAGATGGAGAGGGTGCGATGATAGCGGTGCATGTCCAGAAGTCGCTATATGATCAGGAGGCGGCAGAACTCCTGGCGAGGAGTTATGCGGCGGTTTTGAGAGAGGTGGCGAGGCGGGGCGAGAGGATTGGGGTGGACAGGTTACCGAGGTGGGATGAGGGGGACGTGAAGAAGGCGTTGGAGATTGGGAAAGGTGTGTATCAAACTTTCCTCTTTCTTGAAATTCTTTCGGCCGACGAGCTAGAAGCAGTGCTGTGGCTGTTTTTGGTGTTGCTGTTGTTTGCTTTCACTTAATTGATTGTGTGGATCTATAGGTTCAGATGTGCAGCTCGAATGGCCCGCAACTGTTGCTCATCGCATCGACCAAATAATTACACAATATCCCGACTCCATCGCTCTCAAGGACGGCTATGGTCGTAAATTGACATATACAGCGATGGATAAGCGCGTTAACAGCATCTGCAGCGCCCTTCGTGTCCAACTCCCTGAGAATAACGAACAGGCCGTCGTTGGTGTGTTTCAAATGCCATCTGCTGACTGGATTTGTTGTTTGGTTGCCATCAATCGTGTTGGTGCTATTTACCTGCCGTTAGATCTCCGGAATTCGGTCCCACGCTTGAAGAGCAACGTCGAGTCCGCACGACCAGCCGCGATATTGGCGGATAACGAGACGGTAGGACAGGTAAAGCAAATAGACCTCAATGAACTTGCCGTTGTAATTAATGTAAGTGAATTTGAGAAAGGGTAAATTTCTTATTCTATACTGCTTTCTAGGTTGTTCTTGGTTGAAGAGGAGCATGTGGAGTAGCGGGCTTGAATCTTGTCTCGAACCCAAATTTGCCGAAAGACCAAATATTAACTGCTTCATGTCCAGGTTTCTGATCTAGCTCCCACCACGGAGAAGAAAGAAGAAACAGCAGCAAAACATGATAGCGCTGCGTACATCATCTTTACCAGTGGGTCAACAGGCGAGCCCAAAGGCATCGTTGTCACCCACGCTGGCCTACGCGCCAACCTAGAAGGCTACCATGGCGCATGGAACATCGCCTCCGTCGCTGGCGTGGTGCTCCAACAAGCAGCTTTTAGCTTCGACGCTTCCCTACTCATGATCTATGCAGCCTTGACCACCGGCGGTTGTCTCCTCGTTGTTCCTGCCGATGCTCGTGGTGATCCGGCAGAGGTAACCCGCATGATGGTCGATCACGGCGTGACAATGACCCAAGCAACACCGTCAGAGTACGATATGTGGTTCCGGTTTGCCACCCCTACTTTACGTCGCTGTACGTCTTGGAAGGCTGCCTGGTTTGGCGGAGAGCGGGCAGCCCCTGGGCTGTTGGACGAGTTTCGAGAGGTATGCAGAGCACTCCCAAATCTACGTGTGTTCACCAGCTACGGACCAACGGAAACAACCATCTCAGCAATGAAAGGCAAAGCAGACGTCCGGGATCCCACTTTGCAAATCCCAGTCCCGGGGCGTCTGCTACCAAATTACGCCGCGTATATCGTCGACGAGGAGATGAAACCACTACCAATCGGTGTGCCCGGCGAGTATGTGCTTTCTTCCATACCAAATTCGCGTTTTTGGGGGAGCCGAGAGAGAGCCGAAAGCAGAGACCTGTCTCAAGAGCTTTTCAAGGAACTTGCAATAGTGCAAGGTCCCGAAACGGCTCCCGGCTCTCTCTCTGCTCTCGTGTTTTCCCTTTCTTACAATACTAATTTGTAGTAGGATTATGCTCGGTGGCGCCGGCGTGGACGCAAACGAATATCTTCATAGCCCAGAACAGACTGCAAAGGCATTTCTTCCTGACCCATTTACAGTCGGGCGTCGCATGTATCGCACTGGCGATTATGGGCGGCTCGATTCGCGTGGTCTTCTTACTATTGACGGCCGTATTACCGGTGACACACAAGTCAAGCTACGTGGGTTCCGCATCGAACTGACGGAGATCGAGCGTGTGATGGTCAAGGAAGGGGCCCTGGTTCAGACTGTGGTCACGCTGCGCGAGGACAGTTTCCTGGCTGCACATGTGGTCTTCGAGAAGGAAAAACAGGCATACAGCTGCGAGCTAATTGGCAAACTACGCTCCCGTTTGCGGCTCTGCCTTCCCCCCTACATGTGCCCATCCATCATCGTATCGCTCAACGAGATGCCGCTAACTGCACACTCCAAGATAGACCGGAGAGCTGTGCAGGCGATGGCCTTACCCGAGACCCCAAGATCAACTAGCATCCTAGGAGAACCAATTCTCACACCTACCGAGCGTCGCCTCGCAACTCTCTGGGCTACTGTGCTTCCAGCCCACGCTCTGTCTGATCCGCTAGGCCCTAGGTCTGATTTCTTCCAAGCCGGCGGCAACTCGCTGCTGCTGGTCAAACTCCAGGCTGCCATGAAGAATTCGTTTGGCGATGCACCTCGTTTGAGCAAGCTGATGGGTATGGGCGAGTTGGGAAGCATGGCGGCTCTGCTTGACGATGCGATAACCATTATAGACTGGGACAAAGAAATCGCCCTCGACTCCTTTACGGAATCCCCGAAGATACAACCTAAACCTGTAAAAGCCAACCAAGGATTTAGCATCCTCGTCACGGGCGCCACTGGATCTCTAGGTCAACATATCATCCCCCGTCTTGTAGTCAACGAGCGTATCGCGCAGGTTATATGCCTCGTTCGCCCGGTTTCAGGGCGAAACTTGGCGGCTTTATTCCCTGATCTCAAAGGGAAGGAGGAGAAAATCCGTATCGTGGAGACTGACTTGCCATCTTTACCGAATGACAGTGAGGTTGGTAAGATTGATCTTGTGCTGCATTGCGCGGCAGATCGTACTTTCTGGGACGGCTATGGAGCTGCTAAGCTCGTGAATGTTGATACTGCAAAGGCCCTGGCGAGACTATGTCTTCGCGTTGGCGCGAGTCTGCATGTTCTTAGCTCAGGTGCTGTAGCGGCGTATGAGGGAGGCGATAAAGACAAGAATTTGGCACGGCCAAGCCCGGCAGATGGGTATGTAGCGTCTAAATGGGTGGCTGAGAGGTTCCTGGCGAGCTCGGTAATGGAAAATGGATTGCGACTTACGACGCATCGACCTACGATGGTTGTCGATGGAGATGTGACGGCACTGAGGGAGAAGGAGGAAATGGGGGAGAAGGAAACAGAGGAGACGATGGCGAGGCGCATGTTGGCCTTGTCAAAACACCTAGGTGTGCGACCCGATTTTGCAAGGCTTGCGGGGACACTTGATGTCGTGAAAGTCGAAGAGGTGGCGGATGCTGTTACTACTGCTGTCATTGAGGACTTGGACTCAATAACATCGGAACAAGAGTCAGAAACGGCAATGAAGATGAGAATCGTCACTCATCCTGGTAAAGTTAAGCTTCAGACCGAGGTACTGGGAGCATGTACAGAGGAGTTGTTGACGATAGAAGAGAACCAGAAGGTAAGGGCGTTACCAGCAGTGCCGGCGCTGCATTGGGTTGGTCTGGCCAAGAAAGCAAGATTGTTTGAATGGTTTATTACGGCGATGGATCTAATTGTAACGGATGAGGAGGGGAGAGAGATTGTCACGAGGCGATGAGAGGGCTAGCGGCAAAGAATTGAAAGTGCTGGCTTCGAGAATATCAAAATATGAAAGAGGCTCAAGAGGATATTTCCAACCAGAATGATGTGCTTCTTACAGCTGGGGGTAGTGTTAGTAGGGATAGACAAGGCAGTTCGTTTTGATTTCTTGGAAGTAGACGGTGGTGCGAGGAGTATATATTCCTGTATGGAACAAAGATGTTTAAGGCTGATCTCTAAATTTCACTGGATCTATTTGAATACGAGTCAGAGCAGCTATGTTTGAAACTGTGTGAGAAAGGGACGCTAAGATGGCCGCGGCGTGATCGGCACCTTGTATATGTTAACAGGACCCAATCAAATGGCCGTTTATCCCTTGATAGACTCCTCACAGTTATAGTAATATTATTGCAACTATATTACTTTATATATCTAGTCGAGCTACATATTATAATAACCTAGCCTTTAAAATTCGATCTAGACTCGAAAGATATCTAAGTAGTTAGATGATAACTTAAAAGTTCGATATATTCGATATATTATTAAAACTAGAAGTTGTAGATATAATATAATTAATAATAATAAAAGAAGTAGTAAGTAGTAAGAAGTAAGTATAGAAGTAAAAGACGATTTATTAACTTAAGAGAGAAGAAGTTTTTAGAGCTTTTTCTTTATATTTATATAAGTTAAAATAATCTATACTTTTATTTTCTTAATAATTTTATAATAATAATAATAAAATAAATAACTTAACTTCAAGTAACTAAAGTAATTAGTAATATTTATAATAAATAGAAAAGTAAGTTCTTTAACTTTAATTAGATAAATAAATGTATAAATTTAGTAAATAGTTCTACTAAACCACATAGCTTGCGAGGAAGCAACACTATAAGTCTACATAGGAGAGCCAAAATCAGTTTAGTTCCTGTCAAGTCGTTGACCTCGAGGATGTCTATCTTACTGTACCAGAAGCCTTGGCACTACGTATCGCATTAGCTGTGGCCCGACCCCACCGTCCGCCGCCATCTCTGGCAGATAAAAAGCGCTGTTCTCCCCGCACAGGGGCGTCGAGACGTCGACATCCACAGCGAGCTCCTGGTTAAGGAGGCTCGTCATCGCGTATTTGCCGTCGTCGCCTAAGAGGTAGACATATAAGGATGTAGCAGTAAGCTTACTATCTACGTTGACGTAGTAATATATAGCTAGCACGCTTCCTAAAGTAGAAACACTTATTATAGTTTAGTTTATTAGATCTAGATATATACTATATAATATAGTTTATATATTAAATATATTAGATATATATATATTAAGAATTAATTATATAACTATAATATAACTTTAACTACCTGCTTAAAATAGCAGTTTTCCGTGATTCTCCGTTCCAGATGCACAACTTCGGAGCAGAGGCCTTCAGTTTCCGAGAACATATTATCGTAGTTCCCAGGAGCTTCAACCTTAGTGCACCAAAATGATTAAAACCTCTTGTTCTACCTACGATGACTCTCCGAAATTAAAGCAAAATGCATGGCCAGACCCTCCCAGCTTTCTTGATAATTCCTGGGCTTCGGTTGCGGAAGGCTCAGATTCTTTCATACATATTAGCAAGGTTAGCCGGAAGCTAATTCTCTAGGCGGGCGCTCCTTAGCCTGCGTATCCATCTCATGTATCTCCGCTCCTTCAATTTCAACAGGCCGATTGGGGGCTGTCTCGCCACTCAACTCGGGCTTTTCGAATTTCTCACTCTGCTGTTTCGATAGTTCGTCTTTGGTCCGACGTCGCTTCATGTATATGAATACGCCCAAAAAAACAAGAACGAACGCTACGCATCCGATTCCAATGCCCGCTTTCGCGCCTGTTGAAAGGCTAGTTGAGTTCGACTTTTTTGGATAGCTGAGACTCGCAGTAGGGCTTGGAGTTGTTGACGTATCTGACGGGTTTGATAAAGTATTCGGGATGTTCGTTGATATTATTGAAGATGACGAGGACGTGGATGTTGTACTGGTGAAAGCGGCCGCCTTGACAATAGAGAAGCTAGGGCTTGTCACGTTGGCAGTCTGGTTAGATGCCATGAAAGAGAATTGGACATCCGACATAATATTAAACCCCGAAACAAGATCTGCATAATCTGGCACGGTCCAGTTGTAGGATAATTTTGTGTTGCCGCAATCGTCAAGATATGTCCAATTAGATGAAGGAGAAGATCCAAAAATAAACGAGCCGGAATCTACTGACAAAAATTATAATTAGCAAGATGTCCGGTGGCTTCTTACGATGTTGATTCGAATAATTTATTTGTAAACTCACCAACGATTACCATTCGCCTTTGGCGGCAAACCAACCAGAGGGATACCACTTGTACTGTGCCGGAATCATTCTTTCCGCCCCACCATGAGACCTGAACATTTTGATCTGCGCTTATTGTCAGGCTGAGGGCCACGGTGCCAAATTCTGGCGAGAAGAACTTGTTCGAGTAGTCGACTCCTAGGCACGAAGGTTCTGCCATGGTCGCATAGGGAGAAAGCAATTCGATCTCTCCCAAGATGTCGTCGGATTCTTTGGAAATTTGATTATTGTTCCACAGAGCTTGATGCCAAATTAACAGTACCTATATTTAGGCGACGCGGCGTAGGTAGTCGAGACCAATCTTAATATCAGGCTACTTCGTATTATTAGAACTTCTACGTCGTGCCCCTTGCAAAGAGCCAACAAATAATTCCAACATCTGCAGGTTGCGCTTCTTGCATCGGAGCTGTGCGTCGTTGCATTTACCCGTAGTGTTAGATCTATTATACAGGGTCGGGAGGTAATTCGGATTGTACGCCTTACATTAAGAAGATCTACGTCATTAGAACCGCTGCGTCGTACCCTTTGCAAAGAGCTAACAAATAATTCCAATATCTGCAGGTTACGTTTCTTGTATCGGAGCTTTACGTTGTTATAGTTATCCGCCATGAAGGATCTTATAGTATACTTCTATAACTCCACTCCTCTACTAAGTTAAATCTAAGTAATATTATAATTAGATTATAATATAAAATCAATTACCTAATTACCTAGTTATTTATGCTCGTCCGTATATCTATACTTTAGGGGAAATAAAACTATAGAGTATAAATATCGATACGATTACTTCGATAAATAGAAAGAAGAAAACTCGACCCTTTCGGACTTGAATATTTAATGAAGGTGCTCGTGATCAAAGAACTCCACAGTCGGCATCAGAATACTGACACAGCTTGAACTGTCTACCGCTATATAAGAGAACTAGCTACATCCGATGGCAGATATTGGTGAGCAGCTCTGCGCGCCGTGACCGTAACCTCACGTGTCCCCCGTATTGCTACTGCAAGCTTGACCGGGCAAGTAGCAGTTGTAGATATAGCTAGACTGGAGAGCTGACGCCGCGTCGAGCGGCACCGCATATGCGTCTACGGACAGCCCCCCGATTAAGACGCCGGTGAGTCGGAAATAACCGTAAAGCCATAGATTAAGTTCTCGTCGACCCATTTGTAGCACAGATCACTAGCTATCTGGTGAGTCACGGTACTCGGATCAATAAAGGTGACCGAGGTTTCCGCGCGCGATGTCTCCTCTGTCTCTCGACTCTTATCTATTTTGATTGATGGACTTATGATAAGAGAGGAATAACATGTCGCATAGGAAGATAACTTTCGGTGGAACATTTGCTAATTCCAACAGTCGCTGCACGCTATGACATCAAAGCTTTCGGCATGGTCTGTTTACTCCGCTGTGTTGGATCTCCGGACTTTCGTGTGCTCGCACTGTATCTTGCTATCTCGAGGAGTAAAGCGTTGTCGCACTTACCTAAGATGTTGGATTTCTTATCTTAGAAGAGCCGAGGGACATCTGCGAATCACGACATCTCCACCGTTACAGCCGGGTCAACAGCTGGCCTTTCTAGGTGTTTTCGAGAAACTCTCCACCCGTGTCATCCGCATCGATCGAGAATGGAGAAGAGGCGTGGAGGTGGACCGCCGGCTCTTCCCGTTAAACGGAACCCAGGCGACAAAGCAGCGCCACAAGGTGGAGACCTAAGTGGGGCCCTGGCCCTGGTGAGTTTCAAGGGTCAGATGTGAGGATCAACATGGTTATGTGCCGCATAAGCTAGGTCAAGGTAAGTATCCACACATACAGTCTTACTAAGTACCTCGGAAGTAATCGTTTACTTAGCGGTCTTTGACTCCGCAGGCGGCCCGATCCGGACGCCGTTTCCCACATTTATGTCCTTGTCATACCCTGTGTCTACCGGTACATTGTTGGAAAAGACCCCAAGCTACGGATGCGTATTTCGGAGTATTTGCCGCGTAAACGCTTCCGATCAAGGCCAGCCAATGAGAAAGACAAGCGTGAGGTGACCGCCAGTTCCACATGTAATTCCCAGAAACGGCCGGAAGATGGGAGTGCAATAGTACGTGCATTTAAAAAGCCACCAACATTACGGCTTTTTTCAATTAGGGCGATCTTCACCGATGATGACTCCAAACGTTCGCACTTGACGGGAGACTGACAAAACTCTCTCACCAACGCGCCATGGATGCCTTAAATTCCATCGAGAACGGTGTCGAAAGCCTCAATATCCCGACCAGTGACAGCACCAGCAACAATGGACACCGAGAGCAGGGACACCGAGAACCATAAGGTTACCGGCGCCAAAGAGCCTAACAGATCACTTGAGGTGCGTACTAAAATCCAGCATCAGACATCTTACTGGTCATGGTTAGGAATATTTGCAGCTGATTATTGTACCCATAGCTGGAACCTCCCCCGGATTTCCTGCAGCACCGCTCATCCATCTTTGACAAGCTCAAAGCCACATACGACGAAGAAGTCAGCAGTAAGAATCCACGCGCAATTTTGATAGCTATAAACAAACACTCTCTAATTGACTGTGAACAGGGAAACCCCATGACAAGATTGAAATCGCTCTGTCCGATGGCCGCTTGGAGATTGGCACGGCATGGGAATCTACTCCAGGACTCATTGCACGAACAATTTCAAAGTCATTATTTGAGAGGACGGTCATCTCTGTGATGGATGGAGAGCTGTGGGATTTAGAAAGACCTCTAGAGAAGAGCTGCAAGCTGGAGTTCCTAGACTTTGAGCACCCCAAAGGTGCGCACGACTGAGAGAGACATTTGACAACAATCTTGTGCTGACAGCCTCATTACATAGGCAAACAAGTGTTCTGGCACTCGAGTGCTCACATTCTAGGAGAAGCTGCAGAGAGGAGATTCGGATGTCACTTGTGTAATGGACCACCAACAGAGGATCCACCTGGATTCTACTATGACATAGGGAATATGAATGGGTAAAGCCTCTTCACCACTCCAACATGTGAGTAACGTTAACATGATATCAGCATCACTGTGCAGGAATCGGATTGGAAACCTCTGGAGACTATCGCTAATCAAGCCATCAAAGAGAAGCAGCCATTCGAGCGATTGATTATGTCGAAGACGAACCTACTCGAAATGTTCAAATACAACAAGTACAAGGTTCATTTCATCCAAGAGAAAGTCCCTGATGGAACGAGCACTACGGTGTACCGCTGCGGCCCGCTCATCGATTTGTGTGTTGGACCACATGTACCACATACTGGTCGAATCAAAGCCTTCGCAATCTTGAAGGTATCCAAAGCACTTGTCCGAATGGCATCCAAATATGAACTGATATATAATGCTAGAATTCTTCTGCCTATTGGCTTGGAATTTCGGCGAACGAATCCCTTCAGCGCATTGCCGGCGTGTCGTTCCCTGAGAAGAAACTGCTAGAGAAGCACAAAAAATACCTACTGGAGGCCGCGAAGCGGAATCATAGAAAGATTGGGCAAGACCAGAAGCTTTTCTTCTTCGACGCGGTTTCTCCAGGTTCCTGCTTTTTCCTTCCACACGGTGCCCGCATCTACAATGCCATGCTAGATCTCCTGAAATCCGAGTACCGGAAGCGCGATTATGACGAGGTCATCACGCCTAACATGTTCAAAGCCGACCTATGGAAGACTTCGGGTCATTGGGACCATTATGACGATGGCATGTTCACCTTCGCAGTGGAGAAAGAACAATTTGGACTTAAACCAATGAACTGCCCTGGCCATTGTAAGATTTTTGCCCACAGAGATGTTAGTTATAAAAACCTACCTATGCGTCTTGCAGACTTTGGCGTTGTTCACCGAAACGAGTTTTCGGGGGCGTTGACAGGCTTGACTAGAGTACGACGATTTCAGCAAGATGATTCCCATATCTTCTGCACTCAAGAGCAGGTATGTGAGCATGCATTCTACTCTCTTACTAGATATCTAATTTTGTTAGGTTGAGGAGGAAATCAAAGGCATTTTTGACTTCATAAGTTCCGTTTACGGATTGTTCGGCTTCACATTCAAACTCAAGCTTTCCACCAGACCGGAGAAGTACCTAGGAGATATTTCTACTTGGAACGAGGCCGAGACCAAACTCGCGACAGCCCTGGACTCTTTCGCTGCAGCAACCGGTGCTGTGTGGCAGGAAAATCCTGGCGATGGTGCCTTCTACGGTCCAAAGATAGATATCACCATGTACGATGCCCTTCGGCGCGATCATCAATGCGGTACCATTCAACTCGATTTCCAGCTGCCGCAGCGATTCAATCTACAATACGTGGCCAAGGAAGAGCCTTCCGGCCCCAAAAGCGTAACCGCCGGCGAAAGTGAACTGTCTCCTGGGTACCACCGGCCAGTGATGATTCACCGGGCGATCTTTGGCAGCTTCGAAAGAATGTTTGGTGTTTTGACAGAGCACTTTGCTGGGAAATGGCCATTCTGGCTCAGCCCTCGCCAAATTCTCATAATCCCAATCATGTCAGCAGTCAACGGCTATGTGCTGGAAGTGCAGAAAATCTTTAAGGAGAAGATGATGTATGTGGATGTCGACTTGAGCGGCAATACTTTGCAGAAGAAAATCCGGAATGGGCAGATTGAGCAGTATAACTTTATCTTTGGTAAGAAATACTGACCGCACCCTTGGAGCTTCGTAAGGCTGACGTGCGTAGTTGTTGGTGCACAGGAGCAGGAGTCGTGTACAGTCAACATTCGAAACCGGGATGATCAGACTACGCAGGCCAAAGGCAGACTCATTCCATTGCAGGAGGCAATTGACAAGCTCGTCATTTTGCGAGATGAGCGAAGGCTGATCAATGCCATTTGAAGCTACCATTTTCGAGTTCTGTGCGCACTGTCTAATCAATGCTACCGTTGACACAAACGTTTAGCGGGAAGGTTGAAGTACACGAGGGTATACAATGGACGATCATAGATATTAGTCATTGCTGCTACAGCGTCGCTGTGTGCCAAGGAAAGTCGAGACATCATGACATACTCTAGACTACGGACCCCTCAGCAGTGTTCTGATTTTCCCGGCCATTCTTCTTCCCATCCTTGCCTTTCCTTATCCTTGCTTTGCGTAATTTGAGATTCTCAGTACTGTACGTTGCTCTTCCTTTCTTCACTAAGGGTCGAGTCAGGCAGGTTCGAGAAAGTTGTTCTTCGGCTGTTGGTTCTGAGAATTTCCCCGGTGCTTCTGATCCAGCCGTACCCTCGCAGCCCCTCCGAGCGGCAAAGCTGATGTATAGATAAGATCAGCCCAATTTCGACAGTTAGGCGCTCATTAGTTACCACTTAAGCTGCTTAATTCCCCTCGCTGAACATTTCGCACATGCTCAGACTAGTTTTCTCTCTGCCCAATTCGTTTTTCAACTCCGTGCACAGAACACTGTCAACCACCGAGATATCCACCTTATCCTGTGTATTTGCGCCCGGGCCTGCGCCTGTTGCGTTGTTGCGTGACTTGGACATCGGGTCAAGTTCGTGGAAGATCTTTACTGCCGGTCGACGGGTCTTTATGGGAATCGAAAATTGTGCCTCTCCAGACCTTTCGTTCAGACTGTCCCTTCTCCTTATACAAATACTAGCCTTATAGGAATGAGAAGCTGCTTGATATTTGCGTGGATTTCTCAACGAAAGATGGGCATGAGAAATATCAGGAGCCGCACGAAGTGGGAGATCAGGACGAAGCTTATCGACATTTTCTGAGGTTGAAGTTGAGAAAATTGAACGGAGGGCCCACTGAACAGGAGAAAGATGCGGATTTAGAGCAGAGAGGGAATATTCAAACTTAGAAGATCATTAAATCTGTGGCCCTTCTACAGTTTCTTAAACCCCCTCAAAGCCTATAGATACGCTGCATATGAAGATATTTCCGAAGGGAACCTATCCATAGCTGATTCTAAGAAAGAATCTTCAAGATGACCCAGTAAATGACCTCCCAAACCAAAGTCCCAACCCCACTTTGGGACACTGAGGTTCAAGCATTACACCCACCTTCTCCACATATTCCAACCCGCCCTTGATAATCGCAACATCGTCGTTCCGCGCAAATATAACATCTCGCCTCGCTAATCCACAGATAATGTTTCGAGTGCCAGAAAACCAATCGTACGGCACGAAGAAGTGCCGTGAGTATGAAACAGAGCGGCCGAAAGTACTCTTGAGACTCGCGGAACACACCCATGAGTGTGTGTCGAGGAAGACAAGCTTTCCGTTTTCACTGATGCCGATGACGTGCGAGACGTAGTCTGCTAGGAAGTCGATTTGCGAGCGTAGTCTTGGGCTCAAAAGTGCGGGTGGGATGGGTGATTGAAGAGAGGCGGTGACCTCCCTGGTATTAGTCGAATCATTCTTTTGATTTTGTTTGGTATTGTTGCTGATGTCGATGTCGAAGAGAGCAACATCAACAGAGTATAATTCTCGCCTGTTCGCTGAACCGTTCAATTCAGACATCTCCAGCAGAATTTGTGGCTTGCGCTCCATTATGAATGGAAAGATGGATTTCAGCTGTAGCCCCTCGACATCGATGTCAAGACAAACACAAGCAACTTCCGACCAGTCATCCCACAAGTAGATCTTAGCATATGCACCATCAATACAGATGATTTGAAGCGGTGACTGTAGATGCTGAATCCATTTTCGAATCCTAGGCTTCTCTGAGTGTCCACGAACCCTTTCTTCGTGGCCGGTGATGCTCCAGAAGTGGTCTGATTCACGAGTCGAAAGGATGAACTTCCCGGCCGCTTCGCCTGGTAGCACTTGGATGATGGTACTGCCGCAATCAAGACGACACTGAAACAGTTGTGTGTCGATTTTCCAGCTGGGGGGTTTACCCTGTTGCAATTTCCACGCAAATATGGTGTTAGATGTGTCGACACTCATTACTACGCCAGTCGATGGCAACCAGATTAGGATGTGAACAAGTGATTTGTGGCGATAGAGTGTACCCATCTGGACACCGCTCCTCACATTGTAGACAGAAACCGAGCCATCTTCCTTGCCGCAGAATGCTACCTCTAAATCTTGGTGCAAGATCATGGCACTGATCCTAACTTTGCTATCAGATAAGATTGCCTCCACAACAGAGGTCGATGAGTCCTCGCTGCTATCGTCGCTAGCTATGTCACGCAACAGAACTGCCGGCTCCCAGACATTGCATTGAGAGCCTCTGATATCCGTAAAATGGAGACCATCTGGACTAAAAGCTAGTTGCTTGATGTAGAAGTTGGATGATTTTACCCTGTAGAGTAATCGTAAAGTGTCAAATTCGTACACCTGGATGATCCCAGAGCCTGCACCTCCCGCAAGCAAGCGACCATCCGAGCTGGCAGCGAGAGTATGGCAGTCTGCTCGGAAACTACACTGTTCTTGGTCATTGAAGGGATCGAGAATCGCTAGTTGCCCATCAAGATAAGATGCAGCCAGAAGCCCAATATTAACGTTGGGATTGAAGACGAGAGCAGAGATGACATGGGTGCTAGTTTTGCCATTGGACAATTTTCTGCCACAGTTGCCATAGAACATATCTCCGGCTAGATCCCAAAGTAATATAGGCTTTCCGCTGTACGCTACAGCCAGCATTTGATGGCTTGCAGATATTGATATGGCGCATGGTGGTCGGCGAAATTGCGTGGTAGTCTGGTCGAGAGAATCGTTCCATAATCTGTCTGGTTTTCGTGCTCCGTCATTGTCCAAATCCCATGTTGCTAGGCTGTTTTGATGCGAAGCAGCCATGAGTAAGTTTTGGTCAAAGGCCAAACAGATGGGACGTTGAGGGGCCTGAAAGCTGTGGACTATTTCGCCCCTGCGAATGTCCCATATTCTTACATTCTTCATGCCACAGGATGCCATGAGATCAGACTTCTCCTTGAATTGCAAGAATTTGACAGCCTCGCCATGGTTGAGACTTCTATATTCCTGGTAAGATGATGCATGATACAGATTGATTGTCCCATTTGTGAGGCCAACTGCCAGGAACTGGTCACCAGCACTGACCGCACTCGTCTGACCCTGGTTGAATTCAATGCAGGATATTCGATCATCCCATTGAGAATTTGAAAGTCCTACAATCGTAAGCCTTCGTCCATTGTTGGCTGTTTTGTATACCGAAGATGCCGTGGGACAGAATGGAAGGACAAGAGAATAGATCGCGGAAGGTGACAAAACAAGTGCGTCTGCAAATTTAGCAGTGATACGAATGAGATCCGTGGTCCAGCCTCTGATGAGCGATACCTCGCTGCTGACGGGAGATCGTTCCGCGGAACATGCATTGAGATATGATCGTAAATGCTTTGCAACGCGAATAAAAAGTATGAGATCTTGTGTCTGAGCGATAATCTCTATCCACGATAAGACATTGAGTTTGAGGAACTTGTCCACATGAGACAGAAGGTCATTTGAGCGGGGGTCGGCATTCGCTAGATGGTATGAAAATGTCGTACAAGCGTATTGTGAAAATTCTCCTCTCTTTATGGCGATACTAGACTGACATCTGCCCGTTCGAGGTGGCTTCATTTTATCCCCGGTGAGGTATATGAGACAAGCTTTTGCAATCCGTGTATGTGCCTCCATTGGCTTAATTGCAAGCTCGGAATTCAAGTTGGCATCCAAAAGAAATTCTCTGGCTGTCTCGTGGACCATCTGAACTCTGTCAAATCGATCAATGGCTACTAGTTGCCCACACAGTGCCGTAATAGTTTGGTCCAGTCCGTGACAGGTTTCGTTGGCGTCTAGTTTGAGCGCAATATCAAGCTCCATCAAAGACATGGGTCTAGTCGCACATGTTGCCCAAATTAGTATGGCGCGAGCCAGCTTGCGTCCATGTGTGTTCTGTGACATGGTATCTAAAGTCCGCTGGTACCAAGGCTTCATATCGGAAGGCACATCATCAAGGACCTGGTTGATATCTTTCTGACTATAACATTTGGACAATTCATTGACGACCAAGATTGTCCAAAGGAATGACCCATTCGATTTTTGCAATATTTTTTCCACTAGAGCAGTACGGTCATCGTCATTATGCAGACGAAAGGCTTTCGCCTTGGATTGGACAAGGAGCTTGATGTCTGGAAGGGTGTCTGCCGTAGAGATCTGTTGGAGTTGGTATCGACGGGGGCCGAGGCTTTTGAAACTCTCCTCGAGGTCTCCAGTGATTCGGCTGGTGATGAGGACTCGCAGTGGCACGGAGGACTCGAGATTGTTCAACATAAGGTCAAAGAGAGCCAGTGGGTTGACACATTCATCCAGCGCATCAATAATCCAGTAATGACTTGAGAATGTCGTTTTGAAGATGCCGGAAAGAAATAATTTCCGCCAAATGGTACGCTCATTGTCCCTATCGAACTTGATATTATCCCTTTGCATCTCTAGCAACTTTTGGCGGACTGCAAAGTCAGAGCAAGCCATCTGGAAAGCCAAAGATCTCAGACAGGCACCCAGTCGTGATTTGGATTTATCTCCATACTTAAAGAAGAAGAAACTGCAATTTTCTTTTCCATTTCTTTTTTCATTTTGCAGATGATCGAAAGCGTAGCCTGCAAGGATCGATTTGCCAGCAGCTGGTTTTGCGCCGATCCATAAAACAGTGGGAGCTAGTTGCCCAAAGTTCTTCCAATTGAGGAAGGCATTTTTGGTTGAGAACCATTCACATGTCCCGGACAATCGTGCCTCCTGCGCAGTACCAAGATCACTATCGAACTTGTCCAACACTCCTAAATAGCTTTCGAGATCCTTCAGCTGGCTATGCCGTAAATCTTGCTGCGATGTCCGCACTGCTGGGTTTTTAGTGGAACAAACGAATCAAATCAAGGATGGCTGTAATTACCCGTCTTTGATATTTCGATAACAGTAGTCTCAAGAGAATTGCGAAGAATCTGATAGTTGGGATCCGCGATCGAGTCAAACTTGCAGATTGAGCGATGATCGGCATTCATGAGCATCTGCTTCTCATCGCGAAAGCCCATGACTGCTGAGTCCGGCGGGACAATGATTCGACTGAAGATTTTCCCCATGCTAAGGGGCAAAGTCTCGTAAAAGGACCAGAGATCGAGGTCTCGCTCATAGTTGCGAAAGTCATCGCTGATGGTTTGAATGGTACCGGAGTCTCGTTTGAGCTCTGCGACGTATTCGCGCGGTATCGAGGCGAACTGAAGAATATCGCTCAAGAGTTTGGCGGAATCGGAGCCACTGTGCGGAGTGGCAAGGAAGTATATTGAATGCACGCGGTTGGCCAGAGATTCATAAGCGGCACTCTGTCTTGCTAGATTGTAAGCCTTCTTAATTACCAAACCTCCCATACTATGCCCGACGAGTACTATTGGTGTATCCGCATCTCTCAAACATGGCAGCGTGCTCATCTGACCCAAAAGAGATTTGCCGAAATGAAGTATGTTCAGGAAATTGACCTTGCCTTTTGCCCAGTCCGAATCGTATCCGAAACTGTGTATTCGTACATTTTGGAAAGCTAGATCTCTAGGAAGCCATTCCCGTGGCCAAAAGTCTTTCACCGAAGTCGTCTTGCTCCATGTCTTTCTCGATCCACCGCCAAGGCCATGAACAAAAATAAAGTCGACAAGAGGCTCTGTTGGAGCATATAGAAGGTTAAGGCCGAGAGGTCCTTTTGGATCTGCGGAAAGACGTTCGGTATTTTTGGCCCCCTCACCGAAGCGCGGAGAGCCAGAGGGAATTCCATGAGCTGAGACGACTTCTGGTATGGGCAGTTCATTATCTTCGCGTTGAGAAACACTAAATGATTTAGCAAAAGTCAAAGATAGGCGTATCAACAAATGCTCTTACGACATCTTGGGGTATCTTTCCAGGCTCGCAAAGCTTAATCATTGCATAAATCCACTTGAGCATCGACAGGTGTCGCTTCTAAAGCATTCTCGTAGCATTACGATGATTGAAAGTTGTGCTAAAGTGTTTCAATTGTGCTAGGTTGGGCAATGTGATTCGCGCAGGTTGACCTGGTTGATAGCCTTGTGGAAAGCACTCATTAACAGAGTGCTGCTGATCAAAACAAGTAATCGAAAAGCTCTGTCAGCAGTTCATTGAAGCATGTTGAAATCGCTTTTGAGCACATACTCAGCGGGGGGCGTCTTATTTCTCAAGCGCCCGCCCCTGCGAATGGCATGCCCGAGCCCGGGGCAATTCATCGTATCATCCAATTGTGTTGAAGGCATAGCCACTGCATGTTGTACCTTTCGTACTCTGCACGGAGCGTACACGGCGTGGGCAAAATTGCAGGGGCTGCCTCCGGGGTGGCGTATTGGTTGGCCAGTGAGTTGCGGAAGCGCCCACCATCCTAAACACGAACAACGCACCTATATCCCGGCAAATGAGGGCTTTGTATTTTTGTCTATCGTCAGAAAGATAGAAAGCTCCTCGAAGCCTCCGCTAACGCTGTAAGTGTGCACCTCGATCAATAATCGCGGTCGCAATTCAGGTCTGCCTCCTCGATCATTATATGAGAAACTGCGACTGAACGAGAGCGATCCTTTCTTCAATTTCGACTCGCTGATGGCGTCCGAAAAACCCATCCCCACATCGCGGCTGGCAATCATGAGGGATACATGGAATATGCTCTGGAGCAGGCTCGACGCTCTCCTCCAGCACCCACCAAGTTTTGCGTAGGAGCCGTCCTTGTCGATGCGGATAAGAAGGTGCCGAATACAGGGTTGTCTGTGCCAGTTCCGGGTACTCGAGGTATATGTTAGCAATCAAGGCAAAGTAATGTAATTATGGCGTCCCTTCGTTTGTCCATCGAGTATCTCTCACTAAGCTTCCGCGTAGCCCATGCCGAGTTGCTGCCCTTTCCAGGTGCCTCGCCAGGGATATCACTGGGTGCATTATGAAATGTATGAAGCGCAGTCTCTTTCATATATTTAGAGATTAGGCCCAAGGCCTTCACTTCTGCGCCTTGTTCACGCGTTTCCATTGCAAGATATACCTATGCAGGTCAGTCAGTCTCACGGCCGTTGTTGTGGAATGCAACTCCCAGAATTAGGTTCCACTTACATCGTACACCGAGCGAGCCTGCGGGTGAGAAGCCAGGAAGTTCAAGGTCTCCCGCAGCCCGTCGATGTCCTCCTTATCATTCGGGATTATAATAGCGCGGATGATCTTGTCCTGGTCGAGCTCGATCTCCGTGATCGAGTCTCTCATCTCGTTGTCTCCGCCTCGCTCGAGGTAGCAGATACTCGCTGGATTGGGAGGGCTACTTCGCATGGGAAGAGGACGGCAGAGGACGTGTGGAGCCTGCTGCGCCTTATTTGCCGTAGTGTGCGGCTATTAGATGTGACTGGAGCTCTCTTTAGAATGAAGGTAAGTCAGGATACCTAGTTACGTAGGGACATTATTTTTGCATTCTCACTGTAACAGTCAGTAAGATGACGCAATCATTCTGAGCTTAAAGTCTGTCCGCTGAGGCGTTTTGAGCGTGCGTAGCGAGCGAAAAGAACCAGTAGCTAGACAGTTATTCCCAATCGGTCTGAATTGCGAGACATGACCTTCGCGTGTAAAGTAACGGCGGTGACATCCCGCTCAGGCTACCCAAGAAATAGCATTTTTGTTCAACTAGACCCGCATGTGACACTGACTGTGTTAGTTGTCTTCCTACTCTACCTCATGCGACATCGATGACGGCAGCTTCAGGATTTGTTGCCAGTGATAGCAGCGTATCATTTGCGCTCAATGTCCCCAATGATCAGGCCGATAATACAAGCTAGTATTTTGTCCTCGCAGGACCAAGCGCCTCACCATGGATTATTAGTTTCATTACGATGTCTGTACGACCATTTCTAATTCCAAATAGTCTGGACTCTGTAGGTATGGGCAATAATCAGATGAAGGATACGTTGATATTGATAATGCACGCGGATTCTACTGGAAAGAACGTCACTGTCAGCCCGCGACTGTCATATGGCAATATCGAGCCATCATATACATACATCGAATATAAAGTACACAGTCGCTCCAGGCAGCGGGATTTCGAATGGCTCAATGATGGCTAGTGTGCGATGATTTTACAAGTTATATTTCTTCTATTCACACGTATATATTTATTAGCTAAAAATAGGAATCGAAAGTAAGTAATAGCGAGAATCTCTTATATTATCGGTTAAAACAAGTTCTCGGCTTTATATAAAGATAATAAAATTAAAGATAGAGAAAGTTGGAAGTAATATAGAGAAAATAGAAAGAAACTAAGAAATATTTTACTACGAAATAAATTAAATAGAAATAAATTAAATAGAAATTTATAGAAATTTCTTTATATAATAAATTATTAGTTATTATTTTATAAATATATAACTGAAGTTATAATAAGTTTCTATTATATAATATCTTTTGACTAAGTTCTGCGGTTTAAGCTCTTAAATTCAGCTAGTTTGATCGCTGTTTTATGTCCCTTCAACCGCTCGCCAAACTCTGCCTGCAGCGCACGTGCTTTAGTTCCTATGGAGCGATTCATGTTCCCCCTCAAAAGGTTGCTGGGTTGTCATTCAATCTCAATTCTAAGTTTAGGAGGTAGAAACTGCTCCTTGTTAGTCATAGTAAGGGCTCCTTTTTAAGGCCACTCCAGGCTGTCATAGACATCGCAGTTTCCGCCCTCCCTCGCAGCTTCTAAACTCTTTTCCTCACGGTTCCCTCTTCTCCTTCTCCTTAAACTCTTGACAAGTCTCGCGCCCTTAGCTATGGTTTCTTCCTTTATAAAGACTCTTCGACTTTATTTGGTCGTCGCTGCTATCTGCACTACTACTATAATTCGGCTTTTCACTTACTTTTACTTTGCCTAACCTCTTCACTTTCTTCCTCCCAAAAGCCGTGAACTTTGAACACTCGACTATCTATTGCCGTCGAAATTAGCTGCAAACTCCTCCTCACCTCCTCCTTAACAGCATTCCGACGTGACCATGACTCCGATTCAAATTCCAGTCAATGACACCCTCGAGACGCTTCAGAATGTTCTTAAACGGCGGAGAGAAGCTCAAGAGGTAGAACAGAGAAAAGTCCTTAGCGGAGGAGATTATCAACAGATAGAGGATAATTATAACAAGACAGCATTTATACCACCCCTTAATGCCAACAATACAAAGGCTAGTATATACTACACCAGATTGAAATGGACCAGGTATACTCAGCAAACATAGAGACTCGATGTTAAAGACTAGGCCAGGCTAATAAAGTGATAGATATTGCGCGCACAAAAAGAAGAAGTCCTAGCGGAAAGCTCTCCGCGCTACGCAGTGTACCAAGGGAAATATAATGGGCTTCTTAAGCTGGATCTGTGAGGAATATATCGTGCCCAAGCTAGAAAGGGGGAAGACTAGGAGAAGGAAGTCAGTTAATCAGTATTGGCGAGATTTCAAGATACTCTACCGTCGTGTCAATGGCTCTTATGTTAATGCAAATGACTCCCACGAAGTCGTCAAGGTAAGTCCAGGCTCGTGGTTCCTGTTCTCGGTATGCCGCTAATCTTACTATGAAAAGTTTATTAATAGTCAACTCAAGATCAAGTATAAGTTAGATAACACGCCGAAGCCCAAACTAGTAGCAGGGGCAGACACACTGCTCCTACTTTTGGTCTATCTTTGGGCCCGTGATCAGTCTATATTCCGGACAGAAGGCGATCGTCTAGACTTTGCGTGTACGACGCTATTCCAAGCTTACATAGGCGGTCGACCTGCCGAGTTCGTTCACGCGTCGAAAAGTACTACTAGCCAAGATCCTCTTAGCGAAAAGGAAAAGACCCCTAGATTGGAGCACTATCAACCGTCTATCCATCCTAATCAGCCCGATAGCGACTATTCCGACTATGAAGATAATAGCGAGGCAGGCGATGAGATCCCCGACGAGGATCTCTTCGATGACTACACGATCCCCTTAGACGAGGATGAGCGACTCTCTAATAATAATAATGAGACAGACAATGAAAGGGTTATTAAGGAGTAGGCAAGCAGGTGCGACAATTCAGCTAACGAGTATACTAGTAATAGAGACATCTTCATAACAGAAGATGAAATGGAGAGCTTTGCGATAGAGGCCGAGGAAGTGAGCAGCCCGGTCGTACGGAGCGTTTATGTCACGCCGCTGGCTGGGTCTAACGAGGAAGTACGGGAGACGAAAGCAATCTGTTACGAGGACATCTGCCTCTAGATCGTCGAGAATCCTCAGCCGTGAGAGAGGGACCTACTCGCTATAGAGGTTTTCCTTAGGAACTATAAAGGTGTAGATAACAAGCCTAAACCGTATGTATGCCTCCCCTAACCATCGTCCTAATTAACCTTGCCTCGGACAGGACTATCTTCTTGTTTCGTAAGAACGCTCTCCAGATTCTATGTCCTATTAGCTATGTCTTAGTTCGCGTTATCATAGACAAAGCAGTACTAGTTAATGGTTACACGTCCGCCTGGCCTTTCTTCACGACAAATCTTCGGCGTATCGGCCAGAAAGCAATGCGTGTCAACTGGAAGCCTAAATGGCTAAAGCGCCCTCTCTTTCGGAAATCTGTGCTCGAGGAGGGTGAGTGGGTGAAGTCTAAGATAGAGCCTATAACCTACTCGTTTTATAATTACGTCTTTAGGCAATGTGGGATAGGCATCGGCTTAGAGGAGACCTTAGCCTCGTATTGTTTCCGGCGAGGACTGCTTAACAAGGTTAATAGTATATATCTTCCTTCTTCCCCGATATGCTTCACGTGGCTAACGGCAGTCTTAAGGTCATTCTTCCGATGCTATGCGGGATCAAATCGCGCGCCACGCTACGGGATCCGGGGTTTTCAACGGTTCGTATATTAATAAGCATGTGAACTTCAATTCACAAGACGCTTATCTCGAGAGTGAGGTCTCCGAAGAAGGCCTCACTCGTGTGTTTGCCTATATGAGCCTTCGCTATAACCCGGGAGCTCCTTCCGGTGTGCCTTCAGAGTTGTTGCATGAACTCTTGACCGAGGACACTAAGATTGCAACCCTCGGGCGAGAAGTGGAGGAGCTCCGCAAGGATATAAAGGCGACGTATAGTCTTATTAAGCACGCACTAGCGGAGAGGATCCAAGAGTATAGGTACCTCCAGCAGCGGCTAAAGAATGCCAAAAAGAGTCTAATAGATGAGTTTAACACGGTCTATAGACAGGATTATTTCTCCTGTGTTTATAACGAGATGATGAAAATGTCGCTTGACCAAACCGCGATCGTGGAGCCAGGCGACGAGCCTATGGTCCAACACGCGCTCGAGGAACGGAATCAACTATAGGAGGCCCTCTGTGACTTCTCTCGGGATCTGACCTCGCAAGAGATCGTCTCGCGCAAGGTCGCCGCAATTACCCTCTTGATTGCGCCCGCCTCTCGGCGAGAGTGTCAGACACGCCAGCCGCGATAGCCCTCAACTAAATGCAAAGATCTAATTAAGCAAGAGGATCCTTCTCTTGCACCCCCTCCCTTCCCACAGCCTGACTCACTTATGCTTGCATGCGGGAAGAAACAATGTATTATATGCTTCTGCGATACACGGCTGCTGGAGAAGGATTGGAGACGCAACTTCTCCCGTGTGTCACATATGATGACCCATGTTGAGCGTCTGCACTTAAGCAAGCTTTTGCCTGGTGAGAAGCCGGTCTGTCGACATATTCAGTGCTCTCCCGGAGGTTGGGGCTTATTCTTTGACAAAATAACGCAATTTAAGATTCACGTGGCGGAGGTGCATAAGATTAACCTTCGCGCCTCTTAGGCGTCGGATAGATCCTCCTTGACGAAGCCGAGCGTGTTATCGAACATCTCAGAAGACGAAAGGGTTATACGTCCGCCGCGCCCTTTTTCTAAGACACTTGCTCCTAATCACTCCCGGAAGTATAGGGATTCTCAGAATCATGAGAGGAGCTGGCTCTCGATAAATTGCTTTAGATGTCTCGACTGTGACTGGAAAGAGCAGCTTGGGAGTTTTTAAGGAGAAGCACGAGAAGATGAACACGGCGGCTCTACAGAAGTGGCTATTCGAAAGGCCCCTCCCGTTTAGCTCGTCCATGTGAATAGTCGTGACCTAAGGGGCCCCGAAGACACCGACACTTTTAGCACCGATATCCTAGAAGTAAGTAGTTATATCAGCATCATATCTTTAGCCTAAGTATATATATACGGGTAATTTCCGAGTTAGTAATAGAAGTTGTGTTTGAATTTAAAAATTTACTGTAAAACACTTATATAAATTATTAAAAATCGCTGTTTAGTAACTCTACCTAGTACTTTTATGCTACTTTCGAATAGACCTATGAAGTCTACTCTACTAGATAGTCCTTAGCAAAAGTCACAAGACAAAATGCTAGATGTCAAGTTAGAGTACTAGAAACTTTGCGATATAATATAGAGGAAAGGATATACTTCGAGGTCATCTAACGCCGTTGAATAGGGCTTTAGTAGAGCTAAATGGCGAACATAGCGGGTTCGGCGAGCTACGACTCTGCCAGTTTGTGTCACTCGGAAGCAGGGCATTGTTAGGGGAATAGACTAGTGGAAAGGGAGCAGTATGTTGATAGTATCACCACAAACGAAGCAAAAATCCAAATCAGATGAATAGCTCTAAAGTTCGTACTTTATCATCAGGCCATTATAGTTCAGATGGCATAGTGAACTTATTAAGTGAGGCTTTTTATTATGGTTCGAGGTGCATATAATAACCTGGTCTAACTCCTAAATCTTATTTGTAAATTGTTATCAGATATCCAAATTTTTAAGCACGACTATATCCTACTACAACACGATGAAAAGAGAGAGCAATTCACAGAAGGGGGCGTTAAGGAGGAAGAAAACTTTATTAAAAAAGTCCTACGAATTAGGGAAAGTTCCTGGGATTGATATCCTTGTATATATCCGCCGAAGAGGTCGAATTACTACGTACCGATCGATTAACGACGAATCTTGGTAGCCACTGAAGTCAGACATTGTGAGTTAGATCAAATGAGGGTCTAATGTATAACTAATCATGTCAAGGATGACGCATACCCTATACCACAGAACTTTCTACCGCATCACTTTGAAAAAGCAGGGGAGTCGCTAGGTTATAGAGCAAACATTAGACTTGATGAAGTCGATAAGTAGACAGAGTAGCAGGATATAAATACATTTCCAAATTCTACCATTCCTCTTTTCTTGAACGGTTGATCTCCTACCCATATACTCAGGACTACTTTTCCATTTTGCTATTTCCGTTTTGGCCTACCTCCGTAAGCAACTGCTGCTTTAACCTGCTCGATCCTTTCATACATACGAGATCTTGTCCCATTAATTCTGACTTTCTCTATGCGATCGAGGCACACCCTTATTTCTGCAAAAATCTCGTGCACTTGGCTAAACTTGTCCTCCACCTGGCTGAACTTGTCATCGAACGTAGCGGTAAGGTCATCGCGAAGCTGCGTATCGCCTCTCTCGATAATGTCTATCTAAATCTGCAATTTATCTCGGATATCGCTGTCTTGTTTCGTGCGATGAGTGTGATATGCGGCTATAGTCAAGTATAGACATGGCGGGGATGATGTTGATGATAGAGTGACGTGGAAATCTGAGACTCGTCATCACGCTACTGTGTCATGATCACGTGATCACTCTAATCCAGTGTGTACCTGGGAAAATCCTTCGTAAAAATGACATAATCCGGTATCTTTGGTGCCCAGATATTATAACATTATATATAGCCTAGTAAACATTTGTTTATAAAAGGTCTAAAGAAGTTAGTTTTTTATTAAAATAGGTTTTTACTAGAAAGCACCTTAGTTAGTAATACACGTGCTAATTATAATCTTATATTTTTAGTCTTTTATTAAAAAGTTTACTTTATATAAAAAGTAAAGTAATATTATATACACGTGACAAATATAGTTATAACCACGAGCTGTTTTAATATAAACGCTGAATTTCAGGCTTTATTTAAGCTTTTCTTGCTATGCTAGTGTATTCGCTAGCGACAAAACATAATACCAAAAAGAAAATTCTATTTACTGCTAGCCTACACGTCTATTCTGCTTCAGCATAGATTAGATAGCCTCCGTCAGACCATTCAGACCCTGTTACAAGCCCAATGTGCGCCGATCCCTCGGATAGGCAACATATCCATCGCTAGGTTGGTGCGTTTGCCGGGCTGTTGGCGGCCTGCCTTACAACTTGTTTTATTCTTGGGTCAGAGTGACTTCTCTTACCTTTGACGCCTTTTGCTCGGAGCTGGGTTCGTGTTCAACCTTGTTACCATAGGTTGTATAGGCCTCCTCAGTGCGGTTCTGGAATGCGAAGCCTGCAACTGTTAGTACGAACGAGAATTTCCCTATATGGGACAGAACCGTACCTGGTTGAGCAATGTTTAAGGCGAACACTGCCAGGATCACCATTACCGACTCTAGCCCAATAAACAGACCCTCCTTGCGGAAGATTGACCCACTGTATCCTTGACCGAGCTCGGCAATACGGTAGCAGCAACGGATGAGGATAAAGAGAATAGATGCCGAGAAGAAAACGCCAAAGATCTCGAGGCGCGTCGAGAGGATCCGGCGTTGATCCACTTGCTGAGATTTACGGTACGAGATGTAGCGGAAGAGGTAGTCTAACGCCATAGCGGTGAAGGCAGTAAGAGTGAAGACCTGGAACGCCAGACCTGCAAGCGTGATGTACTCGCCCGATTTGTCACTTCCCACCGAACTCGATGATAACGCGCCGCCCACGGACTGCAAGATCAAACTAACGATATCGCAAGGCACAAACACCCACACGTATATCTTGACCGGAAACCTGCACGCTTCGGGGCCCAAAAAATTCGAGACCCTGGCGAGCGAGACGTAGATGGCGGCGGCGAAGAAGACGGGCGAGATTGTAATGCAGCAGATCTCGATGATAAAGCCGTCAAAGGAGAAGGGGTTCTGGTACAGCAAAACGCGCCCGCCGTAACCGATCATCTCGCCGATGCAGCCGAGCGCCATCATGCTGGCAAAGAACCAGGTGCGGTAGCGGATGCCCTGGGCCAGGTGGATGAGCATGGAGACGCCGAAGAGGGCGATGAAGGCGATTTGCACACCGAGGGCGGGCCGGTAGCCCTGGAGGGAGGCTTCGACGGGGCATAGGGCGAGGGTGCAGTTGGCGTCGGGGCCGAAGGAGACGAGGTACTGGGAGGGATCATTTTGGCCGGCTGCTTCGGGGGACGACATTGTGGTAATAAGGGGGGTGGAAGATGCGTTGAGTCGAGGGTGGAATGGACGAGACTCGACTTAGGGTTAGGAAGTGTCGGAGTGACAGAGGTGGCAGAGCTGCCAAAGAAAGGCGGAGAAGGAAGGCAAACTGGCTTGATTTCGTGGTAGAGCAAAGTCGTAGCGGGCCAGAGAAAGTATATCAATGAAGAGTGAGTGGATGCCAGAGTGTTGTGAGCTGAGATGAAAAACCAGACTATGGTTCAAAAGGAGGATGCAAGTGTAGTCTTATTAGTAGATCAAAGCTGATGCCTGTCGCACGACACGTCGACCTTAGGAAGGAGACGCAAGCATTGCCGCCCCCTTCGCAGGCATTGCGTGTCGCGGCGATCGATAAGTGTTGATAGCCCCGGGAGGGGCGTAGGAGGAATTCAACGAAGCACGGACTGCTGCACCATCGCAGGAGGCTGAGAGTGCTGACCCCCGGGTGCCACTATTTTCAGGAACTCTCAGCCGACGACGCGTGGGAGGCGTGGTAATTATATTGTCCGGCACCTCGCTTGCCTAACACAGTAGATTAATCTAATGTTGCCTGGTAGCACCTTGGCTTGAACAGGTTTCGAGCTCGTTTTAGGCCGTCCTGGGAGCCATTTGCGTAAATGTTGATTCTGTCCAGGAAGCGGCCGACAGACATGAGCTCAGTTATTCTGGAGATATCTAGAAGCCCGCATAGACGACTAAAGTGGAAATATTTGGCCATGTACGAAGTAGTTCCGTAATTAGATACTGCGAGGCAATACTTCAAGATCAGCCTCGGGCTTACGCACGCAGCAGGTCAATATGTACACGAGTCCCAACAGTGGGTGACGGAATTCGTGACGCACGCGTCCCTTACGATACTTGTTTCTCCAAGTAAGTCGAAATCCTGTCCGAAAAAAACAACCGTACGAAGCTCAGATTGAGTACCACCAACTACCTGTTGGTAAGCGTCAATCACAACGGAAGTTAAGGGAGCAATACCAAGGGGGGGGTGGGAGATATAAGTGTGCCCTTGTTAAGAAGGTTTTATCTGCTATAAAAACCGGGCAGAAAGGTTTTACCTACGGAAACACACATCTTTACCAACCTATCTTTGAGTTCTCAAGCTGTAAGCTCTTGAGCGTTCGCGTTTGGTTTCGTCGGACTGAAAACGGCTCGCTGATGACAGGACTCTGTAGGGCAGGATTTACGGCCAATTGCAACTTGCTCGCCGTCGAATTTCGCACTGGTCCTCGGATGTGGAGCCGAAAAGACGTTTAATTACCGCAGTCCGGACTGCGCCAAAGAGATCCGCGCTTACACACGCAATTGGTAGGGCTGGCGGGCGGTATTGCGGGGTCGAGGATGAACTAGAAATGGAGCTCTACGGACGTTCCTAGCTAGATAAGCGAGAGCGAGACGCTAAGCTAAGCGAGAGCGAGGCGCTAAGCCAAGCGAGTGCGATGCGCTAAGCCAAGCGGGTGCGAGGCGCTAAGCCAAGCGAGTGCGAGACGCTAAGATAAGCGAGTGCGAGACGCTAAACTAAGCGAGTGTAACCCGTGACTCCCAACAGGACGGGGACGGGCTGCCTTTTTCGTTTGGCCTTAGGCCAATATCTTAGTCAAATACGATACCTAGCGAGGCAGTATCCTATCGAGTGCTGTCGCTTGCGACTTTTAGCGTGGTTTTTCTAACTTTGTTTAGCAGGGTGTATCATGGCCAAAACTTGATACAAAGTATAGCTATTTTATAGGAACTTAGTTAAACTTCGATTTTATAACCTTATAACATTATAATCTTAATTTACTTATAACGTGCTAGTATATGCTGTCCCGGGTGCAGAGTCTCGTACCTTCATGTATGCCAAAGCCTGAACAACGCTAGAAGTCGTCTATAGCACTCGATAGGATAACGTGCTATATCGGTGATTCGTGGCCTCTTCCGCACAACCTCCACACATCAGTATACTGCTAGCCTCTGTACTACTAAGCTCGCTGTGCTATATTATAGCATGTGTTTCATACGAGGTTTGGACTCAACACCTGAATCTGGTGTAAGACCCCAAGCTGTCAATATCAATCCCTTCACGTGTCCGAGATGAGATCCTTATAAAATCATTACTTACTGTTTCCAACTTACAAGCTGTTATCTACAATCCGCCTGGCAGCTACTCTTGGCAGCTTGTTCGCAAATCATGCCAGATCTTTCGACTTATCAACACCTAGATTTAGACCAACATCTACGCTACTACTTAGCAGCTACTCTTACTAGCTTGTTCGTAAATTATATTAGATCTTTCGATTTATTAATACCTGGATTTAGACTAATATCTACGCTACTACCTAGCAGCTACTCTTGCCAGCTTGTTCGCAAATTATACTAGATCCTTCGACTTATCAACACCTGGATTTAGACCAACATCTACGCCACCGACACCCATTGAACGATGCACCCCCTCGTGGAACCGAACCGCGATCCTGCGTTGCTACCGGTAGATCCATCGGCTGATTATGTATACGATAGTAGATAAATTACCATTCATATACCGACTATTCTGTATATAACTATTATTAGATTTATATAATAAAGAATAATTTCAATTTATAAAGAACTTATTATAAGAACTTATTACGTTTATCTACTTAGACGTTATTTACAGGGAGGTTCTTTTCGCGGTAGCTAAAATACTTTGGGCTAGTTCTCTTGTATTTTGTCTTGCTCGTGAGCTGCAAATCCTCAATCGCACTTGCATAGCGGATTAGAGTGCTCTCGCTCCACGCCGTCCCCATAAGCGCCAGCCCAAAAGGCATTCCAGTATCAGGGTTCACGCCAGCGGGGAGTGTGACCACGGGGTAGCCAGCCTGAGCGGCGATCTGAATCGACTGCGCAACATCCGGCGGGACGAGGAGCGCGGTGAGGTTCTTGCCATTATGGTGGAGAGCTGCGTCGATGCCGTCCTCCCGTGTCGATTTACGGCAAAAGTTTAGAGCTTGCCAGTAGGTCTCGTCCATTATGCCCTTCGATGCGAGAGACGCATCGAAACCATCCTGACCGGACTGGAATGCGGGGTGCACGTTTGGGAGTCCTCCTTCCTCCCCGCTCTCATTGTTGAACTTGACAATGTCCTCCAGGCTCACCATGTCGGTGTTTCCAAGATCGGCAAGATATGCCTTGATGTCGTTGTAAAAGTCCGCCTTTATATACGTGTATTCCGACTCATTGGGGTATCCTCGTGTTGTGCCATAGTCCCAGTTCCAACCATCTGGGCTGACAATGGTTGCGTGGTTTGGAAGCTCAGTCCCATTGATTATGGTTGCACCAGCGGATTTGATGAGCTTGACGACCTCTAAAAGTTGCTGCTGCTGGTTTGCACTAGCATATTGCCAGAAGCTAAGCCACGGGAGACCAAATACGGCGCCTTTAAGTGCCTTTTTCGTCGCGAGATATTGAGCAAATCCGTTGGCTGGAGCCTTTTGAACGAGGGTGTAATTGTCACGCGGATCTTGGCCATAGATGCCGTCAAGACAGTAGGTTGCATCGCGAACTGTCCGGGCGAGACAGCCTACACTATCCTGGTTGTGACTTTCCGGGATTACCCTGGTGGAATTAGTTTTGTCACGTTGTCAATAATTGAGAATCTCACCCAGCTCGAGACGTCAGGCCGACAGTGGGTTTTATTCCTACAAGAGCATTTCTCTCGGCCGGATTGATAACTGAACTGTTAGTACTATAGTTTATATCAATCGGCACAAACAACTCACCACTTCCATCAGTCTCGGTACCAAGCGAAAAAGTGATCAAATTCGCAGCAACTGCTGCACCACTTCCAGAGCTGCTGCCACCAGGGTTGACAGTCAAATTGTATGGACTCCTGCACTGACCACCTCGAGCGGAATAGCCCTCAGAGTAATAATTGGATCGCATGTCTGCCCATTCACTGAGAGTCGCGTGGCCCATCAGAACCGCACCCTCTCCCCTGAGCCTCGATACGACGTGCGAATCTCTTGGGACGACAGACCCCAAGAGCGCCCAGCTCCCTGCCGTTGTCTCCATCTTGTCTTTCGAAGCGATGTTGTCCTTCACAATGAATGGGATTCCATGCAGCTTGCCGCGGACGTAGCCTTGAGCACGCTCGCGATCGAGAGCTTCGGCAATTTGAAGGAAGTCTGGATTCACCTCCATGATGGCCCTGGAATCGAGTCAGTCGGTGTTGTGGCAATGCGTAAGCGTCATACCTCAAGTAGGCGTCGGTCTGGTATATCCTCTGCAGATAGCACATTACAATCTTGACAGAACTCAAAGTGCCATTTTTCATTGCGTTTTGAAGCTGGTCAATTGTCGCCTCCTCCAACTTGAAGCCATGGCATAATGGCATTGGGAACTGGCCGCTATTCGCGGCGTCGCCAGATCCCAGCTGAGGGAAGTAGTATGGAAACGGCGACACCAACGTCTGATCGGGTGCAGCAAGCTGACTGGCGTTTTGTTCCTGGGTCCTTGAACCAAGGGCTGGTCCAGCAATCGAGGGCACCGTGAAGGCAACAATCGCGCCAGCTGCGGCCAGACTCGTAGACCATTTTGACAACATCCTGACTCTGACAATGGCGTGTGCCACAGCAAAAACAGTTGATATAGACAAGACAAAGCTGTGAGAAGGCAGGAGAGGCTTAATTTAAGAAATAAACAACGGGATTAGCGCTAGGTCCAGGCTGGATGACTCTCGGTAGACTGCATCGTTTCGCGAGCAACGTGGTATGCCAACGTGGAGAGGCCGTGCACACCCTAAATACGAAATTCGCAATATCAAAAGCATACCACAGTACACAGACGCTGCAAACCCCTATCAAAGTACTGAGATACCCAGCGCTAACTGGGCTAATACAGCCGGTTCTTCGTGCTGGTCGCCAGTACGGACTCGTAGGTCGAAACTGCTCATCGTCGATTGTGTAGGGGATCACAGCTCGGTGATTAGGATACCGAAGAGATCTGTTTTTTAAGTTATGGGGGGTTTACGGAGGGTAGTTGGGCAAGTATTCATGGTTTAACTAGTAGGGGTGTTTAGCGAACTAGGGCTGTAATTGGCCGAAGCCCCGCTGTATCTTTTGAACGCCTCGCCCTTTTTTTAAAGTTGAAGATCGAAGTACTCTAGATGAAAATATACTTTTATTCCTCTCTATTATCCTAAGAATGGAAAGTACTCCGGCACCAAGAGTACTAGTTACTAAAATTGCTGAAAATACTCTACAGACTCCACCACCTCGACCAGTTCTCTTTACCCTGGATAACCTAGTTACTCCCACTACTACCGCTTCGCTAGAGCCCGGGACTTCACTTTACTGTCCGCGATCAACGTATAAGGAGATACAGTATTAATAATAGGTGGAAGAAGGTACTTTAATTCCAGGGCGGCAGGGGATTTAGGTAAAAGCAGCGCTTTAATATTAGTGGTCGACCTCCACGAGACCAGGGGGCCCTTACTAGCTAAGTCATGCTAGCCTTCGTATTGATCGATATGGGGATTTTCCGAGGAGATGGACCCTTTGCCCCATCAAATGGTGCCTCGCCGGATGTTCCGGGACCTGAGTCCGCGCTGCTAGTGACGTAATATTGCACCTGTGACGCCATGTTTCGAGCGCTAGGTGCTGGAACAGCTGTGGTGCAGGGATAGTGCGTTGGGGGGAGGGGGGGGAAATCCCTGTCGAAGAGTTTGAGACTGATCTATTACCTGTGCGATGTAAGCACTAAGCAATCACTAATTTGAAGTGCCGGTTTGAGCTTGCGGGAAGTTGGTCTTGGAATATTAGGGGTGTGATGGATCGGTTGGGTTTATGTGGATGGGATGGATAGCTCATGGAACTGTTTAAGTTTAAGCTAGATATAATTTTGTGTTCCACTTATTCGGTTTTCCACTTTACCCATTTACACGCTCGTCGTCGTCGTTTTTAGTGACAACATGATCGAGTCCGCCATCACCACCGCAATTGCGGCTGGAAAAGTACCAGTTGGTATCACGGCTGACTATCTCATGGAAAATAGAGATGCTAGCTCAATTGGCGGAATGCTGGCCGTTGCGGTCCTGGCTCTCTTGATTGTCTGCGCTCGTCTGTATGCGCGCCTCTCCATCTCGTCATTCGGACTCGATGACTCTCTAATTATCTTTACTGCCGTACGTTGTAACCCCATCATGCTATTACTCGTTCTTACACTCCAACAGGTCATCTACGTAACCTTTATCGGTCTCGGCATACAACTCCTCAAAATGGACTCTGGCCGACATATTGAATATATTCAATATGTCATGTCAAACGAAGTCGCCAATAAAACACAAGTGTATGATTTCGTTGCGCATCTCATATACACGACTGCTCTCTACGTGTGCCGCATCTCTGGTCTCGTCTTTTACAAGCGCCTGTGCGACCGACACAACACCCTCCTGCTCTGCGTCAGGGCCGCCTTCGTCTTCATGACTGTTGCGTACATCCCGCAAATGTTCCTCATCATCTTCCACTGTCTACCCGTCACCGGCTTATGGCCGTATGGTTGGCAACCCGAGCTTGACAAGTTCAAATGCATGCCCTGGGGCGTCGTCTACATCACGAACTCAAGCATCAGTCTTGTGAGCGACTTGGTGGTATTTGCGATTCCAGCCGCCTTGGTTAGTATGTTCAGGGCCAGTCTTATGATGAAGTTGAAATTGAGTTTGGTCTTATTTCCCGGTGTAATGTATGTTCGTCTCCCATCATCACCTTCGTGCATCCTGACTTTCTGCAGTGTCATTGTAATATCTTGTGTTCGGTTATACCTCGTCTTGGAGGGGTTAGTCGCCATCGATATCTCCTGGCCGTATGGGCCCATGTTAGCAATTGAATCCGCCGAGATTAGTGCCACGATGATTGCTCTGTCTGTCCCCGCTCTAAAACCTCTATTTGGCAGCCTATTCGCCAAGTTTACAAACTCCTACGAGAGCAAGAGTAAGGGAAATGGCAACTCGGTCGCACTGAGTGGGCGATTGGGGCATAGCCATAAAAGGTTAAAAGATGGTGGCGCCATTGGGAGTTTGAACGCGTATCAACAGGCTGCCAGCGAGACTACTATTCGTGGTGGAAAAGGCAACCAGCAGACGGGTAGTGATGATGACCTTCTCATGGGATCGGGCCCGAATCGAGACAAAAGTGTTAGAGTTACCACGACAGTCAAGCATGACACGAGTTATAAACGTTGAAAGTCGTCTGAGTCCTTTGCATCCTGTCGTTTCTATTATTCCGTAAGATAGAATATATACGTAAATTAACGATAACGACGAATTCTTCATTCGTCTTGCCATTCCTAACTCTATCGAACATTATATTTAAGATTTCCAAGTGGAAATCCAACTGGAATCCTGAAACAGCCATCTCCAAGGCCAATACTAAGTTGCGTGCTCGCCTCGATCTCGTTTGCTTAGATATTGGGTATTCAGAGAGTATTCCAGTACGGGCTTTCATCACCTTGATATGGCACTGCGATGCGGGAACGCAAGACGTCCGAACACACCAGCACTGAATCCATGCTGAAGCTAAGCGTAAAGTAGAATCCTCACGATGTCTAGATGGTATCATATGACAATCAAGTCGTTTTAGGATTGGGGTAGGCTAAATAAGTCAGTGGATGTCGAGTCAGCTTCGAGTGGAGCCTGTGTAGCAAGCCATCGGAATTGCCAGCTAGGTGAAGTAAATATTGACCACCGCGCGCTGCACGCGTAAACATAAACTAATCTAAATGTTATTTCTCTGTGGCGTTCCTTGTGATGGAAGACTATATTCCACATCGGCAGAGTAGTGCGACAAGGCACTATTCGCCAACCCCTCCGTATCTATATAATTTAGTGCACAAGCACGGGCGGCCCTCCTTGCCTTCGAAGACCCAGCTCCTCAGCGATTTACTTGCAACTGGTAAGCATATGACGAAGAATATCAGGATCTACTGAAGCGCTTTCGTTCGGCAACAATATGTTGGTACCAAAGCCGAAGAGCTCGCTGAGCTCTCCCATATCATGATCATTACCGATACCATGCACCCTTGCAGTATCTCGGATAGCGTTTGGCCTGGAACCCGCGAATTGCAACTGCTGCAAATTGGACACAGGGTGAGGCCTCTCATGTAGCGTCGGCAAGTCACTACGAAACTCGGGATATCTTTCAAAAATATCTGGCCCCATCGCCCAGTTTCGGAGGTCATAGATGCACTGGGAGAATGTGGGAGATATTGAGCAGAGGTTAGTGTCTGCTTGCCGCACATAGCAGTCGCGAAAACTTAGCGGCCAACGGATTCGAAGGCTTGAGCAAAGCACGTCATAAAAGGCATTGTCGCAATAGCTGTGTTCGGCGAAAATAAAACGTTCGCGAAGGCCAGGCCTATCAGAAAGACATACATAATCAGTATTGTTGGACATGCTCGTGAAAGGCCATCGGCTTACCATCCAAAGAAGTTGATGGCGTAGGGGTGGGCTAGATTCTGCGAAGGACTATACTGAATGGTTAGTAGAAAGAAAATGATCGGGCTTGTGTGCACTGTGAGGGTTCCTCGCCTGTTCATATACCACGTAGGGAGTCTGCTATATCTTTCCGGTGTCGGATTGTCGTGATACTGAAGAAGCAGATGCATAAAATACATGATAGCAAGTCTCTCGGTATCCGCACAAGTCAAAAACAAGGTTTCATCAATGTATCGCATGAGCTGCCACGCAAGAGGTACCTCTCGAGTTCGTTCTACGCTATCCCAACCCTCAATAATGGATATATATATATATATCTCTGATGGGTATATCCTCATTCATATCCTTGTCATCATGACTGAGAAAGCCTCGATACCGGAAGCTCAGCATCAGAACCTCGTTTATAAAGCGCCAAAGGTTGAAACACTTGGACGATGAAAGCGGATGACATGGACAGATGTGGGTCATGTTGGGAGCCTTGAGCCTAATGCGAAGAGCGGCGCAAGAAATGTCAGGCGGGTAGGAGTCCAGTCCCCGGCAAGAGCTCTCGCCGCCATTGCCGTCGCCATCGCCAAGTTCAGCGACATTCGCAGTCGAATTCTCTGTATCTGCCGTCATGGAGGTGTTACCCTCTGAGCTGTTCACGGCGGCCGAAACGACAGAATTCACATCAGGTGTGCCAGACGATGCCCATCCTCCTTCCGACTCAACGGGAGGACATCCCAAGCCATCTTGGGGAACCATTGTGAAGCTCGGAGTCCTCTCCTTCGACACGCCGCCAGTTTCTAAAAGCCATCGTCCGGAGTCCTGTAGCTGTGAGGAGCGATGGCTAGCAATGATTTTTTCCAGACTCTTGAGCGTGCCGTCCAACCTGACTCGCTCTGCCACGGCCTGATCAAGCTTGGCCATGAGCGTGGCCGCAGAGGCGTCAATGTCGCCTTTCTTGAAGTCTTCCAGCTGGGCCTCGAGCTCTGCTATGCGCGACTTGGTGCGCTAACGAGCCTTGCGCTGGCTGCGCCGGTCTATCTCTCTTTTCTTGAGGACCTTGTCTGGGACGCCATCTTTGTCGACTAGTTTGAGGCTGCGACGGCTTCTAGTATCTTTTGGCGGCGCGTTGCGTGACCCAACCATGTGGACGCTGATGGTGATGATGATGATGATGATGATGATGACTTTGGTGACAGTGGGCGTGTGGTGTGGTTGAAGTGGAGAATCTGGGGAAAGAGAGACACTCTAGGGGAGAGGAGGTAGCGGGTGCTGTTGCTGTTGGCCAGGAGTGGGTTAGCCAATGAGGATTATGGCATAATGGCATAATGGCGGTATCAACCCGCAATGGGGAATAAAGCGATTATAATCATGTTAGGTATTGGCTTTTATCAGGCTCCGCACGGAGGCATTGACGTCAAATACGGAGTATGGAGTATTGGTTCATTCCTAGGCTAACGGCCATACCAAGACTAGTGGCATCTTCCTCCATACCGTAGGGTACTACTAATATATATATATATATATCAATTACTAGTACCACTACTATGGGGAGGCAAGAAGGGAAAGATGAAAATTGGTGGCCCTGGGGCAGGAAATAAGCTGCCCAAGCACCCTCGCCGAACCTCGAACGCGCCTACAACGGTCCTTGGGTCAATGTGCTAGAGGACTGTGGCCTAACCTGGACCGAGCCTAGACCCTAAAATAAGACAGTTGGGCAAGTGATAGCGAGGATTTCTTTAATAGCTTGCAAAGTTTCTGTGTCAACAGTAATATGTTCCTAGAATAAACACATAGAAATTACAGCTATTTAACGTTAATGAAAGTTCAAGTGTTATTATCAAGTCCATATTTGCAGGTCGTGGAAGGGAGGGTCGATCGATCCTACAAGTACCACAGCCAGATTCCTCTTTGCGTCGGGACCGCATGGCAGCCTTGATTCCGATTCCGTTACTACTGGTCTACCGCGACATTCAAGATACGAGACATTTACAATGGACTTAACTGGAGCTGTGGGACCAGGACATTTTCCGAATATTGTCACTGCCGATACACGGGGACTGTACAAGACACCGACAAAGCTGACCACGATTTCCTCCTGCTCTCCACGGAGCTCTCAAGATCGTAGCCTTCGTTGGGCTTATGCCGATTGGGATTTTAGTATTGAGGGTCATGGATAACGTGAAATGGCATGCTCTAAATCAGACTGTCGCTGCTACTGTGGCTCTTATTGGGCTGTTCGTGGGTATCTACCGTGGTACGATGTATGACAGGGTACGTTGGCTTTTTAGCTATAGCTCCAGCCTGCTTATATCTTGACAGTCGCGAAACTTCAACTCCGCGGATCGAATATTCGGCCTGGATATTATAGTTGCCATGGTTGCCTAGTTTATCCTTGGATTCATGCACCATAGGATCTACAAGAAAACTTTAGCTCCTACAAAGCTTGCGCCGTTTCATATCTGGCTTGGGCGTCTTGTTGTCCCAGCAGGTGTAGCAAATGGATTCCTGTCAGTTCAGTGTGGAAACCCCCCCGGAATCAAATGGCTGACACGCAACAGTGGTTTCCCTTTAGCCTTGAATCCTAAATATAATTAGCTACTCTTTAGGATCACATTGCTTGTTTTCTCTCGCCATCCCCGTCCTCAAGGACACCCCACATCATACGGGCCCTGCGCCCCCACATTCGGGCCAACCCCATTCTTCCACCCCAACCTCACCAGCGTCTCGCGCTCCGGGCCGTACCGCGGCCACCCATACTTCGTCAACCCCTCCGCCGGGTCCCTCGCAAACATCCCCCACGCGCCCCGGAGATAAATCCCCATCCGCACCAGATCCCCTCCCACCTCCGCTCCATTCGACATGGCGGCCACCGTATCGAAAAGAGGCAGCACCTCACTGGCGTGGTACGCTCTGCTCGGCGGCTCGGTGGTGAGCGCCAGCTCCGGGAAATCCCCAAAGTACCGGTAGCGATACGTCGGCTGGTGTGCGGCGACGCTGGCGTTGGCGCGTGCGCCCGCGGGGCACGTGAAGGTGTATAAGTTGAAGCCCTCCCAGGCGGCGTCGGGGAGGTACTGGTTGAAGACCGCGCCCATCGTCCGGTGGTATCCCGCTTCGTAGTCGGTGCTCCCGATAAGCAGGGGCAGTTTGGCGAAGGTGCCGGCGGCGAGACGGGCGGGGTAGTCGGAGAAGACGGTCACCTCGTCGATGGTGGGCCAGAAGAAGGCGGAGCCGTACGGCTGGTTGATGAGGGGGATGGCGGCGGTGATGGCGGCGGTGTCTTTGGAGCGCATACACTTCATCTGGGTCGCGGCGGAGGTGGTGTTGTCACCGCAGCCGAGGGTGGAGGTGACGGTATACCAGCTTTCGGCAGCAGTCTCCGCGGTGAAGGCCCCGAGCCCGGTGGTTCCGGATTGCATGATCAAACCGGCGACGAGGGGCGACGAGGGATAGGCAAAGGAGTAGAGGTCGATGGCGCCGCCGCCCGCGGATTGCCCGAAGAGGGTGATGCGGGACGGGTCGCCGCCGAAGGAGCGGATGTTGGAATGCACCCATTCGATGGCGAGGCGTTGGTCGAGCAGGCCGAGGTTGGTGGGGTAGCCCGGGGCAGAGGGGAAGCCAAAGATGTTGATGCGGTAGCTAGGCGTGTTAATGTGGGAGAGGGAGAGGGAGGGAGGGAAAGGGGGGGACGTACTTGATAGTCACAACAATAACGTCTTCCTGGTCCGCGATATACTGGCCATCGTAAATCGGATTCGAGGACGACCCGATGGTATCTCCCCCGCCGTAAATCCAGAGCAGCACCGCCTTGCCCTGCTCCCCAAACTGTGGCTTCGTCCAGACATTCAGCGTGAGGCAGTCTTCGCTCGAGCCGGGATAGCCTTGCAGCAGATCGTCGAGGGCGGCGCGCCCGGAGGCGGTAAGGTTCTTGCCATGTGTGTCTGGCGGGGTGGCGCCGCCGAAGACGTTGGCTTGGGGACAGGAGTGGCCCTGGGGGGGAGTTCGTGCTTAGTTTATTTAGGTCCTGCAAGGGGGGAAATCGAGGGGGGGTGCGTACGAATTGAGAGCCGTCGATGTGTTGATGGCTGTGATAGGGCTTTGGAGGTGCAAAGCGCAGATTCCCGAGGGGGGGTTGGGCGTAGGGGATCCCGAGGTAGGTGGATACGTTTTGGGCGGAGGAGGCGGCATGCCCTGAGACGGGGCCGCTTTGGGTGCGGACGGTTTGCCCAATGACCCAGTGCTTTTGATCGTCGGCCAACGGCGTGCAGCTTGTTGGAGGGGAGAGACAGAGAATGCCGGGGAGGAGAGCTTCACAGAGCTTCATCGTGGCGGTCTATTGTGTCTGGAGAAGGGGAAACGGGGAATTGGGGGATGGGGAAACGGTTACAAGAGCGAGCTTTCTTCGACAATACTGCGCAGGGTCCATCTCGGTATATATGTTGCGGGTCACCGGCCACTGACGATTTTATGTTCATGTTGATGGGGCGGTGATTGCTTACCCGACTCCATCAGACTTACGTCGTAAATACGAAAGACATATATGGGCACTTCGCATTAGAGAGACTACGGGAGTATGTATGCTTAGGCTCCGTTCGGGTCGAATATTGCCGCTCCATAATTTGGTGCCTTGGCAGAACTTAGAATATGGTGGCGCAATAATATTCGGATGAATATGGACCTCCAAAGCACCTAACTTTGTACAGTATGGTTAGCTAGCATGCTAGTGTTTTTTTTTTAACTATGTTTGCCTCCAACTTGTTAGAAACTCGCTGATATATAACTATTAATACGCCCTATAAGCTTACATTGTAATATAAGCCAATTTATCGATTCTATAGAGCATAGGATGCCCCTATCTACTGTTACGAACAGGTCACAGGAGCGGGAGAGCTCCCAGGGTGATAGCTCCTAGGAGTCGCAACACTCCTAGGACGGCAGTAGCTCCCGGGGCTGAGCTTATGTGGCACTGTGTGGTAGAAGAGTCCTGTTAAGCCAGGAATAATGAGGGTTGGAGTGGTAAGTGCCGGGTGCGACTCATGTATTCGACCAACTCCACTCGATGCCGTCTCCCTAACCTCCAACACCTTCGGCTATCCATCAACAACTTTTGGGCAAAAGCCACTCAGCCGGCACTTTGCCTATAATACAGGACAGCTCCCATGGGATTAGTTAGTTAGTCAGGCAATTTAATCACAATCATTCCACCCCAAATAATTAGTCGTCACTGCAATAAGTCCTGTTACGCCATGAAATAAGGCTCTCCGCAGACGAGGCACGACGACAATGATGCGAATATAATTTTCCAGGTAGCCGGGTCAGGAGTGCTCGGGAGTGCTCACAGTATATGGCTGATGCGAAACCTTAGAAACTTTCGATGTTTAACACGGAGTCTGGATTGTTTGAAGTCAAGGTAAGTTAGTTGCCTATCATTTTTCTCGTCACGACGGGTTTCGTGCTGCGCAGTGACCGCAGTGACGGACGTTAATACGCCTTTTATAAACTTTTCAGGTATTAAAAGGGTTCTAGAAAGGGGAGGTTGTTTTTATTGCTGCTTGCGCTTTATCACCTCATAGAACGATGACCGCCGAGGAATAACAGGAATATTTGTAGAAATTCTACTTACTTGTTTAACTAATAATACATGTTAAAAAGCCTTTCAATAGGAGAGGTATGTTTGAATAGTGTTGTCCTAAAAAGTTCTTGTAGCGAGGAAGCTTGAGCGAGTTGATGTAGAAGGGCAGAAGTGCTCGGCTCAAGGTTTTACTTTGAGTAGGCAATATCCGCAGCCTATCCACATCCACCTAAAAGCACACGACTAGAAGAGAGGATCCAAATGATAGATTTGGGGCTAAAACAGCTTATGTCTCCATCTTACTCTACCTCGGCATGGTAGGTTTCTCTCCACCCAGGGACGGACGTTATATTAGATATTCCAGGCAACCGGTACCCCATCTATCAAACCCTAACAACGCACCTACTATAAATTGTCGTGCTTGTTGCTATACATAAAATACTGCGAGGAGATTTTTAGCTGAGAGTGTAGTAGTATATAGCTGCTTCCTGGGTAGGAAGAGCCTCCTCATAAAATAAGCTTGAATATTGGTATTTACGGTAATAAAGATATATCTGGCTTCGTTAACAATAAGATCTGTTAAGCCCGGTTGGTCAATATTTTCGATTGACTAATCGTAGTAAGCTCGACAAATACCCCAGAAAAGAAAGTAGAGAGTGTCATCAGTCCTCGCAGCGAGAGGTTCCCTAACTGTAGAAGCGGCACTGAGGCTGTGATATTGGAGAGTGGGCGCCTGTTTAGAACGATACCCAGGTTGTGATTCACGCAACCGGGTACTATATAGAAAAAATACTACAAAGCAGAGCAACAAAGTCCTCCAAGAAGGAGACTTCGTGTCGAAACATCCAAAGCCGGGCTTTATCGGCCGACGATCGGCCTTTCCCCGGCACCTAGGCTACGTTAGTATATAATATCTTGACGAGTTAAGAGGTATACTAAAGAGACTCTGATTTCAGAGTCGGAAGCCCTACGCAAGATAACCTCCGTTGTAAATCGTGTTCAGATATTATCCTTCCGTGGGAATAGAACCCTAGAAATTACTTCGAAGGAGCTCTTACTACTTGATTAATCTCTACAAGCGATTAACTAAGGCAGGGCAGTGAATTCACTTAATCCTTCCGTACGAAGTGAGTCGACTAGATCTAAGAGTTGAATTTGTTCAGCTATTCGAAGGCTGTCTACAGAATATAATACTTAGATTGTCGCTATAATACGATTACTATAATTTCAAGGAATAAAGCTAGTAGGAGAGAGATAAAGATAAGGAGATTACTTTATAACAAAGGTTAGAGGTTATCGAAGAATAACCCATCTATTACGTTCAAGATTTGAGATAGGTCGCTGATCTGCTCCAGAAAAGAAAGAAGCAAGGGGTGTAGGAGTACAAAATAAAGGTTTAGGTAGGTAAGTTAGTAAGTAGTAAACTGAGCCTACACGCTATATAGTACTCTATATATAGTATATAATCGATTATTACAATTGTCGAGTAATCACAATATCCCTTCTCACTGCTACTCTTGTAGAGCCCCTGTTAGAGTGGCAAGTAACGGCATAGCCGCAAGGGCGAATATATCTTGATATAGCGACTGAAGTTTTAGCGTAGTGGAAAGATCATAAGCCCTCTGAGAGGCATAGATAGGATTGGGAATATTTGGAATTTGATAGTAGAGAGATTTAAGATGAGGTATAAATGCCAAATGCTCGGGTTTCAGATACAAGAAATTTGAGGTTTCAAGGCATAAGTATTCCTCCGGTTTCTCAGTGCACGCGGACTTAGTAAGCCTCAACATCTACAAGATGGCTTTCTAGGTCCACATCGTAAGCCTCAATGTTATGTAGCAAAACAACGCCCGAGTGGGCTGACCGTTTTGGAGCAGTGTTCTATCCATTGGCTACTGGTCCACCTGTGGAGGAAGCTTATTCGCCACTGGGCCGGACCATATTCCATCGCGTACGTATCGCGGGCCGAGTTCTGCCAGGGAACTTTTTGAAGATCCAGCCCCAAGACGTGCCCTCTTTCTTGTATACTAGTAAGCACTGCTCGTCTAGGGCTGGCCATCGGCTATCCTTGCTCGTCCTCAAACAGCTCTGTTCGTCCTCGCTCGAATATCCGCCACTATTACTACTAGACTTAGAATCGCTATCGCTCAAACCACTATCATCGCCGCTGCTCGACGGCCTACTCCTTCGCGATGCAAGGGCCTTAGTATCCAAAGCTGTGCTATGTTGGCGCCGGGTACGTGTTATATCGACTTGGTCACGGCCTGCCCCCGCGGCATTTACCACCGTCGCTCCGCTAGATGAGGGCTGGGATGATGTATGCTGGCTGAAGCTAGTCGAGAGGAACGAATCTTGTTCTATCGGCTTGATCGTGAAAGCGTCAATCCTCCCAGCATGGCCGATACTTTCAATGAGTCTAGTAAACTGGCCGAAAGAGACACCTCGCCTGTCACAACCATCTCGGATCACCGCCGTAAAAGAGCAGTAATATGCGGAGTATAGGCAGGTAAGTACAATAGAATTGTGCAAAACCGTCACCTAGGCGCTCACCCTAACACGCTGCTTTTAGCGAGATGAGGGTGACAGTATAAGTGAGTGGCTACTAGTATAATTACATTATACTATAGAAAGTCCTATAGGAGGAGTCCCCAATTTATCTTATAAAGTCTTACTAAAGTAATACGCTGATTTTTCTATTACGAAAATACTTATAATAATAGTAATAGAATAAGACTTACTGGAGTTTATAGTATCTAATTACTTCTAAGTCGATAATATAATATATTAATAGAATAAGCATCTACTAAATTACTAGATTAGTATTAGTATATAGTATAAAGGAGTAGAATATACTAGGCTAGTCGGTATACAGAATAGGTAACACATTACACTTTGACTACCTTCCTTGCGAAATATACTAGAGATAAGCTCTAATCTCAAAGCCTTCGATCTTAGAGCTTTAATCCAAATATATTCTCGTTATTATAACTCTATACAAGATATACTCTACGACACTACGCTTACCTATACACTCAACCAAGGCGTTCCGTATAGGGAGCAAATAGTGCTCCAATAGGCAGCGCTTGAACCAATGTATACTCGCTGCTTTGGTAGGGACAGGAGCAGATATCTGTAGAATGTGTTATTATTTCTGCTCGGCGGTTGTTCTCGTTGACAGTAATGAATGTTAAAGCGGATTGGGCTAGAGTGAACGATATGACCGTCTCTTGACGTCCAAGTAGACTTGTGTCAAGTAAAAGCACACCGGCTAGTAGAAGCTCACCCTCTGGTAAAAGTACACCACTGTATTTCTGACTTGCGGGGGAGATATCATAAGAATGATTAATTTCTAGACAAATAGGAGGAAGAATGAGGTTATAAAACACTGGAAATGATGCTCCACATACAAGATGGTCCACCACCTGACATCAGTGTCTCTCCTATCAAGCTTCCCTGCTAAACCACCATCATCAAGAAGGCTACCGAACATTGCGGCTTCACACAAATAATTCACCTGCCACGCGTGATGATTCGCATGAGCTATAAGCCAAGCCATCTCATCTACCAACCCAAGAGAATAGGTCTTCGCCATCACTAAACGTTAATCTCATCCTCACGCTCCTGACTCACCTCGCCTTTCAGTATATATTCCATCGGAGTTGTTACTAGACAACTCCAGAGTTCTGCCAACACATTTTCAAGCTTGTTTCCTTTCACAACTCTTCCAACCGCATCACAAGGATCCCCACCATTGCAACTATTCTTAAGAGGTCTACTAAACCCCGTCGTCCTTAGATTTTCGCCAAACGCCTCATCAAAATCAGCCTCCTTCTGCTCCACCCTCTCCTTCCTCACCATCCTGTACCCAAGCAAAGCTCTCCTAAAAACCCAGTGCCTATCATTCTCAATATGCCACGTATACAACATCCCACACAACTTGGCCCCCGGCTCCATCCACCTCTCACAAAACATCCTAGCCGCAATGCTCGCATACGCGTCATACACCCTCCTCAAATTCTCCTCTGACACAATTCCAGAATCTAAGACATCGGCAGTGTTGAGGATCGAATTCATTATTTCGGAATTCATGAGGTCGGAGCCGACGTCTATTACATCCGTGCCCGGACAGCTGAACATGATGCCCGACATAGTTGTTGCGGGGTCGAAGCCTCGAACTATGGCTTCGGAGGCCAATCCTAGAAGACTGCTTTCGCAGAAAAATACCATCTGTGCAGTTCTTCTGTCGATTTTTGCTATTTTCCCACCTAGTTTGGATTTAAGTTGGGTTTATAGCTCAATCTTGCGTTTGATATATCGCATTCCTATCTCCGCCGCCTTTCTTCGTTCGTAGCCAGCAGGAGAAGCTATAGCATGTGGATTGGCCAATTCATTTTTGACGAGATCTTCGAATAAGGGGAAGACTTTTTGGTATCCGTGTTCGTAATAAAATATCATATCGACGCAGTAATTCGAAAACAGAACCCGAGAATCATAGGCTCCGATTAGCATATTCGCCATTCCGCAACCGAATAAGGACCCATTTGTCAGAAGAGGCTCAGGCCAGGATTCTACGTTGAGGATTCTCAAGGCTGAGGGCGAGGCTCGTTTTATGCCGTCCCCTTTAGAGGGAAGGATGTTGCCAAGCGCGTGCTGAGTCTCTTTCCATTTTAGGAGAGAGGGGGAGAGAGAGGGGGAAATGAATGTGGTGGCTTCGGAGGATGAGGAGATATCGTTGAATACGCGGTTGATGTATTGGAGGGCGGTGGTGGTGAGTGATTCCAGAGATTCTAAGCTGCCGTCCCCAATAAGGTGGCGTGCTTCGGTGTATCCCGAATGGAGGGAGAAGGTGGGTGAAATTCTAGGGTCGTAGCCTTCGCCCCAGAAATAAGGTATGTTCAAGCTGTTGAGAATTAATGATGGAGAGGGTTTGATGGCTGGTGCTATTTGATAGAGTTCATAGCCGTTCTCGGCTGGAGTTGGGGCTTGGACGGTATTTTTGCCGGGCTGAATATCCTCCATGATTGATTGTGAATCTATATGTTATAGAGAGATAAGTTGCAGATAGAAAGACGATGACGGCTCTTGGATAAGATGGATGTCCTTTGAAACTTGCGAAATTAGCTCACCTAAAAGAGTCTAAGGTTTACTACCCTTGATTATGAGCTTAGACTATCACTGCTGCTCTTTGCTGTTTGATCGAAAGTGTGCTAGGGTACAGCTGAAGTAAAACAGGGAAGTAGGGAGAGCACCATCATAAATACGGTATACTCTACCATTAATCAACGATGCCCCATATTCATAAGTCTCGGATTACTTGCACTTTGGGTTGTGAGTGGCTTATCCAGGCAATGGATTTTCCAGGCAGCGATATCTACTTAGACTTCTCAAAACCACTATTGGCTACTAACTCCCTGCCTCTAGTAATATATATTATAGAGCAGTAGCGTGGGCTGTTGTAGTGGTGTGGTGGCGTGGCTAGTTAGTGGTGGCCCGAGTTGTCTAGAGCCAGGAAAGAAAGCCACTATAGTCCTCAAGTTCGACTCAGAGGCGAGGGTCCGCTGCTGTGTTGAAGAATGAACGGACATCGGGATCTATGAGATAGTGATTAATAGGTTATTGGTACAAGAGGAATTGGATAGCTACAGAATAGTACAGATCATATCGATATAGTAGCTAGGTTTGTAACCTGTTTTCTAGGCTTTATATCTTCTTGTTTCTCTAGTCCTAGGTTCTTTTTAAATAGTTCTTTAACTAGGATCTCTAGTTTAGCTAATTTCTTAGCGGCGTGGAATGCGAGAATGCGTATGGAACGTAGAATGGAGGGTTGCTTAGTGAGTCACAGACCGGATTTCTCGTTACGGGGACGTAGTACAAGCTACAGTACAGAGGTACAGAGGATAACAACAACATTACTCCGTATTATTGCACAATTTCTTCTGCCCTTGGTTATGCACTTGCAATGTCGTGGATGATGGATGATGCGGTTGCCGAGCCCGGGAGCCCAGACGGAGCTCAGACTCCCAGAGGGCCGCAGACAGCTTGATGGCCAGGTGGTGTCGAATCTGGGCAAAGATCACCCCCAAGCACACATTGGCCAGCTACAGTCCATCACTTCTCAACTTCTCATGCCGAGTAACCGTGGTCTTCGAAGTACTCAAGTATAGTTGCACTTGCCAACCAACAATCAACAAAACTGCGAAACTGTGCAAAGTCCCCAGCCACGGGCTACGGAGTCTTGGGCCCGGAAAGGCCCAGAAGCTCCCGCCCCTCAGAAAAGAATGCTCGGCTGATGACAACGGCTGCATCAACAAGAGCGGCGATAAGAAGGGAACTAGTATTGTTTTTGTGTAGTGTTAGACATGACACGATGTCGATATAGACACTGGACACTGGACAGTAGTAACAGTATCACATACAGGGTACGAAGCAAGGAGATCGCTGGGAAGATCAGACACCGGCGTAAACATGGAAAAGAAGTCATATGAGCTCGCATATGCAGTGTATCTGGATTGTGCTGCCACTACTTCGTACTCGAGTACCACGTACTGTCTGGTATCAAGCTGACCACCCGCTTACGTCGATAGATTGGGTAGATTGGAGCGCCCGCTGTGTTCCACACTTCCCTCGTATGAACATCTTGGAGCGAGGTGGTAGGTAATAACGAACCTGGCGATTGTCAAAAAGATTCTAATAGGAAAAAAGCCATTGCTGGATGTGTTGTGTCTATCCCCCTCAGGTCAAGCGACGATCAGCGCCTTCATCCCAGAATCCCCTCATAACGCTGCGCGGTCCTTAATTCTCCACCTCCCAGTATCTGGATTTTCAGTAACTTTGTCTTCCTGCTCCAATTTCCAGAGGATCTGCAAGACGCCCCCGTTAGCTGGCAGGTGGAGATTCTCGGGCACATCTTTGTATACGATCTTAACAATTTCCAGCGAAGTCCACTCGTTTGCATCTCCCGCGTCCGCACCTTGCGAAGAAGGCCTAGACGACTTCAAAACTTGGATCACTTGATCCTCGCGCTGTTGTCGATGCCGTATATATTCGGAGATTTTCTTTGGCCCATCGTCAACCACTGGGCCATGCCCAGGGTACGCTCGACCACGAAACGCGCTGCTCATGTTCGCCAGGCTATTTAAATAAACACTCAGATCTTCGAATACCGCAGTCCCATGGCCTAACACATTGTCGCCAGTGAACATGGCATCTTCTTCCTCTAAAACGAGAGCCATATGATCTTGGGTATGGCCGGGCGAGTAAACGGCGCGCAACGATGCGCCATCCACTTGGAATCGTTGGCCATCCTCGATATCCCGCTGACCCTCGTCTGGCTGGTTTTTGTAAATGATTGTTCTCGGCGAGAATTCCAGTAGATGCTTGATGCCTCCTACATGGTCATGATGCCAATGCGTAATAACAGCCTCGGAAATAGTGGCATTCTCGTTCTGCAGCGTCTCCTTCAACGACGCAATCCAGGCCGGTTTCCCCTCTCCCGTATCAATGAGAAGCCGCCGCCGCCCTGTACCGACGAGGTAGGTATTTGTGCCTAGTATGCCGCGAATCAGACATTGTGCAATCTTCGAGACTTTGGGACCGAGATGGTTTATTATTACCTTGGAGAGTGAACTGATTTGCGAGCATTAGCCGGAACTTCTTTCTATGCCATACACTGGTTTCGGGCTTACCTTGCCCGGATTTCCTGCTAAAATGCGAATTACGGTTGAGCTCAGTCTTTCCACTTCGCGCAATGGGGCTAGTTGGGTAGCCATCATGAATTTATTATTGTCGTGATATATTGGTGGTTATTGTTGATTATTATTGTCTTGATATTGTAGATATTGTCTTGATATTGTACTCTGCGGAGTCTCGCAATAGGGCCTCGGCTTGACAATTGCGTCGGGGTTCTGCCGTGGGTCGCCGCCCCGAAACTGTCGGGGCTTTCTTCTGATCTCACCAAGCTCCAAGTCTCGAAGCCTTCCCTCCGTCACTGTGGAGTGGAGCTGAACAGCAGCAGCAGGGGAAGCAACATATCTCGTCGACCAACGATTTCAGCATCAGGATGAGCAGCAATATGCCTTCATCCAGGCCAACAACCCCAGCAACACCTGCATCTCCCAAGACATTCAAAATCAAAGAGCCACAGCCCGGCGTGCCACTTTTTGGATGTGGTAAGTCACCTAATAAGCTTGATGGAAATCGTGTTCTCAGCCTTGTAGGTCCTCTGCTAATCTGCCCAAAATCCAGAGCACATGCAGATGCTTTTAGGGTCCTCTGCGCCGGATCGTATGAACCGTACTATCCAAAACTACAGGACATGTCTCCGTGTCATATTCGAGAATACTCCCATTGTCCCGCAGACCTCCAAGACCCAGAAGGGGCAGCCGTTCACTTCTCTCACTCCGAACTACCTCTGCCTACAGTGTTCCGCCACCACAACCGAACAAGGCCGCATTGAACATGGGACGGAGACTTGCCATAGGTTCTGTAAGGCAATTGGCTATCTTGGCAGATATATTTACTGAGCATTTTAGATGTCGAATCGAGAAATGGCTGTTTGTTCTGCCAGATGTGCGACGACTTTATCTGGGATCCTACTTTGGAGGACTTGAGGTTGCGCAAATCTGGCAAGGGATCATTCAGTAAGTGGCAAAATCAACTCATATTTTCCATGCCCATTGCAGACTTTGGGAGTTTCCTATGGATTATTTTGGATGCTAACCGCTGGAATTAGCCCGAAAACGAAAACTCGATGACCTCTTCACCGATCCCGTCAAGGAAGACCCGAGATTTATATCGACAAACACTGTGGAAGCGCCTTGCCGTGCGAGCGGTATTAGGGGGATCTATAATATGGGGGCCACCTGCTACATGAACGTCATCCTCCAATGCTTCGTCCATAACCCGCTGCTCCGGAACTTTTACCTCGGGGACGGACACCAAAGTGGCGAATGCTCATACAAAAATTGCATGAGTTGCGCGATGGATGATATGTTCCAGGATTTCTACGCTCAAGAGACAACGACAGGTTATTCAGCTTCCAATATCCTTGCGAGCTTCTGGCTTTCGAAGCGTAAGGCCTATGAAGAGCTGGCTAGCAACAAGGAGCAAGATGCCCATGAGTTTTTCCAATTCCTCACAGAGGAACTCCATGAAATAAATGGCGGTGGAAAGCTAGCAGAGCGCGAGAGCAGTCCATCGTCAAAACGAGTTAAAGGAGACAATGACCCTGGTTGCAAATGCATTGTGCACCAGACATTTTATGGCAAGCTCCAGAGTACCATTACCTGTCAGGCCTGTGGAGATGTCAACACATCTGTCGAGTCTTTTCTTGATTTGAGTTTAGGTCTGGATGTGCTATCCAAGAAAAAGAGCCTCAAGGGATCGTCGGCTTTAAGTCTGCAACGATGTCTTGATGAGGAATATATCAGGCCGGAGCGCTGCGAGTATACCTGCCACCAATGTGGTACACAGGAAGCAAAGAAACAGTTGAGTATCAAGAGCTTACCGAATGTTCTTTGTATACAGCTAAAGGTCAGTGCATTTTCCGTTTACTTGCTATCACTGCCCGAACGTGCTCAGTGATAGCTTAATCTTGTGACTTGGATCTGCTGAGATAATACAATTTATCTCATTTCATATACCATTTAGCTGTCATACTTACAGAGGACTGTTGCTTACAACTTTGGACACAGCGATTCAAACAAAATAACGGCCTCGCATCTAAGATTGATACTAAAGTATCCTTCCCACTCAAACTTGAGATGTTCCCTTTCACAAATCGCGCAAGAAGCCAGGATTCAAAGCAAAACTACGAATTAGCTCGATCCTGCACGTATGATCTTCAAAGTGTTGTCGTCCACGTCGGTAATCTTGAAACTGGTAAGCTGATTCTTTACGTCGCCTCTATCATTTCATACTAACATACTAGGCCATTACGTCTCATACTCTCGAGTGGGGAACCAGGTAAGTTGGCCCCCTTCCCTCTCTACCCATATCACCTATTAACACGCGTCTCCTAGTGGTTCAAATTCAATGACCATAATGTCACATTAGCATCAAAGTCACAAGTTCTAAACGAACAGGCGTTTCTCTTATTTTATGTAGTCCGGTCACTAGCATAGTAGGCGCATGTATGCATTATTTCAAGGAGGGGTAGGATAGGTCAGGGCCTGGACCTGGGCATTTGAAGGCGTTAGGGGTAGCGTAGAGATCACACATATCACCTTTCTATATTTATACCCAATTCAAAGGCACCGTAAAACCATCAGCGAGCAATCATTTTCTGCAAAACAACTCGTAGGTCTCAATTTCAGTCCTGATCAACCTTCCACTTCCAGTCCTCACACTCGAAATTCGCGTAGCAGTAAAACTCATTACCCAGCCCTTTCGAATGCGCCGGCTCGAAATCCGTGGTCTGTATCCCCGGCGGACGATAGAGTTTCTTGATCAGCGTTTCCATACGCTCGCCTGTACAGATAACGAGTCGTAAATCCTCCTTCTTGGCGCTTGATTGTGGTTCTGGCCAAGACTTGGCCAACCAACGAACTGTCAACGCAGCTGAGGAGTGTTAGTCTAACGTTTCCCCCTCCAAGTCTCTCCAAGACAGTACAAATACGTACCTTTGGTTTGGCAATCCTCGCTCAGAAACGGGGGATCCACGATTATCCTGTCGGCGGAACCTTTCAAGCTAGCTTTTCCCACTCATTATCAGCGCTTATCCCATATTTATACTCTCGTCATCATCATCATGTATACCACCATACATCCTCCCCACTGGCCATTCCCGTTACCATTTCCTCACATTCCCCGTAAGTAATAATAAGTAAGATCCTAGGAGAAGATGCATGGTTTGGATTTGGATTGGGGAAGGAAGTAAAATTTACGTGGTAGCTTCAACGGATTCCCGAAATCATAGAACACAAATTCGGGGAAGACCTCGAAGCGCTTGTCGAACTCCAGGAGGTGAATCCTTGGGCGAAGATGGGCCGGGACATTTCGTTTTGTCTTTTTGAGGGGTGGATTAGTTAGGTTCTTGAGGGAGAAGGGGGGCAAAGGGGGAGCATGGGTGTACCAAAATATTCTTGATCTGGACGAACACGCTCGGCGCAGACACCACTGTGATGGTCGTATGCTCAGTCGCGTCGCGAAGGAGCTCTTCTGCTAAGATGGTTGCCGTTTCATCGGAATACTGTTCGTTGCTCTCATTAGCATCGCCATCATCACCATCATTCAGCATTCCATATTTGACAACTCTCTCGCGGCCAAGCCAAGAAAACCCTTGACCCACAACCCGTTCCGATCCCTTCTCGAAACCCCCCAAAATAGAAACCCAAAAAAAACACCAAAATCAATAACACTCACCCAAAATTGACTCTCATTCCAATCCTCCTGGAAAATCTCCATGCGTAGCAATCCATCGCTCTTTACTTCAACCTTCAAATCCTCATATTCCTTTTCTCTTTCATCGCGATCGGCGTAGAACTCCTGAAGCGCGGAGAGGGATACGCTTGATAGTGTGCTTTTTGGAGTTAGGATTATGTTAGAACTGTGATGAGTGGGGGTTCGCGGGGATAGATATGAGTGAAGAGGGGAGAGAAGGGCAAAGAGGTAGGGGAAACAGAAGACATAAGTGAGATGATACGAGGAGGGAAGCAAAATAGGAGAGGGAGGGCTATTTACAGAGGCTCGTCGTCTGTTAGGCCATGAACTGCCATGTAACTTAGTAATTTTCTTTTCTCTTTGCGCGTTGTAGAAGGATGAAGGTTCTGCGTGGGTGCGGCATTTTCGTTTGGAAGGAAATTTGGAGTTTTGCCGAGTTGCCACCAGCTCTAGACGGTGAAACGAAAGCGACGATGGCCAGAACAACATCCAAAGTTCCACTAATTTTGTAGGATATCTCTATGTCATTGGCCCTTGTCTACCTAAGTAACGTGCCAGATGTATTCATTTTATACGATTTAGGGCGGATTGTAGCTCTTCTATCTCCAAGCCAGTGAATTGCTCAAATGGCGGGGTAAATGGGGGGTGTGAGCCTCGTATGACTGAGGAGGTCGCCCTTAATGAAATCTTGAGCGCAAATTCTGGCGGAATATCTTGCAATGTAACTATGCGCCCGCATAGGTTAGACATCTTATACAGGTACCTTGAAATTAATTATGCAAAATCCTTCTGCTCGTCGTTGGCCGTTAGAGAACGAAATAAAAAACGGATCGAGACAAAATTCCTCAAAAACGTCTGCTCTACGTGCCGGTTTTCTATAGGATTCCTATTTGCCATATGTACATTCTCAACTCCTATTGGAAATACATGCCGCCTTGTGTAAACGAACTACTGGTTGTCAATGACATGCAAGTACTGCTTCTCTTCCTTCTTTTCACGCTCCGTGGCAGGTGGTAAGTCCTGGAATGCCCAACTTCTGTATCCTTGCTATAAAATAGTTAGCATTGTGCCCGTTTCTGACTTATTGATACACCTACCAAGTAATGGAAAGTGAGGCTGCTCAGCTCAGCTGGCGTGATATCCAAATCTTTGAAAGTCTTTGCTGTCTCATCGATCTTCTGGTCAATGAACTCCCGCTCAATTTCATCAGGGTTGAGAGTGTGCCACCAAAGAGCCTTGTTCAGTAAATTGGCGGCAGGCTTCAGGATGCGTTTAGGGATATTGATATGCCGGCGGTGTTTGATAATTTCCTTATCTACCAATTCTCCAATCTCGGCCGTCGAGTAGTTCTTGGGACCGTATAGCTCGTATGTCTGTTCGGCAGTGCTATCATCTTGGCACATTTTCTCGAGGGCCATACCGACATCAACGACCTGCGAGAGTAATTAGTCTAGAACATTCCGGGTTAAGATGGGGCCGCATACGTGAACTGGCCAGTAACGCTCTTGCAGGTTATTGGATGTCAAAATATTTGAGCCACCAGCTAGTTTGTGAAGAAGCTGGTCTTCAAATCCGAACATAGGAGCCGGTCTGACAATGGTGGTTTCGGGGAAGATATCACGGACGATAGCTTCACCTTGGGCCTGAAGAATAGTCAGCAACATAATGTATTATCTCGATCCATGTTCTTCTGACCTTCGTCTTGTAGTATTCGGAAGGCGAGTTTATGTCGGCGTTGTGCGAAGAGACATGGATGAAACGATCAACGTCATACTTCGCAACAGCTTCCGCAATTCGTGCGGCTCCCTCTACATTGACATCCTCAAAGTCGAAGTTCCTATCTTGTCTCAATATATCTTCTCGGGTATTCTTCATTTCGATTTCCACTTACTTGGTGGTGTACGTGCGACCGATGAGATTGTAAACCACATCGGAATGCCTGACACTCTCCTCGATTGACGGGGTGTTTCTGAGGTCCATTTCCTTTAAGGCCAAATCAGAGAAGGTTTCAATTGTGGGTCATTTTCTCCTCTTACCAAGAATGTTACTCTGCCCAAATCTCCGGAGACTTTGAGGTGACGCTTTGCCATCTCCTCCCGATATGGTATAATGACATTACATCCTTGCCGAGCTGTTTTAAATCAATCAGTCCCACAAACTCTCCCTCGCACAATTCAGAGGCACCATACCGAGTCGGTTCACAATATATCTCCCCAGGAATCCAGTTGCGCCAAAGACTGTGACGGTGTGCCCTAGATATATCAATGAGCAGCGGTTCGAACGGCAGGACGGGCTTCATGTACCTCCGAGAGAAGATCTATATTGGTATAAATTAGCAGACGATCAATTGGCCCTTTGGAAGCAGCTGTAACTAACCGGCCACCTTGAGTTCGAATGATGGGCTTCCCGGTCCGGGTGATCGTAACATCAGAGAGAAGACGTCTTGAGGCTGGGTTGGCGACAGTTCCTTTCCCCGCCCGCACCGCGGTCCGTAGGCCATTCATGCTGGCAGCAGCGCCGGATTTCTGCATCGCTGTGGATGTCGCCAGTGTCAATTGAGCGAGGGCGTGGGGGATTTGGCAAGTTGTGATGCTCTCGTCGTCGACAGACGCAACCCATGTCGAAAGCTCGGCAGGGAGCCGCTAGCGTGCACCTGGTAGAGTAGAAGCTCACTCCGTTCACCTCAAGGCTGCGATAGACCGCGAATCTCGAAGAAGCGCAACATCAACTCCCCGAATTTCTTCACCAACAATACCTCTAATTTACGCGCGCCCATTCTTGACGAAATCCTATTCTGCGACGTGGCTGGATAACTCTTCCCCTCAATCTCGAATTCCCTAGACCCAAACTCCCCGCCACACTGTAGCTACAGCTACAGCTCCAGCCCGCCATGAATGTCGATACGATTCCAGATTTCCTCGCGGATCAGCGTGATGCTGCCCCCGCAGACCTACAACATCTCTTCATCTCCTTCGAGGATCTGTGGGAGCGAAAGTTATGGCATCAGTTAACGGATAGCTTAATAGAGCTGTTCCAGAACCCAGCAAGCGCCAGCCAACGGCTACCCTTTTACAAGACATTCATCCTCACATTCGCAGACAAGATCAACCAGCTAAAGCTTGTCACTCTTGCTTTGAGTGCAGCATCACAATGCAGAGGTATGCCCCCAAGTTTTTGGTTTGTTGTGCTATTAACTAACACGCTGTAGATGGTCATGAGCGCCTGTCCTTCCTGGAGTCAGTGGCCAAGAAAGTCGACAACCCCAATTCCCAAGACGCCTACGTCTACGCAACTGTGGCTGTAGCAACTGTAAAGCTAGAATTGAAGGATTTGGAAGGCACAAGGAAAGACCTAGACAAGTCGGAGAAGATCTTGGATCATTTCGATTCTGTCGAAACCATCGTGCATGCTGCTTTCTACCGGGTCAACGCAGAATATTACCAGGTTTGTCCTATTACCAACTTATCAAACCCTCAACTGACGAAATGCAGTCCAAGCTTGACTTTGCCTCCTATTATCGGAACGCCCTGCTTTACCTTGCCTGCATCGATTTGGCCGACCTGACACCCGCTGAACGTCGAAGCCGAGCCTACGACCTTAGCATAGCAGCTTTGGTCTCGGATACGATCTACAACTTTGGAGAGCTTTTATTACATCCCATCCTCAATTCTCTGGTGGTCGAGGATGCTTGGCTACGTGATCTGCTTTTTGCGTTCAACCGTGGAGACTTAACTGCGTATGATGTTTCGGCTGGCCATATTTCCTCAAACACACTGCTTGCGGAGCATCGTGATGGCTTGCGACAAAAGATCTACCTTGCTGCCTTGACGGAAGCCGTATTCCGCAGACCACCCCACGACCGCACAATGTCCTTCCGCACAATCGCCGAAGAAACCAAAGTCAGGCCCGACGAGATAGAGCATTTGATTATGAAGGCGTTGAGCTTGGGGCTTCTCAGAGGCAGTATCGACCAAGTGGACGAGATTGCACGGATCAACTGGGTGCAACCAAAGGTGTTGGATATGGGCCAGATCGACAACATGCGCTTAAGGCTACAAGAATGGGACTCAAGCGTCAACTCGCTAGGTAACTGGATCGAGTCGAAGGGTCAGGATGTTTGGGCGGCATAATATGGCATAGAGGGCGTCTGGTTTGAGCCACTAGAGGCACTGGTATGTACTATTAAAAATCAATGAGTAAAGACGGAACCCTGCTGGCAAATTGATCTCACAAATACCGCTTCCGTCCCCAGTTTCTATATGTGCCACAACTCCATTCCTCCCTTTGACTCCGACGCAACAATTACCCGAAGGAACCAGACGACGGAAGAGATGGGGAGGGATACAGTAAATCGAACCGACATTGGAGCCAAACTGAAGAAAGGTTAGCAAAGAAATGGATAAAGACTAATGAAACGAAAACCTGTAAACTCCATTCCCTTGCCTTACATCATCCCACCACTCCCCCATTTAACCATCTTTATATATCTCCAGCATAAACAAGAATGCAAGTGGTCTTCCCTAGTGGTTGAGCTAAATAGACAACTACAAAATCTTCTTGCCCAGAATATTCGGAGTGATTTCTGGCATAATTAGCTTAAAGAGGCTCGGATATGTAAATAAACTGATTGCTTTCCTAGGCTTGGGTGATTAGGTGTTTATCAAGATACTGCTGCTAGTTGGGGTAAGTTTTGATGTCACTGTTTAATCATGGCACAAAAGCCATATCAAGTAAAATCGATTTGACAAGCTATCACTAGGCCCTAACTAGCAACCTTCTTCCCATCCGTCCCCTCCTCCCTCGGCCTCCCAAACAACAAAATCATGCCCACAACCCAAGACGGCCACCAAACACACCAGACCACAACCTGGGTATTCATGCCCCACACATCCCAACCAAACGCAGCCTCCTTCAACACCTCTGCAACGCCCAATTGCCAATAATACGTCCCAGCCAACAACACCACCGTCGGCGCTAACAAGCTAAGTAGAAGAGCAAAGCCGACTGTGGTGATGGGGCGACGAGGGAATGGCTCGACGTAAGTGAGTGGCGCGGCGAATAGTCCGACGAGGAAGGCTAGAGAGAAGTTCAATGTTGCAAGCGCGGAGAGGAACATGCCGAGGAGGAGGAGAGAGAATGATTTAATGAGTTGGTATTGCTGGGTTGTAGGGCTAAAGTAGCGGATTAGAGCGGTGGAGAGAATGTAGGGGAATATGCTGTTCAGAATGGCGAAGATGGCGAAGACTGGGGTGAGCATCTGCATGTATACATTAGCGTATATTCCACAGGTAGTCTGGATTATGACTTACCTGTTCTGACGTATGGTTGAAGATATACAAAGGCAGGACACCGAGGAACTGCGAGCCCGCTACCACTGAAAGCGGGAGGAAGAGCTCTCTTTCCCGGACAGTCAAGGTGTCCTCGGGAATAAGAGCTTTAGCTTTAACATCATCCATTCCTTGAATTTGAGCCAATGGCTTCTCTCTTATTAAAGCAGACGGGGAAGGCTTCTTCTTCTCTACTGGCGAGCCACTTTTCAGCCATAGGAAAATCGCCATGATAGTGAAATTGACCGCGACAAGCATGGCGCTGGGGAGATATGTGCCGATGCTCACGAAGCGATTAGCTTGCATGAGGAGATAGAAGAAGAAACTCTGGTGGAGATGTTCTAGAAGGTTGTTCAGACTTCGGAACGTGCTTTCTATTACTCTCCCCATGGCCATTTCATCTTGCCAGCCTTCGCCATACGGTTGTAGGGTTATAGCATCTACGTGGTAGGGAATGAAGCTGCTGTGTGGTCCGGATGCGTGGCCTAGGCCCTGGTTGAGCATCCCGCGTAGCATCGTCTGCAATCGATCCTTATAGGTGTCGGAGTGCTGCCACATTTGCTGGAGAGAGGTTGGTATGCCCATTTGTCCACTTGCAATAGCAACTACTGTGTTCAGGAGATCCAGGTTTGGAAGCTGTCCATTGATACCATCATAGACCACATGTAGAGATTCGAACCGGTGGTCGAACGGATAATCGATCACTACCGCGCCTTGTAGAGCACCGCTCTTCAGTGGTAGCGACTCGATACTGGGAGATTGATGTGTATCATGGTAGGCATCGACCCAAGCCTGCGGACCGGCTCTGCTATCGGCCGATATTAAGAAAATGATATCCTTCGACCAGAGGGACCATCCTGTTCATGCGTAAGCCACGAATGTCCGTATTGGGCCGGGAAGGACTAAATACTCTTGAAATATCTCGCCAGAGTCAGGACAAGAGCAACTCCACTCCTATTCAGCACTCCATCTACATTCCTCCACGCTCCTACAAGCACAATGGCTTCCGTAGCGTCTCCTCGTGGAGCGTGTAGGATGGCGTATATGTTCTCCCCAGCATATGTCTCTCCCGCGCTCTTGTACTCGTATCTCTGCCGGGCGACCTTCAATCCGGAGGCCTTGAAGAATTCCTCAAGCTTATCGTTGACCCTGCGCCCCTATTATCAGCCATAGCCCTGAAATCCCAGTTGGAGTATGTTGCGTACTCGATATTACTCCTGTCCTCCAGAGCATCTACCTCCCGCTTGTATCCCCGGAACACATTTTGATCACTCCCAGCAAAATAAGTATGGACCTGCCCTGGCAGAAGCGCATTCTCGGAGATGTAGGTTTTTCGCGAGTAGTCGTCTAATGGTAGAAGCAGTAGCCATGCGATACCAATGACTACGCAGAGTAAGGACAGGTATGGCGGGACCTTTAATAATCGAGGATCGCGTCGCAGGAGGGAGGCTGAGGCTTGGAGCTTGTTAATAGATGGGATGTGAACAATAGAATGGTGACTTACATAGCAGCCTCGACATGGTGGGCTTTTGGCGGGTAAGTAGAACAGAATTGTGTAAATCTATTTCGCAATGCTCACCTACGTAGGTAGGTACGTATACTACTTTTACCGAGGTGAACGATGGCATCTACAACACTGAGTTTCCTTGTTTATCCCAACACACCCTTCCATATTTTGTGCAGAATAGCTAAATTCCGGTACAGCACCGTCTAAAGCTCTACGACTAGACACACTTTGCAACTTTGCACTTCAACAATAATCCAAACCTCCAGTATACAAAACCAACCCTCACATGATGACGCGCTCCATGACGCGCACCACGACGCGCACCGTCGCGCTCCAGATCTACGAGTATCGATATCATAGAAGTATTTCGCTTCCGTGGACGTCGTGGTGTTGCACATGACGATCGATAGCGATAGACCTTGAGCTCAGGCTAACCTACATGCTTGGCCACAATTTACCTCCATTCTCGACGACATTCGAAGCCATATGGCAACTTCCGTTGCCCTAGACGCCGAGGCGTATCAAAAAAATAGTAGGTACGTATAACGCTACCGAACGAATCCTTCGCTGGACGGACGAGAACGGGAAAACATACATGCAAGACAGACTATGTCGGAGGCGAAGCCAGTGGGAGCACAATCGGGGCGGAACAGATACAGGATGGCTCTGTTGAAAAAGCATCCAGCGCCTTGTTCGAACATACGGCCAAGACTTCCCCAAACAGTTCCCAAAGTGACTTATCTGAGGAGTCTGTAGATCTAAATCCTGACCCCAAGTCAATTGAGTTAGTTGTCGGCTGCCAGGACGATCCTCTCATACCTAGCCCAGATCAGATCGATCACACTTTCCTGAAGGGTCAAAACACCTGGCGCGCTTATATTACCCCCTGGGATGGGAGCCACTGGGTAAATGTGAAGGACGGATTTTCTAGATATGAAGAAGGCATGAGAGTGCGAGCTAAGAAAGTGTTGGATGCCAGTTTTGCAGGTGGGAAGTTCTTATGGCTTGGGAAAGACTACCAGGGGTTTTCAGAGGTTGAAAATAGCTAAAAGCCTTCTTGATTTGATATAGTATTTATACTTGAAAGCTGACAAGTGGGCATTCAATTGGTATCCTTCTTTCGAGAGGAAATTATTAAAGTAGAAATTGACGTGACCTTGGTAAGTCTAGTGTGAAGAAGTCCAGGGGTGAGTTGACTGATTGTATTGTCTTCAAATGACCTGAGCCAGGGATCCAAAAGGTCTTATGATCAGCGACTTATGACTCTCAAGCCCTTTAATTGCAGCATCTGAGACAACTCTTGCTCCCGACTCGACAATAGCTCTGACCTCGACCGAGGGTGGGAGGAACTCGACGTTTCTCGCAGCTTCAAGCGCTCTTGGCTTAATGTTGTCGAGAATTTCGTCTTGTTTCTAAAATAAATGTGTTGTCAGCCAACAAGAACGATAGGGTAACATAAATCGAGGAATTTACGTACTGCTTGGACGATTCTATTTACCCCTTCTTGAGAATTTTTGGTGAATTCAAAAAGTGCCCTCATTTTGGCATCAATATTTGACGGTACGCCAAGCTGATTACAGAGCTCCACCCCAGGCATAATGTGTTTTCTCGAAACTTCGCCATACATTTTGCCAACATCCATGAAAATAGAGAAGTAGAATCGCATTGTCATTGCCATAGTAGAAATAATCTATTAAAGCGTTAGATTTTGTTATTTTCTTTGGTCTGTACCTTGAAAACATACTTGACGAGAAAGGTCACTGAATGTGTATCCAGTTATGAGTACCTCTTTTTCATCTCCAGTGAATGCATTAAGGTCATCGATGAACGGAATGACCTCGTGTTCAATTGCAAAGTCGACAAGACCTGCTATTCCGTCAAAGAAGGTTACCAACTTCGCTACCTGGATCTTCATTGTTGTTAAGCAATCTATGGACTTTGAAAGAATCGATTTGATCTCCTCCTGCTGAAAAATTAGAAATTTAAGACTCAAGACTTCCAAACACATCTGTTACGCACCAACGAAACACTTTCAGCTTGTAATTTGGCCATTTCGCCAGCAATCTTAGCGACTTCGGTTTGAATTTGAATGAGATACTTCTGCGTCTCAACATATTGTTTCTGGGTATCAAGGTAAACAGTCTGTGTTTGAGTGACGAGAGTAACATGCGCGTCAATTATCTGGCTGGCAACGGTTGCATTAGAGCCTGCAGCGTTACCAGATTGGGAAGTCGATACTGGTTGGTTCTACATAGGTCTCATAATTAGCAATAGGACAATAGACATCTCAGTCGCCTGCTTACCGGTCTCTCTGGAATGCCAAAGATGGTTTTAGCAGTTGAATCAAGTGAGACAGCGAAGCTGAAGATCTTGAGCATTTCTGACTGCCAGCCAACAACCTGCGGGGAATTTTTTTCCGGGGCTTTCCACGAAATTTCGGTAGATTTCCGACCTTCAGCTTGGAGTTCTTTGCCAATCTTCATACCAACAATTCAGATTAGTGAAATCTGACATTTTCCATATCGTAGCATGGATTGACTTACTCTGATTGATGTTTGCACAATCTCCATATAACTCCTGCTGGGTTCACTTTCGGAAGGAGGAAACGTTCTCTCCGCGACATCGAGCATACCCAAAACGTACGTAAGGCCTCCTTTGTCTGAACTATCTGTAACAGTAACATGAGACCAATCAACACCGCCATCTTCACCACTTGTGAGTATGGATTTGAGTCCTCTGACGAAATCGACAGTGGTGTGTATCCGAGTATAAGCCGGGTCATCAGAGTCCTTTGGTCGTATTAGAGCCTCGAAATTGGGACCTGCATGAGCCGAAGTGTCCTGTCCAGCTTCATTGCCGAAGATATTCATGCCAGCAGCACTCACGGCGCTAGCACCAGTAACTGATAGCATAGCTGGAAGTGCAGTCCTGATTGTGGAGTTCATTGTATTTGCAAGCTGAGATACAAACGACTGTGCAATCATTTCCCATCTGTGTAATTGTTAGTGAAAGTATTATTTAATGGCTTTTGTATCTAACCCCGATGGCATGCTTTTCACGGCCTTCTTGTAAAGCTCTCGAGCGGTATCCAATTCGCCAGTAATTTTATCGACCATAACTTTGGCAGTCTCTGCCACCTCCTTTGTCTTGCCCTCAATTGCTATATCCATGGCAAGTGCTATCTGGTTGGTAAGAATCTTCTCGTCTACATCGGTTGTTCCTTGCACCGTTGCGATATGTAGCTCTGAGATCAATTGCAGCCATTTTTCGAAATCACCATCCATGTCTCTTGCACTTGCCGCGCATTCATCTGCACCTTTCTTTAGACGTTGCATAGTGGGTCTTAGTAACACCTTTGCTGAACCGGGATCATTGAGGAGCATAACGATCCTCTCTACCTTTGAGCGCAAGAGGGCATATCAGCGATTTAGAATGATAGATACTCACAAGTCTAGTTACTTACGGTTTCAAACATCTTACCGGAAATCAAGGTTATGGTATCAAACCGAGCTTGGGCATTCAAAAATGCAAAGGTGCCCGCATCCGAAGTCTGGACAAGACCGGCTCTTAGAGAGGTTTGGCTGGCTTCAATTTAACTCATTGTGGGGATATAGTGAAGACAGAGCCCATACCCAAGAAATTTAAATCCTCCATTTGGTTCCTTAAGGTTTATCGAAGATGCGAGAGGAGACGAGGCAGCAATAAAGCAATTTCCGATGGCTGTAAGAGATAAAGGAGCGGCTGAGAGAAGCTCTGCCCAGTTACCGTAGAGGAAACCCTGATCGCTCACCACCTTATCTTGAAGCTTTCCTATCTCCCCCTGCTCCTGCCCCAGAATCGCATCGACGCGAGCAAGTTGGGAGGCCTGTTCTTCTCTGGACGACATGTTAGTCTGGGTGCTTGGTTTATGTCGAGTTTGGAATTTCTCAATTGTATTGAATCGGCGGGCACAGAGATAAATATTTTATGACACGAATCATCTGGTATAGATAACGTCTCTCTACAGTTCATCCTGTACAGTTATATCTCAAGATCTACAGCTGAAAGCTGAAAAGTAGCCCAGACATACCCAGACATA